GGAGGGGGGGGGGGGGGGGGGGTTTAAAAAATCGATTATATTTGTATAGCGCCGACGCGGGTCAGGGGCGCTGGGAGTGTACGCTACTAGTCAACTAACTAAATGTAAAGTTGGTAAATACTGTAGATCTCTATGAAAAGAGTAGGGGAGGGATTTGAAACGGTTTACCACATCACAGACCGCAGTTTGGCCGGACCACTCATAGGTTACAGATGCCGACCTAGCGAAATGTTTTGACCGAGCGCCGAGTTATTTCTTTCTTTCGAAAGACCACTCGAAAATGGACTATATACGACGGTGAAATTTTCGGTCCGTCGCGTGACTTTACTGCACACTGGCGTGGCGAATTCCGCACCTTCAAATTTTGGACTCTGTCACAAATGGATGGAGAACCGGCTCAAACGGCACATCACTTATTATATCTGATACCATTGGAAAAGACCTCAAAACATCAACCGCGACAACCCGTCGATGGATAGGGTGAAGCATATGCATCAAATACAATGTGATTACGGGACTGTTTCTGTGCCGGATGACATGCCGGTGTCTCATTCGTCGGACGCGTCTCATGCCCTGTCCTATCCGGTCTCTTCACTCCATGATTACCTAGGGTCCCTCCCATAGTGCAGCTCCCGAGTGTACCGCGTAGTGGTGACGGAAGACAGGATTGACTGTAGCCGAGCTTTCGTTACAATAGTATCGTTGAGGGCACCGATATCCACCAAATATTCCAGAACGTTAAAGATGCATGTGATGCAGTTACCGAACGGTCGCTTCGGCTCCCAGGACTGGAAGGCGGTCAGGATTCCCATGCGGGCACCCGCGTTATAGTGTCCCAATTCATACAACGTCCAGTGCTGGATACTTTGGCTGCCGTTGGGCCGAAAGCTAAACCGGAATAGGTAGGGGTTCGTTATAGCGGCCTTCTCGTCATTGTTCTGTCTGATCTCGATGACCTTGTAGCCTTTATGAACTTGAGTGGTTTCTGTGTCGTATGCGGGCCAAACAACGCAATAATGCAGAATCTGCCTGTTCACGTCCCGGTGTATGACGAGAGAGACGGGAAGGTCGCGATTCACGTAAGCCACGGGTCGGCCGTCTGGCCAGATGTTGGGGGACTCGGGAGCAGCGCAAAAGCTCATCATAGCCTTATCCCTTTCCTCATTGAAAGTCAGCATGCTTCGAAGAAAAGAGGATTAGTTATAATTTGTACAGAAAGTCGTGATTGTGCTCACATTTGCTTAGTATGTGGAGGAGGCGATTATTCCGTTGGATGGTCAGGAAAAGAGATGCTGCGAAGATGAGTGGTCTGAAGGGCGATGGTAAGCGGCTTTATATAGCCAGAGAGTGCTGACGCGCACCGAAAGCCCACCCTAGGACGAAAACATGGTGCATTCCGACAAAGGGTACAATGAACTAGTTGGAGGCGGACGATCGTGGACACCTCATGTTCAGGAAGTTACGAAAGGAGACAAAAGGAAATCTCACGAACCAATGTCCCACAGTAAGCACAAGCCGATCCGCCCACAGTCTTCGCGATGGCGTGTCACTGACGAGCCCCGATATGGAAAGGAGTCTAGGAAGCAGTTACCTCATCTACGTCGTCTCTGTGAGCCACTGAATCCGATAGTGGCGCGAAGAAATTCAGAATTCGTCTTGGATATATTAGGAACAAGGGCTTGTCCGCTTTCGGCTTTCTTGACGGTAATAAGGGGGGAGCACAGGCTCAGGTGTGGAACTTTCCGCTTGAATAATACCTCGCATCATGGAGCTTCTCATAAGACCACATCAAACACAAGAAGAAGAAGTACGGCAACATACCTTACACATGCCACGGGCCAGATAGCCCATACCTAAATGGCTCGTTAAGAGTACTAGGACAAGAACGAGGAGTGCTTGCGGCATAGAGCTGGACGAGAAGGATATGGAGCATGAGATATAGCATGAGCTCCATATGGCTTAAGTCAATTTCGAGAGCCTAGTACAACTCGGGGTGAGTTGGGTGGCCGAAAGCTGACGACAAGGATAAGCACGACAAGCCGAACCGACGCACCAGATGTTTGGAAGTTTTTGAAGCTGCATTCATCCTTGGGCTGGCATCAAAATTGCCTTCGATAGTTTTGTTGTGGCGTCCGTAACCTTCGGTCTTGTCCCCTTTTTCGTTGCTGGTACCTTCTTGCCTTACACCGACGAAGCCTGGCCGAGTACTCCTGAAAGTGACGCCGTCAGTACGGATCGTGCATGTGTGCTTACAAACAGGTATGAGAACGTTAACAATACGAATGGAGAACAAGACGAAGAGGTGCACGCTTCGCACAGCGGCGGACTCCAAGAACAGTTGCAAGGCTCGAAAGCCAGCAAATTATACGCATTGCTATGCACATCGAGAGAGGAACACAGCGATCATGATGCTCACGAATCGCGGATACGGCCAATTATGCCACCAGCACCCTCCCGCTACATCAAATATCTCTACTATTATGCCAAATGGAGTCCACGAAGCGGACTCCTCGAGCAAGTATCTTGCACTCTGATATCTAGCCTCGTTGGATTCCATCACAGCCAGGCGTTGCATGCATACCGCTTGGCGGAAAGGAGATGCGATACAATCAGCCTTGGTGGAACAAGATTCAGAGGTTTCGACACACGTCGAAGTTGCCACGCCACTGGGAGTAGGATGGGAATGAACGGTTCGCCGAGAGCACAGGACAAGTAAGCTGAGTCTCGAAAGATAATGGATGAGAATCGAAGAGCATCCTATTACGCCTTATTCGTCTAACGCAGGGTGGCGACGAATTCAGTGGTAATGGTCAAGACCGAGGCGAAAACCGAGAAGACCCCTAATCTGTTCTTCAAGCTCCAGCAGCAGGTCATGACGCCCATCACAGAACCAGCCTGCCGAGTCCAAGAACAAAATTGAGATCCAGGAAAGCGAAGTCTCCAGACGAAGAAATATCGAGGTCGACATGCATGATGCATGCAAGTTCGAAACGTTGACTCGGACGTCGAAGGAGGGGTAAAATCACTTTCACACCCAAACTCGGCCCGTGGGCGCTTCTGAGCCCCGCCACGCTCAGCGCTCAAATTTGCACGAAATCGCAAGACACGCCACATTGCGCCACATCTTAGCTCTGGGTCGTCGCTCTTGATAGGCCCTCGAAAATTGATAAACATGGCGAGGCTCATCAGTATCGATATCCAAGAAACAACCACGACAACATAATAGTACAAGTAAAATACAGGCTACTCCTAAGAGATGACTACAGTAGAAATACAAGAGCTGTAACGGTTCCTGTCAGTGTGACCGAACGACGATATGAACAATATTTACACAGGGGCAGAGACAGAGGCAGTAGAGTACAAATACAGAACCAAGAAAGCGTGCGACGAGGCGAATCGTGTATGGGATACAGTGACGGTATGCATATGCAAATGAGAAGAACAATAACACGAGGACCGTGAATCCGTGCGAGTGCATATGATGAATCGATAATACGAGGCAAAGCGAGGTCAGAAGTGATCAGTTTAATTCGAAGGTGAACGGGGTCTCCGCGCCCGTGGATATTGTAACACCACGAAGGAATATGAAGGAGAGAAATCAACGGCACAGATAAACGTTCCTACCAACACAAACGAGCGTCCTACCTCCTTGCCCTTACATACACCATACTCGGCAACACCCTCACCCTCTCACCCAACCAACGAAGCCCTCGAACTGCTCCTCGACAAAGCGTCCAAAGTCCAGCTCGACAAACCCGAACCTATCGTACTCGAAGGCGAAAGCGACGCGCTCTTCAAGCTCGGAGAACTTTCGCTACTGGCGGTGACGCTACTGCTCTGAAGACTACTAGAGTCGGGTTTAACAGGACGAGCTATGTGTGAAGACGAGGCGTGGTTGGTAGAAGAGCGGGGATTGATTGGATTGGTGCGATACTTGAAAGGGCTGAGTGTGATACTGAACTTCGTAGGGATACCCTGAGTCTGAGCATGGGCGGAAGACGTCGTCTTGCGAGAGGTGCTGGAGACATTGGGGAGATCAGAGGGCTTGGTACGCTGGGGAGACCCGGATGCTAAGTAATGTGAAAGGACACCAAAAAACGGGATGAAGACGTCAGAATTGGAATGACACGTGTTTTTGAGATTTTAGCGCGGGACGGGGGAGAGGACTAGCAGGAGATGAAGGGGGGAAATGATGGTTGAGCGAGTCTGACGAACGAGGTGGAGAAATGGTGCGCTCGTGATGATTGGTAGTAGATGTGGCTATAGATGGAGTAGCGGCGTCGGTAGAAGAAGATATTTCTGCGATATAATAATTCAAGACACGAAGAGAACGAGATAAAGATACGACGGGAGAGGGGGGCTTCTTTTTACGAGGTTTACGTGGAAGTGTAATGGGGGGTGCTACCGCACGAGTGGTAGTGGAACGGAGTGATCGTACACTATGGGAGGCAGGTGGACGTGGTTGAGGAGGGATGATTTTACGTGGGGTGAAGGGCATGGAGGGGGCAGAGGAGGACGAGGCAATATAGGATGAAGGCTTGTGATCTGGACAGGGGTGGAACGAGAACGAGTATTAGCGAAAGAGCTTACGAGTCGATGGAAGGTGAGTGGACTGGCTTTTCTGCATCCCTGACGTCGATGTCTTGCGAGTAATTGGGGATGTCGGGGAATGAGGAGTCAAACTGGAATGAGACTCTGACGAAAGGAATGAGTGCGGCGTTCAAGAATAAACGGATGATCAAGGTAATGCAGAAACTGGCTTACTGCTAGAAGTAATACCATGGCCAGACCGGTAAGAGCTGGGAGGATGAGAAGTGCTCGTTCTCATTTTCTGTGAACATCATAAAAAATTTGTTCTAGCTGCTCGTCCGCCAAAACTGATATAATATGCTTACGGTAGGACTGGCAGGAGTCGAGCTCTTGGCGTGAGGTCTCTATAACAACACATTAATAACATTTTAGAAGGTGGCAATCGACGAACTCACGGAAGCCTTCGGGTTCGCATCCTTCACATCATTACGCGCCTTAGATATATCGCCGAGTCCTCCCTTTCTTCCTTCGCCGCCACCAGTCACCTTCACTTCCCTGGTCTCCTTTCTTCGTCCAATCACTCCCGCTTCCGATCCAGCCTTTTCATTCCCTCCTTCCGTCCCAGCTTCCCCTCCGGCGCCTATACCCTCCTTTCCTTTACCCTCCGCAGCACTAGCCTCCGAGTCCTCCTTGGAGCTCGTCCTAGCCACCTTCATCGACTCCGCATACCTCTCGCTAGCCGTAATGGCAATAGACCTAGTCAACGCATCCAGCTCATCCAGCGTGTACCTGGCTTCGGCACTGTTGACGCGTGAACGAGTTCCAGAGAGTGCGGCTTGGATGTTGCTGATGTCGGTTTCGAGGGTGGTGAGAAACGGGCTTAGGGGCTCGGAGTCGACGGCGGGCTTCTTATTCGACTCTTTGGTGGCAGACGGCATGGCTGGCACTGAGATGAAGAGCTCAGAGGGGGTGGTTAGAGGGATGAATGAAGGGAAGGGGGAGATATGGGGCGTTTTATATGAGGCTGAGACTCGGAGGATCAGTGAATCATCATCGGTGACGACGTGTGGCGTCGAATCGGTGGCCCAACAGAGAAATCACGACACAATAGGCAAGCCGTTTTCCAAGAAGAGCGAGACAGAGAAATGTATTGTAAGAGGAGCATCCAAGAACGGCGACTGTCTTTTGAGTTCGCTTGGAGCGATGACGCTTCTTCGGGTCTAAGGACGGAGCCGGTCTCTCGGTCTCAGTGGCGTGGCGTGATGCGCCACATACAATATCGTTTCAATACTTATTGTATAAATGAAGTCGTCAATGCTAGTACATCTGGCGTATAAAATTCTCTACAACAAATCGCCCACAGAACCAGAAGAAAAAAAACTTGATCAAGTCCGGCATCCAACAGTAAATGTCGGTGCAAAAGACACGCATCGTAACCTCCCGTCATATCCGAGCGTTCACACCGATCCGGATGATCCTGTACAAACAACAAGTACTCAGCGTCAAGGTCTTCACAATCACCGGTCACAAGGCAACAGGATACCATCAATAACAAAAGGCAGTGAAAGAGACACTCACTCATCCGGCGACCCAAGCCAATTTACCGTCTCCGGGAACATAACACACAACCTCGCATACACATCTTCGATGAGCATTTTCCTCACGTAATTGACTATGGGCGACAGTCGACCGCCTTCGATAGGGCGACTGAGGACTTCGTAGTGCGGAATACTGTCATATTCGGCCAATTCGAAGAACAAAGAACGAAGAGTAAGTCGAATTGCGCAGAAACGGGGAGGAGGAGAACGAGTCGTGGATGGCGTGGGTAATGGGTCGAAGGTGAGATGGGAAAGATGAGGGACATACACATGCGTGAAACTGCTAGCCACACTATTCACGTTCTTGATCTGCTCCTCCGCCAGCTTCGGACTCGACCGGGACTCGATTGCGCATATGCGTTTTACGACCTCGCTAACCTATAGATACATCGCACATTTTCAATAACCATGTTGACCAGGGAATCGAATAGAAGGAAGCACATACATCGAGTTGGAACTCTTCCCGGAATCCCAGGTAACATGAGACGCCGTAGAATCCTGTGCAAGAAAGATCGTCAGAAGTCTTGGATGACATTGATATATAATGAGGAAAGGACGTACCAGAGACCGACTCGATCTTATCCACGACATACCGGTCTTCTGCGTCGACTCGGGCAATGGGAAGCGTGTGGACCGACAAGAACACCTGCAAACCACAAACAACAGATCTCTCAGAGGACAATACTTTCGCAAGGGATATAAGACCACTCACCACGACCCTAGGCAAAGCAGGCCAAGATCTAATGAAACCTAGTCAATCATATGCATTTAGATTCGATGTCTTGAATTTCGATGATAGAAAGGCTAGACTTACTAACGAACGAATGTGGTACCCCCCTCTCATGCGTCATTCTATGGAAAACAGCAAGCACAGGCAACCTTCCCAACTCCCTCTTCTCATCATCTCCATCCATATCGGCGCCGCCTACAGTACAATAATACGTCACGTCCCTCAACAACATCTCGTCGTGTCCCTCATCTTCGTTCATAACACCGAAGCGCGTTTCGGGATGTATGGGGTACTGGACCGAGTTGGAGTTGCCATTTTCGTTTGAGGTATGGGGATTCGCCTGTTTCTCGTGGCCGTGGGTGGAAGACGAAGTGCTGATAAATCGGTCGAGAGTACGACGGGATGCTCCGTCGAATCGTTCTTCGAGACCTTTGGCCCAAGTCCAGAAGAACATGAGGATCCATCTAAAATAATGATTCAAATGTGAGCGAGTGTGCACAGGATGTATACGATAACGCTCGACGCGTAGAATGAGCATACAGGATTGCACCGAGCATGAGCGGGACCCAAGCTCCCTCTGGCACTTTCTTCAGCGCTGCACCCCAGAACAAACCTACACGCATCCACCCTTTAGCATATTGTGCACTGATATCATTGTGGGTACGAACCGTCAATGAAGCCGAAGAAGACGAAGTACGCAAGTCCTACGATGATAGGCAGTTGTTTCACGTAGCGGCATTGAATGGCTATGAGGACCGTAGTAGAGAACATAACTGTCGACACTGCGAATCTGCAGGGTCAACGTTGTCAGAAGGTGACCGAAGTGAAAAATCATTATGACATGAAGAGAACGAACCCGTATGCATTGGTCAATTGCGCGGAGCTTTTGAACGCGGCGACGACGATGATGGTCGCGATCATGACTGCATTAGATTTTTGACCTGATCAGTACCAAGGATCGACAGTTAGACAGGAAGAAAGGATGGCTCACGGATCCAGTTCACAGCAGGAATGTAGACTTGTCCCTGTAGTGTCTCTGAGGTTGACTTCATCCTCAAACTACGGAAGAAGCCCAAAGATATCGAAGAGAAGTGTGAGTCGACGTTGAAAATATGATCTCAGGAGGCGAAAGACGCACGGAGGCAGACTCTTCATATTCACGAGCTGCTGCGTGAGACTGAACGTCCCTGTGATCATAGCCTGCGACGCTATGAGCTTTTAAAATTATCCAGCGTCAGTAACACAGAATCTCATCCATTGAAAGGTGACCGCTTACCGTGGCGAGGATCGCAAACACATACATGATCCTACACCACATACGCACACCATTCATCAGCTAACTTCTCTAATCAGCCAGAGCGAGACGGAACTACACACCAGAACAACGGCCCATTCGAACTCCCTGGTATAGTCGTATAGAAGATATTTGACATCACGGCTTCGCCATCCGCGATCACTCTTGCGCCTTGACCAAGGTATGCCAGTATGAGACAGGGATAGACGAGGCCAATAAAAGATATTTGGATGGAGGTCATGTTGAATTGTCCGAGACTGTCCGATAGACATATGCATGTCAGCAAAACTTTGGACCACGAAAGGAAGGTGGGATAATTACTTGGCGAAGAGGGCTTCACAACCGGTCACAGCCAACAAGACGCCGGCAAGGAGGTCGTAGTTTCCAGTGCGGACGAAATCTACGAGTAAGCGTGCATTAGTACGTCTGCGTGCGCTTTGAAATAGGACAGGGACATACATTCGATGGCTCTTGACGGATCATATGCCCTCCAGATTCCGGGGAATGTGACGATGTTCACGATACCGGTCGCAGCGAGAAGTAGAAGCCACACAAACGTGACTGGATGAAAGGATATGGGTCAGAGTGACGCGAGAAAGCTGGATGGCATAGAGCTTACTGGGTGCGAACAGAAACCCAAGGCGACTCGTTCCGAGGGGTTGAGCAAGGAACAGGACGATTATGAAAGCCTAGAATGACCTGGTAAGAAAGTGAAAGTATACGAACAATAATCGTGTAAGTGATGAGGACATACGATTGAAATAGGAGTGACATCGCTCGATACAGACGGTTTGGCGACAGCTGTAGAGAATCGACACGGGGAAGGTCAAAATAGGGCTTCTTTTCACGGCTGTCACAGAGTTACTCACCAATTCCACCAACAGCGCTCGTTACCGAGACAGCACAAGTGAACACACCGTCCGCCATCGTGAGAGCCGTTCCGAACAACGACTGCCGGGATACTGATGGTCAGTGATCGCGAGGTCCAGAACACTACACACACGAAAGCGCTCACCCAAGCAAGCAAGACCCATCTCAGTTTCTGCGGAGCCCTCAGCGCCATTTTGTGGCCTGCGGTGAGCATCGAATCGCGTGTCGGAGCCGTCTCAAATGCTTTGGGCGGATAAAGGCCTTGATACAAGGCGAACGTCCCACCTTCGCCTAATACGAGGATATACTTGTGAGATTGCATACCCTGACGCACTGGACGAAGCATCGTATACCTTCGTGTGTTCCAAAGCGAAGACAAATTATGACCTGTTAGCAAGACGTTGTTAGTATTCAGGAATATGGGAGGGCTTCAATCGCGGACGCACGTATTTGATGAGAGGCACGAGGGTGAGCGACCACACAATAGCGCTGAGTCCACCGATTACATCCTCCTTGCTCGGGACAGGACCAGATGCAGACCACAATCCATTCAGCACATAGAGTGGAGAGGTACCAATGTCAGAGTAAATAATGCCTATGGACACCCCCGATGCGCCCGAAATGAGTACAAACGTCCTGGGAGGGAGACAAGAGGAAGAGCGTACCGAGGGCTTGGAAGCTTAGGAGGATTAACCCGACTCCGCTGGCGCGTAAGGCCTGTCGACGCATACCGTGGTCAATGACTACTCTCTTCTCCCCGATACTAAGTTCGTCTGGTGCGGGAGCAACATCGCCGTGGCCGTCCTTTGACAAAGTAGTGTGGGACGCCATCCAGAGTATAAGAGGCGGACTAGTGAGCAGAAGGTAATACTCGAGAACGACGAGACAATTGATGGAGCGCGCAGAGTCTGAAGGAAGCGAGGAGGGAAAGAATAAACTGGTATCGTGGGTAGCCTTAAGTACCGTGCGGGCGGCTTACTGGATGAGATGATCTCACCGCCGTCTTGTCCCCTATGGATCGACAGCGTCCTCAGTAATCTTATCCATTTCACTCCATCCTAGACGTTGATCAGTGATACAGACGTCGAGAACTTTCGTACCTCAGGCAATAGCAGACGGATCACGAAAGGACGGAGCTTCTGACTGCTTCTGCGCAGTGCATAGCCCGCGTCAAAGCAAGACTGCCAAGCGTCCGTGCGCCCAGCCGAACAGATCAAGAATGCCTCCCCCTGCACCGTGAACAAGCGCGTACGCCCGTTATCGTGGAATGGCGAATATCCCGCTACCTTCAAGTGGAGGTTGGCGCCGTCACAACAACGCCGCGAAATCCGTACACACCGTGGAAACAAAATCGGATGTGGAGGGAAAATCAGATGCACCAGCACCGGATGTTACACGAGCAGAGTCTCAGTCCTCTGGCGAATTCCCCTCTACCAGGGGCCTGTCAATACGGAGGTATGTATCACCATACGGATTTATGGCTCGCCGTGGAAAAATGCAGAAAGAAATGGTGGCCAAATAATGTACAGACAGGAGACAAAGTTCCACGCACGGCGAATATCCCTCTCTCCCCTTGGTCCGTGCGCATGCCTTGCCAGTGAGCGAATTCCGCCAGAGGGGTTGGGGGTGCGCGGGGTGAACGTGCTTCAGCGATCAGGCTCTCCAGCTTCGGGCTTGCATGCAGTGCATTTCATCTGACATTTTTTACGATGAGGAGCAAAAGGGCACAGTAATGATGTCGGGGGATCTGGCGGACTCTCCGTTCTGGCGGTTCCACTCAGGAGGTTTGTCGTTGTTATTAGCAGCCTCAAAGGCTGCTCCTCGACTTCGAGCAGGACATAAGTACAGAACTAGGTATATTGTGAAACCCTCAGTCTGCTTGTATGGAGATGACCGAACTCGTGGACCAGAAGGCGACGCGAGTCCCATTTCGAGCGTTGGATGATGGTGGAAGGAGATCAAGTTCAACACGACATCCGATTTGGGAATCACCGGCGGTGTGGCACCACGGCAACTTCCGTTCTCGTATCCGCGGTGTGGCCTGCCATACATACCACTTCAGCTAACCATTTGTTGCTGTACTATTGTCCTCAGGTCTAGAGGAGAGGTTCAGCTGCAATAGATGCCACGAGAAATAGCATCTGCTGGTAGATACTGAATCGGAGAAAACCTCCGCAGTACTACAAAGACGCCAGTGGGCGCGTTCTTGCTTCAGTTCATCCGGGCAACAAGATGGTGTCTATTTTAGAAGGTAAAGTTTTGGCTATATCAATACATTTTTGTTCACTGAGACGGTGGGATAAGCTATAAGTACATGACTGATGATTGCGGGATGGTGAAACATAACGGTTTTCTTTAATGCCGACACCGGGTAGACTCTAGCTAAGAAACGGAAGACGAGGGGCAAGGGGGGGCGTATGAGAGAGTTATCGCTAATACAGATACTTGGTGGTCAGGATACAAAGAGATGTAAGGCATCTGGAGAAAGGAAAGATGGGCGATGAAAGTCTAGGTTATCAACGGCTGGCACCAGGCCAGCCGAAAAGCTCGAGGTCTACGAGCACGATCGACGTTGAGAAGCGATTGCATGCGAAGGTAAAGCGGAGTACGTGGACGGTGAATGGGCAGAGCGGGGAAGAATAGGCAAGGTCTAGGGGCTCGTGAAGGTGGCGCCAGTCGTAAAGGTCGTGAAATATATAGATTCAATAATGATACGTCAAAGCTACAAAGAATCTTCATGAGTCTATGAGGGTCTCTGATTATGAGGCAAAGATCAACGCACCAACTCCGTAAAGACAGCGCCTCATCCAGGACCCCATACGCCCAGACCACCCTCGAGATCTGGAAGCCCCAGGCTGCCCTTCATCTCGACCGGCGAACTATAGATCTGCACACCTCCGTTCCCCGTCCATTTCGAGACGTCCTTGTGAGTTTCGTCGACTCCAGGCGAGGATTCGTCGGTGGACGAAATCGAGAATCCTGACTCCACGCTCGTCCACTCCTCGGACGAAGACCAATCCCCCGTCTCTGACTGGCCGACACTGCTACCCCTCCACGTCGACTCCTCTGCGCAATCCATGGGACTGCCGGCCAACGCAGAGCCAGCATCCACGCGATCAACGTCCACAGCCTCGACCTTTACGCCACCGCCACCGTTCCTCTTCAGGGCACTAAGACTATTCTCCAGCCCGTCGAAAAGTGATTCCTCCCCATCCAGCAATCCTTCCGAAATCGTCCTCCACCTTCTCAAAAACCACACCAACAACTCCTTCCCCTGACTCCTATCCTCCCCGCCAACCAATGCCTCCCCAAACAACCCGCCGATATCCTCAAACGTGATCCCGTTCTCGGGACATAACGGGACCTGGGTGAAGAACGCACAGAGATAGGCGAAAAGCGAGAGCTGGTTCGTGGGCAGGAGATGCAGCAGTATCTGTGCCACAGCGATCTCCGCCTTTGAGAACTCTTCGTCCTCGTCGCGGCTGGCCCACGCCATGATCCATTGCGAAGCGGTATACTGGTCGCGTGTTTCTTCGCGACGGACGCTCGGGAGGACGCACCACTGCCAGAAGCAAGTGAAGAGTGAAGGTGGAATAAGCGGTTGGGGAAGGGAGTTGAGGTATGTGGTGAGGAGGGCACAGATGTCGGCTGTGGATTCGGTGCGAACGGAGATGGATTGGCCGTAGGAGGGAGGGGCGTTGAAGGTTTCGATGAGGGACACGAGGCGAAGACGATTCGGGAGGTCGCGAAAGAGCCCTGGACGGTATATTCCTAGGTAGATATCAAACCAGTTTGGATTAGGAAGCTATCGAATACGAGAGCGAAGGAGCGAACCTGTTCGGTAGAGTTCTTCGATGCAAGTGGAGACGATGGTGGGAAGGTCATGACGGTACCCTCGGATTGTGGTAGTGGAAAATGCGTCAACGGGGCACTCATCCAACGAGGTGGAGAAGACTGCTGTGCAAGACATAAGCCGTAGAACTCAAAGCGTAGTGAATATAAATCGCTTACCAGTCTTGTCACCGTGTGGCGCAGTTGACAGGGTGGTGTGACCCATACTCCTTCGTTCCCTCAACAACATGTCCTTCTCCCATGAGTAGCCAACATCCTCTTCGTTCAACGCAGCCCTCATCTCCAATCCCTGCGCGTGAAGTACTTCGTCGAGAACAGGTAGAAGGCGTCGATAATGAATTCTGGGCGCTGATGGGTATGCTTTGCGTTGTGGCGAGCCAGATTCGGAATCATCAAAGCGAGGCGAGGAAGACGAGCGCGACTTCTGCTGACGGAAACGTGAGGCAGAAGATCGGCCGGAGTAACCCATGGGCGGTAGCAGACCACAGGCGCGAGCCAGGCGGTCGTTTTCGAGGTCGAGATCGCGGACGACATGGGGGAAGGAGGTGACATGGCAGAGACGATTGTGATAATTGGAGGTGGAAGAGCCGACAGGATATGTGTCACGGCGCTTCAGGCCAGAATATGGTGAAGAGGATGCTGATGATATAGGAGATGCGAAGAGAGGTTGGGACATAGATGATGAAGGGCAGCTGGCACTCCCTCTCGGGGTCGATGGGATGTCTTGAAGAAAGGGTGCCGGGTCGATTGAGTGGCGCTGCATACTGTGCTTGGGGAAGAACCACGATGGCGAGAAAGTGGGAGATAGGGACTCGACGCGGGAAAAGATGGGGGCCCGCCATAAGTATGGCCGTGCACTCTATCGCAAATACAGGAAAAGGGTGTGTACGTCGAATGAATAGGACTCGTACACACGAACATAAGAGGTCCAGGCCTCAAGCACTCCGCAACACTGAGCACCCAATCCTATGCCGACCGGCATGTCGACGCAAATGATCGAGCTCCGGGGCGCAATTCTTTCCCCGCACTTGCCCCGCACGATGGTGGAACAGCCGACATCATCAATACAACCATCTCTGTGGCTTCACAGCGCTCCACTTGGCAAAATAAATAACGACCGCTGCAGCTCTCAGCCATGGGGCTGTCAGCGGGCTAAACGAAAGAGATGATACAATTTCTTTTATAGAGGTAGCCTATTCTGTGTCTGGTCCTCGAGGCATCTGAAACCGCAATTGCGTCCGAAGACGACGAAGAACAGTCAACCTTAGTTAGTCCCGCAGCGAAAGCGATAGGTCTGGATCAGCCTCTATGTGGGCCCTTCTCGACTTGCCTCCCAAACGAGTTTACGGCATCAGGGCGCGGTGTGCACACTGGTACCTTCACTCCCGCAAACTGAGAAAGAGGTCAGAATCGACCGGGATTGGGGGGTGGCAAATGCTTTCATGGATTCATCGAGGGTCTACAAATGTCAAGCAAAAAATTGTGAGGGTGTGCATGGTGACAAACGAGGACAACAATGACAGTCGTCTCAACCAAAATAGCAGAGGAAAGTCTGGGCTGTGGAGCAGAGCGCTTTGAGGCGTCCTATCTTTGAGTCCGGGTCCAGAACATCACGATCGACCGAAATACGATCGACAAACTCGACCATCGCGCCGTGTCATCGTCGTGGGCGGCAGTTCCTAATGGTTAACATCGTGAGTGCCACACTGATTGGAAGAAAAACGACTACTGAGCTACCTCTTGTTAACGTGAGTGCCATGACTCGACTGCTTTGAAGCGGTGTAGACGAGCAACATCAGGACAGAGTTCGATTTCTCCGCCAGTGTCTCATGCTCAGATGCACTGAATGAAACCTAGAAATTGACAACCCCCACTGAAGAGGCCAGGTGTGAGCATTCTGCAGTGCTGCCCGAGATGATTAGGTACAAAAGGGCAACGACTTGGCGGGCATGCAACAATGCGTGGAAAGTACACGTCACGAATTCGAGACGCTGAAAGGGTGCAGCCTTCGATCCACTTGACAATATGTCCACAGCTATTGGCCCAGGTCTTTGTAGTAACAGTCGGGAGTCTAAGATACAAAGCAGGACGTCGCAGCAGCAGATGGTGGTCGCGTACAAACCTTCAGGAGCAATTTGTTGACTTCGTGGCCTTTCTTCGCTTCTGCGGGAGTTGCCGATGCGGAATGCGAATCTGAAATACTCGCGGCGACGCTGCCATCCCGTAGTGCTTGCATCGTGCAAGGTCGTCCATCCGATTCACTTTGTTGCATCATGGACATATATCTCGCTTTTCTCAACTGCTGACTGCTGCTTCGCGCGTAGAAACCGCCGAGGTGAGGGAAAGGTGCCGCCACACTGTTCATTGTTGGGCCCCAGCACTGTCCGAATCGCACTGCTATTGCTTAAGACTCTTGAAATTTTCCAATACGGATTGATATCTTGAGAACGGCTGAAGGTGGTCTATCTAGTGCGAAATCACCCACATTGCTGCGACGCTGGTGTGATAGACGAAGACCTGAGAGCTGCTACCTTCCTGTGGGTATATACCTGAGGGGCCACAATTGCGCCACGGTGGTCAAGCAGAAATTCTTCGGTGTTTGCCGTGGTCGAAGCGATTCGGAACGCGTCGACCCCTCTTTGCAGCAACTTCACCGCGTTCGCTACGGTGACCGTGTCGCGTCGCGTTGCGTTCCGACGAAACCACGTAACGTCGAGAGCACATCTTCCACAGCTAGCCCTAGTTTCTTTCTATTCGTTGTCGTCAACCGCACTCTACCTGTCTTCAAATCCTGAGTCTTGGAATAGGAGTCTAGGGAACTTGAAATAGCCACTAACCGTTCTCGTGCTCACTGGGCCCTCCTCGCGTCTTCGTAAACGACTCTTGCCTTAGGACAAGCTATACCATAAGAATATTGAAGTACTAGGTGCGCCAGTCCTAAACAATCCCAGATTTCAAACCGTTGGTGACTTTTTAACGACGAGTACTGATTGTCTTTCTCGTACACGCCGTCTAATTTCTCTCCTCCAACATTTCACTACTTTCACCCTGTAGCCTCGCCGTACTACAAAGTTTCCGTTTTACTCCTATGATACGATGGAACCCGAGCCCTCATCGACAACCGCCAAGCTATCCGTCTACGATGACCTGCGCGACGCTCGACGCGAAATCACCCTCCTTCGCCACCAAGCCACCCTCTTCACCGACGACCACAACAAACAACTCTCTCAACTCGAATCCAACCATCAAATTTACATATCACAACTGGAATCCAACCTCTCCCTTCAATTATCTCGTGCGGAAGATCTTCACCGCCGTCAGTCCGCTCTCCTTCATGCCGAACTCAAACTCGTACGGCACGAACGTAATGAGGCGATCGAGTCCGCGGAGAAGGAAAGGCGCAAGGTAGCGGAGAAATATGCGGAGATGGTGCGAGAACGTGGTAAAGTAGAGATGGAGAAGAGTGCATCGGGGGAGGAGGTGGTCGACTTGAGACTCTCGCTAAAGGCGGCGCTGGAAGAGAGGGACAAACTGGCAGTTTTGAGAGCGGAGGATTCCAGGAGGGCTGAGGCATTGGATCGGGAGGCGCAGCAGCTAGCGGACGAGAGAGATGCATTAGAAGAGAGCGAGAGCGTCTACAGAATGAGTAGGGATGATGAAGTACAGAAATTGCGGGCGGAGATGGAGAGCCTGCGAAGAGAAGTGGATGCGTCAAGGGACGGACGGAGCGAGACATTTGGACATGCTGAAGCGTCAAGATCCAAGGAGCTCGAGCGTGCGTTCCAGAGTCTGAAGGGTGAGAACGAAGAGTTGAAGGGAGAACGAAGCCGACTGATCATGAAGGTGGACAAGGTCATGCTGGAGATGGATGGACTCGTAAAGGAGAGGGACACCGCATTAGCTGCGAGGGATTTGATCAAGATGGAGAAGAACACTTTGGCGTCAGAGGCTGCTTTGCTGACGGAAGAAGTCAAGGTCATTGGAAAGGAGAAGGAAGCATTGCTTGTCGCGGATCGTGTCTCAAAAGAGAAGTACGAGGTTCTTGTCACGGAGAAGGCCGCCATTGCTGTGGATAGGGACGGTCTGCGAAGAGGTGTTGAGGTGGCCGCGAACACGGGACGGGCGGAGAGAGATGCACTGCGAGGCGAGAATGAGGACTGGCGGAGAAAGAGTGGCGGTCTGGCGTTGGAAGTAAAGAGGCTGATGACAGTGGCGGACGAACTCCAGTCGGAGAAGGATTCGCTGCTTCGTGGCAATGCTGAGTTGCAGGAGAAATGTGCGGTATTGATGCGGGACAAGGATGATACGGAGGTGTGGATTAACTCGTTGGCCAAAGGCGAGACATCGTCAACCTCCAAAAGGACGTTACTACGCGCCGAGGTCAGCGCTCTTCTGGATGCAGTCCGAAAGGACAGAGACGCCCTGCGAGGAGAGAATCATGAGTTGAAGGCAGAGAAGGAAAGGTTAGCATTAAATATCTATCCATGGAGAATGATGGCTAACGGCGCTTTCAGGGTCGCAGCGCGAAAGAGGAGTGAGGATGGAGAACTTATAAAGTTGGAGCAATTCGTCGAGAGATTACAAGCCCGGAAGAAGGCATTGGAGAAGCGTTGGAATAAAGAGGCGAGAGGGGTTCCTGGTTTCGAAAAGGGTGATGCTGGAGTGCAAGCACTGGGTAAGGATGGCCAGAAGAATAGCGGAAGCGCTCTGGATCAGGATGAACCTTCGTTGACTGCCCCACAAGGTTCGCACTCTGTCATTACAGGTTTTACTTACAGTGAACATGCTGACGTAGGTCCGCTCGTCGCCTCAGTGGATAAGGTTGTACGTACTGCGCGCTGAATCCAGATTTCATCACCTCGCTGAATTGACTTCATATGCTACCTCAGGCTAGGTCTCCTCCTCGTCAAGAAAGCGAGATACCTGGCTCTGCTTTATGCCAATTACCTCCAGCGACTGGTGCACAGGTATGTAAAAGTTCACATCATGAACCTTTGAGCACTTGGGTTCATTGATTCTTCCAGCTTCCGAAAGCGCAGAACTCGGTATCTTTCTTTCATAACCACTGTGTACATAGTGCATACCTAACTCGCAGTTTGATTCTGGCCAGGCACCGCCGAAGAGCGTCTTTCCGTATGAAGGACCGGTGAGCATTCGTCAATTTCTCTTCCGACAAAAGACTCCTCTGTTAACAGGCTACTACATAGAAAAAAATGCGCAGGCGGTCATCCGTTGTGTTGGGGAGAAAAACTAGGGATGGAGATGCCGCTATCCCATCCGAAGATACTCGCAGAGTATCTGTATCTTCGCCAGCCCAAGCGGGGAACGCATCTGGAAGTCCACCTTCATTGTCTGACTCTCAACCAGAACAGAAGCGAAGGCGCACGGACGCTTGAGATCGTGCGCGCTCCATATTTGAATGTGACTAGTTTTTATTTTGATAATTATGTGAGTGTTTGCAACACGTCAGTCCTTCTTCCATTTCCCAGACTGTCTGGGACGGTTAGCGTTAGCCCGAGCAACCTCAAGAAAGAAAGGAAGATACTCACATCACTGACTCGGACGAACACAGAAGCGTCTACCATCCGGGACAGTGGTGCCCAACCGGTCTCACCTGAAGATCAATGACAGCTTACTTCCCCCCTAGGCGAACGTGAGCGTGCCTTGGTCAACCATCGAGCGACGAAACCCGAGAGGAAGATCTTTCAAGATGATGATGCTATGCCACTTACTGTCGTCGTACACAATCACACTAGCCTCGTCTTCGAGATTCCGAAGGCATTGTTGGAACCGCTCCTCTTTGTGTGGTTCCTAATGAGTGTTCCAGACCATAGTCTCATTGAATATGTCTAAGGGGGCAGAGTGACATTTCGTCGAGACTGAGACAGCAGAAGTTTTATTTAGACACGACCTCAAGTTCCACAATCGTCTCGAGATCGTGACAATCCATAACGGCCATGAACATTGAAGGTTATACGCAGTGTGAAGTTATTGGTCCAAAATGTACACCATATCATAGCAAGAATGTCTTCATCTATCGAGTCCCTTTCGCAACAATATGTAGCCTACTCTCCTATGCGCAGCTTTTTGGCCGGTCTCTCCCAACCAGAGTCCTCATGTCTCGAACTCGACGTGTCTCTCTTTGGGTACACTTCTGCCCCAGAGCCAAGTTCAATGACAGCATATTCCTTCAACTCTGGTCTTCGTCCAAGCTCCTGAATCGCATATCCAACTGACCCCTCGGCTGACTTCGAACGATGCTTATCACGAGGGAGATCCCTAACAAGAATGCTCCTCCATTGAACTTCGTTGTACGGAATCACCTTTTTCTCTGCCTGGAGCTCACCCAACCGCTTCTGAAACCAGTCTTCGTTATGACTTTTCCAGGACCCATTCCACGCCATACTTTTGCTAAAGACATGTGGCGGGGGCCACAATGAACGTCCATCTGGAAGACGTCCAATGAGGACGTCAAGATCGTGTGGGAGGAGCTGCTTGTCCATCGGGACGCCGACGTATTCTACGCGCTTGGTCGGGGGGTTGCCGGTCGCAGACATGAACGATGGGTGACTGGCAGCCTTCCCCAATGATGAGCTTGACTCGTAGTGAAGAGTCAGCCGCCACGAAATTCCTCCGAGGGACAGTAAAAATGGGGATGGTGCAGATGACAAGAAGTCACGTATGCCGAGTGAATGTGCGGAAGGAAGTGTCGAAGATAGAGACCACCAGTCTTTGGTCAAGATAGGTGTTTGACGAGCATAGCCTGGAAAAGAGTGAAGATCGGGTACTTCTGAAGAGATTGCATCGTCTCTCCACTGGAAGAAGTAACCGTGACGCAATAATTCAATGACCAGGGGAGTCCAAGAGGAGCAGAAATTGCAACGGCGCCAGTCTCCAGCGCAGACCATGGAACGCGCATCAAGGTACAAGCGACCTATTTTCGCGCAGTGGGGTGAGCTTCGAGAAATGCTTGTACTTCAAAATACGTACCTTTCGAGAGTGGCGATATTGATGCAAGGCCGCCGCTGATAAAGCGCTGTAATGACAGGAAGGCTTCGCTTTGATTTTCGGAAGCTGCTTGGGTGATGTCGCTCAAGGAGGCAGATGGTAACGCTAGTACGGGTTCAAACTGATCTGGTCCTTGTTGAGGATGACCAGACACGGTTTCGACTTCTCCAGGCGGCAAGTGGGGAGGAAGCTCCCTAGGAAGGTGCGAACAGGGTGATCCATTGGCTGGTAGCATTACTTGGTCGACAGCAATGGGTGTGGGTAGGGGACTATTAACCAAGTGCAGTCTCTCGGGGTGAACAAATTGGCGCTGTGATGATAGTTACTATAAAGTCTTGAATCGAGAGAAAGGGAGAATCACCTGCATATCAAGCTGGGGAGCAGTCGTCTCGTCCAGGCAGTGAGATTCAAAGGAAACCTGTATGTGGTCGTGAGCAGAGATTAAGTGATTGATGGAACAAATGACCCTTACCAGAGAAATATCTGGGGCGCCCTCGGAACGCGCAAGATCTGCCGGACACTCTTTACCACCCTTCAGAAACGATCGTTACAGCCGTATGTCAGTACCCAATCACATTCATTTCAGACACAAAGATATGCACCTGGTCACTTTTCGTATCACTCTGGGAGTCGTTGGATAAAATCGCCTTACAATGTCGGTAGATCAATCCACCGAGTTTCGAGTTCGAGTGACGAGTAACGTCTCAAAGCTCACCAAGGTACTAATATTCAGCCTGGTAGATGATAGGGGCGGCTCCGGGTGAATATTCACGTCTTCTAGATACATATTTTGGGCAAATGAGCTTATGTGATACCGCTACTATGAACGTACAGTGTTTGTACTTACCATCAGGAGAGTCGACCTTGTGGAGATCTCCGGGGACTTCGCCAGGTTTCATCTTATGCTGCGTCAAAAAACCCTCTCGTTCCACGTGCATACCCTTCACATATCGTCGAGCTTCATCTCTTTCCACTCGCAGTTGGAAAATTTCTAACCTCGCCTTTCTCAACTCCCCATCCTTCTCCGCGTACCTTTTCTCAATGCTCGCAAGTTTGGCCTGTAGCTCCAACATCATTCGGTTGCGCTCATTGCGCACTACTTGAAGATCTTCCTGAAGAAGATTTATTTGCTCCTGATGCGAGCGTTCGGTGCGAGATTGCTTCCTATGCATGTGAGTTTCGAGATTGCTGAGTTGCTCCTTCCGCTCATCATCCATACGGGCTATTTGGAGGTGAAGTATGGCGACCTGACGACGTGCATCTCGAATATCATCGCTGACAATAAGTCCTTCCGACTCCATCGTAGGAGAGTAAGGATAGCCTGACTGCCCAAAGGGCTGCTAGCGTCAATATGAGGGATGCGTATTTATGTGGCGCAAAGGTTACCGGTAAGCAATGCGGCGTCGGGCAGACGTTGTTGGACGACAAGAAGTATTTTTATATCGCAATAACTATCAAACTAGTTGTCTTGTCGTATATATGTGACGTGAGTGGGCGAGAGGGCGACGAATACAAATGCGTGGGGAGGGATGTAGGAGAAGCTTGAGTTGAAGGTTCAACAGGGAGAGCGAGGGAGAGCGCCGTAAGGTTCAGACCTTTTCAGGCGGAGTTTGAACTGAGATCTCGGAATACGACGCCACACTTGCGCCACACTCCACGCCCCAGTGGAATATTGTAATCGTGAAGAGCACTCCGTATATGTATCACTGGTATACAGGGAAAACAGTCCGAGCATTCAAATGCCTTCTAAAATATTTTTGTTTCATGGCTGGTTTGATACGGAGGTGACCAGGACAATATTATTGTGGACTATGACCTGTCTAGGTTTTTCGCACGATTTGTCGTATTTTCTCTGAGTACATTTCGACTGTAAGTACGCAAGCTGCGCCTGCCCACGCTTGTCAAACAAGCCATGGTGATAACAAACATCCAACGACACTGCTTATCAAGAGATAAAACAAGGCTAGATTGTTATGTAACTATCCAAGAAAGCGGAAACAGCATATATGAACATGAACGAGCGTGTGGATCGTCCGTAATCAAGGGAAACGCGCCATCCAAACTTCTGTGGCATGACCGTCCTCTCTAGATGAACCGAACGTATGTAGAATGGAGATCGAAAATCGAAGCAATAACAACTCCTACTGGTACTTGCACGCCACACTCGGCATCACCCATCCTTGAACGTTCGCCACCCATTCTGATCGCCACTACACATTCCTCTGACCCCATTCAATAACTGCCTTAGTTTCTCCCCACGACACTATTCCAACCACCTCAATACCTCGGCCTCCAACTAGTGTCCTCCCTCCCCCAGTCTCCCGCCGCGCCACGCCTATAACCATTCCATGCCGTCGGCGCCTCTGTCCCTGCATAATAACCATCATCGTCATCATACCTCATACCGACGTCGAACCCCAACGCCCGACTCCTCTCTCTCATTCTGTCCCGCTCTCTCAACTGGCCATCCCTGTTCCTCTCCGCTTCCCTCTCCCAAAATCTTCTCTCCTCCGACCTGGACCTGGACCCGGACCGCGAAGGAGAGCGCGACCTTGACATCGATTTGGATCGGCCGCGGGAGTAGGTGCTTGGTGCATAAGATGCTGGTCCACGAGAGCCGTAACCTCCGCCTCCGGCTGCGCCTCCATACCCTTTCGTCGTACTTGGAGATGTCGGTATGTAACCCTGAGGGTGCAACGGGGGAGCGGGGAGTGATGGAGGGGGAAGCCTATGTGTATTCGGATGTGGTGGTAGGTCGTGCGCGGGAGGAGGAAGTGCATACTGCGAAGGTCGAGACGTCGGCGAGACATCCCGTTCCCTCTCACGTCCCCGTCCCCGTTCACGATCACGATCACGAGCATAGAACGCAGCGGGTTGAGTAGGTGGCGGGTGTGGCGGCGAACGGCGCCACGAAAGTGGGGCGGTGGGAGGTTGGTGTCCTCGTCCACCACGGTCGAATTCCCGCGTCCGTCCTCGTTCGTAGGGAGAAACGTCGCGAGTTGTAGGGAGCCGATGAAGGTGACGAGGACCGGGCGAAGGTGTCCTAGACGGTGGGCGGCGATGCGTCCTGTTGCCATTACTACGATTTGCGGGCGATGGCGTCCGGCTCGTTAGTCTAGATTGAAGATCGCGTTTACTGGGACTCGGGCGTGGGCTCTGACGGTCGTCCCTTCGGGACCTGCTCAGACTCCTACCACGCTGCCCTTCACGCTCTTCGCGAGTTACTCTCCGAACGAAATCTATGTCAGTTTCTTCGTCTCTCCCGGCAACATGAGCCTCATTCACGATATCCTCCCTCGTCGAGATGATTGGCGAGATGACCATATCTTCCTCCGAGTTGGCGTCCGCGAGGCGTGATTCGAGATCGGGCTTGACCGTCATGGATTGGTCGTACTGGTTCGGGATCATGGAGACAGAGATTGAGCCGGGTTCTTCAGGGGCGTACGGGGGCGGAGAGGCGGGCGGATATTGCACTTGACTCTGTTGTTCACCGAGAACTTGGCTATGGCTTCCTTGTTGGCTGAGGGCTTGAGTTGGTTGCTCGCTCAGAGCTTCGGTTTGAATCGAGTTCAGGGAACGCGATTGCGTTAAAGGTTGAGCGTACGCTTGAGTCTGAGGTTGAGCCTGGGGCAGGAGAGACTGTTGCGATGCCTGGGAATACGAATCGATATGCATGGCGTCGGAGGTGAGAGTTTGATGTCTCTCAAGGCGCTGAAAGGGGAGAGGTGAGTAGTATGAGTTACGAACCCGGCGCAAGAGATAGACGAAGGTAGAGAGGAAAGAGTAGTCAATATTCTGCGTGTTCTGAGCACATGCCTTTGTGGGAGGGCACTCCCGAGAATCATCCTCAGTAAAATCAAGTCTTCACTATGCCAATGGCGTAGCGGCATGAAAGGACGCGGCCCCGTTTGATGAAGTCTAGCAATGATCATTAGAGCGCCAATGGCTCACTTCACGCGATACGTTTATGCAACAGTACGACAGATGTCATGTCGTTATATTTCACAGAAGAGGATTTCCATATCGAGCAAACAATTGTTCGGCAAGTGTCGCCCCTGGTGCAGAAGAGGAGCCTTCCAACTAACACACCAGGAAAACGTCATAAGATGAAAGCGAGACGCACCGCAGGAACAAAGTGTCGTTTCAAGGAATCTTCCTTACGATCATTATGTTGAGTTCGCTTGCGCTTACGGGGCGATGGACCTGGACGAGTGGAATTCTGCATGGATCCGACCGAGGTCTGTGACGAGGCCGGTCGTGGTGGTAGCTACAAGCAGGCGCTCATGTCCAGTAAGCGCCAAAATAAGATGAAAATTTGTGATCAGCGAACCTCATGGGAAGACGCAGGAGGCATCGATGACGGCATTTGAGACGTTTCTACGGCCAATCGTCAACGCGTCCAAAAGCAAGAGGAAAAGTTAGTGATTTTTGGACAATAGACATACCAGGTTCGATCTTTACTCGATGTTGGGTGGCGTTCGTGTTCGGTGGAGTAGAGTCCTGTTGAGGATTCTGGCCAGCAGTCGGCGAAGGGACGCGTTCAGCGGATGTTGATGGAGACACAGCCTGCAAAGTCTCTCGTATCTGTCTCTCTTCCAGAAGTGTATCCCGCTCAGCCGTAAGTTCATCCCGAATAACGAACAATTCATCACGCTCGGCCCTCAAGTCATCTCGTTCTATTCTGAGGTCGTCCCGTTCCCGCGTCAATTCGTCCCGGTCAGCGATTGAGCCATCGTGTTGAGCTTGGACGACGTCCAGAGTAGCCTTCGCCATGTCTCGTTCGTCTCGAAGACCGCGCCTCTCGTTCTTGAGCGCTTCGACCTGATCAACAAGCTCACCGTTTATCTTCACCAGCTGACTATTCTCCGACGACAGTTTCTCAGACGTCATCTTCAACTCCTGGGCAAGCCGATCTAGCCTCACGGCCCGACTCCGCTCTGCATCCCGCTCCCGCTCTAACTCACTTACCCGCGCCGTCAGATTCTCCACAGTATTCTCCAGACCCTTCTTCTCCTCTTCCCTCGATAATTTCTCCGCCTCTTCCTTCTTCACCCTCTCCTTCTCTCTCTCCACCTCCGCTATCGGCGACCGTGATCCCCGCATCAACAAGTCGTCTCTCTCCTTCCTCGCCTCCTTCAAGTCGACCTCGGTAAGATGGATCTGTTCGTTCAGATGTTCCTGTAGCCGAGCGACATCTTTCTTGTGATCTTCTTCAGCACGAGCAAGTTGTCGTCTAAGAAGTGTAAGCTCGCGTCTTGCATCACGTAGCTCGTCCGCAGTGTTGGTGTTCGGCAGGACGGAAATCGGTGTGAGGTGGGTGTGCCCGTTGGAGGCTAGTGGATCGTGGTTGGACATTAAAGATAGACTGTACAGAGACCTGGAAACACAGATATTTGAATATAAGGAGTGAGAGGATACAAAGCCCGAGGATCTGCAAGAGGCTTTCAAAAGACGAGGAACAAGAAGAACTGAGGAAGGTGGTGGTTGAGAAGACGAAGTGACGCGAAGTTCATTGTCCGGCTCGTGCCCGCTTTGAACCTTCGAATTCGGCGAACACGTGGTGTTGGGTGGCGCGCCACACGTTGCTTTCGTAAAAATGAAGAGTTACCATCGTATTCTAACGGCACAGGTTTCGTGAGACATAACGGAATTTCAAGCCTCAAGATGATCTAAACAGGATGTCCACTCGTCGGAGGAAAGGTGTGCAATTTTTGTATGGCCCACAATACGAATTCGGCAGTTTCCGGCTAACGTCAGCAACCACCATCGAACCATCGAAGCGTCTTGCTTTTTCTTCCTTCGACACTACTTAGCTGACACCAAACCACCCTCTATGCGAGCTCTACGGCAGTAAGTACCACGACTTTTCGAAGTACTCTCCAAATAATCTCGTCTAAGCCAAACCACTACCGAGGGTGCTGCTATGACGCAGCAGCGCTCGGCGTTCTTACTTTGCCTTTTCGATACAACAACTATATGCAATGTTCCTCGCTAGTATCTCCCTTGTGTTCATGGGCATACATACCACCAGTTGTCGTATATCATACATCTGTGTTCGTCGTCTCCTCAACTGACTCAGCTAGGCCCATCGATTATCTCTGAATGTCAAACAAGTACACGGCACCTTCATACGCATTAGATCCTCATGACAACTGTCACAGAAGACAAGTCTCTCCGCATGGTGTCAGTTTTGATACGGTATGTGGAGAGGCGCGGCTCTGAATCAAGGACACCTCCATTTCGGGATGATCAGATTAAGTATCGATCAATGGTTCTTTGTCCTTTGTCGAGAGCCTTGCGCTACATTTTTCATGCTCCATCTCCTTTGTACCCGACACTTGAATGACGTGTCCGTCGACCTATATAAGCGGGGCTCTGGTCGTGAACGCACCCACATTGCTGCCCATCCGACGTCTCCCTTTCCCTCGCTCAACCCTCGCCATGCCCCTGTCCTTGGAAAAGCTCTGGCCTCACGATCTACAGGTTCTTCACGAGCTCATAGAGCAAGGTCAAGCACTCCGCGACGATGTAGACTTACCCACTCGTGTCGTGCAGATTGATGACGGTCTTGTCGTCAAGTACGGTGACTCTGTCCGCTTATCAGAAGCCTTAGCCATGGAGCTCGTTCGCACGCATACCTCTATCCCTGTCCCTCGCGTTCTCGCGTATTTTCGCGACTCGACTGAGAGTGTTCCTGATGGAATCGGCTACATCGTCATGGAGCAGGTCCATGGTGTCATACTTTCCGAAGTCCTCGACGTTCTAAACGACGATATCATTCAAGACATAACTTGGGAGTTCTCTGATTATGTCTCTGAGCTGAAGAAGCTCGACCGACTTGGGGAATGGGGAATGGTGGGCAAAGACGGGATCTACCATTGCGGTCCTTATTTCTCCTACGAATCTCCTCACTCGGGTACGGAAGGCCCTCATCACTCCACCCCTCTCCGAGCCAAATCCTGCACCGACGTTCTCGAATACTTCGCCCGCGCCGTCGACCAGAGCATGGATGAAGATTGGGCTGCCGTGACTCAAACAACTATAGACACATTCGACAACACCAAACCTGCCTCTTTTTGTCATCCCAATCTCACCCCCGAGAACATCATGGTCGACCCCACCGACGGTCGTATCACTGGAATCTTGGATTGGTTCGGCGCGGGATGGTATCCCTATTTCTGGATGTCTTGGGTCGCGAGGAATCGGAAGGATTCGTATTCGAACGTTCAGTATCTGAAGTGGCATCGGATATGGACGGCTGCGATGAAGGAGTATCCTGAATCTCGTGGGTTTGGGACGTTGTTGTTTGAGGCGGAGGCATACGGGGTTGAATGCCCAGGTTCAAGGTGAGCGTCTCCTGAGGCTAGCTGTTTCGCATTGAGAGTTGTACTCACAAGCTGTTCATCACGTTAGGTGTGACTGCTGTGAATGATTAAATTCGCAGTTACGTAGATATGGGTTATGCATTTTTCTCCTATTTCTTGTGATGAACACCATGCTCCCGTCGCTTTCGTGCTTCCATATAATCTCTATGCCACCACGCTTCAAATACTCTCAACTACTTACGTTCATGCTACGTGCAACTAATCAGCTCTATGTGCTCTGCTTTCATCACTCAGTCCTCTACCTCGCAATATATATTCTGCCTTGTCCTCGTGAAGTGAGATTGCGGGTCTTAAAGTCAGGAAGCTGGTAAGGTATGCTGCCACTTGCGCAAGGAGTCCGCTGTTTTCTCGTAGACACGACGTACGAACCATGGGTCGATCACTCACGGACGGCTAAACAAGGACAGGTTTGAGGAGAGCATCCACGGAGCCGCAAGCCCACCGGCACTAACAGTATCGAGAGAGAGGATGAGGAGAACCCTTCTGATGGCAGTGCGAACACAGGTAGAAAAATCCAGCTCGGTACTGCAAAGTTCGTGGAACGTGTGGCGCGCACTAGGTAGGCGCGTTCCTCAACTGTGGCACTCCTCCCCGGCTTTCTCCGGCGATGGCTCGAGAGTCATCTTTCGAAGCTGTTGTCAACCACTTCCATCCACTCCGACGAGTCGACTCGTTCTTCCCTAGCTTTGTTTTCCCAAGAGTCTCAAATTACTAGTTCGCCAGCTGCATCGGTGTAACTTATAGTCTCGGGCCCCATTCTAGCGGATAAGGAATTGTGCCTTCCAGTTGGTGACAATTTCCGCGATGACTCATTTTCGGGCACTTGCAATTGGGAGATGCCACCATGCCATGATAGCGGTTCGATATCGGCCACCAATATTTCTCTGACTCGTGTGAGGACGATGAGTATACTTATATCGCTTTGGGACACTGGAAGGTGTTTGTACGTCCAGAAGGCCCACGTGCAGGCGAATAAGGAGCCGAAAGCGGTTCTTTCTTGCAAGTGAACGATGCTTTTTGACTCTGACTCGTCTGCAGAAACGGAGCTCTTTGAGCCTGTAATTTGGCAATTGTTACGGTAGAATGTCAAATTGAGCTCGGCTCGTGAAGGTTGTCCAGCTATTTGACGTTTTGAACGATGACTCCCGTGGATTTGATTCGACCGTGGGACACTCGAGCGTGACGTCTATGGTCGCTCTCCTAACGGAGTCATTGCTATCGTCGGCATATTTATTACAGGTGCGAACAGCTACGCTATATACCAAATCACTCCCCAGCATCCCCGTCGTCGCTCTTGTCCCAAACAACACTCAAAATATGGCTGGCGACAGTACTCGCGAACCTTCTCTCCCTGCAAACGACGACGACGGAGCCTCTACCAACAGCGAGGCCACCGAGGACTCTGAACACGACAACTTGGAACAGCAAAAGAAAGCCGCTGCGAAGGACCTGTATCAGAAGTCAATCGCTCAAGAGACTCGCCACCTCCTTCGTCACCAGATCTGGTAAGTCTCCTCATCCTCTCCCCCTCTGGTTTGTCGCTGTAAATGCAGTACAAAGGTTGATGATGTCGCTTTCCATAGGTCTAATTCGTACGAGAAGTATGGTTGGCAGCCGTTTGATCCAGCATCGTATGCTCCGCCCAAGGCGCTTCTTCAAGACCCACATAACTACTTCTACGCGAACCTTCGTAGAAAACAAGCCTCTGGTGCGTGCTTATTCGACCCGACTTCTGTTTTAAGCGTCATAACTCATTGTTCGATTGACCAGATTCGCCTGAGATCGTTCTAAGCCATTTCGGCGAGGTTCTATTGTCGTTTCTCCGGTCAGTATGGTAGCCATCTTCCTCTCCTGCTGGCCATTGACCCCATCGTGCGTATGATTCAGGGCGGCATACGGTAACCAATTCCACAGATCAAATCCGGAGAAGAAGGTCGCGTCTTTCTTCGAAGATGTTCATGAGAATAAATTCGGTCGTTGGCTCGGGGATGCTACATGGGCTTTGAACGTGTTGGAGACTGGCGGGAGCGAATCAGCCGAAGCGCGAGACATGGTCATCAGTCTTGGGTGTGTCGATGCGAAGAAATGTGAGTGCGATATTTTGATATCTGCCACCCGAATATTGTCACGTAATTAACCGTGCTACGCAGTCGACTTCGCGGATAGCGAGGTGATTGTGTTTTTGAAGCAGCTGGTCGAACAGTTGTCCACCCTCAAGGACTACCTGGAGAAGCAGTTCGAACCGACGTACGCTCTTTCTCCAGCTACTTATGTCGATGTGCTTCCTTTCCTTCTCTCATACGGTCATTTTACAGAAAGAATGAATTAGCCGGGCTTGTAACCTACGGCCATATCACGTTCGACCTCCTCAAATACCATTATCGAGTTGGAGAAACCTTAGCCACCCCTGGGCCAGGCGAGAAGGTACGCTTGTCGCCTACCATGGATTATGCAAAATCTGACATGCTCTGTGGTCCTCTACTAGCTCATCGCCTTTGTCGTTACGAAGAAGTCGTACATCCCGTTCGTGAAGTCTATTCAGCCCAGAGACCAATTGATGCCAATAACATTGTGGTTGCTAGAACTACAGCAGGCCCAATGTTTGTTCTTGATGGCTATGGGTACCACTGGAATGGGGACCGATACAAGGCATATTCTGTTGAACGACAGGTTGTTGGATTTGAGGTCAGCATAATGCCTCCTGTTATGTCGTGTGCCGTAGAGCTAACGTGTACCTTGAAAGGGGACGACCGATATCAAGGACCTCACCTGCCAGAAGCTAACTTCTGCTGCGAAAGAGGCATTGACCGGTTAGTCCATATACTCTGCATGATTCTGGAATCGAGCTGACCTTGTCTTTGTTGTAAGAAAGAGGAAAGATTTATGCGTCCTGTGCGGGGGTTCACTATCGAAACTGTAAGCTCTAGAACCATTCCAGTCTGAGTCTATTTATATGTATGTTCTGCTCTCAGATCAAGGAGTAAGTATCTTCAGTCAACCCCGATCGGCATTTTCAACCTCTGATTTCGTGTGATGCTTAGCGTCGTGTTATTGTTGATGCTAAAGGAGCAAAGAATCCTTCCGGATACACTCGAAAACCGTGAGTCGTTATTTGGGCAACTTGTGTGTGCGGTTTATTCGCTGATCGATATGCTGCATGCTTCTTCCCAAAATTGTCTTTCCCTAGTGACGAAGAAATCCCTGAATGTGACTCGGAAAAGATTCACCTTCTTCCGCCTGACATGAAAGGTTTCAATCTCGCCCAGAAGGTAGGTTTGATCCTCTGTCTACCCCGCTATCGACTTTGTCATAGTGGATACTAAGCTTACGTTCCAAAGTATTGGTCATCTCTTTTCGTCGAAGATCTATCTCTCGTCATCTGTGATGAAAATGCATGGGATCATCTGGTGTTGGAGGGAGACATCAAGGTATGCTTCTCAGTGTAGTCTAAGCGCCGGAATGTTTTAATGGTCGATGTATAGACACTCATCAGATCGTTGGTCAAAGTGACCCGCAACTCGACCTCTGGGAAAGCCCTTGTTCAAGACGTCATCAGTGGAAAGGGCGGAGGACTGGTCAGTGCTAGCTTTCTATGGTCCAAGGCACTTCCTGACCATGCCGTTTCCTTAGATTGCCGTACTTCACGGCCCTCCCGGGACTGGAAAGACGTTGACCGCAGAGGCAGTGGCAGAGCACCTGAAGCGCCCGCTGTACATGGTCGGTGCCCAAGAGTTATCCACCGACTCCCCTTCGTCTTTGGAATCGAGTTTGAAGACCATCCTAAGTGTATGGAATGTTCGGTTTTCAATCTTAGCAATGCTCAGGCTGACGTGACATCTGTGATCTTAGCTCGCCACCGCCTGGGATGCTGTCCTTCTCATCGACGAAGCAGATGTGCGCTGTCTATTGTTATCTACATCTGATCCCTTTCACTCACGATTTTGCAGGTTTTCCTTGAGAAACGCAGTATGCACGAGGTCGGCATTCATTTGAATCCACTGGGACGATTCCGTATTAACGTACGTTACGGCCGATAGATCCAAAGGAATGCCCTCGTCTCAGTTGCTCTCCGGGTCCTCGAGTACCACCGTGGGGTGTTGTTCCTGACCACGAACAGAATCACGTCTTTTGATGATGCCTTTCTTTCGCGCTTTTCTGTCGGTATGTTGTCGGAGTGCCATTCTCAGGGAAGCTAGATTTCTAACAACTTGAATCTAGCCGTGAAGTATCCTGAACTGAACCAGAGCGCTCGTATCTCTGTTTGGCAAAGATTTTTGGAGATGGCCGGTTGTAACATACACGACAGCGAAGGCTCCTTGAATCAAGACGATATCGTCGAACTTGCAGAGAGGCCATTCAACGGTGAGTCCTTTTGTTCTTTATTATAACCAGCAGGTTATTTCGCTCGTCTTGATACATTTCTCTCATAGGCCGTACGGTTAAAAACCTTGTCAGGACGGCTCAAGCTCTCGCACTCGCTGCGTGAGTGATTTTAACTCTATATCACATCTCTCTAGAAGCTCATTCTACTCTTTCATAACTTCAAGCGAGGAACCGCTTGCTATCAAACACGTATGGGTTGTTGTGCGTGCTCAGGAGAAGTTCTTGCGTGAATTTGCCGCTTGAACGAGCGTGACAGGAGAGCGGAGAACAGATGCCGGAGGGCGGTTTACTGGCCGTGAAGGTGGGTCTCGTCCTCAATGGTCAGCTTTGTCGATGACTAGCCTGACTGAGCGCTTCTTTCTCGCAGTACTCTTGAAGTATCCCTTTATTCTATCGAAGTGGTGATTTGTATCCAGGAATACGAGCCCCCGCCTTGATACAGATAAGTACTACAATTCATGCATATACAGACCCGTGCTTCAAGGTGTCAGGCACGGTCTTCATAACAAGACAACACTTGTTTCCCGTGCCGAGTTATCGAACGCTTAAGGTTCTGCGATGACGTGTATCGGTAGGCTTTCGATTGACCCTCATGCGGCTTGAGGCAATGTCGGAGTTTGAAGAAATAAGTACTCACGCATATAAATATCTGACATCATGATAAGAGCGGCCAACATCGTTCACGTCCTACGTCGCTCGCTCTACGACTACGATCGTGTGTCTTCTCTGAGTGGTGATATCCAATCTCTCTGTGATAATACCACCTTTGTTACTCCCCTAGGACTTCGATGCCATCAGGCCCTGCGAGCGATACAGTAGCAGACCTCGAAGACTTCAGCGACTTCGAATCATTCTCACCCGAATCCGCCTTTGCTATGTCTTCTGTAGGATCTGCTCTGAATCCCGAGCCCCAAGTGGAACTTCCTATGCATTTTCGTGGGGAACAGGCTGCGTCGTTTCGGCAGAGTAGCAAGTTTTACTTCCACGAGGATATGATCATAGTGCGGGTATGCCGGTGACATCCCCTTGCTCCATTGTCAGGGGCTAATCGATCGATAGGTAGACGATGTCTTGTATCGTGTTCCAAGTCACTCCTTCATACACTATTCACAGCTTTCTACCGTCGTATGCGATTCCGTCAAACAGGGGCATACTTTACCGCTAGACGGCGTTCGCCCAGCCGAGTTCGAAGCATTTCTTTCGGTGCTATACCCGACGTGAGCTTTCACTTTGCACTCTACGATGCTTTTGAGCTCAGCACGCATACATTACCGACATTACTCACGCGATTCTTTCCGTGTGGAAGTGACTTCGAACACGGCGACGTCCACTCCGTCGAAGACTGGATATCCGTCTTACGTCTCTCCACTCGCTGGGGGTTCGAATCCATTCGCCGGCTTGCTATTCACCGCCTGGGCCTCATCGCCTGCCCGATCGACAAGATCATAGAGGGCAAGGCCTGTGGCGTAGAAGAGTGGCTGGTCCAGAGCTTTGCAGACGTATGCAACAGAGCCGAGTGCTTGACCACGGAGGAAGGAAGACGGCTGGGCGTGGACGATGCCGTGTTCATTATGCGCATGCGCGAAAGCGTGAGGGAAGTCGGCGGAATTTCCTTGCGTTCGAACACATTCCAGGACACGTTCGCGCATAGCGTCAGAGATCTCGTCTTGCCTACTCCATTCCATCCCGTTATCCCCCCTTCGGTGCTGCCTCACCAAGTGCAAAAGGACTGGCGAGATATTTGTGGAGTATGTGGTAATGAGAATGAATGCGCTGAGTCATCGAGGGAGGGTCAGTCAGGTGTCTTGAAAGGGGAGAAGTATAAGATTTCGACGGTTCCAAAGGAGACGGAAGGACTTTTTTTTTCGTGCGAGACGGAGGAACATGTAAGGCCGGTAAAGAAGAGCAGGAAATCGAAGTCGAGGAACGTCGGAGGGGGGATGCTCAGTGGTGTAGATTGCGATATTCCAAGAGGTGATGGCGCTTTCAAATGTCGTGTTACGGACGCTGAGATGGGGTCATTTCTCCGGACACATTCTAGTGCAGATGATGTGTTGCCAGTGGAACCTATCGGTGATACTTCGAATATCAACAGCGTCCTGCAGCTCCGTAATTCACCTACTCCCACATTACACGTCGTTACTGCTACATGATCTTAATCAGGATACTCTAGCTATAATAGTGATCAGTGGTACGTTTATATACAACCGCTCTCGTGGATTGACGATTGACGATGGACTCCTTGTTCTCTTTACTTTACGAGTTAATGTACTCAAAATCATAATTAAACCGAATTAGGAGCCGACTCAAGTTACATGAAAGATAAACGTTACATGAGGACACTTCATCTTCACCGTCTTCACCCTCCACATTTTCGCTACAGTGCTCTTCGCCAAGATCCACACTTCCTGGACCCTTCAATATCTTCGGAACGCACTGCATCATAGCCACGCGAAAATCCGTGTTCATCCCAATCGCTACTTATTGCGAAGTGTTTTCTCTATAGCAAGAGCTAATTCTGATGAGGAAGGTAGGCGATCTGTTGGCGATATTTTTCTCGTCATAGTCATACATGAGTGTAGCCGTAAAGTGCAAACATCTGAAAGTTTCATCAAGGCAACATCGCGCAGTGTGCACGACTGATGAAAAACAGGCCTCAGTACCTCGTGTATGTAGGCTGTCAGGGATGTGGGCGTTCAGATAATTTCAGATTCTCACACATAAATATCAGCCATGCACATCTGAGACGGGAATTGCTTTCTCCCTGCTTCGACGCTTCACCAGTCGTACGCATCCCTGCACTGTCGACCTCCGTTTCCATCTCATTTCTTTCATTTCATTTTCTAGGAGCTGCTTCATGTCTTCAGACCCCGCTCATCACATTGAATCACAAGATATCTCTGACTTCGAATCCATCTCGTCTGAGCCTTTCGATATGGGGTCCATCGCCTCCGAATCCAATGCACACGACACAATATCTCCGGGTCCTCAACATCCAGAAGACGGTTCTAGCTCGCTCAAGCAGAGCAGCAAGTTCTACTTTCAAGAAGATATGGTCGTAGTCCGCGTACGTTATAACTGATTTTTATCCTAGCCATCCATTCTAATCACGACTGGGCCGACGCCCGTAGGTCGAAAACGTGCTGTACCGCATCCCTAGCCATCCATTCATCCGTAAGCCATCAAAGCTGGCGGCTCGATTTCTTGATGCTGTCGATACCGCCAAGAACGTCACGCTCGAGGATGTCTCGTCCTGCGAGTTTGAAGCGTTTCTCTCCGTCCTGCATCCTACGTAAGACTGTTTAGTACTTTCCCATACATGCGTTCATCGTCAAGAACTGATCATCCACGTTTCTTGCGTACGATGCGATAGGGACTTCGAGCACGGCGACGTCCATTCCGTCGAAGACTGGATCTTCGTCCTTCGCCTTGCTACGCGCTGGGGTTTCGAATCCATTCGCAAGCTCGCTATTAACCGTCTCGATCCGATCGCGACTCCCATTGACAAGATTGTGGAAGGCAAGGCGTGTGGAGTCGAGAAGTGGCTGGTCCCAGGCTTCGCAGATCTGTGCAATAGGGCCGGATGTCTGACCAAGGAAGAGGGAAGACGGTTGGGTGTGGACGATGTCATATTTATTGCAAGTATGCGAGAGAGCGTGAGGGAGCTGAATACGGGTTCTAGTCCTAGCTCATTCGAGGACGATTTGGCGCGAAGTGTCAGGGACCTCATGCATCCACAGCCTTCGGCGACGGTCTACCCTCTTGTGGCGGAAAAACCTACTTGCGGGTCAAGTACCGAGGGCGAGACAGCAGACAAACAGATGTCAAAATCGTACGAAGCGGAAGAGCAGGACGAAGAGGTGACAAAGAAAGGAAAGAAAAATGCAAAGATGATGAAGAAGGAGAAAAAGGCGATGGAGATGGCGGCGAGGGAGAGAGAGGAGAGGGAGGAGAGGGTGAGGGTGATGAAGGAGGCAAAGGAGATGGGGGCGAGGGAGAGGGAGGAGAGGCAGAAGAGGGAAGGGGAGGAGAGGCAGAAGAGAGAGAGGGAGAGGGAGAGGGAGGAAAGGGAGAGGGAAGAGAGGGAGAGGGAGGAGTGGGAGGAGAGGGAGAGGGAGAGGGAGGAGAGGGAGAAGGAGGAGAGGGAGAGGGAGGAGAGGGAGAGGGAGGAGAGGGAGGCAAAGGAGAAGGCAGCGGCAGATAGGGGGGCGGCGTCGAGTGGAGTCAAAACTAAGGAATTCGAGTTGAACGAGGCGGGATCTCCTCCAGGGCCAATCAATCTTGGAGTCCGCCCAAGTCCATTCGACAGACTTCGTGCCAAAACGTCAGCGAACTCGTCCGGCTCTACAAAACGATTGGGCCAATCCGGATCCCTTTCCGAGCGCGCTGGTTCCGCAAAACAGGGAACAAGAAACCCTTGGCACGTGCCCTACCCCGCGCCGGATACTGTGTCCTCCACGACTGATGGTATGGCGGATTAGTCACAACCACAGCAATGGTTGGGTATACTGGGACGACAATGTAGCATAAGGATGACAGGAAATAGCGGTAGGATTCTGTAGGACAATGACGAGAGAAGGGAATCGGTGCATAGGAGAAGATTGTGTAATCGTCGAAGGTAAGGCTTGTGTTGTAAACCACTGGCTAGTCCCAAGCTTCGCGGATCTTTGCAACAGGACCCAATGTCTGACGAAGGAAGAGGGAAGGCGGTTGGGCGTGGACGACGTCATTTTCGTTGTGGATATGCGGGAGAGCGTAAGGGAGCTTTGCACGACGTCTGGCCTAAACACATTCGAGGAAGGCTTCGCGCGAGATGTAAGAAACCTCGTACATCCGGTGCCTTTAGTGCAAGACGAAGTTCGCTCTTCGCCAACAAACGAATTCTTCGTCAACGAGACAGTCATAGAACAGAATTTGGGAACGGGCATCTCCATAGAATATGAGAACGCAGACGACATAAAGGGGACGGACGAGATAAAAGACAATGGTGATGTGGACTGTGGGGAAACGAGAGGGGTGGAGAGTCTCGAGCGCGATGAGCCGTCCGGAGGAAACGGTGGAGGATGGGGTAGCCTTCTCGCTACCCAAGGTGAGGAGCCGCCACAGGAGAATGGTGGAGGATGGGGCGCACTTCTCGGTGGCCAACGTGAGGAACCATCGAAAGAAAATGGCGGAGGATGGGGTAGCTTTGGCCAGTCGGGAACCAGCAGCGGATGGGCGGCGTCCCAGAGAGGACTAACGAACGGGAAGGGAGGATGGGGAGTAGCCGCGTTGAAGGAGGATTCTAGGAAAGGACGACGGGGTAAATAGTGAGTGACAGGAAAAGCAGAATGGGAAATAACTTTTCCGTATATAACCGAGTCGCCGTGATTAGATATGGACATTAGGAAAATAGGCTATGCAGACGTAGATGTACTTGGGAACTGTTTTGTTGTCGGTGCACATTCAATTATTCGCTTGGGCTTGGACCTAGCAGTAGCGCCAGAATCAATTCACAGAAGAAGCTGCGAAAGTAATGAGCTCCATTGAACGCTATTGGAAGAGGACAGACAAAATTCATTCAATCTAGCGGGCCATCGCACGGTCTGCAGGCCGTCTTAGTCTCCACTTTCTTCGCAAGACTCCTTGGCAATGTCGTCTCCCGCATCCACATCCCGTTTTCTCTCTGCACATGCACCACGCTATACCCACACACCAGCTTATGTTCGTCCCAGTCGCTATTGAAAAACGAGTGCGATAGCCACCATCAGCTCAATCAACCACATCACGGAAGGGATGCATACGGACCTTCTCTGACATTCAGCTCCACAGTAATAATAAATCTGACACTTCGAACATCTCGCCTTCACCGGCTCCGCACAGCCTCTTCTCCCGCATTCGCCTTGGAGCTGTACAAGTCTCTGCAACGTCGAGAATGTATCATAGCTATCGTGTTGGGTCGTCTGAAAAGCACCTATCCTGACGAAAACGTCTTTGGGTGAAGGGGCGGGAAAAGCGGCGTCGAGAAGTGCACGCATGATACGAGGTCGAGGAAGATGAGGTCGAAGTGTCGCTGCCAACGAGGGCGCACATCTTACGGCGATCTCGAATTTGGAATAAAGCTCACTGAGCGGCTCTGAAGAAACAAAGAGACGGATACTTAGTACAAGTAGCAACACCTGGACGGATAGAAATAAAATGAGTCGGACTTACTAACGAAAATGTTGAGAGGATTAGTCAGTTCTGTCCAACTCTCGGTAGAACATAGCATATCCTCCAGCAGTTGAAACAGACCCTGTTGTGCAAGAAGTGCTGCGAAGCTCGCATAATCGTTCCAAGAAAGTACTTCTCCGTAGCGAAGCCCAACCAGTATCAGCTCTAAGATCCGATCTCCCATGAGATCCCTCACGGGCTTCTTGCCCTCGAACCCGCTAAACTCATTGTCTATGACCGTACGCCGCAAGAGCGCGAAGAGACTGCGCCAGAGCGCCTCAGAGCGCAAGAAAGCATGAAAGTGGTGTGGCACAGGTCTAGCAAGATAGCAGAGCGCTTCGATGAGAGAAAGGCACGCTCCCGTTTGATCGGAGTCGAGCCATGTGAGATACCAAGCCAATTTGTCGAAGAGTCGGATGAGAGAGCCGTTGGTGCCTTTAACGATGCGGTCAAGAGTAGAGTCCGGGATTGGATAGGTCTTGCGGTATTCTTTAGCATTTTTGTTAAAAGGAGCGATGAACTGGCGAAGGACGGAGGCAGAGACTATCTTGAATTCGGTATTAGCGTAAGGTTTGTACCTGTCGCTGCCTGAAAGAGTAGCTCGGACAAGCAACGGGAGTGTAAGGTCAGCAGCGTCGTCGAGGATCCTAGAAGAGTTCAAGTAAAGAAAAGAAAATGTTGAGTGCCTGTTTTTGAAAAATGGAAATGAATGGGCACTTACTTGAATGTTGATGGGTCGTAGTATAGTACAGTAATTATCAAAGAAGCAAACAGAATTCGCTCGGTTCGGCCCCAGGCCTTCGATAGGAACGAGTCGTCATTGAAGTCGGTCCAAAACTGTATAACACACGGGATTAGTAGGGGTGGAATAGTTGCATTGAAGAATACAACCTTTTCTGTGAGCCTTACCCAGTACTTTCGCACTGTATCGATAACGAGACGGTCGTTCTCCGAGAGGGGGCTAGAGAAATGAGTGCATGCGCGGTACATCGGCTCCAAAGGAGGACACCATGAGGGAGCATACTTTGTGAGAGTGATTGAGAACGATATAGCCCATGTGATGTACGTAGAGGCGGTGTGGATTGAACTCACGGCTCGAAACAGGTGGACTTTCTGTCCTCGACTTGTCGAAAGGAACGGCACGGAAGCGGGCGATTCCCACGATGGCGCGTTAAGCGCCTGGAGAACTAGCAACTCGACGACGCCACCCGACACAAGATGCTGCCAAGCAGGACCAGGATAATCTTGCAAGGACAGACGCGCAATGGCGATCTCTGCAGGAAACACGCTCTGTGAATTTCGTGGGTCAGATAGATTGAAAGATCTTGGTGCGGCTGGAGGTTGCCTCACCGTGAAGTCATCTCCCCATTTGTTTGGCGGTTCTCTGGGGGACATGATGTGAAGAGCGTCGAGGACCCGACGAGGGTTAGACTCGACATGAATATCCCATTCACTTTGTAAGCCCGGGACTTCATATGCTCGCCAGTAATCTGAATCGTATATTGGAAGGTTTTTCGACATTGTGAAAGCAGATCCAAGTCGGCGAAAGTAGACACTGTTGTCGAGGAGACGGTGGAGTAGGCTATGAATGTCTCAATGAACCTTTCGTAAAGCTAGCAAGGAAGCGTAGGAAAGCTTTGGAGATGAGGGTAAAGAGCAAGAGACAAAAGTGTCAACGCGTAGATCAGCCGTTCATGTGATCGATAGACACAAAGGCTTGAAACTCCGCTCGGCAATAACCACGCCACTGAGCCACACCCACGATTCGGGCAGCATCGGGTAGCGTCGACGTCGCTTCTCCCTCCACTATATAAGTTGCTCGACCTCGACTATGCTCTACGAACTCTGGGTACGAAGGCCTAGCTAGTGTCCGAGCCATATTCTAACTTGCACAGCGTCGGAGCTACAAGACCTCGAAGATTGTGATACTTAGAGGCGCGTAGGAACCGTAGCGAACAACTAGCGAGATGTGATCTTGCTGATGCAGATATCCAACAAGCCACACCAACGAGAGCTAGTTATTGCCGTTCTGAGATCAGGTTGGGGCGTTTGGCTAGCGAGATCACGGCTAAAGATGACCTTTGTGAAAGATCCATGACTCTGTGAGTGTTGCCCAGACTGTTCTTTTCCTAGCCCATGACGGCTCTCCAGTAAATCGACAGGAACTCCGACTTCCCTCCGTGATTGAACCTAGTGCATTGTTTCGTGCATGATTGATGTCTTCTTGATTGATGCATCGCATCTCTCAATGGTGTTTAAAGGGCTCGGACGAAGGTGGGCTGCTCGCTGTACATAGAACAATCCCCCTCGTTCAGGTAGGATTGGCGGATGTAGCGCTGAAATCCTCATATCCTAAACTCTCTTTGAGGGAAATTAACCTCAAGTATGCGAATAAACCAGTGATAGTGGACAGCATCCATCGCAGTATGGCGTTCCTCCACTTAATCACCTACCCACTCTGCTTCCGTCCTCATCGTGGCTTACAGACCCATGTCGTGGTCCCGAATTAGAGATATTTCAGGCTGAAAGTTCCAGCTTGTGCCCAGGCTGACGAAAAAACCCCGCTGAATGCGGCTGTTTGACCATTTTTACTCAAATTTATTGCTGCATTAACTCCACGGTGCCTTGTCTGGATACTATAAAGAGGTGCGTAATTTCCTCGACCATGAGTCCCTATCCCTCGCCAATTCATCTTACCACCATGGCCTCAACGCGATTCTTCACCAGCTCTTGTCTTGTCATCGCCGCCATCGCTCTCGCGTTGCTTCCCACTACGTTTGGTAGCGCGTCGTCGCCCCTTGCACGTTCGAACCTCCACAGACGTCTCGCCGATACCATGACAGTGGCACAAGTTCCCCAATCCTGTTTGCCCAGCAGCGAGCCGCCATGCATGTGTCCCATAGACCTCAACGACGACACGGGCGTCCTCATCAACGTATACCCCGGCTATCAATGTGCCTACCCCGGGGGAGCATGCACCTGGAGCGACACAGTACGTCCAACGTTCCTTGGTCCCTCCTGAGCTCGAGCCTATACTTACCTTTCCTCGAAACAGGACGGCTCGCTTCAGAATACGCACCAGACGAACTGTCCGCAAGTCGCACCGTGCCCGGGCGGTGTGGGAACGTGCACCTGTCCGATCGACAATAATTTGGACACGGGTGTGTTGATCAACCAGTTTAGGGGGTACCAGTGCGCGTATACTGGCGGGGCTTGTACTTGGGACTATGTGCGTTTTACTCCTTCTCGGATCGACCGTTATGTTGTGGGTGTTTGTTGAATCGTGTACTGATGGGTTTCGTTGTGGAACAGGACGGAGATCTTCAGAATACGGGGCAGACGAACTGTCCGACGGTCGCAAAGTGTGTGACGCCGGCTTAGGGCTTTTGAAATGTAGCAGTCACCGTCACCATACTTTTCCATCTTCTCCAAGGGCGTCATGGGCGTATCTTACAAGGTGGTTTTGTTGGGCGTTGGAGCCCATATTTGCGCAGCATGCAGACGAGACCGGGATGAGTAACGGAGGAAATTAATCAGTGGCTCGCCAGCGTCGAGAGAAACAGGACTTGGGGCGGACAAATGGTGGCTTAATTATTCTGTTGGAAATGATGCATCAATACAGCTGCCAGATTACGGGTCTGAATCTATCATTACTTTATGCTATCCGACCTTCCACCTTGGAAATATGGGTGAAACAGATGTGGAAGGCGTTAAGAAGAGCGTAGAGAGCAGGATTGAACGAACCTTTAGGACTCCGCTTGACGAAGGTCATTGTGCCACATTTCGGGTGGCGTAGCACCAAAGAGCTCGACATTGTATAAGAGACTCATCTAGGCTCACTTTCACCAAAGCACCACGTATCATGCATCAAGCTTGAATAAACTCCATGAAATCACGATCTCAAAAGACAAACATCATGCACATTCGTACCTCACCCGACTTAGCCCAAAGGCATACACCTATTCTCGATACACTCGCTGTCTCCAGCTTCGTCAGCTTGACAGAACAACAACAGCTAAAATACAGCACCATTTTTTTTAGCTAACATACAAGGCCATCAGATCGATCAAGCCAACACCTCCTCCAAAACCTCGATGATCCTCTGCACTTCCTCCGTCGTATTATAATGCACGAGCGAGATGCGCACCGCAGCGTCGTCGAGGTCGATTTTGGGGCTAAGATTTTCGACGAGGGTATATGCGTAGAAATGTCCGTAGCGAATTCCGATCTAACGAAATGTCACGCGACCAACACCAGTAAGCATCAGCTCTTCGCACACAACAAGGATGCGCTGTCCTCAGAAGCGCAGAGAGAAGAATCAGAAAGAAACGCACTCCTCCCTTCTTATCAAACACCTCCACCACATCCTTACTCCTGATCGGCCTCTCCCCCCTCACCACAAAACTAATCGTCGGCACCCGTCCCAATCCACCCCTCTCATCGCCCACGATCAACACGCCCCTGCTCTCTTTGCTCTTCAAGTAGTCCAATAGCGGCTGCACGAGCGTTTGCTCGTGTTTCGCAATTTCGGTGAACGCTGCGTCGAGTTGCGCGACTTTGGCTTCGAATGTGAATGATGGAGGGGAGGAAGGGGAGGGAGAGGTGGTGGAATGGGGAGCGAGGGAGAGGAGGTATTCGAGGACGCCGGTTGTGGCGTAGACGAGTTCGTAGCCTGGGCCGCCGGGTTGAATTTTCCAGGATGTGGAGTGGGCGGGATCAGAGTAGGGGAGGAAGTGGTGCGTTAAGGAGCCGAGGGAATTGGCGAGGGATGAACGGCGGGCGTAGAAGGTGGAAATGTGGGGTCCGTAAACCTATGAACGATGACCAGCGAGGGCCACAAATACCCCACACGGTCAGTTTAATGTAAGAGGGAAAAAGGGAAAAGGGGTGAAAAGAACGCACCTTATACAACGAAAAGAAACAAAAGTCGATATCCCAGTCCCGCACATCAACCCTCCTATGCGGCGCATACGCCACACAATCCACACTAACCTCCACCTTCCTCACCCCCACCTCCTTCGCCTTCTCCCTCAACCTCCTCACCACGCTCTTCACATCAACGACACTGCCCAGTAAATTCGAAGTCGCAGTGAACGCGACGATCCGCGTCTTCGAAGTGATGAGCGGAAGGAGATCTTCGACATCTAATCCGACCGCATACGGATTGTTCGGCGATATCGATGTGAGATGTCTCGTGTGCCAGAACTTAACGCTCGCTCCGACGCGTTGAGCCAATTTCTTCCAAGGTCCTGCATTCGCCTCGTGCTCCCCAGTAACTATAATCTCGTCGCCCGCCTTCACCCCTCCCTCGCCTCCATACTCCAACGCCCTCGCAATATTATCACACGCCACAGTCGAACTCGCCGCGAACCCTACCTCCTCGACGCTCTCCGCATTGAAAAGAACCTGCGCGGCGTCCAGACCCTCGCTGATGCGCGAGGTGGCGGAGACGGAGACGGAGTAGGAGGCTCCGAGTTGGACGTTCGTGTTGGTTAGGTAGGAAGTTAAGGCGTGGAGAGCGTGTGAGGAACATTGGGAGCCGCCGGCGTTGTCGGCGAAGATGTAGGGTTGGGAGTTGATGGAGAGGGGAGAGGTGGGAGATAGAGCGGGGAAGGCGGCGCGTGCGGCGGAGACGAAGGAAGTGGAGGACATGGTAGTGCTCGTTGTGTAGTGGATGTGGATGTCCTGGAGGAGGGGAAGAAGAACGCGTGAGATGCGGGGGAGATGGAGAGGAGGGGTTAAGTACTCTGTGAGAGTGTGTGTAGTCTATTGCACCCAGTGAGCAGCTGGCCGGCCTTCATCGATGGAGGGAAGCGGAAGGATCACGGGGCTAAGATAAGATGCCGATCGACTTGCACTGAGAACAAGGTTAGGGGTTTCGACGACATTTTCGCCTTCCGGGAGCAGATGGCGTACCAAGCGGGAGGAAGCGTCTTTGTCGTAGAGAGAACAGAGGCCAGGACATACTTAGTCAAAGGACATCGACAAATCGGCTAGCATTCGTGAGAGAAGACGTAGAATCGAACAATCCACAAGTGCTGAGGTATGAACACGCAGGTATATAAAACTCGCAAAAATATGGATCAGCGGTAGAAAGACATATAACAAACTGTGTTCTTTATATGCTCTACAAAAGAGCGTGGAATGATACAAGTGGACAACAATACGCTGCAATGACTCGCGGCTACAGGCGTTTCTTGTCGAAATAGGGAAGTTGCCCAGCCAGTACCGAATGTGGGAGAGTTATGAGAATATCAGAAAGAAAAATGCGGGTGAGGTTACTCCACGGTCAGTCCCTATTCAAGCCTCGAGAGCATCCAAGATCAAACCATCAATGATTATGAGTAACATAGGCGTAGCCAATGGTGCACATAGAGAGAACCAACAGAAGACGAAGGAGACAGTGCCGTTGTGTCTCATTAAGAGCCAGGTATAGACACGGCGACGCGTTTGACCAAATATGATAGTCACTATGGCTGTGAGCAGCAGACCATGGCATGCATGATGAGGACAGGTGGCAAGGACTCGAGTCGGAAGTCGTCCGTTGGCCCAGTCGAGAAAGTAAGGAAAACGCTAGGTCATACGCGCAACATGGAAGAAATAAATAAATCTTGTCCTGAACTCATCATCGACACAAGTACGAGGTCTAGTCGACACAAAGGGAGGTTGAAGCAGGCTGAAGCACTGAAAGAAGTTGGAAAGAAGAAAACGTTCGCAGGCGCTCGGCCACAGCCGCTCCTGGGAGATATCGACGGATTGGGATGGTATGACGTCGTCGTGTTGTTTTTCTCCACGTGCCCTCACTTGTTCCTGTTCCGCTCATCTCTGGGAATTTAAAGAGTCAGTCTACAGTTCTACTTACCCAAGGTCTACCTGCTGTCTTTACTTGTCCTCTTGGAGAAACACTCCAGGTTATATGTGAAGTTATCCACATAAACCGACAATCCTGGATTATTTCACCACCAGACGTTGAGCTGGTTTCGAAGGAACTTCCCGAATTTGACACTGCACCTACACACCGTCATACCACGACCTGGTACGATCCTCCATCGGGTCTCTCCTTGATGCATCAACGGATCCCTCCCCGTGCCCTGGTCGTCATTCTCGGCCTCAACCAGCACTCGTCCCTACTCACCCTCGTCGTTCTGATGTCATCCATAGCCGAGAGTAAGTATCGAGGATGTGGGCGACTTCAGGCGACTTCCTGTGAATTCCCTTGGCTTTTACATTCACGTTTTGTTGGAAGCTTTGAGGCAGCGGTTCCTTACCCCACAATCATCGCAGAATTTAATTTGCGAACAGATCCAGAAGAAGCTCCTGGCGTAAGTGGCACGTACGCGTGTGAAGATCGTACCTGCAGGTTCTCGTTCTGGTCTGCGCTCCTCTTCCTCTAGCAGTTGGAGGCCCCACGCAGTCTTCAAGATATCCAAGAAAGGTGAGGATGTTGTCTTTAGTAGGTCCTTGCTTGATCTCTTCCATTTGAAAAGCTTGACATGACCGTACACCTGAGCAAAGCACGTTGATTATTTTCATTCTGCGTGGCTACACTCGTTACTTTAGACCAGCGCGAAGTTCGCCTGGAAGGGAATATGGCTCAGCAACTTTCATATCGCCGTCGTCAGGGGCGCTCCTCAAGAAATTTATCGTCCATATTGGAGGATCCCCGCCGCGAACGTTCTCTCCGGAAGGCACTTTGAGAGGCCGTTCCCCGCGTTTGGTCTGCGATGTTCCTCCCTCGTCAGGTATGACGTACCACCGTACCTTCACGGAATACCAACATGACCCCGTGCCTTACTGCATACATCCACTTCAGCTACGCATGACGGCTGAGGCGCAGGGTATATAAACCCTTCCTCCACACTCCAGCATTCTTCTTCTGCACGTCACCCTCCAGGCCTTGTCGTACCGTTACGTTTCCCAATACTTCAAAACTTATAATCAACTTACGCTCCCGACGACGAAAATGCTCACGAACACCCTCATCACCGCTCTCCTCTCTATCACCGCCGTCTCCTATGGCGTGAACGCCCAGTCCAGCACCGCGAGCTCCGCGGCGCCCTCAGGCTCTTCTATTCCCGGTCTGACGACTTGTATCGTGCAATGTCTGCTCCAGGCCGCGTCGACGGGTGGCTGCTCTTCTTTGTACGTACCACAACCTCAACCTCGTCCTACCCTTCCTCGCTCTCCCGCATGACGATGTACTGACGTCGTTCATCTCTCGCAAATTAACCGTATGATAGCACCGATCTCGACTGCATCTGCTCCTCCGGTGCATTCCAAAGTGCAGCCATCGTCTGCGTGGACTCTGAATGCCCCACGGCCGACCAGCAGACTGCTCTCGGCTTGCAACAACAATACTGTGGTTCTAGTGCGTCATATTCTCCGTTCTCATCACTCTTCATCATCGTTTCATTTCATTAACTGTCTAATTTATTAATATTTTTTCAAATTTCAGGTTCATCTGGATCTGGCTCCGCTACCGCAACCGCAACCGCCTCCAGCTCATCCACCACCGCCACCTCTCCCTCCTCCGCATCCGCCTCCTCCGGCGCATCTTCTGCCTCCGCCTCATCCGGTGCATCCTCCGGCGCCTCATCCGCCTCCTCCATCGTATCCGGCGCATCCTCCGGCGCCTCATCCATCGCCTCATCAGCCTCCTCCGCCGCTTCCTCCGTAGCCAGTGTCGCCAGCTCCGGTGCGAGCTCCCTAGCCAGCGGTGCCAGTTCGGCCATAAGTTCATTGGCGAGTGGAGCGAGTTCTGCTGCGAGTTCGGCTAGTTCTGCTGCGAGTTCGGCTAGTAGTGCGGGGAGGGCCGGGGTGATGGGGTGTGGTGGGGTGCTGGGGATGGTGGTGGGGGTTGTGGGGATGGTTGTTGGGGGTGGGTTGGTGCTTTGAGTGGGTTTAAGTTGTTGATTTTGGTGATAGGCCCGGGATGGTGATGCTTGGGAGATGACGATGCGCACGCCGGGATACAGGCTACTCTTCCCTGTGCTGCTGCTGCTGCTTCTTTTGCAGAGTTGTGGTGCGCATACGCGCATATATTTGCGTGGTTCTGAGACGGTGGCACGTTTATGCATGAGGTTTACGATTTGACTGATGATGTTCTCGTTTACGCATACTTACTGATACCTTTACGAGTACATACGACTCTTCCTCTTTTTTTCGGGTTTGACAATGTAGATAATTGCTGCTACATGAATTGCTTTGATTCCGTCCTCTGTCCTGATGAAAGATGAACGACGAACGACGAACGTTGAACGAGTGGCGTGCGCGCCACAGCGGGGAGCTTCGGAAGCAAATCGGGCTAGGCCGTTAGTACATGTTGACGCGACGATGACCGACGACTTTGTGCAAAACTTTGGTGCCCTTTCCTACTGCTTCATTCGTTCCACTGGTCTTTACTGTCGTCTACAATCGGAACTTGGAACGACCGGCTTCCAAGTCTTCGCAAGCTCATCGTGATTTCCTAGCATTTTAGATCAAGCTCTCATGCTCGATTCACAAAGATCGAGTGGCATGAGGGACCGCTCGCAAGCGCTCGTATCCTAGGATTGTGCGTCCCACCTCAGGTTATCACTATCACTCAACTTCCACGGTGGCCTGCACGAGCTTTCCATGCTGCATCATTCCGTCTAAGTATATCAGCTTCCCATCGTCCTCGTTCCCGCTATTACTAGTTAGACCCCATTCTGGTGACCTATCAGTCCCTAGGATGTCTCGTTCTCGCCGCTCATGAGAGTGTGATCTGACTCGTATGGGACCCCATGCTCAACATTCCTTCGAAAGAGTTCTCCCAATGATCGTGGCGCTGAAATGCTAGGATAGCTGTAGTTGGGTTTGGGTTGTAATTGATGACTGCTGAGGGATATATATACGCAGTGCGCTTTGTGACTGATAACAGAGTGCGCTCGTACCCTTCAACATCCTCAGTCGCACCACCACTACCACCACTCTATATCTATCTCAGAGCAAAATGGCACGTACAAAGCACGGTTGGGCAGACGAGGTCGAGCGCACGCCGAGTCCTCCGCCTGCGCCCCCTGTGGAACGCAGTGTGAGGTTCCCACCTTGTGTATTTCCCGCTGCCATCATTGATGAAGAGATATGGGTGTCTGATCTAGGAGGAGGACGAAGCGCTATACCAGAAATCTATCGTCCAGCAAGATCGCAAGCTGCTTCGGCATCAGATATGGTACGTCACGCCACCTTCTTACCCTCGTCTATTCTCATGTATGATACTGAATACACCATCGGGACTGTTTTGTGCGAATTGATAGGTCTAGAGACGACAGCAGATATATTCCCTTCGACCCAGAATCGTATAAGCCCCCGCCCATCCCGCCGAAAGACGAGAAAAACTATTTTTATATCAATTCAAGGAGGCAAAGACCGGCTCGTTAGTGCCAATGTTCCCTTCTGCCTATTCACTGTAGAAAGGAAGGAAGGAAGCTGACCATTGACTACTTGGGGAATGTTAGACGAGCCGTCCATCGTTCTTAGCGACTTCAGTGATACGCTCGTCACATATCTGAGGTGCGTGTACCATTGACACCCATATAGCCCCTCTCGACTCGACTGACTGGTTGTACACACAGGGTCGCATATGGAGACCAGTTCTATTCCCCAGACCCCGAAAAGAACCCCGAAGATTTCTTCACCGAGATCCATCGCAAGACCTTCCGGAAGACACTGGAGAAAGCGAAGATGGCGCTGGATGCGGTGGACCCGGAAGAGCAGAAGGAGGTCGCTGTGTCATTGGGGTATCTTGATGCGAAACTGCGTACTTTACAGTCATTGGCCCACGGCTCATTCATTCATATTGTATACTGACCTGGACGACCACATTGTTGGTTATAGCGGACCATGAGGACGAGGAGACGGTGCAGTTCTTGAAGGACCTCGTGGAGCATCTTCCGGTGCTGAACGACTACCTCGAGGAACAATTCGAGCCTACGTTCGTCCCATATTCACCTCCATGCCCTGCTCTCCACCAACTGAAACTGAAACTGATACGCCATGCCCCGGTTTTGATAGTGCAAAAGAGCTCGAACTATGCATCGCGTACGGCAACATATCATTCGACCTGCTCAAGTACCTCTTCACTCCAGGAGATGAACTGACGACGATCGACATGGGCGGAAAGGTATGTTTCTTTTTCTTGTCGAACTGGTTGTGCTATATGTTAGCCAGGGCTGACTCTGAACTTATTATAGCGAATCGTGTTCGTGCTGCAATCGACGTCTTATCATTCGTACGTGCCTTTATCCTTCTCTTATTTTGGTCCATACTGATGCATGTATAATTGTGGTCGTTATTTGTGCGTACAGGTCGTTTTCGGGTCGGTACTTCGATCTGCGGGGTCATGGGTATGAGTGGGACGGGACAGCATATACTACATACAGTGTGTCAAGGCAGATACAAGATTTCACAGTACGTTTCGCGATCGCCAGAATACTCGAATGTATGCGCCCTAGCACTTATCATCTTTTTTTTTCGTCTTATTGTGCAGGGTACGGAGGCGATCGATGGACTGAGTTGTCAACATACGACAGCAGCTATCAACGCAAAATTGGCTGGTGAGCTCGCAGCCTTCCTTGAGTGTTGACGGTATTTTGATCATCTTGTCGTTTAATGGTGTAGAGAGAGGAGAGCTCTATACGTCGTATGCCGGTGTGCATTATAAGCTCGGTGAGTCAGGTACTCTACATTGACCCAAACACTCTGTTGAGACTCATACCGATCTACTCTAGCTAGTGGAGTGTGTACACGCTATGCATATAGACTTACATGTGAGGCACTAATGCTACCCCTGATCGTCTAGGCTAGAGTCATCATCGACGGGCGAGGCTATCGGGAGCAAGATGGCTACAGTCGTTCTCCGTCAGTATCTATAAAATATGTCCATATTCGAACAATATTCACGATTAACCCTCCGACTGGATACAGAGACGAGGAGATCCAGACCTTAGATCCAGAACTACTGCATCTTCTTCCACCCTTCCAATACGGCTTCGACCTCAAGAAGAAGGTACGCCCGCTTTCAGTCCGGTATCACATCAACCACAGCTACAGCTCACCGGTTCATGATAGGAATGGGGCCCTTACCTCGTCGAAGACTTACAGGAGGTCAAGTTCGACGAGAATGCCTGGGACCATCTCGTGCTCGATAGCGATATCAAGACACTCATCCGCTCTCTCGTTCAAGTCACGCGGAACTCTACTTCTGCGACGGCGCTTGTGCAGGATGTCATCAGTGGAAAGGGTGGCGGCCTCGTACGTACCTTCTCCCTCTTTTTCATCCAAATATTCAGCACTGGTCTTGGGGATGGAACATGTGGCTCAAAACGCGCTTTGTAGATCGCGGTACTTCACGGGCCTCCGGGTACAGGAAAGACTCTGACCGCCGAAGCTGTGGCCGAACATCTTAAACGTCCGTTATACATGGTCGGATCATCGGAGCTCTCGACGAACTGCTCGGATTTGGAGGATAACTTGAAAAGGATTCTGAGTGTTCGTCTATCCCTCCATATAGCTCACTCTTATGGGCCTGCTACTGAAGGATGCTTCATAATCATTGATACAGCTGGCCACTGCATGGGATGCAGTTCTGCTCATAGACGAGGCAGACGTGTTCTTGGAGCAGCGCAGCTTGCATGAGGTGCGTAATAATCAGAGCTCATTACAGCCCAAGTCCGAATTAAAGGGCTGGTACGATTCGACTCCGTCATCAGCTCGAGCGTAATGCCCTAGTCTCGGTCGCACTCCGTCTCCTCGAATACCATCGCGGCGTCCTCTTCCTCACGACTAACCGGATCAAAGCCTTCGATGACGCGTTCTTGTCCAGGTTTTCCATCGGTATGTTAGCTCCTATTCCATCTTCCGTTAGTCAAGCTCAATACATGATGGTTCAACTTGAACGTAGCTGTGAAATACCCCGAACTCGACAAGCCCGCACGTCTCGCCGTGTGGAAACGGTTCTTGGCCATGGCTGGCCAAAAGATCCACGAAGGGCCAGCGCCGGCTGGTGCCCTCGCCATCGAAGAAAAAGATTTGGATGCGCTTTCGGAGAAGCCTTTCAATGGTATATTGATCTCATTGATGATTTTATGGGAATGGTATCCGCTGACAGTTGTGCGTAGGCCGGACGGTGAAGAACTTGGTTCGGACAGCTCAGGCGCTGGCGCTTTCGATGTAAGCATTTCTCCAAATTTATGATTGCGGGAGGCGATGCTGATGTATATTTCCTCTACGGTTTCGTAGGCAAGAGTCGTTGGAAATCAAGCATATCAATGTTGTCGTACGGGCGCAGGAAAAGTTCTTGAGAGAGTTTGCGACGTAGATTGTGGATGGGCAGGAATAAGCAGGGCAATTAATTGGAAGAAGATATACAGACTTTGTAATGTATCCGGTTGAGACACTCCTCCTGACAATGCATGTATGTTAGATGAACCAGCAGATGCTACTGATGCTAGCAATAACAGTTCGCAGCTGCTCAAAGACCAGGCTCGAATGGGAAAGTGAATATGAGTGGTAACATGTATACCGTATCACGCTTGCTCTTTATGGTTGTAGTTCGTTATAGTTAGGAAGCGTTCTTCATGTAACTGATTATATTAGCCTCTGCACAATTGTTGTCATGTTACAGCGGTATTCCTTTTGTCGCCTGAGGAAGAGGTCTTGCCCTCTGTCAGGAATCCTCATCGGAACCACACGAGTACGCAGTTGATGTATCCAGCACATGACAATGCAGTCGCCCTTTGCATACCGCGGACCCTCGACCGTACGACTAAGGAGTGTAAACAAGAAGGCCCGGATTGAGCCACTCAAATACAGTGCTCCCCTCAAGTTGCTCCCCACTCGCCACATTCCCACCCACAGCCGTCCCGACCCATCTGTGATAAATGCTCTGGTCCGGGTTCTGCCCCGACGAACTGAGATTGAAACTGTACGTCTCCTCATCACCAAGCACGAACTCGAGCACATATCCGGCGGGAATCGTTAACCCGTTGTCTTCTACAGAGCCATAGGGCGTAATCGTGCTGATATCCTTCGTCTTCGTACCTTCGACGGAGCACTGATTCTGCAGGATGACGCCGTCAATGGAGAGATAACCTGTGTTCAGGGTAAGAGGCGAAGGGGAGTTCGTGGAGACAGGCGTTGCGGAGACATATGAAAAATCGTAAGGTCCGACTTGGCCTGAGCCGAAGTACCACGTGGAGACGATGTTGTTGAGGGGTTCAGGGGCCCAGTTCGCATCGTGGTAACCATCACCGGTGAATTGGAGTGGAATACCGTCGACGACGACATCCACAACAGCTGTGCCGCCTGTCAATCAACGAAACCGGTTAGCGCCACCGCCACAATCAGAGCATCGAAGGAAATAGTTGGGAGTACGCCTTCCCAGATGATCATGATTGTCTCTTCGGGACACGGGTGAAGGAGGATGGTCGTGTAGGACGGTGATACATCAGGTTTATGGCCGTTGAACTCGGACTCACCGGGTATAGTTGTCGCCCAACCCAGCTGGTTGTACAAAATGTCTTCCGCATCACTCAGCGTCGTTCCATTGCTGACCAGACTCTCGACTGCTCCGGAGAAATACGGGTCCTTTGTAGTATTACAGGCGAAATGATGCTCGGCCGAGTTAGGGATGAACACTATGTTTCCAGTGAGCCCATATTCTTCCGCAGTGAAGTTGACCGTCCATGAGGAGAAATCTGGCTCGAGGTGGAAAGAACCGACGGTGCCCCAAGTGCCTGTAACTTCCTCAGAGCCATCGGTAGTGGTAATGTCACCGGTATCAGAGGGTATGGTGAGACTGATCGCAGTGCCGTTGGAGAGGAAACCATTGATGGTGATGTAGTACTCAGGGAGTGTTGGGTCGCGATCGCCTTCTTGGATGGGGTAACCTGGGTAGATATAAGCCACACACGTTTCGCAGGTGGAAGAACACGATGAGTACAGTGCCAATATATGGAGAACGTGCCTTGGTAAAAGAGGAGTTGGAATGCCGGAGGCGGGCTGTCGCCTATTGCTTTTCCGATGACTTGAGCCCACCACCATTCTACGGCACCGTTGGAGATACTGGGCTGTATGTACGGCCCATCAAAGGAGGTCGCTGCTGCTACCAAGGAAGTGGATACAGCAAGCAGAAGTGACACTATAAAAATCGTCAGTCTTTTCCGTGTCGAAATAATGTTTGATTTAGAACATACATAGTGTTTTTGTCGACATTGAATCCTGCAGTGTGGGTGATCCTTTGCACCTAGGAGAAGCCAGAGACCAAGGGCAGCCCAGTACGACTTCACAAGAGACTACAGGTCAATCACGCAGCTACCACCCCTCTTATACCCCTTCATCGAACGAAGACGTAGTCTATTCCAGGGCATCACATCACAGCTTTCCGCAAGCGTATCGAATCTGGTACTATACTTCTCATTTACGATCATCACAGTGCCCAGAGCGAGGCAGCCAAGCCGACTCGTATGCAAGGCGAAACATCAAAATCCAATCAGAGAAACAGGTGGGGCTTCGTCAGCACGAAACAACGCATGTGGCTCGCTTTGGAGCACAAGCACAATGAGTTCTTCCCGCCACGATGAGCAAGCATTAAAAGCACGAGCTGCCGACGCTGTCGTCGGTGACATCGTCCATATCGAGGAGGAAAGCTGTGTGATGAATCAGCGAAGACACGTTTGGGCCCGGAGGAAGTTTCGCCGTCTACTGTGCCTTTGGCAGACAAGGACGACAGCATATGCGAAGAGCCTCGCTTCTTGTCAGGCTCGGATACGGGTATGGCGGAGAGTGGGGTGTAGCGGACGAGATGGTAGCGGACGCGATGAGGCGAACAGATGGGTTTGGATGCCGACTGCAACGCTAGACGCACACGGGCGTTAAAGGTCAAGGCTTAGAATCACAAGCCAAATGAAGGCAGGGTTCGCTCGCCGAGCTCAACAGATATACATATATATCACAAAAATTGTCGTGCAAAATTCACGCATGGCAAGCCGGAGAGGTCATAGGAAAGCACTGAGCTTCAAGGCCAGGAAAGGAGACTCTTTTGATACAAAATCTTCCATCAGAGCACATCTCCAAAAGAGTATGGTGGCGTTAGCCACTTCATGTCACGCCACATTCAATTTTTTCTTGACTCAAAAATAGGATTTCTGGGTTCAGAAACCCCCATTCCAGAGTAAATCTGCCATTCCGAAGTCAGGGGAATTTCCTAACCCTAACCTTAATCAAGCGGCGAAATTCTCGTCAAGGCACTGCACCAGTCCCTATTGGTACCAGGGAGATATCATGCAAATGACACCCGTCTGACTCTAAGTAACTGTAGAATCACGAGAATCTTACTCCACCAGCCTTCAAACACCGTTGCAAGAAGGTTCAAGGCTGTCACCGGGCCACAGTGGCGAGCGGCAGAGATCGTAGTGGTGACATTGCGTTCCAAATATGGGAAAGTCACGCGCACGTGATGTGACAAACGGCGAAATTTCTCTGACAAAATCCCCCCCGGAGAATTTTTAAAAAGTGCTCCGACCATTGTCTAGATATCATCCCTAGGGTTCTGTATATGCAACAATAAGTCATGAAACCCCCGAATGAGTGTTCCATTCAGGAAATGGTTCCATGGCACAAGGCTTGCCACGAAGTGGCTAACGCCACCATACGACAACGTCGTCTCTGGATCTTCCAAGGGACTTCAGCTCTACCGCAGAACACCACTCGCATTCGACGGTCTTACCTATCGCCGGCACCATGCTATGCAGCGTGAGGTATCGCAGGAGGTATCGCCTTCGGGTCATGCTGCAGCTCCTCTAAAAGATGGTAGGAGACCAACGTGAAGCATCCATGAGCAGAAACTGTGTGCCGCTTACAAGTCCCAATGAAAGAAATGCTACGGGCGTTTACGTTGACGCCTGCCGTACGCGTTCTCGGCCTCTAGTCAGGCGGGTCGCGCCGCACGCGTTCAAGACTGGTCACAGCCCGAGTGAGCATACGAGTCGCGTCCATGAGGATCCGAACCAAGTCAGCGACCCAAAAAAAGCTGATATTCACAGTCAACGCTCGTTAGTGTGGAATGAACGTCAATAATCGTACACAAAAGAGAACCACCTAGAAGATACACTTGCATCGAGGATACTTCGCCTACTCCCCCCTCTTGATCATATCCGCCAGCTTCTCCGCCATAGCAACTACGATCGCCACTGGATGTCCGCTCATTTGGGTGGGGAAAACACTTGCGTCACATACCCTCAAACCCTTGACTCCATGGACACGTAATGTTGGGTCAACGGCACCTGTCTCGGGCGTTCGAGAAATCCTACAGCTCGACGTCTATCGTCATTCGAATGGATGAGCAACGGTCAAAGAGTAATGACAGTCAGAATGAGCAGAGTCGAACACAGCGAAAGGTATGCTACCCACCGGGTGGAATGCAGCGACGCAGTTTCTCCTCACAAATGCTTTGATCTGCTCGTCCGTGATCTTGTCAGGGTCAGCATCTCCCGGCCAGAAATACGACGTCGTATCCTCTTCGTGCGGTTTCAAGTCGAAGATACCCTTCATGCGCTCGGTACGAGCAAGTCGGAGGACAAATCGGACGCCACGGACTACAGTATTCAGATCATTTTCTGAGGAGAGGAAGCTGTTTGTGCGGTGATACAAAGAACATGTATGGAGTGGGGAGAGTTGGAAAAAAGATTCATTGAGATCAAGCATCCGCATTGCGAGGACTGGGAGAAGGACGAACTTTGGGTCGATGAGAGGCTTATCGTACACACTGCTTGTCTTCAGTCGTACGCTGCCAGAACTTTCCGGTTTGAGTGCCAATGCACCCTGTATTCGGTAATACCTCGTCAGTTTGAGTTCAGCAGTGTCACGCTCGAGCGGAAGAGTCGACGTACGATCGAAACACCATGTACGCCCTTCGGAGGTGGCACACCAAAACCGAGGACAACAACCGGAAACCAAAGTATCTCGATATCGGGTGCATTTGGCCCAGAGCTGGTATCACGAATAGACAGCGGCGTGCTCGCCTTCCCGTCAAACGGAATCCTGAATATGCTTTGTATTAGCACCCATCTCAACTTCTCCAATACTGCGACAAAAACGGATGAGGGGAAAGCAGAAAGTAGAAACATACCTTTCATCGTCGCTCCTGAGGAATGCTGCCCCTGGAGCCGCCGAAGCCGCCATTGGTCCTGTACCCGAGATTGCCCACCTAACCATCGCCTTCAATCCACTGAAAGGTTGGTTCAGATAATCAAACGTGTATCCAGGCTTTGCTCTGATATTCAGTGGCCCAGCAGAAATGTGATCGTAGTAGTTGAGTCCGACTTGTGGGAGGTCCTTGATGGTGGCGATGGGTGGAGAGAGGGACGAAAGATGCGAGGAAGGGCCGAGGCCGGAGAGAAGGAGAAGTTGAGGGGTAGCGATCACACCTAGATTAATTTGCAGTCAGTGCGATTGCAGTGAGATAGTCTTGGTGGAGTGCAATGGGAATACGCACCACAACAAACGATCACCTCCTTCCCTGCTTTTACGCGCCACTTTTGCCCGTTCCTCGTCTGCGACACTTGTACACCAACCGCTCTCGGCTCCGCCGCCGAGTCTTTATCGGTGGTGGAAAAGATGATCTTCTCGGTGTAGGTGTTGACCGCGATGGTGAGGTTGGGTCGCGCAACCACGGAAGGCGTGAGGTAGGCTTTCGCCGGGGAGTGGCCTGTGGTAGTAGTATGGTAATCACATCGGTAATACGTCGATGAGTGAGCAGTTGAAGATGGGACAGCGAATGAGAAATGTTACGCACGTCCGCCTTTCCCATCAAGATACTCCGTGAATGTGCTCGCTCCACGAGGGCCCTTCAACGTATTCAGATCTCTATGCGTGGTGAATTTGTGACACAATTCCCTCATTAGTATGTTGAAAATGACGCAGGAGCGTAGACAGGGTGCTAAGACAGCAAATAGTATGAGATACGCACGGGATCCTTGGAACACCAACCTCCTCACACGCATCTAAAATATGCTCGTGAATCGGCTATTACACGCCACCGCCACACATAAATACGTTCAGTATCAAATGATCCTGACGAGAGATAGGTACGTACTGCCTGCTGAACATATCCCGTCTTCCATACTCCGTTCGAGCCATGATCGGATTCCTTGATCCCAGGGTGTTGAGGTGAGGGAGCGAATTGTTCGGATTTGAGGATATATCTGCGAGGAGTTGAATACATATATCAGCAGTGATCTTGGGAGCGGAGTAATGATAGACATTGGGCAGGAGAAGACATAGAACACTTACGGCCTCAGCTCTTCGTATGACCATCCTTCTGCTCCAAGCTTTACCCACTCGTCGAAATCTAGAAACAATGCCCACCACAGAGTCAATCGTCAATCCATAACTGGGCGGACAGAGATGCACTGACCTTCAGGGGCACAATGTTGGAACAGTAGCGCATTGATAGAGCTACATAGTTCATCGTGAGTCAGTATGAAGTACAGTGCAATGATGCAGCAGTGTGGAAGGAAGAACGGGCCTACCTAGTTCCACCGACGACCTTTCCGCGCGGGATAGGTAGGACGCGGTCATTCGCGTGCTTCTGAGGCCTGTCAAAGCGTTGGGAGCATCGGTGCAGTCAGTATTACAAGGGATAGATATGGTAGGAGGAATAAAACGAACGTCGTCTCGTAATCCCAGTCCACACGACTCTTCAACAACTTCGGCCACGCGAGAGGAATACGCGTCAGGTACTCCTTCTCGTGGCTTCATTTCCCGATTCCATCATTTCGTGATCACCAACGGCCATCCGAAGAACCAAACAAGAAAGTAAACGTAGAGCGTGACAACGAAAGACAAAGAGAACATCGTCAGAGAAATAAGAAAACGCAGAAGGAAGAGAAAACGCACCTATTTCCCGCCTCAATTAGCAGAACCGTAGTGCCCGCATCCTCCGATAGCCTTGACGCAAGTACACAACCGGCCGTACCTATCCAGTCCATATTTATCAACTCATATGACCATATGGAAGCGACCAGCCGTAATATGTAGGACAAAACCTGAACAAGGCCTTGCTTTGGGTCGGCGAATAATGGAGGGGAAGAAGAGTAGGGGGAAATCGAGGTAAGAGCGGAAGAGGATGATACATACCTCCACCGACGATGACATAGTCATACTCCTTCCACTTCCCAGTATCCGCTTCAGCAGTTCCTTCGGTCACCGGTGTCGCCCAGTGCGAAGGGTTGGTCAAGTACGATTGCGAGGAGCCCATGTTCAAAACGCTTCGAAGTTACACGGTGTTTTGTTCGATGGACGTCGACGTAAGGATCAAAAGGTGGTCGAGATGTAAATGTGGACACCCAGGGAGTACAAAGGGGGGAGGTCAGGGATGTCGCTCTCGAGATATCAGCAGCCCGAGGATTAAAAACAATCAGGCGATCCGAACTCGAGGAACTAGGGGTTCTTATATGTACGTATTTTCGTCGGGGTCGGTAAGGATCCAAGAGGGTCCTAGGAGGTCCAAGAGACATGCTGCAGCGGATAACAGAGCGCGTTCCGCAAGAACGTCGCGAAACGTGATGTATAGGTCACGTAATTGCTGCTACGGAGAGATACTAGTCCATTCGGGGCCGGACGAAGATCGACTTCTTGTCAACATGTGGACCTACAGTACGTTAGGCGCAGGGGTGGGAAGGGATATCGGGCATGCGAGTCGGAAAATGAGCGAGGAGGAATGTTTCGGATATGGTAGAGATATGAGTTGGCCGACCGAGTGTCGACTTGAGCTTGCCCGAGATTCAAGTTGGATACCGACCGAGATACGAATGAGCTGCAGCCCGTCCGAAGAGCCAAGCATCCTGGGATAAAACATCAGTTAGCCTTACTTGCAATCCTTGTGAGTTGATTGCGTCCCGGGTACTTACGAACCTCGACGCAAGGCAGTGATGAAAGTTGTGCCGCCGAACATCTTCTGCCGCAAGGGATGCTTGGATCGTCTCGAATCATCCAGACACTGGTGACTGGGATACCAAATATATCGGCGATGTTGATCGTGCAGGAATTATAGGAGCGGGAATAGGCAGGGACTCCCAGGTACCCATACTTTTGGTGCCACCAGAACGAGCCGGCAGAAACGAGTCTACCCACATATGGAGAAGGTGAGATATCAACCACCGCCAATAGAGGCCGCAAAAATCGCGATATCAGTGTTTTTCTCAGAGTATGTATGTAGCCTGAGACTAGCTGTCGTCATAGGCAACCTGAGGAGGACGCATATTTTAGCCTGTCCGTACTCGTACTGCCGGCTTTGAGATAGACATTGACTACTAGAGAATAGCACATACACAAGTCTGGTTGGGCCCAGGTAGACCTTCGTCGGGCTGTATACGAAAGAATCGGGAACCACGGGAGAAGACCTTGAGAAGACGCGAGTTTCATCATCCCGCACCAGCGTACATATCAGCAAGATTCGAGCTCTTCGCACGAAAGATCATAAGCATAGTTGATCCGGGCAGTTGGCAGTCACTCAATCAACTACCGCCCATTACACTCCTGAACAGGAAAAAGAGAAATAAAGACCCCGATAGACAGCACAAAGACCAGAAGTGACCGCGACTGCTGGAGACAAGCAAGTTGTGGGACGTAAAACAGACCAACCCAAAAAGGACGAATTTCGCAGCTTATCCCCGAAAGGGGTGAATTTTTCCGAAAAAGGAGAGCAGCCCATCTCTGATTGGCCGGCAAGAACTTTGATTGGCTGTCAACCGTTGCAGCCCTCCAACACAATAGACCCTTAACAGGCTTGGCCATTGTTCGTTTCTTTCGCAGCGATTGGCTGGATCTAGTCTATCATACGATTGTATGAAGGATCAATCACTACGGGGGTCACCCGACAGATGCGGAACCTCTCCACGCAACCCTTCGGGTCATATGCAGAGTACGTTTTCCTAATGACTCTTACAAAGACTGTACAAGACCTAGGACAGCATCGGAGTTTTCTGCTCTCATCTCCCTTCCTTCCTTGACGGTCAGTTTGCTCGAGTTTTGACGTCGACCATGGCCGCGCCGCCTCTCCCTGACGGCCTCAACTACATCGCCGCCATCAAGCCTGCATTGCAAGACATCCTCATCAGCCAGTCCTTTCTCGTCATCCTCCTTCCTTTGTCTATCGCACTTTGGATATTCTCGACCGAACGGACGAGAAGGCAGCCGGTGTTTATCCTAAATGCGGTCTCCATTGCGTTGGCGATCACGGTGGGTGTGATGTTGGATTGGCGATCGGTGAGTGGTATTTTCATACCCGGGTTGTTGGGCACGAGGGATATTGGTATTTGGTTGGTGGCGTCTGGGGTCGGATGTGGCTTGGCCTGGAGGACCTGGTCGATAGTTGCCAAATCCAGTGAGCGGATTTCGTTGTGGGAATCCGTTTGCAAAGACATCAACTAGCAGTTCCTGTTGACTGCAAAGGGAGAACAACTTTCCCGAACGGCAGTGGTCATGATCTGCTCCATTCCCATACTGTGGAATATTGCACGTACATCAACAACGCCAGCATAACAAAGCAGCTTTCGTACTGAAGACATAGGACAACAACTTCATATCTCCGCACCTATCCCCGATTCACGAACATCATACTAACATGAATCCCACAGTACCAACTCATGGTCAACCCAACAAAGACCTACCCACTCTCCTTCAACCTCGCCATCTCCATCCTCGGCGTCATCCAAGCCATCCTCGTCGACACGATCCTCCTCCTCCGCCTCATCTCCGTCTACCCCCTCTCCCTCATCGGTCCCACCCGCTTCATCTCTCTCGTCACCCTCCCCATTGCACTCAAAATCACGCGGTTCATCAATTTGGTGCTTATCATCAAGATGTTGGCGGATGGGGCGAAGCAGCCGAATGCGGAGGAGGTGTTGCAAGTGGAGTGGGCTAGTGCGCCGTACGTGAAGATTGAGTGGTTCGCGGAGCTGTTTGATGTCACGTGAGTGGTTTTTGTCCTCTCGGCTTCAAGATGGGATGTGGAGTGTTGACACGAAGGTTGTTCGGTCGGTCGGCAGGTATGCTTCTGCATTCTTCATCTACAAGATCTGGTTACACCGCAAAGAACGTCGTTCAGTCGGAACTGGGTCTTCACGCAGTACGTCTCTTTCATCTTTCTATCCATCATATCCGCCTCTAGACATATTATACCCACCCACCGACCCATCACTGGGACTCATCCTAATATACCGTATCACAGGTTCATTTACCCGCCGCCTCCGCCACGTCTTCTGGATCGCCCTCACAAACTTCGTAATCCCCGCCCTCTTCACCCTCGTCCAAATCATAGTCGTCTACTCCGGCGCAGACCCCACGACCCTGAACGACATCGTCCTCGTCAACACGAATCTCGCCGTCGTCGGCGTCGTGTTCGCGTCAATCTGGGCGGGTTCGTACTCGAGGGGCTGGCGCGGGTCGAGCGACACGTATACGGGACCGGGACAGGCGTATAGTCCGAGTATGAGTATCGCGATGGAAGGACGAGCGGGGGGGAGGGGAGGAGAGGGGATTGTGGGGGTGGGGATGCATATTAGTGCGGGAGAGAGGAGCATGCGGTTTGCGACGAGGGGGACGGTTTTTAGTTCGACGACGGAGACGCCGAGGGAGTTGAGCGAACGGGAGTTTGGGCCGAAGGAGGCGCGAAAGGAGACGGGGAGTGAGAGTGGGAGTGAGTATGTGAGGGTCGAGGAGCGAGAGGCTAGTAGGGATACTAGTGCGGTGGATTTGGAAAAGGGGGTGGCGCGTTGAGGGTTAGGACGTCCTTGATGCTTATTGTCGGTCAACGTTGGCTGTTGGGGATGGGGCCGAGGTTCGCGAGTTGAGGTTGGTTGGGCGAGTTATGTTGTGCGCCATATGTTGTGCACCAGTCCTATCATGCTATGTGGTGTAAATGATCGTACTATCTTGTTGCCTGCTCGTCCAGTCCTGTCGTTTCTCTGTTGCTTATTTACATCGTCGCTCTTTCGCTTTCTTATACATCTAAAAGTATCTTGTTGTTTAAATTTGCTCTTTCCGTTGGATCTCCACGAAGCATTGCTGGTTGGTAGCGTGCTGCATAGCTCCAAGGGCCAGCGGTCTGTTCATCCTTCTCAGATCGGGCCACACGCCACTCTGTTCAACAAACGCCCGGTCGACTCGGATATCAAATACACCATCTCATGATTTTCATCGTCCATCTTCGGTGTTCTCTTTGTATCATTCACCACTTGCATGAATAATTACTGGGACGTACAAATCTTCACCCTCGGGAGTATCAAGTGCCTCTAATCGTGTTGAGTTTTTGTTAATCTGGCGCATATTGGAAGAGTAAGTAAGCATTCTAGAGCAGTGGGCTACACTATCAATCGTACTCGACGGAGAGACATCATCTTTGATATCGCTGACTATAACGACACAATGTCATACATGTCTTCGCTGATTGGCCGTGTAGCGCATCCTGCATCTATACCCAGAGATATCTGCTCCTAAAACCAATTGTCATCGTCATGTCCACTTCCTCGTCACATCCATCCGATGAACCACCAATCCGAGACCAAGTTCAGTCCTACATCTACGACCTTCAAGAACGTATCGTGACGGCTCTCGAAGCAATTCCCTCCCCATCCTCATCCGCACTACCACTGAAGTTCAACAAACGAGAATGGACGAGGGAAGAAGGCGGAGGTGGGATTGCGTATACGACGAGTCCTACTCCGGCTTCATACTCCACAGAAACGAGCGCGGTAGGATGGATGGAGAAGGGCGCGGTGAACGTTTCGATGATACATGGGATGCTAAGTCCGCCGGCGATAAAGCAGATGAGCACTGAGCATGCTGCGTTAAGGGACGAGGAGTTATCGAAGTGCGTCCCCTCTTCCTTTCCAGTTTATTCTTCATTATCTTTCCTCTCGATAATGTCGCGTTTTCATTTCCGCCTCCTTTCTGACGACCAACCGTTACCATGTTACGATTTCATCTTGGTGATATAGGGCCCCTCTTCCGTTCTTCGCAGGTGGCATTAGCATTATCCTCCACCCACGCAATCCACATGTCCCCTCCGTCCACGCGAACTACCGCTACATGGAGATCACTTCTCCATCTTCCTCCTCGTCCACCACCGCCACCTCATCCGATCCAAAATCACCTCCACCACAGCAGCAACCTCTGACTTGGTGGTTCGGCTTCATAACCGACCTCACTCCGACCTACGCCCACACGCCCCACTTCACCCACTTCCACAAAACCCTCAAATCCACCCTCGATGCACACTCCCCGATCCTTTATCCTGCATTCAAAAAGTCCTGCGATGACTACTTTTGGATCGAGCATCGGAAGGAGCATAGAGGTGTCGGAGGCGTCAGGGTCGACAATTTCGGAGAGGGGCCGCATGCATATTTTCCGGACGAAGGGAAGGAGGGTAGCGAATGGAAGAGGCCGAGGACGAAGGAAGGGTTGTTCAAGATGTTGAAAGACGTTGGAGACGCGTTTTTACCATCATATATCCCCATTCTCACCGACCTCGCGCTCTCGCCTTCGCCCACCCTCGGCCTCTCCACCCTCGCCACGCCGTGGACCCCGCAGCAAAAGAGATGGCAATTGATTCGACGAGGCCGTTCCATCGAGTTTACGCTGGTTTATGAGAGGGGAACGAAGTTTGGGTTGGCGGCGAAGGGTGTGAATGTGGAGAATGTGTTGGCGAGTATGCCGGAGGCGGCGGGGTGGGAGTATTGTAGTGAGCTAGGGAACGATTGGGAGGGTGAGGACGAAGAGAAGATAAGTGAAGAGGGAAAGATGGTTAGGATCCTGAAGGGGAAACCGATGGCCTGGGCGGAGTGAACGGGAAGAATACATTTTATATTATATAGCGCAACGAGGTTGGAGATTAGAAGGCCATGGAGCGGTTGAGATTGAGAGAAAGGTGAGAGGGCTATGTGGCGCTGGGGGCTTTCGTGGATACTCGAGGGAATTTAACGGGAAGCGATTTCGGATAGAGCACCCAAAATGTCCTGTTACCTTGAGGTAGCTGGGGCCGAGTTGTATGCTAGTGGAATTTATTGTTTTTGTACGTGGTGCAGACGACTTATTGCAGGATTTGCTCAGATAAGTCTGCTGTGGCACAGCCAGTGCGGCGATTTCGCACGGATGGTCGCCACTCGGCTGGGCATGAATGGAGATTCTTCTTCTCTACCATCACCATCTTTCTAACCATTCTACATACGTTCCTCCAGGCTGATTATCTTCGTAATAAACGTCTGGTAGATCATCGATCAGCTGCAATTTACATAGTTCTCAATTGTGACTACCCAACTAGCTTGTCCGCGGATCTTCATGGGGCACTACGATTCTTAGCTTTGCTGTCGGGCCCCTAAAAGGCTCTACTGGACCAGCTCTGTCGACTGGATTCTTCGCTGGTATTAGTCCTTCCCTGGAATCGAGTTCACACCCTACTGTGTACACGGAGCCACTCAGAACCACCAGGAAATGCCGTAGACACCGAGAGATCGAAGAACATCTGTGCCAGGAGCAACCATATCCCAGGCCACATCTGGCTGCGGTCCGGGTGCTTCGCCATACCTCGCAGAGCGCCTTGTACGGACGTCCTGCCGCATCAAGATCAAGGTCTCTGCGTCCAATCGATGTTTCAGATCATTCGAGGGGTTATAAGAACCCACAAGGTTCTACATTCGATGTTGAAGCCTTCTCACACGACCTCTACCTTCGCGTTCAAGGCCGTTTACCGCTACAATTCTCATACCGCCTAGATATTCATGGGATCCTCGCAATCATACTTAACCGACCCATCCAAGTGGGCGACACCGGTCAAGGAAACGGGGGAAGGTGGCGACAATTGGAAGGTATACGATTATGTGATCGTTGGTGGAGGTGCGTACTCCCTTTCTTTCTTATTCTAGTTCCTCTACGAGGGGCCCTTCGTGCCTCTTCCTTACCCCACCTTTCCCTGCTATTGAAAAGCAATACTAACGCGGCTGTACCTCTGCAATGACCGACGCATTATATTTTCGTAATGAATTGGCCTGAATAGGAACGGCGGGATGCGTACTCGCATCGAGGCTTTCTGAAGACGCAGGAACAACCGTCTTGCTGATTGAGGCTGGGAACAGGTACGCCTCTTTATCTGAACTCTTCCATTGTGAACTTATGTTGACGAGGCTCTTGTTCTCTCGTTGCGTTTGTTGTTCTTGTTCTGCTGGTGTTGAACGGCGGTGCGGGTGGACTACGTTCGACTTTCGGCCGCATGGAATATTGTGACGCGTCGGTGTCATGAAGTCACGAGAAAGAATTCCTCACACGTATCCCGCTCGCTTGGCCCAGGTTGCTGAAGACACGTGTTGATTGGGACTATGAGACTACGTTCGTTCTTTCTATCCTGTCTATCTTCTTCCCCGATTTTCTTCTCCAAGTCACAGGTAATAGATGTTATTATTATCCAAGCTTCACTCTCCTACCGACGCTACATAATGTCTCACAGACTTCTACTTAATCTTACCCTTTATTCAACTGAATAGCCCTCAGAAACACGCAAATGATCGAGTCATCCCGATACCGCGCGGGAAAGTCGTGGGTGGGAGTAGGTATGCCCCTCCCATCTCCGCTCCCACGACGCATTTTTTTTCACCATACTGACGTTGATTCCTTTTGCAGTTCTATCAATGCTTTGCTCTGGCAACATTGTTCTCCTGAAGGTCAGTTTATCTGCATTTTGTCCCGGACAATTTACGTTGAACAGCGTTCACCGTGCTTGTGCGATGAAATGCACCGTAGATTTCGACGAGTGGGTCAAGCTCGGCGCGGAGGGCTGGTCATATGAGGAACTCAAACCGTGCGTTTATTCCTCATGATACGAACTGCCCTCGGTATCATGATATAACTTCGTCGGCACCGATGCAGATTTATACTCAAGTCCGAGAAATTTACGCCTTCTCCTGCCCATCCTGACGTACAGACGTCTGACCATGGGTCCGAGGGATTGTGGAAGATAGGGTATGCGCCACCGGCGGTGCGTTTCATTTATACATATATTCCTCTGTGATGCTCCTCTGCAACTCCGGTGATTACCATAATGCGACTGATATTCACGATCTGTTGGTATCCGTAGCCTATCCATGAACACATTTTGGATGCATGTGAGGAGATTGGAGTTCCAAGGATTGCGTGCGTTTTCTCTAGATGCACTATCTTACATCGTTCTCAATCTCTTCACAAAAATGAGTAATTTACACGCTGATTATTCATGTTGTATATATAGTGACATGAGCACTGCGGATGGACCGCGGGGAGCAAGTACCTTCATGTCATTTGTTGACGGGAAGGGTGGCCGTGAGTGTCCACTTTTTCACTCCCTTGCTTCCGATTGTGGTCGCCATCCCCTAATTGATCACTGCTGCATGTGCGCAGGCCACTCTGTCGCAAATGCATACCTCACACCTTCCGTCCTCGCTCGACCAAACCTTACTATCTCCGTTAACACATACACCGAGAAGATCATCTTCTCGACCACTGGGGAAGATTCAGCGGAAGGGCCTAGAGCTATAGGTGTGCAGGTATCTCAGAGCAGAGACGGTCGGAAGTGGAGGGTTAAGGCGGCGAAGGAGGTCATCGTTTGCTGTGGTACGTCTCCCAATCTCAATCAATGGGCATTCAGCAATAGCTAACCGTACTGATAAATATGTCACTCTGCACTGAACACAGGCACGATAGCCACGCCACAGCTCCTCCTCCTCTCGGGCCTCGGCCCTTCTTCCCACCTGAACTCCCTTTCTCCACCCATCCGCATAATCAAGGACCTCCCACAAGTTGGTCTAAACTACTTCGACCATATCTCCGCCGGACCATTGAACATTCGAGCGAAACCAGGATACACGTTTGATTACCTGAATGGGCCACTGAGTGGGTTGAATGCGATGGTGAAGTGGCTAATCTGGGGGACGGGTCCGATGGCGTCGCTTGCATCGCCGGGAGCTGCGTTTGTTAGAAGTGATGATGAGAGGTCGGCTCTTCCCCTGAAAATGCATTCAGGCCTTCAATGAGAAGCATTGGGAAGATGAATGCTGACGTTCGCAATGTTTAGGATCCCGTTCGACGGCAGGTCGAGCACGGCGGTGGATATACGAGATACAACATCTGGACCGAACGCTCCTGATCTCGAGATTGTTTGGTTCCCTGTGGCGGTACTCGGTGTCCCCACGCCAAAGAACGTGCACGGAGTTTCGATTGTGCGTCTGCTTTTCTTTACCCCTTCCGCCCTTCGTGTTGTCAACTACGCCTTGACTCTTCTTTGATCATATTTGCTTCTGGGAATATCTTGGTCAAGTTTAGGGGGTTGTGGCACTCAAACCTGAGAGCTCGGGTAGCGTGAGGCTGAAAACAAACAACGTGTACGACAAACCACTCGTCGATCCAGAGTATGTCGTCCTTCGTGTTATGATCTGCTCCACACGATCGCATTGACTGAAGCTATCTTTGTTACCTCCTACAACTTAGCTTTTTTTCATCCGAGAACGACCTCAACACCGTTGTGCGCGGTGTACGATTCTCCCTTCGTCTAGCTCGCACCGAGCGGATGAAAGGAATCTTCGACCTCGACGAACGCGAAGAGGACACAACCTCAGGGTTTTGGCCCGGCGATGCAGACCCTGACATGATCACGGATGAAGAAATCAAGATGTTTGTGAGGAGGAACTGTGCGGCTGCATTTCACCCTGTTAGTGGCCTTTCGTGTCCTTTTTTTACTCCTTGCGGGTTGAACCTCATATACTGACAGTCGAATTTATATGCGATCGTGACAGACATCGACTTGTAGGATCTCTCCAACGTCGGATACGGGTGTCGTCAACCCCACGTTGCGCGTGCATGGGGTGAAGGGTCTGAGGATATGCGATGCAAGCGTGTTCCCTTCGCAGTTGAGTGGTCACCCGGCCGCTATCGTGGTCGGTATAGCGGAAAAGGCGGCAGACATGATAAGGAGGGGAGTTTACTCGTAGTTGAGGTATAACGTCTCGCTCAGTGACAATAGGGAGCGAGGGGCTGCAGACGGGAAGTCTTTGTCTTTCGACGTGCAATTTGTGTGCGATCGTAGTTCATCGAATGATTTATTTGAGGCTAGATTGGTATTGCGTAGTGACATGGGCTGTATGCCCCTTGTATAAAGAGCTTTTATGATGTACACTAGCATTTTATCGACTTGTAAAGCTCGCTCAGCGAAGGCGAGTGGCACCTGAGGCGCCACACAACCAGACCAAGCGTGTCGCCCACGTGGCCGCGAAAAGCATCAACACGACGCGTCGACCGTCGACTTGGTCTTGCCAACATCGCTGTTCGGTGTTGCATATCTGAGGACCAGTATTGCGTGTAAGCTCCAGGAGTTGATTGCTCCATCATCTGGCTCAGGAGTACTTGTTGCATCATCTGGTTGCTTCATATGTACGTTCGCACTTCGTCCGGAGACAACAACTTGACCGCAGACTCTAGCTTGAGAGCTCGTAGATACTTACGCTTGCTTCAAAGAACTCTTGGGACTTGATTGCACCATCTGTAGTTTTCTCTACATTTGATCTGGTACGCTCCGCCATTCACTATGCACTTGCTTTACAATTGCATGACGCTGAGAGACCCGAAACGCTGATCTTCTCGAACCCCGTCAACAGGACCAGCTTGATCATCTCGCGCTACTTCCTCCAACCACTCTAAGTCTATCCCATTCTATTCTCTAGTCCTCTCCCGCTTTCCCCTACTTCATCCCCGACGATGGACTCAGAATCGCCCTTACCTCGAAAGACGATCCACGACGAGCTCCGCGACGCCCGTCGCGAGATCAAGCTTCTTCAGCACCAAGCCATGCTTTTCACCGACGACCATAACAACCAAATCGCCCAAGTCGAGTCACACTTCTCCCTCCAACTATCACGCGCCGAGGATATCTACAACCACCAAGTCTCGCTCCTCCAAGATGATCTTGACCACGTACGCGCGGAACGGACACGCGCGAACGAAGTGATAGAAGAGGAGAGGAAGCGAGTGAAAGGTCTGGAGAGGGAAAGAAAAGTAAGGGAGGGGGTGATGGAGGAGATGACGTTTTCGCTGAAGAGGGCGTTGGAGGAGAGTGGGGAGCTGAGAAGGCTGAGAGCGGAGGAATCGAAGAACGTTGAGGCCTTGCGATGGCAAATTGAGGAGATTGGGAGGGAGAGGGATGAGTTGGTGGAGGCGAGGGACCAAGGATGGAGGGAGGCGGAAGGACTGCTGACAGAGACCTTGCGGGTGGAGAATGAGGGGTTGAAGGCAGAGAGGGATACGTATTTCCGGGAGATGGATGTGGCCGTGGAGGAGCGTGGGGAGCTGAGAACGTTGAGAGCAGAGGAATTGAAGAAGGTCGACATGTTGCAGGGAGAGATGGAGGAGATCGGAAGGGAGAGGAATGAGTTGGTGGCAGAGAGAGAACGACTACAGATGGAGGCGGTACGAGCGGGAGCAGAGACTGAGACCTTGCGGGTGGAGAACGAGGCATCGAAGGCAGAGAGGGATGGGTATCTCCGGGAGCGGGATGTGGTCGTGAAGGAGGGGAAAGCGCTTGAGCTAGAAAAGGCGTTGCGGGAGATCAGCAGACTGGAGACAGACGCAAAGTTTTTGAGGGAAAATAAGGAGCACTGTCTTCAGGAATGGAATTCGGCAATAGAGGGTCGGAGCGTCCTGGTCAGCGAGAGAGATACAGCACGGTTGGACAGAGATACGGCACGGTTAGAGAGAGAAGATCTGGCGACGGAAAAGGATCGACTCATAAAGCAGAGAGATTCGGCGATTCAGAAGAGAGATCGGGTCCTTAAAGAGCTCACCGCAGCGATCAGAAACCTAAGGGACGAGGTGGATGCCCAGGCTAAGGGGACGGCGAGAATTATGCAGGACGCTGATGCTCAAAAGAAAAAGCTCACGGCGGAGAGGGATACGCTTCGCAGGGAGAACGACGAGTTCTTGAGGGGAAGGACGAGCTTTATCGCGGAAAGGGACACCCTCCGAAAAGAGAGGGATGCACTTACGAAGGCCAGGGATCTCCTGCGTCAGGACATGAAGAGGTTGGCTTTGGCGGCGACAGGTGCTGAGGTTATAGGACGGGGCGTGGCCACGGGCATGGGCGATTTTCCGCAGAGGACGTTCGCGTTAGCCGCGGAAGGAGAAGAGACCAGCACGGCGGAGGCTATCGAAAAGAGCGGGTCAGAGAGTATGAGTGGTGCAGGAACTCTCCCCCAAGAGAAGTCAATGACGAGAGAAGATTCGGCTGGAGCAGAGGCAGAGCCCATTGTAGCGGAGATCCTCTCATCTGCGAGCAAGGCTGTTGATGTGAGACACGGGAACGTTATGCCCGACCCTGTCGAAGTCGCTTCATCGCAGGATCTGGTTGAGCATGCGGAAGACAACGCGAAGGAATGTGGGTCGTCATTTGTGCTTTCCCCCTCGCAAGCCTGTTCCTGACCGGAGCCAGTGCGTCACTGATACCTTGGCTGAACGCAGCGCCTTCCATTGCAGATAACGATGGTCAAAATATCTCCTCTTACCCATCACCGAAGAAAGTCACCATCTCGTTCAAAACACTCCTGGCCGCCCACAAGTTGCCATTCAAGGATCTCATGCCTGGCTGGCTGAAGATGGTGGAAAAGACCTTATATGCCTCGCGAGCCTTCAAGAGATGGAGGACGTCACCCTCGAGGTACGAGGAGGATATTGCACGGGTCGCGTACAAAAAGAGTCCGACAATGAGAGTGGGTGTGATGTACTGGGTTGCTGGTCTTGTCATGCGAAGGGTACGACATGCACTCCTCTGGCCGTCATCATCATGCATGTGAGTCCTTCGGAATAACCTCGAGTTGCCACTTTCCCTCCAGGTACACCACATCAGTCTTGAAAATTTGGTCTCGAAATACCAGCTCGATCAAAGGAACCTCGTCTGCTTGGATTCCCAAATGACTTATGCGTGTAAGGCGGAACGCGAAATGATTTTGGAAGCCCGACAGTTACGCGATCCTACCTTCATCCAGGCTACAGAGGCGAAGATCAAGGCTCAGCGTGAAGTCGCCTCTCGTAGTAAACGCGCGGCTAGACGCGCTTCGTCCTCGTACGTCGGACCTTCCTTCTAACCGGGTTCGCTATAAATCGCAATGTTACTGTTACTTTTCAGGCAGCGAAGCGGCTCCCAAATCACGTCGTCGTCATCCACTCCACAGGAACCTCTCGATCCGCCAAATATACCCAGAAAGCGCAAGTCGCGTACTTCTTCCTCGAGTCTTTTGCTCACGACGGCCCACGAAAGCAATAATTACGAGCCACTTCCCGAAGACGTTCCCCACCGGACCCCGAGATCGGCCCTCAAACGACAAAAGATCTGCACCGATCCGGTAGAAGAGTATCGAGCTTGGACGGATGCTGTAGCAAGTTACATAGTTCGTCCTAGGTCTGAGTTACGGGATTACAGTTCAGAGATGTGAGCGTATGTGCTCTAGGGCAGTTCCAGGCTGTAGACCTGGTGGGAACCATTGGGGAGGTATTACATAGGCCGTCAACGCCGCACCTACTCGCCACAATGGCATTGCCTTTGTCCTCGTGAATGCAAACCGCAAAATGACCCTGTGGTGATTCATGTGGCTATATTTGATCGTGTAATATCACCAAACCCGGATATGCGTCCTATTCACTCGCACTCCTGTGTAGTCCGTCATTCCTGATAGCCGTCGCTCTCCTAGGGAGTTAATTGTAATCGCAAAGGAACGAATGGATGTTTGTACAAAATCAGATTCAGGAAGGCGCAAAGTATGTACCCGCGAACATGTGGAATCCTCGAGGTGCTGACTGTTCATACATATCATATCATAGGACCTCTAACGATCCCACTCTGACCGAATTCTGACTTCCCCCTTCTTGTAACCACCGAAAGGTTATGTCCGAACGTTGTGCATGACCCCACACCTATCGCTGTCCATCACCACCATACACTCATGACCGCTCTGCTCCTGCTTATCGCATATGTGACAACAACCCGCCTCTATGTTCCTGCGTAGATGAATCGCATTCTGAGACCTAGCCTCCTTCTCTCGACGTATCCCTCCTCCAAAACCAAGTATCCTCGTACTCATAGTTTCGCCACCATCTCACAACTTGTACCATGAAACGCATCATTATCGCCTACGATGGAACTGGCCAATCCGCCAGCCACGGCGACTGGTCCATCTACACCAATGTCAACCGTCTCTGCCATGCCCTCCTCAACTCACCAGACCTCCCTGTGCAGCAACTGGTCTTCTACGTCTCCGGCGTCGGAACACAAGATCTCGGTCTAGGAGGATTTGGTACCGTTATCCAAGGAGCATTGGGTGAAGGCGTGGAAGAGAACATGGCGGATGGGTATGCGTTTATAGTAAACAATTACCTCCCCGGGGACGAACTATTCGTATTTGGGTTCTCGAGGGGCGCATTCACAGCGAGGGTTTTAGCCAATATCGTTGCGCGGTTGGGCGTGTTTTCTAAACCCTATTCGTGGGAGTTCAAGGACGCGTTGTCCGAGTATAAGAAGGGCAAGGAGGCGTTTGAGGCGTTTTTGGGAGTCCTTGGGAAACGGGTGGCAAGGGATCAGACGGAATGGGAGAAGGATAAGGAGAAAGGGGTGTATATTCCAAGGCTGTATGAAGTGAAGGTGAAGGTTGTTGGATGTTGGGATACGGTTGCGAGTTTGGGGATCCCGTGGCGGCCAACGTCGAATGCTGGAGGTGTGTCGGGGGATTATGAGCATTTCGATGGTGGGCTTGTGAAAGGCGGGGGCTACCACTATTTATTGCAAAAGAAGTATAGACTCACCAGTTTCTGTTTCACCATTTCATAGGTATCGAGAATGCGTTCCATGCACTCGCCCTGGACGAGTGCAGAGGGCCATTCACGCCCACGATGTGGTACCTTCCCACGGATAAAGACGCCGCGAACTGTAAGCCACAACCATAAACCCTTTGACTCCATCCCCCGGGTCTTTCTACCTAGTCACATGATAAAAGCCTGAGGACACATTCCCTCTCTCCCCAGGCATCAACCTAAAACAAACATGGTTCCCGGGCGTACACAGTAACGTCGGGGGCGGCTACCCCGACCAGGCCTTAGCTGACCTGAGCCTTTCCTGGATGATCGACCTGTGTCGACCCTTTCTCTCCTTTGACCTGGCCAATATCAACCTTGAAATCGATCTCTCACTGAACCCGTGGAAGATCAGGTCAAAGAAACGGATGGCGCATAAGGACGGGCCGCCGGATGTTGAGTGGAAGGGGTGGGCGTGTGGGAAATGGTATGATTCGTATAAGAATGGGAAGACCTGGAGCTGGAAGTATAGGACACCTGGGATGTACGAAAATGAGAGAGAACTGGAGAAGGGGGATACAAATGAGACTATGCATGCGTCCGTCAAGGCGAGGTGGGATATGTTGAGGCCCAGCTGGAGACCAAAAGCCCTGGAGGGCTTTAGGCCTGAGGTGATCGAGGGTGGGGGAATCGAGTGGGTGAAGAGGGACAGCAAGGGAAAGGAGTTGTTGATGATCAAAGAAGAGCCATTTTTGAAGCGAGAGCCTGCGAAGCCTGATTTCAGCGCTGAGTGGATGTTGCGGTATACGCCTATTACTCCGAAGCCTTCGGAGCAGACGTCCACGTAGGTTGGCACTATCGACACAATCCTTCATCTCCTCTTAGTATAAACATTCTAGCCTGTGTTTCTTCATGTAACAGTCATCCGGTGTTAGAGGCAGATAATAATACACGAAGGTCGATGAAGAGGGGCAAACGAAACCGACCACTGCTCTAGTCATTTCTTGACATACTTTATCAATGCTTTCACAACATAGGCAACTAGTCCGATTTCTCATCATCTTATATCTTTCGAGTTCCCTCCTGAAAGATACCAAGAACAGGCAATCATAATCAGCTGGATCTACGAGGAGACTATCGACTATGTCCTCCATGAGGTGGACAGGTTACTGTAGTTTTTCGCGCACAAGTTCGTGTCCCGTGTCCCATGGGGGCCGCGAACGAACTTGTGCCGCGGGACAGTCCCACCCCATTGACGTGCACGGAACTTGTAAGTAGGACAAACCCAAATTTGACCCAAATTTGACGAAAATGTGAATATATTTTAGGCTCCTTAATTGACCTCAGGAAGGCCTCCGAGACACACTTTGGGCTAGATTTTGCTACTGGGTGAGCTCTTCCACCAAAATTCAGAGGTTAAATGCCTGTTGAACGGTTACGAAAGGTCGTCTCCCTGCAAAAGCGTCGATGTTCACGAACATTGTCCCTTGTCCCGGTCTGCTTGCGAACCGGGACACGAATGGATTATGTCATCTCGGCAACGGCCGAGGGGCGGTGGCGTGAACTTGTGCGCGAAAAAGTACAGTACACTGGACGGTATGATTTCTGTTTGAGAGAGACATGAAGTATGCAACCCCGTCATGAATTGTAAGTATAAGTATGTGAGATTTTCCGTCTGGATGAGGCGGACGTACATCTTCGGAAATTGTTTATATCAGATCGTAATGGCCGGCAGTGGTTTCCACAGTCGATACATATTTACATACTGTAGTTTTTCGACCAAGTGTTCGTCACGCATCACGCAGAAGGCGTCGACGAACAGTTTTGGTCCCGGGGTCACTCATACACACGGGTTCACGAACAGAAAATCGTGACGAATCTGCGCTGAAAATCGCCCAAAATTCAATTTTTGGGTACTAACACGAACAATTCCGCTTGTTCGTCACGCGTGGCCCGCACGAACGAACCGTGGCCCAGCGGTGGTCACGGCTGACATAATTATCCCACGAACACTTGGTCGAAAAACTACAGTATGTGTTGTTTCACAGAATAATCTTGCCAGTAATCCAAAATATTGTGAAGAACTTATTCGCGACGTGAGGACAGGAATATAGCAAAAGCCCCTGTCAATGTTATGTGGACTGTCAATTGAGTCTGAATAAAGTTACTTTTCAGCTAACTTTTCCCCGCCAAAAAATGTAACGGTTCTTACTTTTACTTTTCCCATGCTTGGTGTAAGTGACATTTCTTACTGTAGATTTTCGACCTAAAGTTCGTCCCCGGTCCACCGGGACCGCCGAACTGAACCTGTTGGGGGGACAGTCCACTGTCCCCTCCCCTTGTGACATTCCCATTTGGGTATACTGTACTTTTTCGACCAAAGGTTCGTCACGCGTTCTCCGCGTTGATGAACCGAACAAAATACTGTGTGACCTCACGCATAACACAGGGTGAGCGAACAGTGACCTCGGCAGGCGCTTGCGCAAAATAATCATTTTCGCAAGCGCCTACGTTGTTTTCTGAACCATTTACGGGTCCCGTCACGCTCACGCACGGCTTCTGAACCGTGACCCGGGCGAAACTGATGGGTGACGTAAATTCTTCATGAACCTTTGGTCGAAAAAGTACAGTATTTGACGGAACATTTTCTATGTTTCCTCAGAACCTGACAAAAAATCAAGGGGAGCTGACAAATATAATGAATAACCTGGACCTGGTTAGTTAGTTAGGCCCTCGGGCCTCTTAAAAAAATTTTGGACCCCACCCTGAAAATCGCCAAAAATCGCCAAAATAATACATTGGGCTGGGAGCGATGTAGGTATCATGTGCTGATGCTAATTGGATTATTATAGAACCATTTTATGGGCAAAATGTTGATGACTGGGTCAAAACTAGAGTGAAATAATTAAGAGTTTCGCCGTTGGACAGTCTTACGCAAAGCTCAGACTGGTAAATTGAGTGTGATCGAGCAGCCATGCATCATGGAAATATAGAAGCGTAAGGTTTGGGCTCAGAGGCTAGGGCAGGGGAAGATCGACGTCAACGGCGAACATAACCTAGCCTAATTCAAGTGCAGATTGAATGATAGACTGATTATAAATCACTTATACTTCATTCCCCAAAAGAAATAAAGAGCGGAGATTCTTCTGATTGGCTCAGAAATATTATTTAAATCATTTAAATATTAATTACAGTTAGTTAGTTCACCCCTCGCCTCCCTTAAAAAAAAAATCAACTCCCAGTGTTTCATTCAGGATCTCAGCTCCCTTTGCAAAAAATACACTCAAAAAGGTAATCGTCCCCTGTCCCCCGAGCTCAATGAACTTCAGAGGGGGACAGGCTGGATTTGGAGGGTGAAGTTCTCACGCCACTGATGAACTTCAGGTCGAAAATCTACAGTACTTCTCGCTTGCGTTAGTCTGATTAACACGGTTAAGCTTGCTCAGCTTTACCACTCGTACGATTTACATACCATGTGGTTTTTATGCGCATTCGCCGCTGCCTTCGGTCCACACCGTCCACCGGACTTGCCAATGCCTTCCGGCAACATCAACGTCTTGTCGGACGCGGTCCGTTAGACCTGTCAAGACCTACCAGTGGATAATAGAATATGTGATCTGAGCTATATATCTCCTTATTATGGCACATCAGGAAAACCTGATTTGCTACGTGGTCACCGCCTGGGTTACGTAGCTCATGTAGCACTCTGTAGCCTTCAGCCAGGTATATGTAGCACCCGTAGCACTCTGTATCCCATGGCCAGGTATACATAGCCCATGTAGTGCTCGGCAGTCTTCAGCGTGAGGTCTGTATCACACAGGGTATCTCAAAGCAAACAATACTACTGTAGACCTCAAAAATGTCACATAGGGAAGCCGATGTCTGTACATGCATAGACCGGGATATATACCGTAGGTAGGGAAATATAGGGAGTAGCCATTCGAGACAGGACCAGAGATCTGACAGATGTTTCAGGAGAAAGAGGGTAAAATGGTTGATAACTCGGTACTACAGGTTACATAGACAAAGTGAAGGCCAGACACCGAACTTATTTGTTTGAAGCAAGAGTGCTCATATCGAGATACACACCGTCTCTGATCAAATTGACGGCACTCTTCGTCTCACTACAGGACCGCGTTTCCCTCCCCTCCCGGTCATAATTCCTTAGTACGTCACTACCAGCTATGCACCGTTCTCGTGAGATTGTGACAGCTTTTGTCAACCTGTGTTTGAGCCCTGCGAAAGAGACGGTAGCCTTTGGACAAATTGACGTCGTTGAGGGTTGTAGATCAGATATATCCGATGGCCTGTCCCAGATTGGATTGTTGAAGTGCCGAGAGGGTGCAGTGGGCTGATAGGCCAAGTAAGTGCCTACAGGTTCGATCGAGACAAAGAAAGAGTCAGGACGAAGTCGAAGGCGGCGAGGTAAGAGGACGCCAGCCGTGCGAGCCTGCCCTAAACAATCACGTGATTTTGTTGACCGCCGTTTCCGGAATCGACGACGCGCGTCTCTTTTCGCCTGCCACATCCTTCCTTCCATCGTGTCTCTCCCTGTCCCTCCGTTCCACCGCGTCTCTCCCTCGTTGTTTACCGTCAACAGTTCCTTGATAACGTTTCCGGCTGCTGTACTGGCATCAACATCAAGAGGGGTATTACCGCTTCAGGCTTGTCGAGATCAAGGGCATCAGAGTCTCGTTGGGTGCGCCCTTCTTTGCGTTCTCCTCCGTCTGGGCTGGCATGATTGCCTTGCCTTTCATTTTCCTTATCGGAGTGTTGTTATGGCATGGCATGGGCTCAAGACTGCGTGTTGAAAGTACGTTCCTTCCCTCCTGTCCTGTCCTTTCTATATCTCATTTTTCCTTGTCACTCCTCTCGAGATTGCAGGTTAACCCAACAAATGTATCTTAGTGATACACTCTCGTAGGTAGGCCTGCCACCTCACACTTTGTTTGAATGTGCCACGATACTTTACTTACATTGGTGCTCGCCGGTGGCTGCTCATGCCACCCTGCAGTCTCCTATCTGGCACCTATAGTATAGACTAGTCGTGTATCGGAAAACCATCGCAAACTGAGGGTCTAGAGTGTTGTGTCATGTAGGATGTATGGGGCCCCGGCAGTGAACTCTCTCAAGGTGCGTACGTCCATTTTGATTAATGTTTTGTCTATTGTTGTCGCGCTCTGCGTAGAGAGCTGTAGGGCAGGATTTCTCCGGTCTAACGGACAACATAGACTTGCGTGTCGCATTCGCACGGCAGTATTGGTGTTCTTCTGACGGCGATGTGAGATGTGAGTGGTGATATACATCGTTTTGATAGTTTGGCGTGGAACTGCGCGGGGATTGTATATTAGAGCCTTAGTTGTCGTGAGTCGAGTAGTCTCTGCATGTATAGGGTACTGTCTGCGACTCTTGTTCCGATGCAATACCAGTACATTTTGTGCACTGTACAAGCATGTCTGATCTCGGAATCAATCCAGTAATAAGAGGATACAGATCTATATGTGGTGCTACGAGCCTGCTATGGGTGTTTTATGTAGTGCTGCAGAGGTCTACTGTAACCGTCACTGAATGCTACATAGTGCTACGGTGGCCTCGCTGGAGGCTACGTGGTGCAATGTACAGGGGGTGCGCGCAACGGGGCTATCCGGGCTCTGTAGCCTCCGTAGCGCCACATAGCGCGCCCGCTTTTTCCTGATGCATATATGTAGCGGTTCACATCAGTTTCGTTCATCATCCTGAAAATGAAAAGTGTGAACTCGAAATCTCGAGTGTGGTGCTAGATATAATACTCAGTTCACATTGAGTTTGGATCCCCGAGACGGGTCTACTCCTGCTCTCATCTCCGCCCCCCTTCCTGATGGCCTCTGTTTGGGAGCTACGGTACGTGGGCCATCCACCAAAGTGTGTGCTGTTTCGAACGATGTCAGTGAACGGGCAGAGGCCGGAGGAGGACCCCCTCGCATCGAAATCACGAGTGTGAATTGAGCTTCGAGGCTCCAATGGGACGAAATTGCAAAGTATTGAACCCATCGTGGGTTTGGTTCACATCGCAAAAACGCGATGTGAACTGCTACATATATGCCCTATTGTGCGAGACTCAATGGCGATAAAACCGACTGGAGAGGCATAAGCTAGAACCCGGAAGTACGTACATGATATATAGATTTTAATGTCACACCGTGGATTCAGACGGATCAGAAGAGGATAAAAAATAAGGTAGTCTACGTACGGTTTCAACAGTGCCTCTGTCCTTCTCGTACACCCATATCCACCATTCGTAAAGGACGTGTCGCCGTGAACATTGCAAAGGGTCAAGAACAGTACCATCAACATGCATAGCTTCTTGATCTGCTGGGCCACGGGCAGAAATACCAATAAAGTCATCTCAACAACGATGCTAACCGCTTGTATATGAACTATAAACACGAATGGCGTAGATGGGTGACTCGGGCGCTGTCAGCACGTTTCCCTCTGCGGTGGCCATGATGCGGTCGGGTTGATATTGGGTGAAAGGAAGAGAAATGACGATAATATTGCAGCAGGAGTTTGCGCGGCTCGATGTAACACTCGGATGCATCCAGTGAGCCTAGTCATGCCACGGTCAGGTTCCCGAACCAGGTGCAAACCTGAACCTCTTGAACCTGACCGAGGTTCGAAGTTCTTGTTCAGCCTTTTTGGGAACCGGACCACTGAGTCCGGTCCGAGGTTCGATGAAGTCTTGAACATCGGAAGAGGGTTCGCCGGCAGTCCGAACCGGCCCGAACCACTGAACCTGGGAAGACGACGTCATCGGCATGTGGCTACAGCATGGCGGTGCGACGCGTACTCGACTCGCGCTCCCATGAAGAGCAACGCGCTCTTCGACTCTTCGACGTGCTCTTCGACTCATCCATGTGCTCTTGCACTGCACCCTCACTCAGTCGCGTCATCTGTAGACTCTCTATGACCGACATCTCTCTAGGGAACACCAATGAACACCAATAGGTAGCACTAGGCCCTCTCCAAGCTCAATACAGAGGTAACACGTGTCGGTGTTCCAGATCGTCGCACTCGTTGCTGAAGTATCCGGGCAATATACTGCCTAGTACCCAACCGAGTACGTCCAGATGCTTTCACCATTCGTCTCATAGCAACGAACATCAACGGCTAATATCCTAAATCTCAGATGTTCGACTTTTTTTGAACCGAAACTTACGGGTGACCAGCACGAGCCAACATGCAGCCTTCACGGTCATGCTCAGTGCCGTCCGGTATTCGGAGGGATGACGACAACAACTATCTGACGAATGTTCGAGGAGGTTCGATGGAAGTCTGAAGGCTTGATATTTCTGGGTATATAAGGTGCGTATGCGCTCACTTTTTTGTTCGTCGTTCATTGCGAAACTAACTTCAACCACAACCACTCGCTCTCCCTGCCTCCCATGTCTTCTCAGAACACCCCGGTCACCCCCATTACTCCGGTTCCGGTGAAGACCGCCCCTACGCGGCTCGATCAGTGTGCCCTTAACGCTGATGGAACGCTGAAGGACGCGTCCGAAATGGAGTGGTTCAATGACCCGGACGATGAGCATCCCATTGGTGCCATCCCCTCCATGTCTTCGTCGGCTACTGGTCCCAACGCCGGAGAAGCGAAGAAAAATGCCTTCGACGTCCTCGGAAAGTCCACTGCGAAGCCCGCCGTCATTGTCGCTGGCCAGCGCCGTTCGAGTAGGCCTCACAAGCCGCGCATCGACCCCGACAATGCGGAGACACTTCACCTGAGCCGTACGTTTATTCTTCACCCACCACTGCTCCGCTCGTCGTCATGCTAAACTTTATTTGTCTCCAATAGACAAGGCTGAGTTTCAAGCCAGAGCTTCTGACGCACTCGAGGCCAAGCTTGGCAAGCGTGTTCGCATGGACAATGCTGTCGTCAAAACTGCAGGTCAGTCAGTTGATCATCTCCTTTTTTATCCCGTTCACGTCATTGACATCTTGATCCATAGCCGTCAAGATAAAACGTCGCCGTGTCGTTGACGATAGTGAGCCCGCCGTAGATGTATTGAGCCTCAATGCAGATGCGGAAACCCTCTCTGACGGTCTTGGACTCGAAGAGCTCGTTGAGAACCCGCCCGCCACGGACGACGATTTCGACATGCACTCCATGCCCGACCTTGAGGAGGTTAGTGACTCTGACGACGACGATGACGAGTTCCAGGAGAACGGGGAAGGGGGTGAGGACGAGGCCGAGGATGATGAAGATGGTGAGTGCGAGAATGAAGAGGATGGAGAAGGCGAGGATGAGGATGAAGAGGGCGAGGATGAGGGCGATGACGAGAACGAGGATCCAGATTCTTATGCGAATATGCGCGCACACGCCGAAGCCGATCGAGAGGTATATTTGACTCCTTTCTGATGCATTACAATATATACTTATATATGCTTGGTAGGCTCGTCGCCCAAAGAAGAAGACCGAGGCCACCGCTGACATCCGCACCATCTTCCTCGCAGAAGATAAAGGTCATCGCTGCGTCATCTGCAAGTGAGTAGCTCTGTTCATGTATCTTCTACAATACTGATACTCGTCCGTTACAGGAAGAATCGCCGCTCAAAGACCCTCTTTCGAGGAAACGTTACTAGTTGCCGCACTCACATCGCACGGTAAGTCTCTTTTGTACAGTATTCCTATCATTTCTATTCCACTCACAGTATTTTTTCCAGCAATGTCGACCACTTCATGGTGTATAAGAAGAAGTGTGAAGAGCTCGGGATCCCGATGAACTCTCGGGCAATCCCAGCGGCCATCAAGAACGCCGCGTGAGTTTGCTCTACCTGTCGCCTCAGTCTCCCAAGCTCACAGTGTTTGATCTATCGCACAGGAAAGATGTGCAGACGACACTGGATGTACATCTCAAGGAGACTCCGAAGACACGTCCCGTCACGCGGAAAGGACTCATGGAATATATCATCGAGCTCGTTGTGGTGGACAGCAAGGTAATTGCATCAAACCATTACCCGCCTCATTCAGCTAAACTGATTTCTTACCCCAATACAGGCCCTCTTGCTAGTCGAGAAGGGCGCGTTCCGACGCCTTGTCCTATACCTCGCAAAGAACCTCAAGAATGATGATATTCCAGGTCGGACAGCAGTGCGAACAGAGATTGTGAGCAAAGCCGAGCGTGTTGTCGACGTCATCAGGGATAGTATGGCGGTATGTGTAATTGACTCCCCACTTCAATATCCGAGACATGCTAACACACTTTCAGAATGCACCTGGCCGACACTCGTTCACGTTCGACATATATACAAAGCACGGTGGCGACCCGTTTCTGTCACTCACCGACCACCGCATCACCGTTGATCCAGAGAATCCGCACAGCTGGAAGCTCGAATGCGACCAGATCGGCTTCGAGCATGTCCCAGGCTCCCACAATGGTGAGAACATCGCCAACGTTGTTGTGGGGGCGCTCGACCGCTTTGATATAACCGCTGATAAGGTATAGTACCCCAATTATCTCGTCTCTTCTTATGCCGTGTCGAACCAACATTATTGTTCTAGGTCGGCTGGTTCACTGCGGACAACGCTACAAATAACGACACGGCCATCAAAGCCATCGCCCGTGTCCTCGATGCGGAAGGTGAAGACTTCGATCCCAAGGAGCGTCGTATTCGGTAAGCGTCTCATAAAAGTCTTTCATCCGGTTCGCTGATGTATAATTGCCGACAGTTGTATGGAGCATACACTCCATTTGGCCGCACAGCACTTCGTCAGCACATCTGCGCCTGCGCCTGGTCTTGCCATCTTACAGCGAGTCCACGATGTCCTCGACCGCTCGCTTTCAGACGCTGAAGCTTTCAATCCCGATGCCCTTGATGACGAACTACGAGAGATGGGATTTGACCCGAACTCTGAGAACGAGCCGATCCCTGAGGGCGAGGAGGCGGCTGTACCCTTCAAGGCCACTGACACAATCGGAAAGGCCATGGCTCTCATAAAGCAGGTACGTTGCATTGCCAAGTATTGTTGCACGCTTACTAACTTTGCGAAGATCCGCATGTCTCCACAGGCCCGTGAGTTCTTCCACAAGACATGTAGGGAAGAGAATGTTCCTACACTGGAACTATTGCTTTGGGTGCGGACCCGGTGGGCCTCTCTCCACAAGTTCCTGGAGAGGATCTGCCTCCTGAAAAAGGTAATCAAGTTCATCCCTCCGTTCTGTACTGTCAATTCATTTTAGTTCTATAGGGTATCACAAAGTTCATCCAGCTTGCAGACGACAGTGACGAAGTTCCGAACCTCGCAAAAGGCAAGAACGGAGTCATTCGCCAGTACTCCGACTTCAAGCTCAGTCGTGCAGAATGGGCCAGGATAGATCTTATGCGGGAAGTCCTCCAGGTACATACTTCATTTACAATCTATCTGACAGCTCGAGGCCGCTGACCTTTGAACATCACTCTATAGGAGCCTGCTACCGCCCACGAAACATTTTTGTCGGAGTCAGAACCTACACTTTCGAGGGTCATTCCGACCCTGGAGTGCCTGCAGACAACGTGGGAGGCTATGGCGGATGATCCAAAGTTCGCCGACCTCGCACCAAACATCCAAGCGGGCCTGGAGAACATGCGTAAGTGGTATCGGTCAACCGATGACTCTGTGGCGTACTTTGCGAGCATGTGTTCGTATTTCTTCTTTCTCTCATCATTTTATATTCTTTGCCCTGATGACTCTATTTGTGGATAGTCTTTGATCCGAAATGGAAGGACCGGTATGCACGCAAGATGTGGGATGAGGATGCGTTCAATACTGCAATGGACCGTTTCGGCACTCAGGTATGAAAAGTGCCTGTTCATTTTCGTACTAATCACAACTGACAGCATTTTACAGTACGATGACTATTACAACGCTTTCCAGGACAGCTTATTGGCTCGGCCTATACCCTCATTCGCAGGCACCGCATCTGCCACGGCCGCGCCACCTGCTCCCACCCAATATGGAGCGTCATGGATGGCCGCCGCCGTTGATTCCGATGACGAGAATGGACTCACTACCGCCGACAAGCGCCTTGAGCTGCGCAACTACCTCTCTGCACCACGCGAGAAGGATGCGACTGATATTGTCGCATGGTGGGGTGTGAGTAGCGTTGATCATCCTTCAGTATATGTCTACTAACTTTATCTCAGCTCCATTCCAGCACCTACCCTGTCCTCGCGCGCATGGCCCTGGATTATTTGCCTATACAAGGCTCTGCCTCGCCATCAGAGCGTGCCTTTTCTTACAGCGGTCTTGATGATGTTGCGCGTCGTAACCGTATTAATCCGGTTCTCTTCTCAGCGTTACAGATTCTCAAGGGAGCGTACAGGAATGGAAGGATCTCGGCATCCAAGGAGGTGGCTGAGCAAGCACGCAAACTTTTTGCGGCAATGGATATTCTCGAGGAGTCAGATGACGAGTAGTTTAGGGTTTCAGGGTTTTGGCTGTACTGTTTGTGAAGTTGTTTGCTCTGTAGGTGAATAGAGCATATTTTGGTGATTTTGAAGCTTTTGAGTGAAGTTTTGTGGTCCTGAACCGGGTGCGAACCTGAACTGGACCGTAGGTCCGGTTCTCAAATTCTCATATGAGGTTCAGGTCCGGGTTCAACCTCATACTGCACTGGACCTGGGGTCCGGTTAAAGGTTCATTCGAAAACAGCTCTGAACCGGACCGAACCGGACCCCGGCATGACTAAGTGAGCCCATAGCATCACTAGAAAACATCCAGTGTCATAAAAGCTTACAAGTGAGACCAACAATGGGTCGAAGTTACTGTACTTTTTCGACCGTAGGTTCGTGGGAGTATTTGGTAAGCCGTGACCACCACTGGGCCACGGTTCGTCTGTGTGGGCCACGTGTGACGAACCAGCAAAATTGTTCGCATTTAGGCCCGAAATTGAATTTTTGGCTATTTTCGGGGCAAATTGGTCACGGTTTCTTGTTCACGAACTCAAGTATGAGCGTGACCGGCTGGCCAAATATGTTCGCCGGCACACCCCTGAGTGATGCGTGATGAACCTACGGTCGAAAAACTACAGTAGCCAGAAGTTAGGACAGTCACTTTGTGCACGTGACCATGACTTAGCATCGCCGCACGCATGAATGCCCTGAGTTGGTGCTCTCGTTGCATACTGAAATTGACGGAGTGATCATAGAGCCTTCCAAAGTACTGTACTTTTCCAACCTACTGTTCGCCCCCTGTCCCCCCACCCCACCGAACCGGACACTTTTAGGGTGACTGTCCCCCCTCTCTCCGCCCCAACAAACAGCTAGGGGGGACATGCTCGTAATTCAGCAAAATTCATAATTATAATGAAAATCAACGAACATATTCCGATTGATGTTTTTGCACTGTTTTGGCCGAAATTTGCTGATGATTGTATGCTCTGGCTTACCAAAATCCCTGAGCACTCAGATATGAGTGAAAAATCTTCATCCAGTGCCCTGTAGTAATATTTTTGTGGTTAAGACATTGAACAGTGTCCCCTGTCCCCCCGGGCTCGACGAACAGGGGGACAGATGTGTGGTGCCAGGCCGGCAAACTCCGGGAATTTGAAATCGAACAGTAGGTCAGAAAAGTACAGTATGTGTTCATGTCATAAAGTAATTTTATATACCTTTGCAGAAGGCAAAGTTCAAGGCATACCAAAGTTACTGCCAAGTGACCAATGTTACTTTCAAGTTACTTTGCACGCGAAGTTATGTAAATAATTCTCATATAATATAGGCCACCAGTTCGATCCCTCATTTCCTTCACAGACCAGAACTCGGTATGATGTTTTCGAATATTAGAGCATATATGTAGTAAATTAAGACGTCGGAGCCGCCCGCCCGAGCTCGCTTTCTGGTTGTAATAATCGGCGGACGGTTTGAATGTGCACCGCTACTTATATTCACTATAGCGAGAAGACCCTGTTCGCGACGTGAGGGCACGAATATAGCAAGAACTCCTCTCAGAATGATGGGGAGCATCCAGTAGACGCGGCAAACATGACCAAACCTTGATAAATGATATACGACCACCACAAAGTCTGATGTGGAAAGACAACAGGTCTGATGGCCGTAATTGAATCAACTACCTCCAAAGATTGAATGTCTCGATTATGTCCAGCACAGACTACGAGATAATGAAAAGCAAGGAACCCCCATGGAGATTTCAGAACCTGCACTCGTCGGTCGCCCCTCCAGAGATGAAAAACGCCATGGTACTGGTCCAAAGAGGAAGCGAACACGAACTGATCATTTAATCACTTTACCATCGCAAAGCATGTTTGCCAACGGGACCAACATGAAGCTAAGAAAATAAGACCCACCGTCGGCAGAGGTAGAATGGGAATCATTTCAGGAGGATAAACACGTATTTCCGGACATGCGAACAATATTGACCCGAAGATGCAGCGCTAGGCAGCATCAAAGCAGCATCGCACAAAAGTTGGAAACCAGCATCTTGGAGTGATGACACCACTGCTGTGGAACGCTGGCAGTAGCAGATAGCCTGAGAAACCCCGTCCTTTATGTTAATCTTCGTGTCGTTCACTCAATTTATTGGACTCATAATACCTGGAACGAGGGAGAATGAGCCAACATAAGGTATAGTAAACCACAGGGAGGAGGAGGAGGAGGAGGAGGAGGAGGAGGAGGAGGAGGAGAAACTCGGATAACACCACCTCGCAACCCAGTCGTCGACAGTTCATCGACAGGTATAGTCATCGAAGCTATAGGCATCATATTCCACGGGCTCCACCCAATCAACCCTTCCCTTCCCTTCCCTTGTGTCATTTTCCTTCACAATATTTTCCTTCACAAAACCAAAACCATCCCAGCTACTATCCCCGAAAACGCAACTAAAACGCCCATAACCCCACCCCTACCAATCAGCTCGACCCTCCCACCAGCCGCACTACTGCTGCTCGCCGCCGAACTCGCACTCGAAGCTGCACTCGAAGCCGAAGAAGAGGCACCGGAAGCGATGGAGGATGTGCCGGATACAGCTGATGATATGACGGAAGAAGCAGAAGAGGCGGGGGATGTCGCGGTGGCGGACGCCGAACCGGAAGTTACTATTCAGTAATGCGGGACGGGGCCGTGATTATCGAAAGAGTGAGGAGGAAGAAGACACGACAGAGGGAATGGACTGGATGAGGACGTACTGGAGGCGCACTCCTGGGACTGTAGCTGTAAAGCGGCTTGTTGTTCGGCAGAGGTGCAGTTTGCTTGCAAGCACGCGCTAGCAGCATCTTGGAACGCGGTGCTCGTGCAGACGCAGCTCAGCTCGGTGCTACATACAACATACCGGAACGAAACATAAGGAATTGTAAGGAAAGATAGTCAGTCACAACGTGAAGATGAGACGGAGGAGTATTAGTAGAGAACGCACAAAGACGAACAACCTCCCGAAGCGGCAGCCTGAGTGCTACAGTTGATGATACAGGTCGTGATGCCAGACGGCGCAGCAGTAGGAATCGCAGAGCTCGTGCCCGATTGGGCAGTGACGCCAGAAATGGCGAAGCCGAGAACGAAGAGAGCACCAGTAAAGATCATTTGTTAGATGCCTAGTATGTTTTACCCTTTGAAAGGCTTTTTGTCGACGTTCAAGTCAAAGGGCGGGTACGAAAGCAGGCGGGCGCATGCACTAGGGCATGACGAGGCATGGTCGAAGGGTATATATAGTCGTAGGTAAATAAATGGTGATGGACATGGTGCGGAGCAGAATAGATCAGGAGGGCTAGACGGGGTCATGGGCAGGCCGAAAGGAGGAAAAGGTCGGATAGGGGCGAGCGGCATATAAGCGCAAACCTGGGCTATAAACGGGATGCTGTTCGACCTAATTTGCGTCCGGACAAGGTCTCGTGTGTATTGTGCAAGTTCGAGACTCTGGGTGAGGATGGATCGTACGACTCTCATGTCATGGGTGGAAAATGACGGGAAAGAATGGGCCAAATGCCAAGACGTAACGCCAAAAGATGAGAGGACAAAGTCAGAGGACGTGGCGAGCTCCATGAGTTAGCTCCCACAGAATCACGAGAAGCATCATAGAGAACGGTAGAAGAGCGTAGACTCCAAGTCGGGACGTGAGCTTTCAGGTGACCAGGCGAAACGTTCTTGACTGACGGGCTACTCGTGAGACGCTGAAGGGCAGATTTGAACCAGATCAGTGTTGCGATGTATTAAGGATGTGATTAAGTGAGTTTATAGTGAGGACGATGAAAGGGAACCGGAAAACAATCTATAAAACCGTCCTCGAGTCTTCGATTCTTGACTCTAAATGAACCATAGCATCGACCGTCACTGTAAGGTTTGATGTCGAGCCACTGTGAGCTTCCAGTTTACCTTCATGTATTATAAACCTTGAAAAAATGATATCAATAGTGGGGGCCTATGGCACATTCTCGTCATACAGCTTGATTCGGAACGCCACCCCTCGAAACACTCCGCAAGCCTCGCGCTCGCCGATATGCATTCCAAATACCGCGTCGCATGTGAGGCACCAACATCATAGTGAGGTTACGAGGCTGTAAACGGATTGAGATATCTTTCTGCACCATAGCGTATCACTTCTGGATTGACCCTCCAGAATTTTGGGCGGCGACGAGTTGGCCTCCGGGGTCAGCCTTGTCGAAGGTAATACAAATGATCGTCCGTCAAGGCATCGAAAAATTCTCTGCGCAAAGCTTGTCAGTCCGAGTGTGCGAAGGCCTAGTCATTGGGTGACATTTATGGTTCGGGTGAATACGATGGCGATGGTCCTGAGGTAGAAGCAGTTAGACACTCGCTCCATAACTCTAGGCTACCAAGACGCAATCCTGAGCCTCTTCACGTCAATAAAAATGGCATCGCACCTGGCTGCGGCATGATGAAGCTTTCCACCCCTCAACGCTTGGGATGCACCGCATTCATGTCTCCGTAGATGGTTCGACTAGGAAGGAGAGCCTCGATCCAGACGCACCTCTACATCAACAAATTCTTCGATGGCGGTACGATACGTCGCGATGGCATGCCTCCTTCAGATCTAAGTGTCAAACATAAGAGAACCTCAGTGAACTGGTAGTAGCGGACCAAGGACACGACGCTGCAACGACGATGTACGGTTTATGTACGGCTCGTTGTCCACGATCGCCCTGGCAGCAAGCGGACTTGAATGTCTTTAAATTTCTGGGTAGCGGTCATATATAAATGGTATCTGGTGGGGTTTCGGCGGTCTGAAAGGCAGTACCAGGCGAATAACAGTGTTGCGAGATGGTAGGAACAGGAACGAGGTAGCGTTCTTCATGATGCTGACTCGCATGAAAGCGTTTCAAATTCGGAATGATCCGGGGTCAGAGTGATTTTATGCTGATTAGTTGCAATCTAATCTGAAGCAGCAAGGAGAGTTGAAGACATGTTTGAATTTATTATACTCATGCTGGCTCTCGATGTACCACTACAACCTCATCATATTCGCATTCTGTAGGTACGCACGAAGTTTCGAGATCTCTTGTATTTTTGTTATTGCACACCCACAACGTTCCACACCGACCGCCACAGCCTCTGCGCGATTGTCGAATGATCTCCTCGTCTTCCAGCCCTCGTAGGCGCCTGTACCTTGCTTCCATCACGTTCTCCATGAAAACATGTCGCTTTTTCTAGACTAGCGGGACGCCGATGAGTCCATGAAACACAGGCAGCCGCCTCACCGCCCCTCCCTGGCTTCCTCGTGGAAATCGTCATCATGCTCGGCGCTACATACGTATATAACGGCGCAACTGGTCCGTCATCCTTTTTTCACCCTTCTTCGCCCTTCCACCATCTTCGTCTTCGTCGAGCGTGTCCGAGCTCATTCTTTTCGTTGTTCAGACGCTTGAGCGAGTCGAAAAGACAGTACAAGATGTTTGCAAAGGTCCTTGCTGTAGTTCTCCTCGGTGTGTCGGCCACAAATGTCCTCGCGCAAACCACACCTCCAGCCTGTGCGGTCACTTGTGGGACGAGTGCTGCGGGTGATGCTGGATGCTCTCTGTACGTCCTTTCCTCCCTTCTCATTTCCATGTCGCATTGTCGAGTTCCACCTAAACCCCATGCTGATCATGTCATGTCCACCGGAATGCATTCTGTTTACCGAAACTGCATCCGTTCATCCTCATTCCGCCTTTCCAAATTCGTATTCTTCCATCGCTCAATATACTGCACCCGCCACTATCAATACCTCACGATCTATCCGTAAATGGCTCACGACACCCGTTGTCGCACAATCACGAACTTCCTCCGTCCCGATCATCCTCGCATCCATACGATTCGCCATCAAACTCGACGCCTCATCCCACTCCCAACATATTCTCAACATAAAACGCGGCGGATAACAAAACGCGATGAACTATGACCGCTATATACGCACATGCCAAAACAGAGCTGACACGAGCTGTCTCTGTGGCTCGCAGACTTTCGCAACTGATGTCGGGCAGTGTATCGGGTCGACATGTTCTTCGACGGATTTGCAGGCTGCTGCGAACTACTTTGCCGCTCTTTGCGCTAGTGGTACGTTTTCTTGTCCTCTTCTCCCCTCTCGTCGTGGCGCATCTATAGGATCTCGAGACAGCGTAATGATCTGACTGTCACATCTCTATCTATAGTCTCTACTACCGCGTCAGGATCCAGCGGAGCCACCACGACCGATGTCCCGATCCCCTCCTCCAGCACCACCGGATCCAGCATCTCCCTCACTGCACCCATCACCGTCTTATCATCCACCGTCTCCGTACCCACCACAACCTCCACCTCACCCGTGTCCTCCGCCGCATCCTCCGCTTCCTCGGCGATATCAAGTGTGGCATCCAGCGTCTCGTCGGCGATTTCGAGCGCGAGCAGGAGCGTGGCGAGTCGATCGAGTAGTGCTAGTGCGAGTGCGAGCTCGGCGTCGTCTGCGGCGGCTAGTTCGAGTGCGGCGGGGAGCAAGGTCGGGCTTGGGTTTGGTGGGGTTTTGGGGATGGGGGTCGCACTTGTGGGTGGATTAGTTGGGGGTTTGATGGTGTTGTGAGTGAGGGGATGGATGGTATTGTGAGTGGGCGATGTGGGAAGATGAACGGTATGGTGCCGGGTGCGCGAATCAAAGTGCTGGGCGACGTCGTGAGCTGTAGGTTTGTGAATAGGGTGGGGTGGGTCGATGCATGGTGGATGGATGTTGGTGGGTTGACGGACTGTATTCGGATCTTTGGGACTTTTCGGCTTATGTTTTCTCTGGATGTTGGGCTGTATGCTTCGTCTTACCGCTTTCATTGATCCTTGTCAGATTATTCGCTTAACCCTGCAGGTGTGCAGGCTCGACGGTGAAAAATCCTTCTTGATTTGGCTTTGAGCGCTATTGTCGGGTTGACGCAGAATGACTCTCGCTTCATGCGAAGAATAGCTTCGTAAAGTCGACTCACAAGCTTGAAGGTTGTATTGACATGCAAGGATTTCAGCATCCGGATGTTTCGAAAATGTCGACTACTTTTTGCCCTAGATGCTGGATCTAGTGCTTGCTTTGTCTGCTTACCCCCTTGGGTGCTTGCTGTCGGATTAATTGTTTCCTCCCGGTGTGCACGATCGACGATTAGAAAATCCCTCTCCGTAGGGTGAGATTTGATTGCTATTGCAGTTTGTATTCGCTTTTTCCTCATGCGAAGAATCATTTCGTAAAGCGGACTCGCAAGCATGAATGGTTGTATTGGCGTGCAAGGACTTGAAGTGAACGTTGAGTGAAAGAATTCAGAGAAGGAGCGGCGCCACCGCCACACGTCCCTGAACTTTTTGTGTGGCGTTGATGACGTCACTCAAACTCATTCCCTTATTTACAACGAATTTCGGGCGGAGCTCGAACAACACCTGCTATCGGACGACACTCCTTGTTTGCGACTTTCATCATCAACTGTGGCCTTGCTGTCGTACGTCGTAAGTAGATCTATTCGCTGAAGGCTTCTTGAAGTATTCCCATCTGACAGGATAAATAACGCAACAGCCAGGCTTTCAGTCCGAAAACAGATCGATGGCATCGGACATGAAGAGCGTAGCGCTTCCCTTCGAGATCCTGAGCAAAATACTCTTGCTTTGCATACCGGAGGACTACTGGGATGTACCTCCTACATTGCATCCATCAGAATGTCCTTTGCTATTGACGAGGGTCTGCCGCTTCTGGCGGGATGTGGCACTTTCCACGCCTCGTCTTTGGTCCTGTCTTGACCTACCTGGAATCGATGACCAGACGATCGTACCCCGCCTTCATCGCTGGCTGCGTCTTTCTTCTACACATCGCATGACCATACACGCATCCATAGACAAAGCGAACATGTCGCAAGACCGAGAGGTCGAGTACGTCAGAGAACTTTGCTCTCAAGCCGAACGATGGCGTGTCGTTCGTCTTCACCTCGCACATGCACAATCATCCGAGACCCTATCATCTGCACTGTCCGGTTCAACTCATTTAATTCCCCCTCCTCCTTCACTTCCTGCCTTGGAGATCTTTGAATTGAAGGTCCCGTTTCTCGGCGACGAAGTTCACGAGGGTACCGGACACGGTGCAATCAATCATATCCCTTTCCTTACTGCGCTCTCCGAGAGCCCAAACTTGTTCTCTCTCACACTCACCGATTGGTTGCCTACCCTTACGTTTTCGCCCAACTTCCTACCATCAGGCCTGTCATCCCTACGCCTCTCTTTTAGCGGCCGATCCTCGTTTAATGTCGACTGGTTCGTTGAATGCCTGTCTGGCTGCACAGGCCTCTCAGACCTCGACCTCGATGTTCCATACATCGAAGACTTCATCGATACTCGAGCCGACGAGGAACCCCTTCCACTACCCAGTCTCATTCGCCTCAAACTTAACGTATCAAAGCATGTCTCATTCGCGCACGTCGTCAGCCCATTCTCGTTTCCCAAACTGGAAACCTTATCACTCACCGTCCGCGAAGACTTCAACGATCCTTCGTTCTTCTGGCATGTATTTGACGATCTCGTCGCATGCTGCGAAGATTCCCTTCGGAACCTTTTCCTTTTTGGGCATGACCTTGTTTTCAACCACGATAGCTACTGGAGCGATATCGGTCCCAGTCTGAGTAACATCCGAGTCCTGCTCCTACATGGTACCCTCTGTTCCGACCATGTGGGAGATTTGCTGGAGGAGTTTACGATTCGTCATCACGACAACGGTCAGGTTGCTCCGGACCAAAATCTCGTTCTCATGAAAGTCTCCGTCGAGGTCAGAGACGCAGCCGTCGAGGAAGCCAAAACATTCTACGAGGTCGATCCTAGCATCAGGGAGTCCATTATTGAGGATAGCTTTTACTTCTTTCGATGCCTCGTCACGATGTCCCGCTCCCGAGCCGAATATGCTACTGCGGTCAACTATTATCCGTCGTTCAGGCTGTACCTTGGATCGAATGTTATGGAGGTGTGGAGCATATGTTACTTAGAGATGAAGCAGTGGGCAATGGTTGATGATCTAGAGGAATGGGAATCCGTCTCCGCGTTTTTCGACGAGCTTGAGGTGTCCAACAAACCGGCAGTTTGGCCGAACCGTATCTCGATGCCGTGTGAATAGTCTCCCTGTCTACTTATCACTGATACTGAGCTATATTCCTTCTACGCGCAGGATAGAACTAATGATTGTTACGCCATGATGTTTCTTGAGTTTTTTTTTCTTCATCTCGTCGCTTGGGGTCTAGGATCCGGAAGCAATCGTGCTGTTGACGGTCTTGCAATTGTACCGATCAGTCCCCGTTTCCATATTTGACACGTGGATAAAATGCGACGCCTATGCATATAGAGCAGTCGCTTCCACGTACGTGGTGGGCCTTCAAACAGGCAAGATTGAACCCGACGTACACTCTTCTCCGTCTACTTTTTTGGACCAAGATCAGCCAGTATTTGTTGTGTTCACGTCGGTCACGTAGACAACGGACGAGTACACTAGCATGGGGCTCGAAAACCAATGATACTTTTTGCGTTCCGTCGTACTCGAAATGGCACCCCGACTGGGGCCGCCTGGGCTTCCGTACTGGGCCCGAAGGCGGGGATTGCATCTGCATGTGCCGCCTGATCACTAATGCCCAGCGAAGCTTGGACACCCGCTAATACTACATCATTGTGATGATCTTGGGATGAGTATCCATCCCCAATGCTGAGATCCCGTACTTTTCTGATGCCTCGCATGAAGATTTCCAAGCACGCCGGGTGCTAGCAAATTGAGTCCGCCGAGTTATTGTTCGTATTGAGCACTGCAGGGAGCATGGATGCAGCATTATTATTTTCCTCAAGTGTTTTAGATTGAACAGAGGATATGGATATAACTCGAGGTTGACCCATTGTAGTGTGCCAAAGCACCACATATCGGTGATATGATGCCTGGGGACTGAGGCCGGAATAGGCTCGAACTCGGTCTGCGACATGTCCATATTTCTCGTACTAACCTCGTGACTACCCTCGTGACTGCCATAACTTCGCGAAATATCTCTACCTAAACTGATATGTTGGGGATGTAGCCCTCTCCGCTTTGTCCTACTGCAGCCTCGAGCTAAGGCAAGTTACAGCCACGTGCTGTGGCGCAAAGCGTTTCAGCCGGAGTAACTCGTACAGGAAGACCTTCGTCAAAATTCATAGGACTGTAGCACTCCTGCACAATCCCTTTTTTGTCAAAGTGAGTTTTGCGAGGGCTATCCAGCTTATAAAGCCCAGCGGATCTTGCCCGCGACGCCACTGTCCTTTCCGACACTCTACGGTGAATAGCTCTCCCTGTATTACCCACAATGCATTATAGGATGGGCAGCACGCCAAGGAGAGTTGTAGTGTCGGACGTGCTGTCATGACGGCTGTTACTGGAGCCTCGGGCGTATGGGCTCGACAGTGCAGTCGTCTGATCACCGGACCGCGAAGGCTTCCGCAAACAACAATAAATAGTCTGTCTTTGGCTTGGAATGGTCGCAGGGCGGCGGGAGTCCAGTCATGGACCAGAGCAATAATACAACCCGAAGATGACCATGCAGCTCGCCAACCAATAACGTTGCATATAGTGAGACCGCAGGACCACTCCCGAGCTCAGCTCATGGACATTAGTGTTCGGATTACTTCCAGCGTGAAACATTCTCCCTACTTTATCCCTCTCGGAGACCGCACAATTCGTGCAATTTGTTTCACGTCGCCTTTCGATTGTGCAACCGCGTGAGGAGTCCTACAACCACATCTCCTCTCCCTATTATCCTCTCTTGCACGATCCACCTAGGTTCAGGCCGAAAGACAATATCTCCTGTATTAAACTATTGTTCATACAAAATAAAAACCCATTTTATCAAACATAGTCCATTCACTCATCAATATGAATGTTGATGTCAATAAATATGTGCATGCAGCCGAGAACAGATTACCAGCATACTACGCCCCTCATAGGCGTTCCAGTACAGGCGATAAGCCGACGAATGGACGATATTTGATTTACTGTTTACTGCTGGTGTGATGCGTCTGCTTCAGCGTGATTAATGACTACTGTGAACGTTCGTATATAGTCATTGAGCGGTAAATCGTCCGACTCTCTTCCTCTATTAATGCATATTTGGGATTCGCCCGAGTAACAGCCGTGCTACCTGGATAGGTCGCAATGGAGTCGCATCAGACTGCATGACCTCAAAAATATCTCCATTGAAACAGGACGGCTAGACTTGGTACATAAGATGAACCACTTCACCCCGAACCTCAGTGTCATCAGCTCCGTACTCTCGACTTGGACCTTCATCTTCAAATTATTACCTGCGATGAAGTTCGCTTATGTTCCCCTGATCGCCTTCACATTCGCTGCTGCATCAACCTCCGTTGTGGCTAGATCCATCTCCGTATCTTCCCCTGGCACCGTCTACACCGGCAACAGAGAGTCCTGTAATTATAAGTGCCAATCAGTGGACAAATTGGGCGATCCCCTGTCAGATTCGTCTGAGATAGACATACTTATATGCTAGTGCGCAGTTTCCTGGCATTATTACTCTGAGCGTAGTCGGTTACTGATATAGACCTGGTCGAAACGCAGTTACGCAGCGGTGGAGACGGTCTGTCTGTACGATGAGGTATGTATCTGCTAATCCCCAACCATCACTTCCCCACGAATAAAATGGCCCTACATAGCACGCTGATTTCAGGAGTTCATTGTCTTGCAAATGATTGCTGATATCGATGGACCATTTTACATAATTCTAGGAAAGCGGGGTGTTGATTTTGGACAGTGATGAAACCATCTGTCCCAAGACGGCGATCCGTTGCTCCTAGAATCTCGCGGGGCAGTGAGTTCATTGCCTACGTCTAATTTTATTCTCTTTGCTGAATGACATACAGCTGGTGGATATTATGTTTTGGGGCATGTGCAGGCGCTTACAGCTAGGATAAAATATGTTCCCATATGCTGTACCATGATTAGCTCCACCCCATTCAATGGTGTAATTAAGATGAACTGCATAGTTGTGATTCCGGTTTTTTATATCTTAGAAATTCGCGCTTCAATGTAAAGATAAGCTGTGCTCGCTTCGTATCAAACGAATGCGCCGATTGGGCAGGTTCTCCCTATAAGTAAATGACTGACTGAGCGTCGATTCTGCACTGTCCATTCACAAGATAATTCCTAATGTAGATACTCGATTGTCGAATACGAAAGGTATGGCGAACGCCCATCACGTTGCGATGGCTGCGAGATCAGGTTGGGTGTTGAATGTATCCAATGGCTCTCGCACTCAACCAATCCCCTAGCTGTACCATTCGCTCGTTATCCTGTGTCATGACATGGTATTGGTTCTCCTTCGTCCGGTTAGTCTGCTTGCTGAAGGTAGTATGCATCGCCATTTCGAAGCATAAACTGCCCTAATAGTCGTGCTTCCTCGCTCATTATTAGACTACTTATCTGTCTCCAGCTGGAATTTATCTGCATATTATTCCCACATTTTATCAAGACGCCATGGATAGAGGACGTATGGTTATTCCAAATGTCACAGGTAGAATGGTTAGAGCAGACCTTTGATCGTCGTCATCTTCTACGCTTTAGAACAGATCTCCAAATATCATGATCGTCAACGATATCCATCTTGACCACTGTACAGAGTCTGCACACACGGATGGAACAGCACAGCATAGTATATATAAGTGCTACCACAGGCATACGCGTTCAACTCTGCGCTGGTCGTATCACCCCCACCATAATCGAAGACTTCCTTTCGGTCGGATGATTGGTATTATATTCGCTCCTTGGCCCTCATCCCTGCTAGCTCAGAAGATACTGTGGTTTTTTTGATGGCACCTATGTCTACAATCAGTGAGCACCTGTCGTAAATATGTCATTATCAAAATGCTCATTAGGAACTCAGCCCAGAGTTTTAGAGACTTTGGTGAGCTCAGAATTGCAAGGCACAACTCGAACGCAATGTATAACAAGATTACTATGACATAGTCACGACCGCAGTGGTCATCGACGTGACATTCCTGCCTACAGAGCCAAGAACTACGGCTGATACGTCAATGTGCATCTTGGATGGGATCCCAACTCTTTGCTCTACAAACAATCCATCCAGCACGTCTCCTACCATTACTTTGGTATCTAGCACAACTTCCGCATCCACATCGACCTCGCATAGCGGATATGTCACGACATCAAGTAATTCATCCACATCATGGCAACACCTTTGGTACAGCCCGACGAGTACAGTAACGCAGAGCTCTGCATCCTCCACAGCATCTTCGGCGTCGACTGACAACCACTCCAATACTAGTAGTGGCAAAGCAAAAGTTATAGCTGGCGCTACGACAGGGGCGATAATCGGTTTTGTTGTCGTGTTATTGGCGCTGTACCTTCTACATCGCAAACTTCAATCGAGGAGGGGCTCAGAGTCAATGAGCAAGAAAGAGAAAACCAGCCAGATGAGCAATTTCGGAGAAGATAGAGAGCAATGTATGTTCAGATATATAGAGTCTCATCATCCAATTAATAACTACCTTTGCTTGACAGATAATAATGTCGAAGACAGTCAGCGGTCGATGATTCCCACCAGCACACCGTCTCTGATCGAAGGTGGCACCAACATCACAACGTCATCGATTCCAGAGGTTGCTCTTTTACAAGCTGATATTGAGCGGCAGCGACTGCGCTTGATCGAGATAGAGAGGAATGAAGAGAGGTACGGAGAGATCATGAGAGAGGTCGTATCGCTGAGGCGCATGGTGAATACGCTTATGTCGGAGAGAGATTCCCAGAACCCGTTCAGCGATCATGCTGGCCCACCTAGTTATCGCAGTGGTGAATCTTCTGAGTCATAACGCACTGTGTCACCCGTGTCTTTCAGAATGACAATCAGCTATGCACGCGTAGTGGTCCAGTTTGTGGCATTATTGCCGTTTTGACTCACGTCTTCCTCCAGGACGGACTGGTTCCTATATAATCAAGATTTCTGCCCGAACAGGCTCTGGAAAAATGACGACTTTGACAAGAACCTTGAGGACATACAAATTATCGTAGCATTTCGCTCTTTTTTTCCACCGAACTTCGAGCCCAATTTGCACTCGGGAAACACCCTCTATCGGCATAATATCTGCCAGCTATGCTCAAGGTCGACTGAGAAGCTTTCCTTTCGCTCTATATTGGTGAGTTATCATCGACGGGTGTTCGAGACCTACTTCCCATGTTATTTACCTTATTATTTTGGTGACCTACTTATTCCGGTATCCGCATCATTGCCGACACTATGCATGTGAGGTTTATTGCAGCCAGCGCGGACGGGAAGCTGGATATTGAGTCAGACACGTCGACTGTTGACTCTGTCTTCTCCGTAAAGTCGTGTCGTTTGAGAAGAGACCGTATCTGCGAGTGAATTTTTGACCTCGCTAAAGCTCGCTAATGCCCAACGGGACGCGACGATTGGCCCGATCGCAGATTTAAAGCCGTTTTAAACGGTTGCAGATACGGTCTAATGTGCGCATCCTGAGGATAGTCCAGGAGCCAAGTACAAGTATTTCTGCGACACAACACCTCGCAGACATTCACTCTGGGTACTCACGAACTCTCCTCTGGGGAAACTTCGGTCCGACATCGAGTGATATTGTGCTTTGCCTGAACTACATTTATCCCACCTTCTATCAGGATGCTGTGCATCAAGCCCGATACGATTATATTGCACATCGAGGCAATACGTGACTTGCTGAGGCCTTCAAAACTCATCCAAATATCATTCACCCATCATCACAGTACTTCAATAACTTTTCGGCCGCTCTTTTGAGACAGCTTAACCTGTGTTTCTCGTCTTGAAACTCAAGCAAAGTACTCGGCAGCCGTGATGGTATGCTGGTACGCGGTACTTTCTGTTGGTGATCTCTGTTATATCCCTCGATGCACAGGCTTCGAAAACTTGCACATGATTGATCATCTGATGAAAAAATGTCACTTCCAATAGACCTCATGAAAAGTACGAGACATATATAACAATTTTGACTCGAAGACATACTGTAACAGCCTCAAATCCTACATTGTGCTCACGTACATCAGCACCCTGCTGAATAACTCGTACTGAAGGTATGTCGTCGTTACCATTTCGTCTGCTCGCAATTAACTACGTTGTTCTCTAGATCATCCCGAGTTATAGGGCGTGCGATTATTCCGACGATCATCCTGTTCACTTCCGACATCATATCAACCGGTACCAGTACTAGTATGGTATTTCCCCTGGAACTTTATGTCTTCGCAAACGACTTAACGCGTTGCATGATCTATATTTAGATCCGAAACGAGCTGAAGAATGAGGCTGACCGGCTTCAGTATGGCTACAAAGACGAGTGCTCCACTGACGGCTTCTTTGACGGCTTCTTTGAGGCCAGTCGCCGCTGCATTTCCCTTGTCAGAGGGAAGTTCAGATTCATGGACGTCTCGTTTCAAAGAGTCAGATGTGGCCTCATGGGGTTGGTTTCATACGCCGGGAGCGACGAGCGCATCAAGCACCTCATTCAGCTCTTCATCGACATCTTTCACCACTAGCGCCTTCGGCTCCTCCACGAGCACCCCCAGCACCTCGCCGTCTGCTCAATCCAGAATAAGTATAATCGGTGGCATATTTGGACTCATCGGAGCAGTGGTCGTCTTTTATTTTGTTCTTAGATACATATGGAGACGGAATTTTGCGCGGAGGGAGAGAGATAGTGAGATGGCCGTTGCAGGTGCCGTGGATCCCTTCCAAGGTGAGTATGAACCTGTGTACTATACCTTCCGTCGACGGCGCGAACAAGACAGCTTATCTCATTGTATTCACTCAAAGAGTTCTGTCCGACCTCTGGATAACGTAGCTGGATGTTATGAGAAAGGCACGTTGCTTGCACCGCGGGTCGAAACCGTTAGTAGTGAACCTGAACGACCTCGAGTTGCAGCGGAGCTGGAAGAACGACAGCCGTGTTCAGGCAATCCTCGTGTTGGCGAAGCATCCCGGGAATCGAGATGAAATATTGAGAGAGATGTCTGCGTTGAGGGAGACTATACATATAGTCCTATCAGAGAGGGCTGAGCACGCCCATCGCGACGTCAATAGGACACCCAGTTACCAGTCAAACGACCGCGACGGGTCACGATGGTACGTTCGTTTCCATTCAAGAGCTTTCATCGTCATTTATAACACTTTACATTATTATTCTTAGCAGAGTGACTACGCCCAATGCAATTGAACGATGATACTGATGGCCGCATTGTTTCACTATAACGCTTGCATAGCATACGAGATTATATATCACATTGATTTTCGATCATTACAGATAGCGCCGTCCTTTGAAGTCCATCGTAGCGCTCGACGCCTGCATCGAGGTAAGCTGAATCAAATGCGGATATAAACATTCGCACTAAGTTCAACAAAAGTTGAAAGGGGGTTGCATCCGAATCGGTGCTGCACTGGCTACATATCAACTTGCTTAGAAGCCTTAGGGAGATCTTTGGTTTCATGGGGTGAAAAAGAGCCGCCATCTCGCTTGATACGAATCATGTCGATCCTAGCCGACTCCAGGTCATCGTCGTAGACCTAGGATGTTACCGCTGATCAGCGCAATGTCCGAGAATATGAAAAATTGCTGGCTCCTACTCACTACTGGTATAAATGTGGTTAATCCGTCTGCCGCTCCGATGCTCATGATAGTCTCTGATGGTCCTCCTCCATCTTCGTCGTGTTCCCATTGGTGTGAATCCAACGGAGCACCAATATTGCCAAGCCAGCGATCCTGAGCGAAGACAGGCGGAGGTAGCGAACTGGTGGAGAGCCCTTCCTTCGGGTCATCAAATGTCTTCAGGTTGAGGAAAAGACGGTTGACGAGAATGTTGGGCATCCTACGGACAAACAAGCGTTGTTTAAGAGAAGTGAGATCATAGAGGGATTGAGAAATCAGTTACGCAGCGATGAAAGGGCTCGATATAAGGAGTAGCTGAGAGGTGAACTACGCAGTGAACACTAGTTAACTCCAAGGTCTCTCGGTATCTGACTCTGGAAATATTGCAACTTACCCCGGGGAGAAGAATTGCCGCCTACACGGTGGTGCAATCAAATATGTATGATGGGACGGACGTCATGATTAAAGAAAACCCACCAATGCAGTAGCTGTCTCTGCGATCACAAATATAGAGATAGTTCTATTGAAAATCCGTTCTATAGATTAGACTAGGGCAATTAGACTTCGTGCTGCCTGCTCACATAAAGTAGAATATCCCTAAAGAGGAGACCATCATTAGTCGTTTCTCCGTTAATGACACAAGACTTTACCATCTCTAAGGACAACTAGTATGATCCCCTTCTGTCCCTGTCGACGAAGTCCTCTGGCTGCATCGAGAGTCTTGACCATGGTCAGTATCAGGATGAAAATATCGAATACTACTAGTAGCATCGGTATCGCTATGGAAACTAACGATGTATTGAATCACAGATGAAACCCAAGAGATGAGACGACATACGCCTTGATTTACAAGAGGAGATCAGAAGATTTAGCGGGAACGTGCAAAGAGGCTCACCTAGTTTGTATGATCAGATTTACAGCACTAACATCACCCGCACAGCGGGAGAGTGCGGAAAACAGGGTTGATTGTGATGAAATGGCGTCTACTAGGGGTATACTCTACGAAGAAAAATATTGCGTAGGCGTCAGTAGCCTATATAACTATGACGACGAGCGGGTCACTCTCTCACATAGAGATCGAGCGCTATCCGTGATCCTATCAGGGCAATAGCGGCGACCAGTATCACCTTACTCCGCGCATACAATGCATATACTCGAAGGAGCATCAAGACTAAATCGCAACGACCTTTAGCTAAGGTTACATCTTTCAATTTCAGCTACAGGGACTCACGTGAGGTGGTGCAATCTGAGAGTGCGCTACAGATTTGCGCTACTAGAAACACACGAGAGCATCTGCACCACATCATTAATATGGAGTGAATGCAACTGATATCGGTTTCTACTCACTCTTGATCGGTGGCACTTCCGGGCAAGTTGGAGTACGTCTGAGCTATAAAGAACACGAGGAAGCTGTATCGGTTGATGAGAAAGAGAAAGGATGTCCCAGACATCTTTCTGTTCCACACAGCCTCGATTTCCATGGGGAGGGTCTGTATGTATTCTGAGATCCATAACGCTATCACAGGTGGACTCTGTCAACAGAACAGCGCTGCACGGTGGTGGAATGAGAACTCACCGCTTGCTGATACCTGTATAGAGTTACTGGCTATCCTGAAAAGCGTACACAGCACAAAGGTAAATACCAAGCAGTGGCGAAATAGAGAGAAACATGAAAGGACTCACCATATTCTCTGCGCTTCGACGAGTTGCTGCAAGGCGTCCGAGGGTGATAAAGACATGATGGGACCAGGGAGGTCCAGCTCCTGGGAATATGCACCCTCCGCTGCGTCGAGGGCTTTATGGGCGTGGACGCGAATTGAAGATAGAACGTATACAGCAACATCGCTACCGGGCGCGGAGGGAATTGCAACCATCAGGAAGACATCCTTTACTGAACAACGATGACCGACATCACAAGATAGATAGCCAAGCACACCAGGTCATGCAGAAGAACGAGATGAGAACGTGGAATCCACAACCTTTTGAGCGGAAGCGATGTCATGATAGCTGTGCAGTGGATTTTCGCTGTAAGCACATACTTGCGCGCCGTGAAAGCATGAGGAACTACAGTGTCCTGCATCCGCCGTCAGAGAACGTGTGAGAACAATCAGTATGCCAACAAACTCAAGGATAACTTCCGAATCGGAACCCACGAGCGGTTTCACACCGTGTACGGCGCAGACGCAATATCTGGGATTTATCTTCCCAGGGTTGAATGCCCCTATTGCTGAAATCGGTGGTGGGCGTTGATGTGAATTGACGACTAGAGGCGACACCACGGTGAGATATGGGTTGAGATTATCCAGCGGGTACCACAACGTTGCATGACGCGCACAAGCTGAACCAGGACCTATCACATCCTCCTCAATGCCCACCAAACAACCCCTTCACGATCGCCTCTCCAATCGACTCGCCCACACCATCCGCAACAGCCTCAGCAAAAAAACCCTTCTCGCCATGATCCCCCATCGACGCCCCACTCGCCAACAAGAACGTAGCCAGAATAAACACCTCCAGGAGACCGGGGACGGAGAACGTATCAGGGTATACGACGATGGAGGAAGGTTGGTGTTTGTCTTGCGGTTGATGCCAGATTGCGAGGGGGTGGGTGGGTTGTTCGCGGGATGTGAACTATGATAAAGGGATATAGGATATGGATGACGAGTAGTTGGGAGATCAGAAAGTTGTTGAAGGAGTGAGAAGGGGAGGGGGGAGACGTACGTGTACTGTCCTGTCTGGATGACATTTCGCAATATACAACCTCCCCGCATGGCCAATCGTCCTCGTCCTATGCAGCGATAACCATCATCAGAATCTCCCACCAACTCATGACGATACTACGAACTCACCTCGTCGCCTTATCATAAGGAAACCACTCCTTACACTTAACCTTCCCCCCTCCACCCACACTCGTCACCAATACCCTCGGACTCGAATGCTCCCAATCCACCACCGCAATCACCGCCCCATCGCTTCCCTTCAACGTCGATTTCGTCCGCTCAAATTGATAGATGGCGGCGTTGTAGAAGGATGAGGAGTGGATGCTGAAGGGTGTAGAGCCGTAAGAGTCGGAGATGGTGCAGTCGAAGATCTTGGAGTTGGGTTGCGAGAAGGTGAATGTTATGGGTTGAGGGGCGGGATGAGGATGAGATGGGTGTTGGGGCGGGACGTGGAAGCCGCTGGTGAAGTTTGACATGGGGACGAGTGGCGTGGGTTTCGATGAGGTGGTCTTGTCTGCTAAACGCACGGGATTTGTGTTGACTGGACACAGAGAAGAGTCAAAGCCGTCGAAAGAAGACGAATGGGAAGATCTCACTAGCGTGCGTCCTGAGGCAAATATATGTAGGGTCATCGTCATTGGCAATCCACACCGCCATCACCGCCATCACCAACACTGAATTCGGAATGCCGACGTTTCATCATGAAGTTCAGACTAGAAGATGAGTATAACCAATACCCCCTGCTTCTGAGCAAGGCATCGCACATCATGCAGTGCACCAGTCGTCGGCGTCCTCAACGAGGGCAAACACAGTCTGAACATCAACGCCTACGCTCGGCGTGGGGCCACCGGCGTAAAATATTGAGCGCCGGTGTACGCTGATCACGATCAACACCGAGCAGCCTCGAGAAGAGTCTCAGGCAAGCCCTCCAAAGAAGCGGAGCACGTTCGATTACAACAAACTACAACGACAGTCCCCTCCAAAAATTACAAGCATGAGCACATTCTAATCTGTTCAGATCCGCACCTTCGGTCCCATTCTATAGCTATGGTTGATATACAGCTTCTTCTTTTTCTCGTGACTTACACTCTTCTGCATTTGTCTATCGTGTGTGGTCGTCCATCGTCTATCGTGTCTTAAGATTGGGCAGCGAGGAGCGAGCGGCCGGTCATTTCTATCGTAAAAAAAAGGCGTCAGTTCATAACATCGAGACCCATTGTGTAAACGCAAGGCGAGATAATAGAAACGCACCCTCCGGTTGGTCCAAACCCAGCAAAGCCAACACCGTCGGGGCAACATCACACAACGCCCCCTCCTCTTCATCCTCCTCCACCACCTTCGCCTTCGCCTTCTCTCCCTCCTTCCCGGCCTTCCCACCCGTCTTATCCTCCGTAAACTTAAACTTCTTCGGGTCGCCCGTCATGATGAACGGAACCGGATTGGTCGTATGCGCCGTATGCGGGTTCCCGTTCGCAGGGTTGATCATTTGTTCTGCGTTACCGTGGTCGGCGGTGATGAGAAGGATGTAGCCCGCTTCTTGGCAGGCTTTGTAGACTGTGCCGACGGCGGCGTCGGTGTGGCCGATGGCTTCGACGGCGGCGTCGTAGATGCCTGTGTGGCCGACCTGTATGAACATCCATGTCAGCGCGTTATCCCACATAATCACATCGATTCACGAATACGAAGAGAATGGATGGATGAAGACGGTCCGCGAATGGGCGATGGGGGAGGGTGGATTTGAAAGTGCAGAAAGAGAAAGAGAAACGAACCATATCCGGCGGGGCGAAATTGCACATCACGAACTCGTGCGTGTCAGCCTTGACGACCTCCGCGACCTTATCCGCCACGGCCTGCACGGACATCGATGGCTGTTTGTCGTAGGTCGCGACTTTGGGTGAGGCGATCATGTGGCGCTCTTCGTTCTCGAATTGTTTTTCGACGCCGCCGTTGAAGAAGAAAGTGACGTGGGCGTATTTCTCGGTCTCTGAATATTAGGGGAGGGGGTGGGAGGGAGGTGGGAGGGAGGTGGGAGGTGAGATGTCAGCGAGAGGGGGTGGGTGGAGGACGAGGACGAGATGACAGGAAGCGAACGTACCGGCGATGTGAGCCTGCTTAACGCCCTTCTTGCCGAGCCATTCGGCGAGGACGTTGGTCATGGCCTGGGGAGGGAAAGCGACAGGGAAGGGGAACTCGGCGTTGTAGCGCGACATGGTGGTGATATGCTGCACAAGGCAGAGTTAGTGTCATGATAATGATACCACCGTAGACCATGATGAGGGGGAAACGTACGAGGTTTTTGGGGACGTCGACCTCCATGGGTTTGTCCGGAAGCCCAAAGACGCTGGCGATCTCCCGCATACGGTCGGAGCGGTAGTTGAAGAAGAACAAGGTGTCGTCGTCTACCACCACCATCAGTAAACCACGATATATGCGCTGAGATGTCAGTCAAAAAAACTCACCCTTGATCCTACTCTCACTCCCACCAAGCACGATCGGCTTCAAAAACTCATCCGTCTCATCCCTCTTATACGCCTCCTCAATACTCTTCACCAGATCCTCGCTCTTCTCCCCCTCTCCCTTAACAAGCCCATCAACCGCGATCTTCACCCTCTCCCACCTCTTATCCCTATCCATAGCATAATACCGTCCGACGGCGGTCGCGACGGTCCCGATCTTCTCCTTCTCGATGAAGGCGAGGAGATCCTTGGCGTATGTCGCGGAGGAACGGGGTGCGGTGTCGCGGCCGTCGCCGAAGAAGTGGACGTAGACGTGGGGGACGCCGATTTCTTTGGCGGTTTCGAGCAGGGCGTAGAGGTGGTTGATGTGCGAGTGGACACCGCCGTCGGAGACCTGGAGAGGGAGGACTAGTTAGTCCAATGAATGTTGGAACCCAGATGCGGAAGAAATAGAGAGAAAGTAGCGGGAAAATCGTGAGAAGTTTATTTTTGGACTCGTCGAAGCCCCTATTTCCTTCTGCAGCCCGAGGGCTACTGCTAGTGAGGAGTGCGCTTGTTGCTCGCGACGCAGATACACATTCAACAACAAGGTTGAGAGCGCACGGCTGGGAATAAAACAGATCCCACGTCGTACGTGATCCATGGACAGGTCCATCTGCGGCGAGTCTGAAACTCGTAAGAGTGGCCAGTAATAGCTCCGACGGTTTACTTCAATCAGATTATGTTGGAATTGTTCTCCAAGCATGACACTGCGCGATGGAACACGACCCAAAGGGAGGACACGAACACCACAATTCCTATTCCACGGAGACAGTATACGTCCAACGGCCAGTCGTCGTGTGGCGTAACCCTGCGCCCGTAACAATGTGGCGCCACGAACGTGGGCGACGAAACAGCTGGGATACGAGCGCTTTGGGGATATGGGATGAGGCCCCTCTCGTACCACTCTATGTCATCTCAGTGAGCAAGTCCCTGCGAGGCCGCGCTCGACGCGGAGGTCTGCGCCACATTCAAATACAGATTACGGTCGCAGACCATCGATAGCGGTCTCCGCTTCGCACTCCATCCTCCAGCTCTCCCACCAAGACCACCGATACCAGCATACACATAAAGACGGAAAAAGAAGAAGACAAAAAAGAGAGAGGAGAGAGAACGTACCAAACCAAGAAGATGCAGCCGTCCGTTGGTCTCTTTCGCATGCTTGAAGCTCGCAACGATCGTCTCGTTCTTATGGAACTGCCTCTTCTTAATGGACACATCGATCCTCACGATATCCTGCCAGACAACACGGCCAGCGCCGATGTTTAAATGCCTATTGTCACTGTATCAGTCGAAATTCGTACAGGCCCGAAGACAGCAGAGTGGAAACGCACCCGACTTCAGAGTTGCCCATCAAGCCTTCGCTGAGACCGACCGCCGTTCCGTGAGCAGCGAGCGTACGATACGAGTGTTCTGCTCCGATGGTGTCCATGTTGGTCGTCGTGCCAGCAGAGATGGCATCGCCCTTTCCACCTTTTTCTGGCGCAACACCCCATCCATCGTGGACGCTATCATCGTCAACGTTAGCATCTCTCCGAACACTACAATAACCTGTTCAAGGAAAAACAGTACACACATGAGGCAGACCTTGTTCTTGACTTGGACCATAGTTTTTGGTGAGTGAGAGGATAAAAAGTGATGGAGATGGATGGTTGCGGAAGTGAAGACAATTTATGGTGATGCGCCCATGCGTTGTCCGTGGCGGCGCCGACGCCCGCTGATTAGATTAGATTGAGGTTCCCCGAGTCGCCCCGCGTCGCCACATCTCGCCACATCTCGCCTCTTCTTCTGGCCGTCGTCATTGCACAATGCATAAGCCTCCCTAGCTCGAGGACGGCCTCGACGTTGAGGAAATAGGTATGCGGGGCTCCACACTCAAAGTGCGGTTGGCCGCTTTTTGAGCAGCATCTGCATAACCAGGACTTGTCGGCACGACACGTCCACACGCCCTATGACTCCAGGACACATCGACGACTTCATCCTGGCCAGCGATGCTCTCCTGTGGATGTTTTGCTGTGGACTACTTTCTTTACCTTCCGAGGTCCTGGAGAGTGTCATAGTGCTGGTACATCTAAGACCTGGAGGGGCTTCACCAAGGCGGAATCGACCACGCGCCGATGGATATATAATACGCAAATCAGGGTTCAACGTCATCTCTACCGTCGACGGACACGCCATCCTCCACGTCGATACTAATCAAGGTACGAGGAGACATACGAGCACCGGATATCGGAGGGTACGGGGAGTAGCTCAAAGAGGGGATTGAGCGTGCCATGGGAAATAGTCGTCGATGTCTGAGGTGAGTTCCCACTTTCCCGCAGCCTCGGTATAACTGGGACGGCATGGGTACCGCATCGGTCATATTTTGCACTGTGTCTGGTGCTCATACTCCATCCTCGATATTTGGCTACGATTTAAGGAGGCAACCTCGAGGGGTAAACGTACCCAATCATCTTCACTTCTTACTTTCGGCTAAGCAGCTATCTTGCAGCGTCAACTTCGCCACCACATCATCGTGGGCTATCCGATAGGGCCCCGCGATGAATGGAATGGGCCTATCCGCCCATTGCGTAGATGGATATGTCAATGACCTGTGTGCATACTTTGGTGCTCTTTGCTGGTACGAACAGACTTCTGCTCGGATTGTATCGTTCGGGACTCTTGCACTGATTTCTTGCACAAACGAGCCTGAGACAAACGTTGTGATGCCTCGCGTTCTTCATGTGCTAATGTCTGCTATGGAGGTTATATCGAGCATGTTGGGTTCGCGAGAATCCTGGCACACTGCTGCCACCTTGTATTTGACATGGACAGTCGCTCATGATGTCTCTTGGTGGTGCTCAACCGCTGGCGGGCAAACGCTCTTAGTTATATACCCCAGCATGTCAATGTGACGGCTGCACTTAGACTAACACAGGGTACTTATATTGATCCGCGGGCGGATCAGACTATGGACGGTTCTCTACATGCTATGCTATAGACATGAACTTACCCACAGATCTCCACTGCACCCTATTCACGTCGCGTTCTGTGACCGACGGCAATGATGATCCCCAACTACGACCCTTTTATCACATTCCATCGAGTGGAGAACAATGTAACGGTGAACTTCCCCACAGCGCAGCTGTTCACGTCAGCCCATTCTTGAGCATGAGAACAGGGATAAATTCGTTATCGCTTGGCTTCTACAAATCGACTTCGATAGTTCCTCTGTACGGACACCAGATAAAGAGTCTAACAGCGGAGGTGATGTAGCACCAGAGGGGCTGCCATGTATGAGAGTTCAAAATAAGGACCATCGACCCGAAAGACGTCTAGCCTTTCAGGCGAACACTTTGAATCACGACGGAATCTGCTGTATTCGCTCTGCGTCGGCCCACCAAATATCTTTACCTTCGATGCATTCCTGTGGCTGACACGGAGCCAGAAGAAGACGAGGTAGACACGGGGATTGTGACTAGTTGTAACCACAGCGATGCAGAGCAGTACAGAGCAGACAGACCTTTATCCGTCCCTGTCGTCGGATCCGTCGACTGACGTAAATCATGCTGCCCTGTTCAAGTACTATCATTCGGCTTATGATGCACGTACGCGTATATACTAATGCACGAACCGAGTTACACTCCCAACTGTCGCCATTCTTGGGATGAGATGCTCCAGACAAGCGTCTCATTGCATGGATTCCAAGCATATTCACTCTCGACAGTGATGCACGTACTCGGAATGTTTTGCCAAGCAAACATACCCAACGTACATTTCCTGCCTTCAATGGCTCTGTGCATGTATGAAGCCATACATTGAGCAATCATGACTATCGTTTTTCGGCCCCTTACTCGCTGATACTTGTATAAATAACACGATCCATCGCTCTCTGCTTGCCTCGTCCTTTTTCGTCTCTACAAGCACCATCTCCACTTCAGTGAATCATATTCCACAGCATGTCGACTCAACAGGCCGCATCCTTGACGATACGTCCCCTGATTCCCGATGGTGTATACACCATCCGTCAAGATGGGAACCTCCTCACGTCGGACCCTGATGGTTGTTACGTTTCCACCCAGACTGAACAAACTTCTGGTTCTGCCCAGAAGGTTCGTCTCATCCTACTTCAAACAATCTGAGCCATACCATAAATCGATTATACAATTTTCTACGCTGCGATTTAGTGGAACATCAAGTATAATACGGCCAGCCGTACCTACACCATCACCAACGTTCAATACAAGACTTCGGTCAACCGCAAGGACGGGCAGAAGGACAGTGTCTTCGCGAAGGATGCGGAGACTAAGTGGCAGGTCGTATCGGATCATGATGGGCAGAACGATAAGTTCATGTGAGTTTCATGTCGCGTCCTTAGAGGGGACATTGAGAGAGTACTGCATATACTGACTGTCATTGCCTCCCTATCTGCTTTGGGACAGGATTGGCCTTTGGGATGCGGATATACCTGAGTGGCTGGACAATGAGAACAGTTCGGTACGCGCTCTTCGTGTTTACCTCGCACCTCGACTTGCATGAGGTCTACTTATATTCACCCATGTCTTCGTCGACTTAGGTTACTCTCCGCAGCCGTGACCCGGTATTTACTCTCTTTTGCCACAATCTCCCCACCTCCATCACACTGAGCTACCAATTCCCTACCCATCCAGGCCACCCGTCGCGACAAACAGCGCTGGACCCTCGATCTCAAAGAACTTTCCGCTACTCAGCCTTCTGTCGATCCCAAGCCTACAAGTGACTCTGTCCACGATTCATTCAGTCGCCTGAAGAGCGGGGGTTATTATTCGCTTATAAACGTGCAGACGGGGGATGATCTTATTGTTTGGACGAAGGATCCTAAGGTGTCGATGTGGACGAATCCGGATAGGAGCAAGCCGAGTGCTCAGGTTAGTAGAGCCCCGTGCTACTGGCTTTCATATTGCATCGATATCTTTACTGACTTCCGGATTAACGTTGCTTGCTACATATGTGCAGTGGAAATTGAACTTCAGTTCCGGTGGAAACGTCCAAATCACGAGTTCCCAAAACTCGCGTACCCCGCGCTTCCTGTCCTCATCGGGCCTCAGCACGACGGCCACTGAATGTCAATTGAAGTCGTGCGACGGACAGGATGAGACGTTCATGTAATTATTCTTCTTTGCTTTCGAGAGTGTTGCTAGCTAGCTGACGGCGGTCGATGATAGTATCACTGTGAGTAAGGAGAGTAAGATTGTTTTGGCCGACCGTGGGCCGAGGGGAAGCAACGATAGATACGTGAGTCGATATGATATTGCCCTTGGTGTTGCTTGCGGCTGACCACTCCCGTCGTTCTATACCAACACTCAATCTGGACTTATTATTGTTCCATCTTTAAAGGCATATGGCGAACAGGAAGGACAACCCGCTACCGACGCTCAGAAATGGCGTATCCAGTCCATTTCTTGATCGGCTCAGCGCGAGAAATGGACATCGTGTTTCGCGTCTTGCAGAACGAAGATCCAATGATCCCTGGCATCGAGTGTACTTTGCACTCCGTCTCTCACTTGTGTATAAATGTACGAAATGGAACCGTGCACCTGTCTGTGTTATGTTTGTGTCGAATTTCAAGGTTTTATCTCTGATGTCACGTTTTGCTTTGACTGTAATGATATGTTTACGATAATGAATAGTGATTTCGTGACGCCCATTGGCCTCGACATGGACCTGTCCAACAGGCTTCAAAGTCAAGGATGAACGCCACCCGGTCTTGTGGCTGCTCCTGCCCTTTTTCCCAATTCTCGTGCGTCCTCAGCTCTCATCATCGTCTCATTACGTTTTCAATTTTGTTTCTGTTCTCCAGATCGCAACTCCGTAAAGTTTCCGCCCATCCCTTTTCACCAGACTTCTCGGCCCGTATATCCTCGTCCGGCTGTTCCACTCAGTCTGTCACGCATCATATGTATCCCATCCCTCTTTCGTTTTTGGATATTATGTCTTCACTTGCGGATCGCGCTTTTCCTCGCCGCTTGGTGCAATATCATCTGACGCTGGACTAATTTATGAGTAGAGAGAAATGGATCATCTCCATTTCAGCCAAGGACACAATCTCGGTCTCGGTCGCCCACTCCGTATATACCAGCGGTCTGAATTATCATTCCAATCATTTTTCATCTGGTGGCGGGCTTGCGTTGATTGGCACGTAGGCTTTGATTCTTGAGGATGACATTGTTGGCGCGGCCAACTTCTACCGAAAGTTAGGATGGGGTGAAAATTGGTACTTACATTACCCACTCTAGTTCGCCGAAAACGTGAATTCCTTCGGGATGCTTGACTGCGGTATCCTGGTGTTCATCCCTGTTCGGATCGAGTTCCCGGAGCAGAATGGGAGTAGTCCTCGTTGTGCTGCATTTCTCTACTGTCATCTGGCATCGTCTTGGGGTTTGGGATAAACCTGATGCTTGAACTCCGCATCTCAGTCAAGTGAAGGGAATCACACGTTTACCATGAGTTGGTACCGAGAGCGCTCAGGCTGGCGTATATAACGTCGATGCTCCAGCATTTATGGCCTTCACTTACCACCGTGCTAGTTTCAAACTTGCTTGTTCATCTCTACTACACACTATGCAGAAAGCCTTTACCTTCTCGTTCCTCGCATCGATTGTCTTGCTCGCCTTGAATGGCAACTATGTGATGGCTCAGACCACTCCCGGTACGTCAAAGTGTTCTCTGTTCGATGCACGGACGAGGTTGCATTCATACACCTTGTCACCAGCCGAAGCTTGCATCGGCCTCAGTGAAGGGGACGTCTGTTCTTATTTCGTTTGCCCCACTGTGCCTATCAAAGGAGGCGGTCACGGTCCTGTGTGTCTTAGGAAGGAAGGAAGTGAGTACATGATCGCTCTCTTTCAATAATTGAGACTGACTGACGTGACCGCTGACATCGTGTGGCATAGCTTGTGAGCGCGTTTATGATGCGGATGTTGAATATGTTTGTGTTGCATCTGAGGGAGCGTAGTAGTGCGCTCGTGTCCGAGTTGAAGGGGGCACGGTGGATGGGTCGGGCGGTGACTTAGGACAAGGCGGGCTATAGTCGACCGCTGTTCAACTTTCTATTACAATATGTCGTGAATCTTACCTGACTCTCTGAAATCTGAGCCGGGTTCCTTTCGGCGTAATCACACGGTAAGGTGCCTCGGGATCAAGCAATATACATACACATTGAATGCTGCATGATGTCTTGTGTTCGAAACTTGACGCCGATCCACGACGTACGTCGGCTTTCTTCACCATACCAGCCCTCGTGAGGATAACATGCCACTGCAATACGTCCAATTTATTGCATAGCATTACTGACTGTCTCGTCAATTCGCACACCGAGCCCATCCTAGTGTCCGTTTCACTTATCGCTTCCCAGGGACCTAATCAGTGCTGCCGCCCTATTGTCCCGGACTCTTGCTTCGCATTTGAAAGGTTTTGGGTGGCTGTATACAGTCGAATAAGATCAGTATTATGGTGTCTTACGCCAAAGAGGTCATAAAGAGAACCATACCATATCGTACTTTCCTCCATTTCTACTGCGACATCAATCTCATCTCCGTTCTCGTCTTTAGCCTTCACGATATCGAACACTGAGAGCATGGAAACGACTGCGAGCCATATGGTTGAGTTGGCAAGGTGGCGCCCGGGGCAAGATCTTTGGAGAGAAAGCTTGTCAGTGGGGAAGTAGAGATAGACAGCACCGGGATGGCATAATAGCTTACCTACGTCCGAACCCAAATGCAGGGAGCACGATGTCGTCGTTCAATCTCCCGTCCTCGGTGATGAACCTTTCGGGTCTGAACTCCTCTGGATTGGGATATCGAACCGGATCGTGGAGAATTGCCCTATGGCGACAAGCTATTAAGATATTGTCACAGAAATATCAAGTCACAACTCGGGACAGCTTACCATGCATTGCCGACGATGATTGCCCCTACGAAGATAAGATGCAGGCAACGAGTATAAGTAATGAACGCGATGATGGAAAGGGTAGAAAATAAATTGTGCCTTTGGGTATGAACATCCCCTCGTAAACATCGTCTTTGAATGCCGCATGCGGGACTCCTAAAGGTAGAACAACTATCCATCTCAAGAGCTCCCTACATACCGCCTCCACATAGACAAGTTTTGCGTTATCACTTCTGTCATCGCCAATGGTTTCATCCTTATTGTGTTGATTTGCAAGGCTGTAAACACGATCTCCAGGACTGGCGCGATCTCCAAAGTCGGGAAGTCGCTCACGGCCGACAACCGCGTCGATCTCCACTTTCGCACGAGCTTGGACGTCAGGATGCAGCAAGAGCGTGAGGATTGCGACAGAGATAGATGCTTCACTCTGGAGTAACCATTCAAAAGTGCGAACACCAACCTTTTAGAAACGCTGTCTAACCAATAGATACGGTGTGTTGATGCTTGAGCTCACCGTGTCTGCTGCCGCTACAGCATCGGACGTCCCGATACGCATCGGCACACGCGTAAATATTAGTACATAATAATCAATGTTGTGTTAGTACATACCTAAATGAATCGTGGTCATAACCTCTTTAATTCTCTGTTCGTCTAAATAAATAGAACTTCGCTCGTCGCGCTCTTCTTCCTCTTTCGCATTGATACGGCGAATGAAGTCTGCTGCGAGGGAGGTGTTGGATACTCCTGCTTCCTGAGAACCCGTGTGTGAGGTAGTGTCTCAGTGACACATTCTCTGGTAGAGACGGTCAAAAGTACTAACCATGTCTCGCTTCACGTCATCGTACAAGTCGTTGATGAGTTCGTGGCACATCTTCCTGCTCTTCTCAGCAAACGTCTTGAAGCCACGTATTCCGGGCAGCCATTTCGGAAAGTGTTTCACTTGATGTATAATCATGGTGTAAGGACAACCGGGGGTGAGATAGTCATAGGAGATATCGAAGTGGTGATGAAGAGACTCACAGAATGGAAACATAGTGACCATGATCGCACCGGGAAACACGACGGACCCTCCCATGGCTGCGACCTCTTCCCCAATTTTGAAATGATGATCGGTCTTACCATCCATGTCTCGCCCATATACTATCTTTATCGGGAGGGTGCCAGCATATCTAACATGGCCGGAGTATATCATCAGTCTGCGTTAGCAACATTCGTACACAGTAGATTGAAATAGAGCGTCACTCACCTTTTGACCTCATCAACTACACTACCCGGACGATCCAATACTACCTTCAGCATGGCAGTGACACTCGAACGTAGAACGGGGTGATAAAGTGGAACGATTTTGGGACGGAACGGTTGGATGACCATGCTCCTGTTGATACGCCACTCCTTTGAGTAACGCATCGCAGGGACAGCAAAGTTTTGCCCCATCCTATCCAAGATTTCAAGGAAGATCAACGTGAGATCCTAGAACGTGTCCAAGGGAGAAAACTTCGAGACGCACAGTGTGATCATTTCAATCTGTGGTCTATCAGAGTATATGCCAGACCTTTTTTCGAAGATATCTTTGGTTGCTTCGAGAGAATTGAGAACGACAGTGCAAAATCCCGGAACCTGGAAAGAGACGACAGCGTCTACGCATACAAAAGTGTCACTTGAGAGGCTTTTCTGAGAGATAGCGCATAGGCATACTGTCGTATTGTTTGGCCCAGCTCGCAAAAACCCTGTAACGTTGCGTATTGGGTATATCGAGCACATTTCCAATTACAAGGCGGCCAGGAGGTCCAGGAGGGTAGGGGAGGGATTGTAGGGTCCTTAGATGACGATAGATTTGTATGAGAGGCAGAGCAAGAGCGAGTAACACGGAGGACACCAAAGCGCTCATCGGGTCCAACATGGTTAGAACAGCCCTACCGACGAAAATGAGAGCATGTAGGGGAATCAGAAGAGCCTATGAGAGTAGTGGGAATGGATAGGGGCATTTGCAGACCGCAGGCCATGTTTTTAAACGAACGTCTCACTGGGCGCAATGATCATGGCACGAGTCGTCCATGTCACGACCCGAGTTGTCTACAAATGGGTGGTCAATATCGCCCGGTACGGTAGAGGTATCACTTGGAAAAGAAAAGGGTGGCCAATTTACCTCATCCGTGTCCTAAGACTAGAGTTTCAAGTACACCATTTGGCTTTCTCGGTCCCCGTCACTGACGCGTTCCCCGCGTCCTGAATTCGGTCTTTGGCGCCCTGCGGATGTCAAATGAATCTCACCAATTTATCATGCATTCCTTCATGCCACCAGAAGTCTAAGTCTGTAGCATTGATCGGTTTAGGTCACTAGCCCTGGATGAATGGAAGCAGTGAGCACATATATGTCCCGCGTTTAGCATGCTAATTAGACAATGTTGGAGGAAATGACGAACTTGGCACTGTTAAAGACCTCAAAATGATTCCCTGAGGAGCTATATAGACTGTCGTCCTCCAAATGCAACTTAAGCTCCATACTCCACTCAGGCCTTGCGCTACACCTTGCCGTAGGAGCAAAAATACCAAGCAAACACCGAGGGAACACTTATAAGTACTTCAAGGAAAATGTCTCAAGGTAAGAGGCCTTGTTCCTACCGTCACGATTCAAGAATTTATCCATACTAGATCGAGAAGTACAGTTTTCAAGGAGAGGTGAATCGCTCGACATCGAACAAAAGATGTTTCTGTTGAAGGGACGTTGAAGAAAGAGCAAGAAAGAGAGGCCTCTCAGAGGCCTCCCAGCGGCTTCCCCGGGCCGGACCGAGAGACGCCGCCATGTGGCCTCGCCACCCTCCCTTCCTTCCTTTCTGTCTACTCCTGCTCATTCTATCACTCTCGCCCACGATACCTCTCAAGAGTTATATCAGGCTTTACCATATGCACGGACAAATTGTGCTCTCTCATCTTTAATATGCATTGCTATTCAGGCCAGAGATATATAGGACGTCATCCACCGGAAAGGACGCGACTTTTTTTCTCTTGGCCATGGTTATTGACGCGTAGCTTGAACGCAGCTCGTTGAACCCCATGAAGCATATAATGCATCCAAACAGGTACGTATACGGCAATATCAATCTATTCATTCATCTTTATGAACGTTTGAATTAGGAACGAGCCTGTATACTCGGACGATATACCAGCGGTCGCCCAAGCTCCTTGGAACAAGGCTTGCATGGCACTGTACGCCCATGTATCTATGAAAATCATATAGCTACCAACGAACCTGCCCCACTCACTCACGCGCAGTACAATGCCTCCGAATCTACTATGACCCCCATCTCCCTTATGATCGAAATCTCCAACGCGCCCTCCTCCGCATCATCTTCCTACTCCTAAGTAGGCTCACCCTCCCTGTGATGCACGACGAAGACGAAACGTGGTTTTATGTGGCCCAAGGTCGGGAGGCATTGCGATGCGAACGTGAAGTTTTGGGGTAAGAAGACGGTATTGATGATGTGCAGGGGACGGTTGGGACTAGGCTATGGGCCGGGAAAGGTGCGTTCTTCTTCTGACCTCTTGCCTGTGGTTGATGTTTATTTTTATGTGGAATGCAAACAGGGGTCACCTTTGGCCATATGCATGTGACCGTTACCAGTGGATTATGGTGCATAGGCCTATTTTGGAGTGATCACTCCATCGAGAAGTATATGTGAGTGTTTTTTTCCCTCTTCGACATCTTGCCCCTCATCCTCCGATATCAGAAGTGAAGTGGTCAGCAAAATGTATATGTGGATATAAGAATCATTCCAAGTGCGTTGTCTTTCCATCTAAACGTCTCTTCACAGACGTCGTGTCAACAGAAGTTGTGCGCCACCGCCACCATGATGCCTCATCCTAATCATTTCCACAAGTTCAAACATCGTTCTCTGCTTCCAGTGCTCCTTATAGCATCGTCGGGAACCATTTCAGCCTTTTCGGTTTTTATGCGTGCAGTATTTGGTCCTATATATGGGCTAATCTAAAACGTACTAGATGATGCGCATACATCGGCCTTACCCCAGTGAAGGCAATTAGGACTACACGATAGCAATGTCTCGCCGCATTTACGCTCTCGTTCTCACTCTTACCTTCTTCATGCTCCAAAATCTGATGCACCCATACCTATCATAGCGTCAATGGACCAGCTGGACGTGCCGTAAATCGCTAACGTCGGTGCCGAAGAGCTCTGGGCACATGTCCTGGGGCTTTATATACTGATGATGGCGAAGAGGCGCTTTTACAGTCTCCCCTTCCGTACCCCAACAGGCCCTCGATAGCTCTCGAAGTACGCCTTGGCGAGATAGTCGATTGGTTTTGGGTACTTACTCGGCCAGGCTAAGAAGATCACTACCACACCGAATTGCAACAATGGACGACGTAGAAGCAGCACTTGAAGGTGGGTCTATTCGTCATACCTGTCTTTCATGATTCTGCTAATGAACGCCTTGGTCTGCATAGCGCACCAGACAGCAGCAGACATTGGCGAGGAAGACTCTGACGCCACAATCAGCGCGATCCAAAAAATCATCGCGTCTTGTGCCGACGATGACGAGGCCCTCCCTGTCCATCTTTCTATGTACATTGAGCGAGCTGCTCTATTATAACCGGTACAGCACTGACGGATCCGTCCACGACCTTCACGAGGCTTATCAATCTGACTCAAGAGCACTTCAGCTAACCGTTCCTAGTGATCCTGATCGTCCTGAGCGCTTATGCGCTGTCGCCGTCGATTTAGAGGCTCTTAGCCGTCTCGAAGGCGATCCATCGCTCTTGAAACGCAGTATAACTCTGGCCATCGAAGCTGTTGAGGCAACACCATTGGACGAGGCCAATGCACAGAGTCGACGAGAGCGTCAGTATAATCTTTCAGTTTCTCTTCATGGACGATACATCCGTGATGGGGATATATCAGATCTCACCCGAGCAGCCGACGAGCTGGACAAAGTCATCCAGAATGCTGGAGGTACGGAAAGCGATCTTGACCCCGATGTCGTGCACGAGCTGGCTAATATACATTACGACATGTATGAGCACAGAGGAGGCCTTGCCGATCTAGAGAAGGCCGTCGATCTCTACCAAAATGCTCTCACTTCTGCTGAAGAGACCAATTCTGAATCTCAGGGAAGGAGAATATGCGCTGCTTTAGCACGCGCACTGCATGCTCTGTATGCCGCAACGGGCGACGGAGAACATCTCGAGCTCTGTATCACTCATATGCGCAAAGCGCTCGAGCTCACCTCTGAGGACTCTATTCTATTCGCGGATTACCAAAGCTATCTAGGAGCCTTTCTAGGCCGACTCTACAGTGCTACTCGACGCGTCAAGTACCTCCGCGAAGCCATCGAACTGGAACGTGGGTCCCTTCACGCCACAAGCGATGATCACCCACTTCTCGCCCTACGATATGCTAATCTTGGAGAGTCCTTGGGTGTTCTCTACGAGAGAAATTCACAGGAATCTGTGGGATCTGAAGTCATAGATATGCACCAGAAGGCATTCGAGATTAGTCCAACCCATCCATGGTGTTTCTGGTGGAAGACTAAGCTCTCGAGCATCCTCATGCACCGCTTTTCGCAACAAGGCCACTTCTTCGACCTCGATGAAGCTATACGAATCTCCCGGGAGGCGACAGAGAGCGTCTCCCCTGACAATCCCTCCGTAACCATAGTTCATATGAGATACGCTATGGCTTTAGCGCTTCACGACGAACGGGAACCGCATTCTCGAGTGATTATTGAGCGATCATTCCGTACAGGCTTGCGCGCACCTGGCACTCTGCCCAACGACAAAGTCGAATGCGCCCTGCAGTATGCAAACTACGCCGAGAAACGATTGAGTGCTGTCAAGGCTATTGAAGGTTCGTCTTTTTACTGATAGTTTTTCTTGCTCGTAGACTAACACACCTTATCTTCAGGATACGAGATCGCTTTAGATCATATCCCTCAAGTGCTCTGGCTAGGGATGGCCGTCTCCGACCGAAGAATTCGTATGCGAAATCTCAACCTCGTCTCCATTGCCTCTGACGCCGCTGCATGTTGTCTCGCAGCGGACCAACCAGAGAAGGCCATAGAGCTACTTGAGCGTGGACGCTCACTTGCATGGTCACAGGCATCCTCACTTCTCACTGATGTCTCCGATCTGGATCGAGCATATCCAGAAGAGGCATTGAAATTCAAGGAGCTTTCCGCTCAACTCACAGTGTGGAATCGCAGAGGCAGTGGCCACCGCCGCCATCACGACGACCAATCTGCTCCCGTGACCCCTTTGGACCAAGGTCATCGCTTGACCCTCGAATGGAACGCGCTCGTTGATCGTATTCGTGACCTTCCTGGGTTTCATCATTTTCTGAAACCTGCTACATACTCCAGGCTAGCTAAGTCTGCACATAACGGGTCCGTCGTCGTGCTTAATAGCGCAAGGAGACGCAACGACGCTATCATTTTACCGCCTCACGGCGACATATTGGTTGTACCTCTTCCTAACGTCGCAATCCCTGAACTCAAGGCGTTTGCCCTGGATTCGTCTCGTGGACGTGGACGTTGTGTGCGTGGCGTTAAGCAAGCCGTTGAAGACGATGATACCTCCCCTTCAGAGGGTCCAAGCTATATTCATGTCCTTAGCTGGCTCTGGGACAATGTCGTCTCTCCCCTCATTGAACCGCTCAAGAAGTTAAACGGATCCTCTCAGCGCATTTGGCTATGTGCCACAGGGTTGTTTACATTCCTTCCTGTACATGTTGCAGCGCCTTCGAGCCCAAATTCTGGTGAATTGCCCGGCATTCTCGATCATTTTGTCGTATCATATACGCCAACTATTACCGCACTCCTGCGTGTTCAAGAAAATGCTTTGAATATCAAAGATGATGAATTCAAGGCTCTCATTGTCGGTCAACGTTACAGCACCTTCGAGGGCTTTGAAACTCTGGCTCAGACGACGGCTGCATTGCAAGCCGTTCTGCCTCACATCCCGGCACGGAATCTCCTTGTTCTCCAAGATCAGGAAGCGACAGTCGCACGAGTCGTGGAAGAGCTCGCCACTCGTTCATGGATTCATTTCTGTTGCCACGGACATCAGGATGTTGAACCGTTGAGTAGTAGCTTGCATATGGCGGACGGAGGATTGAGCATGGCAGACTTCGCAGGGATGCGCATCCAGCGCGTGCAATTTGCCTTTTTGTCTGCGTGCGAGACGCGACAGGTGGTGCGTATTTAACTGCTGTTTTACAGTAATATGGAATTGACACGGGTTCGCGCTCGAACGTATTTCCTCACTTCATAGCCATGGATATGCCGGACGAAGCCATGCATTTGGCTGCGGGTCTCCAGTTTGCGGGCTTTCCGAGCATCATCTCGACGTTGTGGACGATCGACGACTATACTGCTCCAAGGGTTGCTGCCGAGGTGTATGCAGATATGTTCTCAGTAAGCGACAACCCTGACCCCGGGCAGGCTGCTGTGGCACTTACGCTCGCGATTCGCAAGCTGAAGAAATCGATCCCATTCGATATGTTAGTCCCGTTCGTTCATATCGGGCTTTGATGGATTTAGTTCATGCACATTCGTGAATATATCCGTGATGAAACCGATATCTCAGAAAACAAGTGTAGAATTCAATGGCTACATACTAGTCGACAGCGCGTCTGTAATATCCCTTCACCTTGATCCTCACGAGTGTCGTAATTCCATAATGATCCGACACCGGCTGATTTATCTGCTCCGTTCTCAATGGACCGAGACCAGCCCTCAGTAGGATCCCCATCTCGTATTTCTCTTTATTCTCCCTATACAAAATCTTATCCAACCTAGCGCTCGGAAACTGACCCTTCGGGTGTACCCAAGTTACGCCGAGATCGCCCGGCTCCCTTTTCCTCTTTCCTTTCACGTCGAACGCATCCTTTAACCCCAACTCTGGAACCACGTTAACGTCCTCCGTTCGTAAAGCGTTCATATCCCCACAAAGTACCACTCCCGAAACCCATTTATCGCGATCGTCGATATATCGCTTCAGCCAATACAGCTGATCCATGCGACGGTGGACGTTCTCGGGAAGAGACTCGAGATGAGTGTTGATGATACGAAATGTACGCCCTTCAGCGGGTTTCGAGCTGATAGGGTCTGAGTTCGCTCGGGGAACGATGATGTCGACGACGAGTGCCGTTCGATGCATATTGGAGTTGGGGTACCAGAACATGGATGCACTGAAGATCGGGATAGAGCGATCGATGAGGGTTATGTTGCCGTAGGTAGCGCCGGTTGGCCATGTCTGTGGGCCTTCCGGGAAGACGGAAAACCTTTCTTTGATCCACGGAATCTGTGCAGGCGACATCTCAGAGTCAGCTGGTTTGTCCGACTGCCAAAATAAATAAATAAATAAGAGGAGGGGGTAAATGATACGCACCTTCAGAATCGTGCCGAATTGAATCTTGGGAATCTCCTGCAGAGCGAGGACGAATGGGACAGGTCTACCCGTAATGACGTCGTCGTCATCGTCCAGAAGGATGTCCTGGAGATATTCGACTACTGTTGCGCAGCGCTCTCCAAAATTGCGCTCTTCGTGCTGGAGATTCCACGATACGAGCTTGAATGTGTGTGGAAGGGATCGTTGTGGGATACCTTCGCTCGGTAATTGCTTTTTGAGATTAGTCCATCGCTTCAGGGACTTTGAATATTGTACACCTTGCATCTTGATGCAGTAGTCTTGTATCTTCCATACCCGACCATCGGGCCAGAAGCCCTGCGTGCGTCCGTACTCGTGAAGCATAGCTTTCGAGGTCAAGTTGGCCGATGGATGAGCGACGTCGACACTCATAAGGAGGTAAAAGTACGTACTGGAAACGGAGAGTCAAGGTTGAGAGGGAGACTCGAAGTGTCCAGCGTCTGCAATTGATAACCATCTTGCCACGCAGCAGAAGGTTCAAGGTCCGTCCCATGCGGACGGGACGCAAGAGTGGCAATAGTACGCCTCATGTTGTGGTTGTGGGGTCAGATACTCTCCGGGTGGACCATTTGAGCCAGGATAAGGCAGGGGTATGACCGATTCAATGACCCAGAAGCCCGGGCGTTTTGCTCGTGGGCCACTCATGAAGTACATGGAGCGCAAGCTATTGGCATGAGGCGATATCATTGTGTCTTCTCATCTCTCTCGGTGGCTGCTATACCCACGCCACTGAATGTGGAATCTGTTGGTTATTTTAATTTGATTGTAACACCCCTGATCCCAGCTCGTAGGCCGGCCAGCCACAGAAAAGCCCATCAAAACGGCAAACGATAGCGGTCTGTATGCTCGCGAGAGAGGGCCGATCTAGATAATGATGTAGGTATGTTTACAACATTCAAGGGAAAGATATACAGGAAAGGTATCGTTCTCTGGAGAGTAAGGTTGTCGATTATCGTGCCCATGATGAACTTATTCTGTTCACTCTCATGACTAACTTGTCTACCCGTACTTTCCCGAGTAGAACTCGCTCGGGCAGGTCGCCGGATATGTTCGGGTGCACAAGCTTGGGTAAGCACTTTTATGTCAGATCGTTTCGGTGTCTCATGTTTTGTTTTCATTTATTCATCGTCGGCCTTGTTTTCGAACCCTCAGCGACTGAGTATTACCGGTCAGGTCTCGACTAAGTACTACAGATAAGCCTGATCTTCGGTTTTTCAGTGTGGAGCTTGCTGTGCCGTACGTCTTGTGCAAGTAAGTAGCCTTGAAGTTGCCTTGAAGTACCATACGCTTGGCATGAACCATGATCGTCCGTTATTTGGATGACGATTTATTTGGAGCTTTCTCTGTAGACTTTTTGCTATATATAAGGCACCTTTGTGAGCACAGGCGGAACGAAGACACCCCATCACTCACCGATACAGCGTAAGTGTACGATACTACGTACGGCCAATTATTTTCTTGCTAAACCGAAGGCATCGTTGGCGACCCTTGTCATCGTGTTTAGCGTGCCAGTCAGTAGCGTATAACGTGCACCAATGTCATGAAGAAAATGCACGGATCACCCGCCCCTCTACGCCCTTGTTTCGTGTACATGATGTATTGATCGACTTAGCATTCATTCTACTGCTACATAGCGCTGTGGACGTTTCTGACCTGTGTCCTCAGTAGATTATGGCCCACATATAGCCCACATATACGATCAACGACTACAACACAGACGGATCAGCTGACATGACAACGATGGTTCTTGATCCATTGCGATGCACATCGAACTTGACGTTTATAAAAACGACTGATTCTTCAGGCTCAAGGCATATTGACAACGCTCCGCCAAGCCCACTCAACCAAACACCAAGAACCAATAAGCTCAACATCGCACTTAGTCCTCACAAACTCAATCAAAATGCAATACTTCTCTTTCATCTCGCTCGCCTTCACCGTTCTACTTACCTTCCAACACGCTGCCGCCATCTGTCCGGGATACAACTACGGGGTGGGTAGCGCCCAGGACCAGGGAAAGCTGGGCGACTCAAAGGTCACTCGTTGTATGTCTCCTCCTCCTCTATTATTGTCTTCGCTCGCATAGGCATATATGGAATAATGATGTTACCTGTTATCTCCAGGGAACATCTACGACGATGGCTGCAAAGTGGTCGACGGGTTAACGACGACCACGAACCCGTGTGACTCTGGGACGTTCTCTTGCACAGGATCACCGGTCACGTTCAACGGATACAAGAGCTCGTTTAATGGACAGCAGTCAGTGGTTTTTCACTTGCTTTCACCCTCGTATGTTAGCCCCGTCCTAAATGACTTTGGATTGGAACGTACTGTCTCGCAGGTACGCCTGTCGCCCCGACGCGAACTCGGGTAATTGTGGGGGAGACTCTATTTCTGTCTGTGTAAGTCGATATCTCTCGTTTATCTTTTCATATATTGGTCTGGTGCATTTCCGTCTGTTCGATTGGAAGCTCACATAGCTGCATTATCCCATTTCTATATAGTGTCGCAACAACGGTAGCTAAATGTTGTGCAGCCGAGTATGATTAGCTCGTTGTGGGCATAGAAATAATGGCGAGTATGCAGTGAGACCTGTTGAAATTTGAGGAAGTGAGATGGAAGCGGCAGGAGGTTAGATGTCAATGATGAGGTGGTGAGGTCGAGAGGTTTGTGAAAGAGATGACTTAGGTTGTGGATGGATGATGGATAATGTGTTGCTATCATGGCGAGCAGATACAACAGTACTAAATACGATGCCCTACACGGACGTAACCATGGCATTACATAGCCTATTTTACTCTCCCAAAGTGGAAGCGTATAATAAGCCGCCTGTCCTGACTCGGCTTTCTCGAGATGCCGCTGCCATCTGGAGATCTGACTTGGATCCAACGACGATTCAGCGGAGACGCAATCGGAGAAGTCGGAGGAATGAGATAGGCATAGTGAGCAGGAGGCATTTGAGCGCGCGGACTTAGACTGTGGACAGTATGAGTGGAAAACAAAATAATGGTTAGCTGGTCTTCTGGAAGTAAGTACTGTACTCTACGTCCCAGCACTTAGATGACGCATACATAACGTGGGAACTCCAATTTGGCGAGAGACTCGCGCAAAATTGGCGGCAGCGATGGGTCCCTTGGGACACTGGACGCCGCCTAAGATCTGAGAGGTACAGTACGTGCATGAGACGGACCCATTGGGCAAACAGATGCCGAGCGTCGTTCAGTTGTAGTTCGGATGGTATTCAGGTATAATAGCCTGAGTGTCCAGCAATGAAAAGGACGTGCGCAAGTAAACTAGGGAACATGAGGTCTTGAAGGCCTCTCTTCAATTCGAGCTCGAGAGAAACATCGCGGAAGGAGCAATGGGTGAGCAAGCGCCACTGATGAGCGGGGCCACACGTCGGCTCATCCCGGTCCGGCTGGACGGCATGCGTTCAAATTTCAACTTCGCTTCACTTCTCCGATATCGATCTCAGCCTTTTTTCTCTTCGTTGTTCTCTGGTTTGTCACCCAGCTTTTGACAAGTACCGAGGAGCTTTCTGGCTTATTCTCCTCTCGTCTGCTGTGGATGCTCCTGCTCTAAATAGCAGGCAATTCGTACGAGGTCTAGTACTAGCTTGGCAATACTGAGAGATCTTCCAAGCAGAGAGCGATGCACGAGTGAAGGCTTGCTCCTGTGCACTTCCTGTTATTGAAACATTGATGTATTGACCGCTCATAACGCTACCTGTTTGGACGACAGGCAATACGTACCAATCCGCACTCGACGAGCATGTCTGCCAAGGATAAGCCATTGGTGTCGGCAATGGGTACGCAGGTGCATGTTGCATGCTGTATGCACGCACCAACGCTAGCTCTGGGTCAGAAATGAGACAAGGTAATCCCACAAAGTCCCATCCACACATCCTGTTTACCTACATACTTGCATTCATTGTTCACCGCTAGGGCGCCCTCGTGCTGTGCACGACCTACAGAAATATACGGATCACCCGCCTATCTGCACGCCTGACCTGGGTACATATCATCGGCTGATCGATTTACAGTATTGGCATCAGCGTTCCTCTACTGCTAAAGCAGTATCTTGGTTGGTATGGTCCTCTGTTCGCGGTGGGTAGTGGCCGTGTGCACTTAATATCACGAACATAGGCAATGCAGAAACTAACTTAGGAGCAGCGAGCGACAGATCAACGGACAGGAGGTTCGTCCTGATTTGATTTTATGGTTAAATCATGACTGTCGGCATCGAAGTATATAAACCATCGAAAGTGCTCCTGCAAAACTCATTCTCCAAGCTCCTCCAAGCTCGCTCAGTGTTGCGCAACAACACCCCCTTTGTCGCACATCATCTACAAAGCTCTTCTTGACTCCCTGAAAATGCAATACTTCTCCTTCCTCTCTCTCTCTCTCTCCCTCCTACTTGCCTCCCAGCACGTTGTCGCCATCTGTCCTGGCTTCAATTACGGGGTCGGTAACGCCCAGGACCAGGGCAAGCTCGGCAACTCAGAGGTCACTCGATGCATGTCTACCCTCGTTGATTATCACCTCCCTCACATATGCATATATGAACTCACAAATTTTCACATCGCTTCTAGGGAACGTCTATGACGATGGCTGCAACGTCGTTGACAGTCTCACGACGACGACGAACCCGTGCGAGTCCGGAACGTTCTCGTGCACCGGTTCGCCGATCACATTCAACGGGTATACGAACACGTTCAATGGCCAGCAGTCAGTGACATCTCCTTTCTCTTCTTTTTTCTCGTGACGTTTATGCTCAATGACCCCGAACGTAACTTCAGCTACGCATGTCGCCCTGATGCGAACTCGGGAAGCTGTGGAGGCGATGTTATCTCTATTTGTGTAAGTCTCTTTCTCACTTTCTTCCTGCTTAGACATTCGTTAAGCTGTCTCGGTCTCACACTCTGCGACTTTTTTTTGTCTCATGTTATACAGTGCCGCAATGACGGGAACTAAGTTTTATCTTCGGTACTGGGTATCTACTTCATGGGCTAGTCTGGCTCTCAGGGTTATTATACAGTCATGCGGCAATGACCTTTCTTCGTAATCATAATGATACATAATGTCGTGAACTCAGTCACTTTGTAAGGCCGATGAATACACGCTCTTACCTTCAGTTCTTAGGTTGACCTTCCAACCAACGTTCCTGTCATACCGGATCGGTCTTCGGTACTATAATATCATGTTTTCTCTAGAATGTCAATCTAGCTATGTGCGACGGCTTCTGTATAGGGTAATGTCTCCATAGTTAGACGTGACCCTCATTCTATCCCTCATTTCATCATGATAATGACCTCCGCAGTCCAGAGACTGTGTCTGCAATATTATCTTACTCTTATGATGTGCGGTGAAAGACTCAGTGTATATATCACATATGGTCGAAGTGATATACTAAGTCATTGTGGAGTACTATACTTACAGGCATAAGGCATGTTGGGATGATTGAGAGACGAACAAATGAACAGATAAAAACAAAACCATGTGAAGTATACTTATACTCGTGAACGTATATTTTTGGAAACTGACGTATTCCGCCGTACCATATCTAGTAACATCTCAAATTTTGCAGCACAGCTAGGAGACCAAGGCCAGAAAAGATCGTAATTTCCGCCTTTGAGTGGAGGTAGTAGCGAAGTTTTCACCGCCGACTAGTATGTTACGGACAGGAGGGCTTCCACTGCTATATGAATGTATTGCAAACTGCAAAAGATTTACCATATGACTAACGACAGAATCGACGACGTCCACACGATTGTACTGTGTGTATGATGGCTATCAGCATGGTTTAAAAGGGCTCGAACTGCCAGCGGCATAATGAAAGGTAAAGAAGAGCGGAAAGAATAAGGTAGCTATAAAGATGAGTCTCGAAAGAAATAGAGACTATCGTAATGGTAACCAGTCGGAAGATAACTGAAATAGAGATTGAGGAGAGTGTTGTCTTCTGTAAGAAAACAGAAGGATAAATTTCAAGCTTGCGCGGCATATCTTGTGAGCGGCTCTCAAAGAGCCGCGCTTCCGCTAACGGGTCGAATAAGCAATTGAATCAGGGTGGAATATATGCATCGAACTCACCTTGCTGAGACAGTCACGATATTTCAAGCCGGTAGGATATATCCCACGATGCCCTCATCCGCAAACCCTCCCTCGACCACACCATCGTATTCCTGCTCATTGGCGGTATAGAAGTAATCCGTTCCGGCAGCGCCGTACGTCCTGAACAGTGGGATACTGTCACAGACCTGGTCCGCGTATACATATCCCGCTATTCCCTCGCGGTTGTATCCCAAGTTCACTATAGCATTGTTCCACTCAGACTCGGAGGTCGTATAGAAATGGTCGAATGCCGTGGTGCTGTAGGCGCGATAGAGCGGCTCCGATTTGATGTAGGGGCAAGCGGACTCAGCGGTGAGGACTCTTCTCGTGATCCCCTCGGCGGAGTAGCCGAGCTGGTTGACGGCGTTGTCGAGCTCTGTGACAGAGGTGGTGTAGAAATGGTCGACGGTGGGGCCGTTGTAGGCTCGGTAAAACGCGGTAAAAGCGGATTCTGGGTCGCAGAAGATATCGCCCTGCATTGACGAGGAGATGAGTAGGTGTAGTCAGAGATCGGAAATCAGAGAGAACCATTACGAAGAATCTACATACCTCGTCTGCGCGGCGCGAAACAGCAATGGAGGGTGCTCCAGCCGGTAAGACAGCAGCCGAAGGTTGAGAGGCTGGGTCGATGGCTGCTGAAGGAGCAACAGCAGCGGAAGGAGCTGCAACCGAATCCACTGCAGCTGAAAGAAGAACGGCGGCCCAGGGAGTCGGGGTTGCAATGACCTGGGCCAGTGATGTGGCGATAGCCACGAGAGAGACGAAAGTATGCATGATGAGAAGATTTATCACTGGAGGAGGATGCTCGTCGACAGTGTGAGGGATATCGACCCCACTCACGCGCGGTACTTATAGTCCGGTAAGGCCATAAGAGGGATGGTTCACACCAAGGTGCTGTTCACACTGCATCGAGAGGAAAGTTCAACATTTCGGAGGCATACGGCGATGAGCTACTACGCTCAACGGCATTTTGGGCTGGTTGTTCCTTCTATTGAAGCGCACTTGGTGTGGGAACGAAGTGAAGTGAATCATCTCCACGTACACACATGTCTTAGCATCAACAAAGGCTAAAATTCCCAGTCCAGAAGTCCGGTGTAGAGGGCTTATAGATCATGCATCGCCCACAATGAAAATTCTTGTCACATCGACGAGTTCCATGTCATCGCCGACATTGAAGAATAGTAGCTAGAACCTCGAAATGTATGTTTCAAAAGACCGGTGTGGTAAATTCCATTGTTCGCGGAGTCTACAGAAGAGCGCCAGTCAGCACGTTAGAATCATGCATCACGTCGGATATCTTCTTATTCATATAAAAGTGAGCGACACTCACATCACCTTTAACAGGGCGTGAATTTCGGCTCTACCAGAGCTGATGAGAATATTGTTGGGCCTTGAATACCCATCGAAGATAGTAAGAGAAGAACTGCCGTGTTAACGCTCAGCCAGCATTGAGTGCGACATGCTACGAAGATATTTGTTTGCATCTTTCCAGTGGGATTTGAGTCATTGTCTGTCGAATCGACAGAAAGAGTCTAAGGCCATGGTTGATGATACGTCGGTGTCTACGTCCACGCATTATCCTGATCAATTCAGGTTGAGCTCCGAGGATTGGCGCATATATTCTGACATGACCTTACAATTGAATATTGATGGACTTCCCGCACCCAACCCCTTCCATTCTTCCGACTATGCTTTCCCTGGATACCTCGTGATACCGGAGGCGACGTAGACCGCCAATGTATGTATATCCCCGTACTTCCATTTGATACAGTGCCCGGATATGTCAGTCCCTGCTTATATCTGAGAGTGAACGAGGCTCCCGCTCTCCTCTAGTCCCATACCTGCACAGCGCCAGAAGTACAGACCCGGAGAAGCGTACACAGTATCCCCAGGGTAGCATGGAAGATAGCAATAAAGCAGTACGCGTCGCTCGGTAGTCTCATGCTTCCGACGACACGCAACATAACGAATGCCGTTGTAAGTCAACGGATATTCAGTCGCTCCAGAAAGTCGAGAACTGGAGGAAATGCAAGCTGGGGCCGCACTGTGGGATGACAGACGCGGTCGAAGGGCACATGCTGAGAGAAAATATCGCGAGCGGTAAGATCGAGATTCTGATGGGAATGATATACGCAATCGCGAATGGATGTAGATGAAGTACGTTGCCATAGGCGAGGGGGAGCATTCATCTCATCACTGCAACCGTCGACGAACGCGTCAGGCGCGGTATCTCTATGTTGAGGAATATTAGGTTAGGGCACTCGCTGATGCATTATGTAAAATGGTCGACAAATACATAAAAGAAAGGTGGAAGTGACGAAGTGTGGTCGGTAGATATCCAACAGGCAAGGAGAGGATAGGTGTCTAGTTCGTCAACGTGAGCGACCCTGTCGTCAGATCTGTGGAGAGGATTGGGGGAGGTTTATGATGCTCTGAAGGTATGCCAAATACCTAGTATCCAGTGACGGCATTGAGAGGCAAGACGCCAAAATCTAAAAGCTTCAGTGAAGGCAGTGACCGAGGGGGTTGTTCTGTGGGCTCTGACCAGGAAACAAGTGCGTGTACGGACAATGCGTCAGGGATAGAAATAATCTCTTCCGGTGATAGCACACTCAAGGTCATTGGATATGGATAGGATCGAGCTGGCCATCTACTGCGACTACTCGTCGACTAGGTGGCAGAACTCCACCACAGTTTGTGGCGGAAGGTGAAAATGCGACCAGAGACGAGGTGTGCTGAACGCCACCTCGAGCCACAAACGACATATCCTGGTCAAAGGAAAGGGCATCTCCAGTGGGTTATTTCTAGCAGGCTTTCGTCGTCTGGAAGAGCCGGGACGAATACCCTGCACAGGACCTCGAAGGAGACGTCTGGCTAGGCGATGGCTGTTGGCTCATTCGATGGCATCCAGATCGTATGATGCTGGCGATAGCAATCATGTTTTTCCATCATTGCTATGAGATAGGGATGATAAGGACAGGCTGGAGCAAGAGAGCTAAGATGATGGCTACGAGCACATCGTTGGAAGTCGCTAGTAAGCGCCAAAACACAGCGCACGGACCATGGTCTGTGCGCAAATCGTCTACTCTCGGCAGTTGCCGGTGAACTGGGAGAGTGACGGCTCTGGGTACCCTCGAACAACCCTTCAAACTACGAGCTTCAGTTTGGGTATAGATCTTGTCAAGATTCGATAAAGTGACAACTCCCTACGTACTGTCACATTAACCCGTCCATTGGAACCTTTTAGGTATAGGGAGACGCGACTCCATCCCCGAACATATGCAGCGAAGTGTGCCACCTGCCAATTCATCTTATGCACACGGAGCCTAAAACAGTATGTACGTTCATCGAGGCGGGCACAGGGAGGATCTGTGTGGAAGCTTGTGGTCTGAAATGACCGTTCACCCGTAATGTGATCTCCTATACTTCCTTGTTCGTTTCACCCTCTTCCCTGATTCACGATCGCTCTACGCTATGTTCGTCCCTGATGATGCTTACATCTGTTCGCACAGACTTCTACACTGATATGATGAGTCTAGCTGGCTACAAACTTGCTTCATTGTGCGCTGCAGATCGCCCGACTTGTTTCGCCATGACTTTTTGGACTGCATTTGCTGGACCTTTTGGGAAGAGCTCATTACGGCTATTTTTCGAAACACAATCGGCAGGCAGGGTATCTCTCTGTGCGCCGTTTTGCTTTCATTTCCGTGTGCGTTTAAATATCCCCATCTTTGTTCCGCTCCAATCTGTTCCGTTCGCTTTCGGAGCACCGCATCCGGATATCCGAATGAAGTTGGTAGCGAAACCTTGAGCCAATCCTGCATACAAAGTGCCCTGCGACCGTGTATCAGTATTTGGCCTAGTATGCATCCGGCTGCCCTCTCCTTCCATTGCCTATCTCGCACATAGGTTTTTTCCCGTTGAAACTCGCTGCTCCATTATCTTATTGTCTCAACTCGAGCGTGTCCTGATCATCCATCCATCGGTGGTCGCTTGTGCACCGCACCTCGTGCTCACGAGCGCTGATACTTAGACTGTGGAAAACCGAGACCGGTCGTTCCTGACTTATTGTTCTATTGTTATTGTCGTTTGGCGCGTCATGACCTTGTTCTGTCAAGTTTTTGTAAAAAGGTAACTTCACGTTCATCAGCTCGGGGAGACTGTATAGCCCCTCGGACCTCGGGGCTCGGAAGTACGCCCACCACCGCCTTTTGCTGCTCCCTCCGAGTACGCAGGTTTGACTGTACTCGGATACCGTGAAGACATCCCTGGCAGCGACGCAACGGTCTCTGACAAGTCGTTTGTCAGCGCCGGTGTTACGGCCTTACAGTGGGGGAGAAGATACTAATGAAACTCAATCGCTCATCATCATCTCTGCATCTACCTCATCTCCGCTGTGTCTTGTCTCAGATGAAACTCTCTCGGTGGCAGATAGGTCACGCCGATGGTGCGTATACCGTCTAGCACTGTGCTTTTATATTAATACCTTGGAGTGGGGTGGGCGCGAGGTTTTGGCACCCACTTCGCGCCGTTTTTGCGCCCACTTTCGCTACTGCGAACTCCCTACGTGCTTTACGCTCCTACGACCTCGACGACGACGACGAAGACGAAGATGGCCCTCTTGCACGTTTTGTATTGGACTTTGCGCTATGCGCTTCCGAATGTCTTTGCTGCCTCGACGCCTCTAGTGAGTTCGCCTTCATGATACCTAATGTAGACACGAGGCTCAATTACTTCACCTTCAGGTGGTGGAGGATCTTGCGCACATTCACATTCACGACCATGCACCGAAGTATAGTCACGATTACGATCATACCAATATTCACGACCTCCCTCCACCAGCTTTTAACCAAGCCTATATGTCCGTCTCCGCCCTCGAAGCAGGTCTCGTCGATCTTCCGTCCCTTCTCACGGTTTCTGACGCCACACCCAACGAAATTCACACTGTCCCCTCTCTTGCTTTCCTTCTAACGCACTCCCAATCCGGAAAACGCATCGTCTTCGATCTGGGTCTTAGGCGCGATACGGAGGCGTATGCCCCGTATGTGCAGATGATGATCGATAAGTGGATGCCCGTGACTGTACCGCAGAATGTTGAGGAGAGTTTGAGGATGGGAGGGTTGGAAGCCAGCGAGGTCGAGACGGTGGTCTTGAGCCACTTACATTTCGACCAGTATGTCCTAGCCTTTCCTCCTGTACTTCATTCTCCACCACATTACCCTGCTGCGCCCTCCGATAGTCCTCCAGTTGATTGACTGTCTCGCTTCTTTTATCATATAGTATCGGTGATCCTTCACCTTTCACTAATGCCACCTTCCTCGTTGGCGCTGATGCCAAGCCCCAAATCACGAATGGCTATCCTATCAACCCCACTGCCTCCGAAACAACGACCTGCCTCCCTCTTTCCCGCACGAACTTTCTCCCACACTCTCTCTTCGACATTTCCATCGGTCCCTTCCCCCACGCCTACGACTTTTTCGGCGACGGATCACTCTACATTATTGATGCTCCAGGGCACAACGCCGGTCATATAAATATCTTGACGCGGACGTCGGAAACTGGTGGATGGATATATTTGGCGGGGGATTCGGCTCATGATGTGAGACTGTTGACGGGTGAGAGGGAGGTTGCGGAGGTTGAGCAGGGCGGTAGTGGGCAGAAGTTGTGCTTACATGGTGACAAGAAGAGTGCGGAGACGCATATTCGGAGGGTTGGTGAGCTGATGAAGAGGAAGAGGAACGACGTGCATGTGCTCATCGCTCATGATTGGGAGTGGTACGAGAAGGAGAAGAAGACGGGCGGGAAGGCGTTCTGGCCTGGCGTTATTCCAGCGATGGCGTGAGGCTCAAGAGCGGAGGATTGGAAGGCAAGGCCTTGATTTTAGTATATAAGTTATTCTCATTCGTTCTTCATGCTGATCCGGCGAACTTCGTTAGCGCTGGTGATTTTGGTTCTGTGATAGATGCCTTCGTTCTTCTACTATTACTTTTTAATGCTCGTTCACAGCACTCCGTATTCTAAATCCATAGTATGTTCGACCTTCGACGTTTAATAATGCTATTCAGTTCGATCCTTCCGACGAACGTAGAGGTTTTGTTGAAGATTATAGTAGGAGGTAGAAGGAACCCACCACGCAGAGTTCGATGGCGTGTGCGTGTGAATATAGCCGGCTAGAAGCGGAGAGAACGCTTGAAGTTCGAGCGCTTATCGCGATTCTCTCATAGACATCCAGCTTGCGATCATACTCCTCTTTGCTCTCTAGAGTGTTATCCTTGTACTGTTACTTTCCTTCCACATAGTGAAACTCGTGCACTAACCTCAGGTTTACCTGCAGGCTACAACCACCCAGCCCCAAGGCGGAAGATTTATGTGGCTATTGGGTGACTTTCCGTAGGGAGTCTGTGCACGTTCTAGAGGCCTAGAACACAGAAAAGAGGCTCAGGTCGAGTTTTGATTGGCTGAGAGCCTTGTATTTGTGCTTCTGTGCGTCAAGAAACGCTCCTAGACTGCTACGGAAAGTCACCCATTCCCCTTACATAGACCCGTCTGTGACCGTGTTATCTGATTTCTCTCTCCTCCAAAGCCTCTCCATGTCGGTCTCGCGAATCCCATTTGAGATCTGGGGCAAGATCTTTCTCTTGTCTGTACAGGTCCGCGATAACAAGCTACCGAAACTCCACCCGGACGAAGGTCCACTCCTCCTTCTAAGAATCTCCCGAACGTGGCGAGACGTCGCTACCAAAAGTCCTCATCTCTGGACCCATCTCGCGATACCTTACAAAGATGACAAGCGTATCATTCCACTACTTCGCATGTGTCTCGCCTTTTCAAGCCCGCATCCGTTGACTATCAGCCTAGTCGGCCTTGTCTATGAAACTGAGCGGTCTGAGGCCGTCGAGCCCCAGTTTGTCAACGCGTTATGCGCTCACGTAGATCGTTGGAAGAGCATCCGACTACGTCTATGGCACGATTCCTCTGTACAGACTCTTTCTACTCACATGAAACGCTACGCTGACATCTTCCTAAAGGACGACCACGATCCAATCCATTCCACAGAGATATTTGAAGTTAAACCTTCCAACAACTGCGACCTCCATACGACAGACGACGCAGTCTCTAAGATTTCGCATGGCGCTCAGTTCTTTCATCTTCGCCTATCATATCCTTCGACAGATCTAGTTGTCCTACGCGAATTCCTCGCGAGCCTATCCGCCATTCGCACTCTGACCTCTTTAGACATCGATGTTCCCTACATCAGGCCGGTTGCCTCACTCTTTGACGGCGACGACGATATGCCTACGCCACAACAGTGTTTCCTCTACCTTCGCTCATTAAATATAACCACCGATACGCCCGTTGCGATGGAAAAGATTGTGGCTTTCATCTTCCCGCCAAATCTCCAGTCCATCAGAGTCGCCGTCACCGATATCGATGGTTGGTATAGTTTCAATGATCTTACCCAGAGTTTGCAGTCCCTGCTACGTGGATGCGCGTCTTCACTCGAGACCGTCGGTCTCAGTAAATTTCATGATTTTGTGCGAATTACGCCGACCTTGATGTTCGAGATGCCTTGTTTGAAGTCAATCATATTTCGAGAGGCACTAATTGTGGATGAGTACGTTGAAATCTTCGAAGCATTTACGCTCTATTTCTCTCCCACTGGACGCTTACGTGGGGAGAATATCACAACCCTGCAGCACTTTCAACTGGACGTCGTAATGCCTCTCATGACAATCCAATCCGACTCGTTAATCCCACTCACTGTAAACGAGGCGTTCTTCGGTGCGCTGGTGAATATGATTCGCTCGCGATCAGTAGATCTCCCGGATAACCCCACAACTTTCGATGGGCGGAGAGTCCAGCCATTACTATCATTGAGTCTCGGTCCTGGGATGATGGAGACATACAGGCTTTGTAGTGCCCATTTCAGTGCTTCCACCAGGGAACGATGGGACTCTATCTCGGGTCTCATACAAGAGGTGTTGATGGATTGAGAATGAATTATCTGTGTCGATTCGTGAAGGTGAGTGGGTTCGTATCGGCACGCTGATTATATACCCATCTCACATTTTGATTTTGGGGCGCTAGACTACTCATAGGATGTATAACACCCAAACGTGAACGACCGCGTTCCTTCGTATGAAAGGCTACGGACACAATTTTTCCGTGGTTAAACTCAAAGTTATGTATGTAACGGTCGTGCAGTACATCATGCTACCGATGACATTTTCAGAGCCTGACATAGGCTAGCTCGTGCCTTTCGAGACATTTGTGTTCCATTTTTACGCGTGCACTTTCCTTGAATACACCCCAGCATGTTTCCGAAACGCGATTCTATTCGTATCGTACAACAGGAGTCCTTCAGCACGATGTTGAATAGATCGGTAGGCTTCCGTCCACGAAACCCAATCTACACAAAGCAGCGAACTTAGAAGTATATAAATATGAGTCAAATCCAGGCCCTTAGATAGTACCGCACTCCCTTCACCCTCCACCCATCGTCTTTACACCCCCGACACCTGCCTGGCACTCAGCCCCCGCAGAACTCCATTGACACCTCACAAAGTGGAATTGACCTCTTCGATCAACTCCTTCACGCCGACAGATGCGCCCGCCGGAGTCTCGAACTTCGCGCTGACGTGGGCAGCAACGAGGCCCAAACGAATGAAAACAACGGCGGGGAGAACAAAGACATACCCTGCCACGGCCGATAAACGCTGCATTGCCCCGAGCTAGTCTTATACAGATCAGAGTTCGCCTCGATACGAGGTGAAACGTCGAAAGAGTCATGGGCTCGCCAGGAGTTACCGTTGAGCGGGTTTGTATTGAGAATTGAGGCAAAACAAGAACGATAGCCTGATCAATGTAGACGGTGAGATGATCGGACGAAGGGGATAAAGGCGAAGGTGATGGCGAGGAGAGCGAAGAGCGTGACCTACCTGGATCTTCCCAACGCTCAAGACTTCCGCCTATGCAGAGGGAAAGTAAGCGTAAGTCAGTGAATCGAATCGAATTACAAGAGAAAGCTATTACCATCTATATGCGGTCCCAAAGCGAACGTCGCATCGCCAGGCTGCCTAATCCTCAGTCTGTCATAGTACGAGATGGGAGTCTCCAGACTAATCTTCGACTTCGGGTCGCTGGCGTGCAACAGAGTAGCAAGAAGCCACTTGTGAGTAATGATGGCGTTGGGGTGTGTACGCGCGGCCGTCTGGGATCTGGAGTTATAGAACTCGTAGACCTGGATATTGTCTGCTGGATAGCCTATGTGGGACGAATCGGTGAGATGAGAATCCAGTATCGGATAGAAGGTAGACAGGTGGCACAGACGTACCACGAACATGATCTTTGTTAACCCTGGCATACTCAAGGATATCAGCCTTCCACTTGAGCGCTTCCTATCAACGAGGAAAATATTGTCAGTACGCGAACGGCCCTATATGCGGAGAGTAGTAAAGACACACCTCCTCAGATATGGCACCCTCAACAATCATCGTTCCTACAGCCCTCACCCTCTTCAAGACTTCAGGATCAACCTTTCCACTCTTGATCTGCTCGAACTGCACTCTTAGTATAATCTACAAGGGCAACAAAATGGCGGGAACACTCGTCTGTTAGTTATAATTCCTAAGTACAAGATGAATCCCCAGGGACTTACGTCAGGACCAGTGGCGGCGATTTCCTTGGTGGTGATTTTGAGCTCGTCAAGGACCTCACGCCAGGACTGGAGCATATTGTCTTTCCAAAGCTGCTTCTTGAGCTGGGCGAACCGTGGCTCGAGAACAACAGTATGACCGCTGTAGGGGTGTCCATGGCAATATAGCGTTACGATCTAAACGAATTGACGTCGATAACGGACGGGAACGTACGACAAGGACGCAAAAGCATCGCTGATATCGCCAGCACTCTTCTGAGCAGGGGTAGCCTTGGCCAAAGCCTGAGCCATCCCGCGCATTCGGGGGCCAAGAGTCGCGCGAACGCTAGTATGAGCGGAGAGAGACGCAATGGACTTCGAGCAAGTGAACATGGCTATACAAGTTGTCAACTCGAACTGGGGCTCCCGCGCAGAGTTCGTTCGTCTTATATACGTGCACACGACAGTATCTCATAATCCCGGGCGCAAGACACAAACTTCGAGCGAGCCTGGCCGGCGACCAGTAAGCTGACCGGCGACCAGTAAGCTAAATCAGCCATCGTTCTAACGGTTTCCAGTGATTACGAGGAACCCATCGTGACCTTCGAGTACGCGGTGGAATTACACGACAGATATCGTTCTTACGGTCTCAAGCGATGTGAGGAATCCATCGTGACCTTCGAGTGCGCAGTGAGATGACACAACTAGCCTTCGCGAGCACCGTTCAAAGACTGCCTGGTGGCGCGATTCCTTGGTCGTGGGCAAGAGTACATCCAGTGCCACATCCGAGGCTAATCCGAGAGAGGTTTCTCCGAGCGCTTTCCCTTCGATTGCGCGCAGCGATTGTTCCAGAGGAAACAACAAAGAATCAAGCACCTAACGGATGAACAATTCCTGTGAGCCCGAAGTGCGGACAGAATTACTTGTGACCATAGAGAAAGTACAGTTCGAGACGCAGGCATCAGAAACAAACGCTGATATCAAACCGTGGAGTACACAGAGACTTGATTAGATCCCATTGGCCACGAACAAGCTCTCCGGAGCATGTAAAGAAGAAAACATGATTGGATATAGATGTGGTGAAAGGAGGAGATCCGTACGGAGTACAAAGTGGACGGGCAGTGCCTATACAGGCTTGAGTGCCTTCAGAGTACAGATAGGCACCGAGAGCACAGACCTGCCAGGTCCTTCGAAACAGCTCACTCAAACCCGTTCAAATTGAGTCTATATCGAGCCAGAAGAGAAAAGAAAAAGGGGGCCGAGAAAAGAAGAAGAAAAAGAGACGCACTCAGCCACCTTCCCCGGGACATTCTGCGCCACCGTGCTCGTCCTCCTGCACGCCGCAGCTGTAGTCAACAACGTAGCGTATCACAGCCTCTATTCACAGCTCTCCCATTCGCCCATCAGGTTCACGAGTGAACGCGGCAGCTTCGGACAGAAAAGAGAGTATGCACAGGAGAGGAGGAAAGATGAGAGAAAATGATGTCTGAGAACCGCACGACAACCCATGGATTTCAGAGCGCAGTCTTCCTGGTGACCAAGGAAGGAGCCTGGGGAGCGATTGTTTGTAGATTTGAGGGTAGTTTTCATCCGCTTTTTCTGCAGCAGACTGATTGGGTCGGTGTACAGTTGACTGGGAGAAGATGTAGAAGAGCGAGATCACATGAAGCAGAGTAGTTAGGAGGCCGTATCACTTATTAGCAACCGTCACATATAACGATAATAAACCGGAGGAGCAGAGAGACTTGGGAGAGAGACTCAGAGAGAGACCAACGCGAGCGGAACACACCGACGCCACGTGATCCGTGGGAAGATCCATGCCTTCGCGCTTGATTTCTTCAAATTGGCTCTTCGTTAGAACCTGCACCTGCATAACTGCCTCCTACATCTATCACACGCCCTCGACGTCCAGATGGTCATTGAACCTGTATTCACCACTTAGCTTGTCCTTTTTTGATGCTTGTTTGCTCTTCATATAAGCTGAAGCATGCGCCTTACGTCGTTTACACAACATCAGCTGCGGTCAATCTACAGGGGAGCCACGTCCTTTCCTGAGACTACAGTCTGGCTGTCGTTAGCGTTCCCCATCGGTGTTGCGCTACCTAGGAAAAAATGATCCACGAGCTCCATTGGAGGGCTCAGCTAACGGAAGATCACAAGAAACTTCCAAGGACTTGTACCGCATTTGTCTGGCTGGATATCTTCTCGTCTTTACCCACCCTACGCACACATCGATTACGTCTCTCCTATGTATGCAGGACATTCTCGCGCTTGGTATCTTCTACGACCGACACTTTCTCCGTATTTCGAAGAAGTCTCGCTCTTTGTGGCTTTGACATCCGACTTGACGTCAATATTTCGATCGTGTACCCCAGACTGCTCCCTGCACATCTTGATCTGCATCTGCTTTCTCTGTGGACAGTCGCATGGATCAACACACACTTCCGCTCTCCCAAGGATCGCCCGAACGTGAACAAACTTGTACGGACTTCCCTTGTTTTATTATTTTTGGACACGTCTAGCCAGTCCGCCGCTGTGCCACGAGGCCTGTGATCTCTTAGCTCTGCATGGTGAGTCATTCGAGCTCTTTATCCTTTGACACTTTCGTGACAATGTCGAACTTGTTAGACCATCATAGGGAAGATCAAACTACTGCGTATCTGGCCATGCAGCTTCTGGATGTTCAGAATTTCAGCGAACTGCCCACCTTTCACGGTATTCGGATTTGTGTAATATATATGTGTGTGTGTGAGTATATAACTTTACGCCCTAATCACCTGTCCATTCGTCATAGCTGGATGTCGTCAAGCACGTACACTCTCGGAATCTTATCCACGGCGACATCAAGCCACACAACTTCATCTTCTCTCCTTTGGACGATCGTCACTCATATTTGATCGACTATGGGTTCACTACCTGGCGCTCCGATCCATGTGCAAATCTCCCATTGAAGAAGTCTACTGTATCTATACCCATCTCCATCAAGGTAAGCAAGGGTCTTACTCGTACCGCTCCTACAATGCATGCGCACCACTCACCGGATCAATGATAGGCCCGTAGCGTGCAAACGACATGGATTCATTGGCGTACACTGTCATCGATGTCAAACCTGTCGTCGAGGTCGTCAAGCTGTTCGCAGATGCGGCCGGTGAGGCAGCCTCACTGTCACAGGTGTGTGCCCTCTATATCTTTGTGTGTACATACACGCTGATCGACAAGGTGCCCGGCTGCCTATGGTGCGTCAAGTCTGGTACAGTCGCAAAGCCGGTGTTCGCTGCGATCAATGGCTTGACTGCGGTACGTCCCTATCTCTATCATCTACCATCCTCCCCTGAGATGGACTATATTTCATGTTGCAAACATGATTTTCAGGCAGCCAAAGGCGTCGAGAACAGTTATGATACGATCATTGATCTATTCCAAAGCCTTCAAGCCATGCTCGAGCGCTGTACCATATATCTAAAGCACGAAATAACCCCTCTTGTAAAAGATAACATGGTCGAAACTCTTTCGCACCTGCTTGTTATATTGGGGCTTGCGACGAAACTGATCAAGGAAGGGGAGGACAAGTGAGTTTATTACCGATATATACAAGGTTCATCATAGTGTCCTAACGAGTAATACTGTACTTTTTCGCGCACAAGTTCGCGCCACCGCCCCTCGGCCGTTGCCGAGATGACATAATCCGTTCGTGTCCCGGTTCGCAAGCAGATCGGGACAAGGGACGATGTTCGTGAACATGGACGCTTTTTCAGGGATACGACCTTTCGTGACCGCTTAACAGCCACTTATTCTCTGCATTTGGGTGGGGGAGCTCACCCAGTAGCAAAATCTGGCCAAATTGTGTCTTGGGGGCCTTCCTGAGGCCAATTTAGGACCCTAAAATATATTCTCAAATATTCGTCAAGTTTTCGTCAAATTTTGGTATGTCCCATTTACAAGTTCAGTGCACGTCAATGGGGTGGGACTGTCCCGTGGCACAAGTTCGTTCGCGGCACCCATGGGACACGGGACACGAACTTGTGCGCGAAAAAGTACAGTAGTTCGTTTTTTCAAGTCTCTTGTGGGGAGAAACAGTGACCTTCAAGAGGCCCTCGTTAAGCTCGATCGCTTAACAGCTAGAGAGGACCGATTGGTATCTGCAACGACCCTGTCGGTGACGAACGACATCCTTTGTCGGCTCACTGACTACATCAAAGGTCGGCATCGCTGGAGATACGGCATCTACAGTATAACTGATCCAATATCCAGAGGACTCTGATCAGATCGTGAAGGAGATGCTTGTCTACATCGCCACCACTGTGGAGAGGTTGGGACGTATCGGTCAGTTCGCGCCTGTTTTATATTAGTTTTAATTCCGTTCTCATCTGAATATCAGATGTGTCATCACAATTGCGTGCTGTCTTGGAGGAGATCCGGACCTCCGTCTGTAACGTGGCTCAGGCTACGCCTTTTGAGGGTATGCTGGACCGTGAAATTTCTGTGTTCACTGTTAACGTGGTTCTCTGACAGATGATCAATAGCGCGCGATACTTGCATCATGGTTGTCCGCTCCGGAAGTAGCCAGGAATCATAATGCTGCCCGAGAGAAGCGTATGCGCGGCACGGGTGCATGGTTTACAGAGTCCTCACTTTTAGGACTTGGAAAGACGAACAAGGATCGTTCCTATGGTTATCTGGTGGACGTGAGTCATAATTAAAGTGCATTCGTAGCATTAGCATTCACTAACAAGACATTAAACTTCTTAGCGGGATACGGGAAAAGTATTCTCAGGTGCGTGCAGCGTGCATCTCATCTGGCTCGAACTTCTGACTCGTTGAGTGTCTATTCTCTGCATACTATCTAGTTCTACCGTCATCGACGACCTTCGCTATCGCATCACAGCTGCGCCTCGTGGTACCGCAGCTCTCGCATACCATTACTTCAATTTTCGTGATCCCGCGAAACAGACTTGCGAGAGCCTGCTGCTTTCGGTCCTCAGGCAACTTCTCTGTCAATGCCTCGTCATCCCTACACCTCTTCTTAATCTTCATGGGAAGTGCCAGCGTGAAAGAGGTTTCTCCATCGACGACTTGACACACACACTTGCCGAGATGCTCAAAATATTTGAGCTCAAGTTCATAGTCGTGGATGCACTAGACGAATGTGCTGGAGACGATCAGTTAGATATGATCACAGACCTACTTGGTGCCCTTAATAATCAGTTCGGTGGTGATGACCTACATATCTTTTTAACTGGACGCCCCGAGTCGAACATTCGGCAGTGTCTTGACCAACTTGTTCCCACAAAATTTCGCGTGAAATTGGGATCGGAGCAGGGACTCAGTGACGACATCGGATGCTACGTCAGATCTGTAATCCGCAACAGTAACTCCATCTTCAAACGGTGGAGTTCTGTTCAGCTAGACGAGATCGAAAATGCCTTGGTCTATGGCGCAAACGGCATGTGCGTTTGTTATTTCATATGTTTGTCGTGAATACTATTGATGCTAGTCATTCCTCATTTTCAAGGTTTCGTTGGGTCCACTGCCAGCTCGATGAACTTCGTAAATGTGTCTCTCCGCGAGCCCTTCGCCGTACTCTGTGCGCCCTGCCCAAAACCCTTGACGAGACTTACGAACGGATTTTCATGCATATTTATGACTTACCCAATCGCGAGGAGGCTAATCATAACTTGCTTTGGCTGGCCTTTTCCTTCAGACCCTTGAGTGTCGCGGAGGTCGCAGAGACCGTGGTATTCTCCTTCGAAAATGAAGAACCGGCACGCTTTGTCGTGGACGATCGTGTCGAGGACTTCACGGCCAATGACGTGCTGAGCATCTGTTCTACGCTGGTGACCTTGACTCATGATTGGAAACTGGGCACAACACTTGAATTAGCGCGCTCCTCAGTCAAAGAATATCTTGTAGAGACACGTATTCGAGAGCGTGCTGTACCATCCTACTTCTATCTCAACGAAACGCTCTCACATGCTACCATTGCTCATGCCTGTCTGGTCTACCTCTTGGAAATACCAAACTGCGATGATTTGAAGAGGTTCCCATTGACAGAGTTCATCACATGTTAATGAGCCTTCTCAAGCCTTAGCCGCTTGCTATTTCCTGCATGACCTCACGATCTCCGTAAAGGCTGGTCTGGGGAAATTCTTTGGTAAGGTCCATAAGGCTAGGCACGTAGGTGTATCTTGTCCCTCCACTGGGGGGTACGCCTTGTGTGAATTTCACCTTGATTTTTCACCCGAATACACATGGGATTTTCACCCAATCCTATGGTGACGGATATCGGCTTCACCTCAAATTTGGGTGAATTTTTTGGGTGAAATTCACCCAGTTCGTTTTCGTTTTCACCCGAAGATTTCAGTCGAAGTTCGGGTGAAAATCCACATATCTTCAGTTGGCTCTGGGAGGTCCGATAGCTGGTTCACGCTTCCCAGCTTAGGCCCTGCTGATATGTTGTGACGCTGTTTCGAATCCTGAGAGAGCCGGGAACACGAGAAAAAGATGATTTACTAATGATTATGTAGGTAATGTACACAAATACATCAAACATAACATACTCCTACATACTACTGAAACACCTTATCTGTGCCCTATCTCAGCAACTTCACCCTTCTCTGTTAAAGTTGAACAGCAGGATATAACCATTGAGTGGTCCGAGGAAGAGAGAGGGAGTGGCGGAAAGGCTATGGAGAGTTGACAACTGTCAAGAATCTGTGAGTGCACGAAGTCAAGTCAGTATACAACCAACGGAGCAGACATCATAAGCACGATCACCAAGGAAGGAATGGGATTGGCGAGCAGGGCACCTCGACAGTTTGTGAAGTTAACAAAGAATGGAGTGAAAGGACGACTGCACCTTTCTGATAGCCATCAAATGCACGTCTCCAAAAATCTCCCACAGAAAATTGCCCAACATTACTGAAGAGTGGTTCGGATCGCGTTCCTTGACAGCAGGCAAGCGGATGTCAAGACTCGACAGCTGAGATCAAGCAGAGACCGGCAAAGCAAGCTATAGACTCATGAAGCGTGAGCGGCAGCCAGAGATCTAGGTAGATTCCAGCTAAAAGCGAAGTAAGTCGCGTCCGCTGTTGACGAAGACCCAGAAGTGGTGGTGGTGGTGGTAGAGAGAGAGCAAAGAGATCTGCGAGTCAACTCGTTGAGGCAAGACGCGACTATGACGTCATCTTCCCCACAGGCTACGCCACTCTGCTCTACTTTGTGGCCACCGTCCTTCGCAGTACTTCGTCTCGATTCACCGCACGCTGCACGGTTTCGACGTTGACAAGTCAGCCACACAACAGATCTTGCTCTACCGTATTTCTATATGAATTTATTTTGAATTTTAAGAGGCTTGTTGCTCCCCTGCAAAGTTTGGGTGAATTTCAACGAAGTCATCCGCAGGCCTAGCGGCGGTCACCGAAAATTGGGTGAAACATGAAATTCACCTTAAATTTGGCTGAATTTCACCCTATCCGTCTTCCACAGTGCACGACGGAGGAACCACTATTTAGAGCCCGCTAAAGTGGAATCTAAACCTTGGTCAAAATATCATATATGGATGTCAATTTAGCGCTCTCTAAAGAGAAACTTTAGCGAGCTCTATAGTGAATTCCATTGATTATTCTCTGAATTGCCTTTAGAGGATGCTAAAGAGGTTCGGGGTTGCCACATAAGGCAAGCCCGAGGTGCTCGACACCCTTTAGCGTCCTCCAAAGTCAATCTTTAGCGTTTGTACGGCATTTCTACAGAAAATGCATAGACCCGCCTTTAGAGGTCCCCAAAGTTCCTCTTTAGTACTTCCCAAAGGGGAGTCCACATATAATATATAGAAATTACTTTAGAAACACCTTTAGAGCAAGCTAAATAGTGGTTCCCCGGCCGTGGTGCTCGTTGTCTTCGTTCCACATTCCAAAGCGATAAGGGACGGTGGGGCGAGTAGTCGTGGAGCTGGGAAGCATGGCCAGGTGAGTGACACACGTACATGATATCAGATGATACCCCCTCACAAATTTGGAGCACTGCGTGCTTTCAATGTGTATGTCGTGTGTTGTGCATAGACCGCTTTACATCCGGGCCCGCACTCCGCGTTTGGTCCTTGCATCCCGCATTTGGTTCTCGTGTGCCTAAGTCACGCTGTGTTGTGCCATTGCGAGTCGCTCGGAATGTATATATCGTTCTTCGCTTCAGAAGATGTTCGTCGAACATCAATAGTACAAAGTTCTTAAATGAGCAGCAGTTCGCACCGCGATGACGTGAGTTACCTCGTCGTGTTGGAGCCTAATTCGCCGGCTCGGATGATATTCCAAACTGCTCGTTTGGGTGGTACTTATCTATACGAGTCCCAAACTTGCCTCACACCCCGGAGCTCTCACCACAGTAAATTTTGAATTTGCACCTAGGACTGGTATCGAGGGGCGTGTCGTCGATTGAGGGCTCAATTTATATTTATGAGTCTTATTCTACTATCACCCCGCGAATTCACTGTTTTACTTATCAATGAAGGTTTCACTCTCGGGAATAAAATGTTTTTCTAGGTCAACTCCTACTGTACGCAATTGTTTACTATACATCAGGCGCCTGACATTGTGAAATGTTTCATTGGGGTGCAAGCTCAAAGCGTCATGGAAGCGCGTTATACCGCGTCATACAAGACTTCTTAGGGCTACTTTGTGTTGCTCCGCTGGGCCATCTGTCAACCCCATGCCATTTTTACATTTCATTTGGCCAACACGCACTAGCCATGAAGTAAGTCCCATAGATCGTCGTTTCTTACTGAGTCTCATGGTAACAAAAGCTGCTCATTCATATAAGGCTGTGGTGTTTTTTTACACTGCGAAGCAACCTTCTCCGCCGCGTAGCGTACCATTCCGTGTGAGAGTCATTCTTCTACTCGTTATCTATGTCATTCTGTCAACCTACACATATGGCCGAGACCGTCCGTAAGATTTTGAACTGTTTTTCCGGGTGCGCTTGTATAATCAAGCTTGCTACTACTGTACGCACAGCTGATCTTGTCTCAAAGTCGTAGCGATCCTTTAGATAATGCAAGGTGGGCATTGAATTCACCGGTAATTAGATTACCTTTCCTAAGCTGGAGTGCTAGGGAATCGAAGGAGGTAGTTCCTACGTGAGTGCTAAATCCCGAATGCATCTGGTATGGACTGGACTGACCACAATTATCTATTTCTGCAGACGCAGTCGGCCATCACGCATATATGCTCTCGTCATCGGTATCAACCATTATATACATGCATCGCCACCCAGTTTATGCAACCTCCGTGGTGCAGTCAGGGACGCCGACAGTATGGAAACATATCTAAAGAAATATATGTCTGTCCCAGAATCGAGGATTCGCAATCTTCGCAACTGGCAGGCGACTCGCTCGGCCATAATCGGAAACATACGTTATCTTTCCACATGCAAGGCTATCCGCAGAGGCGACCCGATTCTAATCTTCTTCGCCGGGCACGGTGCCGTTGCATCATCTCCCCCAGGATGGACCAGCGAGAACGGCAAGGTCCAGATGCTCCTTCCCTGCGACTTTATCCCTCGCACGACGGATTCATTGACTGGCCAAGGGATCCCAGACATCACAATTTCCAGGCTTCTAGACGAGCTTTCCGAGGCGAAGGGAGACAATATTGTAAGCATACGCTTATACCTTCTCGAGGCCTTTCACTACTGTGCTCAACCTTCTGCGCTGCGATACTTTTTTTGGGGGGACATAGACCGTCATCTTTGACTGCTGCCACTCCGCTTCGGCTACACGAGGGTTCCAGGATCCCTCGATTGGAATACGGGGCATCGACTTGACCAACATTGAAAGGGAACAATATATCGTACTTCCTGCACTGGACAAAGACATCCTGAACGCTGCAAAGGACGGCTCCCGTGCCGAGGCTAAAGCTATTGGATTCGAGAATTCCGGGACGACGTCATATGTCCTTCTGGCAGCCTGCAAAGCAGAGCAAAAATCCCACGAGTCCGCCACCTGCGGTGGATTTTTCACGGACGCATTACTTCGAGTTCTGAGAGCAAATAGTCCCGAGAAGATCACTTATATCGACCTTATAGAAGGTCTCCCGCATATTCCATACGGGTACGCGTGACTTTTCCGCCCGCTCATATACTCTAGTGCTTGCTACCCATGAGCCTTTTTCTGAGTTCTATCTCTGTATTCATAGGCAAAGTCCGCAATGCATTGGGGAGCACTCGGACCGAGTGCTTTTCAACGCAAAGGCACCCTCTCCTCGACGTATTCTGTATCGTGTAAGCAAGACCGCTCAAGGAACATATCAGCTGAGCGCAGGAGAGGCTTCCGGAATAACCATTGGAGCCAAGTTCAATCTCTACGCGACTAGAGAAATAGACTCTCCGCCTCTCGCAGTCCTCATCGTCGCATCTACCACGGCTTTCACTGCAAAGCTTGAACCCGAATCAATCTCCTCAAGCCCAGAGTTCTCTATACAGGCATATGCGCTACAGATATTGATAGGAGAGCCTCCAGATCTACGAATATCCATTGAGGGTGCCATCAGAGGCAATGCTAGCCTTAACGGAGTATATGACAGGGTTATTGAGGAGATGGACAAGTCACGAGCTATGGGAAAGAGGGGGATCCTTCCTGTCAAGATCGACGAGTCTCCGGACATCTCACTCGCAGTGGAAGGAGAAAGAGTCGTGTTCAGAATTTCTGATGCAGCTTGTGTCGCTCACTCAATCACTCGCATGTACGGAACTGTCCCTTGCGACTCCGACGCCGTATTCCCCATCATTGCTAGCGCCGCGGATTTCTTCTCCCGTCTTCGTCGAACCTCGAAGACTACGGTGCTCAGGAACCACGTCGAGTTCGTGTGCACAGAAGTGGTTTCAGGAGCAGGATCAGAGCTCAACTCTGTTGGCTCCGACCTGATTATAGACGGTACTTTGAACATCCTTGTCGATGACCAAAAGGGATACGGATACGAGATCAGGAACAAAGGTGATATACCGCTATATGCTGCGGTATTTTTCTTCGACGTCAGCGATCTAAGTATCGGTGAGCAGCTACTCGTATCTGACAATTATAGACTTACCTCTGACGGGCTTCTTATGTGTTAATCGCCTGTTGCGACAATGTGCTAGCCGAGTACTACATTCCAAACAAGGCAAAAGACAATGAAAATGTGGAGTTCTCTATCCCACCAAACAGCGTGCTTCCTATTGGCTACGGGTCAAGCAGCAGGCGGCCTCGCGAATATTTTTTGCGAGAGGGTCAAAACATCGACATCGGCTTCATCAAGGTTTTCCTCTCTACAGACTATGTCGACCTTTCCAATATCTCTCAGCCATCGCCATTCACCGAACTCCGTGCTGAGAGGCCTAAAGCATTCGTTCCTGTGCCCCAGTGGGATTCAATTCTTGTGACGGTTGTTCAACGCAAGGGCCGTTCATCCTCACTCGCAGTGACCACGGTGTAATGGCACGGAGTCGGCAGGCGTAAGGTGAAGATGGAGACAGAGGCCTCAGGCAGATGCGGATGCGAAGGACAGTGCTGTAACAAACTGGCGGTTTGTTTTGTTTTTACAACAACACGTACACGCCAAACATATGTGTATTTTTCACCCTTGACCTCACGGTTGACCTTACAGTCATTTGCATCGAAAAGTGCTAAGATAATTTGCGAGTACTGCCCAATTACTGTCACTGTAGTCGGCGCGTACCGCGTCAGCATTGCGGAGTTTGACATTCAGGTACTTCGCTCGATATACTCGAGCGAACAGTCCCAAAGCGATTGCAGTGCATGCTCCCTTGGGTAGACCTACGTTGAGCGCCAACGAGGGCGTGTGTCCACAGATGATGTATTTCCTCCACGGAGATCTTCCTTCTGAGGTTAATATACTTAGGGTATTCGTTATTCTTCTAGGTAGCAGACGCTAGTTCTCGCTTCCACAAGAAACAACAACTGTAGGGATCATGTGCAGTGCCACGCAATATCGAGACTCTGAATGCTGTGTTGCATCCTCATTGTCAATGCGTGATGCTAGGAGTAATGAATATGCTCTAGTTCTATCTGTTACCTAGATATCTGTGGGGCGTAGAATATACATGCTCCGCCCATCACGGTGTATGACGCGAAATTATGTCTCTTTAGAGAATTCGCTGGAGCACACGTCCGATTTCTGGAATGTGATGACTATATACTGTGATATTTTTCGCACACGCATAAAGATACGTGACCGATGGCATCTACCTCGTGTCTGTACCACTACCTCCACGCCTCATATTGTTCTTCATCTCCTTGCCTCGTTCCCGCTTAGAGATGTTTTCCCAAAATAGCATGTCCTTATTCTGTTCCGGGTAAATATAAGCGCTAGCAAACATCGAGTTCAAGATAGTTATATCCACAAGGCCATTGACTCATCGTACGCTCTAAAACTCCAAGAGTTATTTTAATGTCTTATGGTAGAATTGAGCAATATATTCGACAGAACCAGGAACGTGGAAGACCAAGAATAACGCTGATCAATGGACCTCGTGCTGGACGAGTGATATTCGCTATGAAGAGGCGATTGCACGCTAATGCATGTATACAAAAATATGGCTTCCACATGAATGTATCATGGTGAGCACAAGGCGAGGGGTTCGTGATTGGTCTTTGCGCTATTCGTGTACTTTGTTATCGTAACATATTTTTCAACTCCAGCGGTAAGAGTTGAAATGATCCTCTAGCCTGGCAACATGTATTACAGTTTCACCTGATAATGACTAGAGTCGTTAGAGCGATCCTATGTCTTCAAGTGTCATTGTCCGTACTTCATCAATCGCAGGACCGCTACTGTACTATCCTTATTTCACCGATCACCGATCAAGAATTCGTAGCAGTCCACAAAAACGCGGCCTTCGGGAAGGTGTACTGTTTGCACGGGTACAGTTTAATTACACACATGTCAAGTGCTTGCACAGTCCGGACCAGGGCCACGATCATATGGTTATAAGAACCCTTTAGTCGACAGCAACAAGGTCCGTTCTTACTCCATAACTCATCCGCATTCGCCAACATCAAGAAAGACAAGTCAACGTCGTACGGAAGTGCGTGCAATTATATTTCATAACTACGCGTGTATGCAACTGACAGCCCACTTCAAGCTCAAGCCTGGAAAATATGTATGACGAACTTGAAGTAAACCGTGTCCTTGGTTCTGAGGTACTTTGTAGATTGCTTTGGCTGCTGAACGGTTTTCAGCTGACAATTTTATGGTGTTAGCGGGCTCTTGACTTCTGCGACAATGTCGTACACTCCTCTCGGAGTTTCCTGCGCGAAGTCTACCCACAAGGGCATCCACAGCGTCACAGCGGCCTTCTTGGCCTTGTTAACGCACTGCAAAGGCGCTTCCGCGCTGCGGGACAAGCACCTGATATAATCGAAGCCGTAAAAGTGGCAAAGGAGGCTTGCTTAAGCACTGCAGATTCAAATAATTTGGATCATCGTCTTACATGCCTCAGTATCCTTGGAACTTGCGTTCTGAGCAAGTTCGAGGCTCTCGGTGTAGTCGCCGACGTCGATGAGGCTATCTCCATTCAACAACGGCTTGTTAATCTAACTCCCGATGGTCATGATAGCAAACCTAGTACATTCAATAACCTTGGCCTGTCATTCATTCGTCGATTCGAACGTCTGGGAAACATCGTTGACATTGAGAAGGCCATCTGTGCCCAGCAAAAGGCTATTGCGCTCACAGACGACGGTAATAGGGAAAAACCTCGTATGCTCGCAGACCTCGGAGCATCATTTATGCGTCGATTTCGGCGGCTGGGAAACCTCGTCGACATTGACGAAGCCATTCTGATCGAAAAGCAGGCTGTTGCACTGATTCCTGATGCTCATAAAGACAGGCATAGTATGCTTGAAAACATCGGACTATCATTCGCTTGCAGATTCGAGAGGTTGGAAGATCTCAGCGATATACGGGAGGCAATTCATTTTCAACAGCAGGCAGTTGCACTCATGGATGATGGGCATCCCAGCAAAGCAGGTATGCTGAACAACATCGGGGCTGTTCCTCACCCGTAGATATAAGCGTTTAGGAAATCTTGGCGACATCGACGAGGCTATTCTTGTTCAGCAGCGGGCAGTCGAACTTACACCTGACAGTCATACAGACAAACCTTCCAAGCTTGGTAACCTCGGTATTTCGTTGAGTTGTCGTTTTGACCGTTTGGGTAATATTGAAGACATTGACAAGGCCATCAATGCTCAAGAGCAGGCTGTTGCGCTTACTCCCGACGGTCATGCCGACAAGCCTAGTTGGCTTAGTAGCCTTGGAGGGTCACTCACTAATCGATTTCAGCGCTTGGGAAACCTCGTCGACATCGACAAAGCCATTTCTACTCATCGGCAGGCTGTTTTACTGACACCTTACGGCCATGCAGACAAGCCCGGTAGAATCATGAATCTTGGGCATTCACTTACCTGTCGATTTGAGCGTCTGGGGGAACTCGTCGACATTGACAAGGCAATTCATGCGCATCGACTGGCTGTTGCACGCACCCCAGATGATCATGCTGGCAAGCCAAGCATACTCAGTGCTCTTGGGCAGTCATACAATTGTCGATTCCTGCGTCTGGGTCACCTGGTGGACATTGACGAGGCCCTTTCAATTCAGCGTCGGGCTGCTTCCCTGACGCCCGATGGACACGCAAACATGCCAAATATGCTGAACAATATCGCGGTGTCACTCACTGGGAGGTACAAGCGTTTGGGGAATGTCGTTGACCTCGATGAGGCCATTTCTACTCAGAAACAAGCGGTCACAATGATCCCCCATGGTCATGCATACAAACCCGCTTGGCTGAATAATCTCGCAGGCTTGTTCGCCTGTCGCTTTGAGTGCTTAGGATTTGCCACCGACATTAACGATGCGACTTCAACCTATCGGCAAAGCGCACACTTATCCGTGGGTCCTCCACAACAATTGTTCAATGCGGCTCTCAATTGGAGCCGAACCTTTTATAAGGCACACAATGAACACTCACTAGAGGCAAATGCATCCATTATTGAATTGATACCACGTATCGTCTGGCTCGGAACGGGTGTCTCCCAGCGTTATCAAAACATCTCTCCAATAGGAAATGTGGTCATTGAGGCAGTGGCGGCCGCTATAGAACTGAACAAACCTGATACTGCATTGGAATGGATTGAACAGGGGAGGTCTATTGTATGGGGGCAGATTTTGCGCTTGCGTAGCCCTTTGAACGATGTGAAATTGTCATCGAGACCAGAGTTAGCCACGGAGTTGGAGCAAGTCTCTCAACAACTAGAGCGAGCAGGCACCGAAGAATTTCTCACCATAGAAGCAGTCAACTCGGAGACTGAAGTTTCACCAGAAGACGAAGCGCAGAAACATCGCAGGTTGGCTGAACGATACGACCAACTGCTTGAAGAGATTCGTTGTATCCCTGGATTCGAGCACTTTATGAAACCTAAGCAACTGTCCTACCTTCGTGATGCCTCCGAGCGAGGCCCAGTCGCCATCATTAACGTCCATAATACGCGGTGTGATGCACTCGTTGTCAGAGACCCCAGTTCCCATGTCTTACACATTTCTCTTCTAGATCTTTCGCTCGACGACACACATAAATTGAGACAGCAATTCGTCAGCTGTCTAGCACAGGCGAAGGTTCGTGTCCGTGAAAATCTCGAAGATAGCGAAGGACGTGCAGATCGGCCGCATGATCCACACGGTCTCCCAAGAGTTCGAATGGAGTACATCCTAGGAGAACTATGGGTCAAGGTGGTGCATCCCGTACTTGACGCTTTGTGTTTCAAGGTATGTCAAATTTCTACGCAAAGAAGTCATTTTGTCTGATAGCTTTTTCAGGAGTCATCATCGGACTCAACAGCACTTCCCCATATAACCTGGTGTGCCACAGGGCCACTCGCATTTCTCCCTCTTCATGCCGCAGGACACTACAACAGACCGGACGGGCCACGAGCTTTTCAATATGTCGTATCTTCCTACACTCCGACTATCGCTGCGCTCGTGGAAGCCTTGAAAAGGCCTGAACAATTGAACCCCAGCATCCTAGCAGTATCGCAGCCCAACTCCCCTGGGTACTCTGATCTTCCGGGCACCCGCCAGGAGGTACAAGCAATCGAAAGCTGCGCCGATGGACTGAGCTTGAATTGGCTTGACGGAGCTAGTGCTACAGTTGATGCCGTCCTCGAAGCAATGGCACAAAGCAGCTGGTGCCACCTCGCCTGTCACGGGGTTCAAGACCCCACTGAACCAACGAAGAGCTCTTTCGTTTTGCATAACGGCCGTCTCGATCTGCATACAATGATGTCAAAGTCCTTCAAATCTGCGGAAATAGCGTATCTGTCCGCCTGCCAGACGGCCAAAGGAGACGAAGAACGGCCGGAAGAAGCGATACATCTGGCGGCGGGCATGCTCTTGGCTGGATACAGAACAGTCTTTGCCACGATGTGGTCCATTGGAGATAGAGATGCACCTATTGTTGCGAGGGAGGTATACTCGCACATGCTCAAGAGCTCCCAAATGGGGAGAAGACGGCAGGCGGCATATGCGCTGCATCACGCGGTGGGAGTTCTTCGAGACAAGGTTGGCGAGGACGCGTTTGTGCGGTGGATGCCTTTCATCCACTTTGGTGCTTGAGGGAGAGGATTCCCAGATATAGTTTGGGGTATTCCAGGATATGAAAGGAGAAAGAACTTTACGGTGTCACGATGCTCCCGTTGTTTGTGTTGTTATAGAGTACTGTACTTTCCAGACGAAAGGTTCGTACCCTGTCAACCGCCAGAGGACAGCATTTGCTTGGGAGAATCCTCACTAGGATCACAGGGGGGATGTCCGTCGACGACAGCATCGACCTACCAAGTTAGGCACAAGCAGTTCGCGAAGTATCGCGTACGGACTATTTTAGAAAACATGTTTGAACACACGAATACGCACAGTTCATGTGTGTAACGTGCCTCGAAAATTTGAGTATCCGAACCCGGGCCACCGAGGAACCACCGGGAGCTTCGTAAAGGGCTGGCACAAGAGCATCGTACTAGGATCCCTGTTTATAGAGGGCGAGGTCATCCACCGATCCGGACAAAATTTGGAGGTTTGGTGGTGGAAGGTCCTCCGCAGGACGGACAAATTTTGGCACTTTTGGGGGTAGGTTCCTTCCTTCCTTCCTTCATTCCTTCCGCCAGTCCGGACAAAAACCCGGCACAGGCGGGCGCCCAGAGGTGTGGCATCAGCTCCAGCTTGAGTGGCGACGCCCTGTTCGGTCACTGTGTGCGCTTCTCTGGGGTCACTGACGGTCCAAAAGGCAGGTTTCCCTTCTAAAAGGCAAAATAAGCCTCGCAATGCGCTCAAAGAGCGAGTCTGGAGCAGGCTAATTATTATTATTATCTTCTTTTTCTTTTTTTTTTTGGAGGCCGTACCCGAAATCCTGACAAAAATGGCCCCCGCAGGGAGGTCGTCTGCGAAATATAAGTAGAGTCGACACACGGACGATCCTCTGGGTTTTTCCTTGTGCCCAACTCATCATGGCCTCTCAACCAGAGTCATCAATCACATTTCCACCACACCGACGTGATGATACAGCTGATGAGCATGATACGCTGGCTCAGATGCGTATAGACACCTACGAGACCTATCAAAAAATTTGAACAAATGTGGGCGTCAAAGGTGAATACTAAATACATCCAGTGGCCATTTGTTCACGGTATCTTCTTAGGCTAACTCATAAGTCGCGGAAGAATTTTGCGGGCCTGAATGACTCGATTATTGATCTCACAGCGGTCAATGAGTGCGAAAGGAACCGCGAAATCGAAACAACGACGGCTCACTTATCCTCACTGACAAATTTATGCCTTGCACTAAAGACGGTAAGATCTCTTCCCCGGAGTATGGATATGGGTATCTGATCTCAACATACTACCCAGAGGATTTTCTGGTTACGAAACGACTACAGAGAACATGGGCCATCTGACCATCCGTTGAGTATGTCCACAGAATACTCGCGTCATTTCTGGTCACTAACAGGACATCGTTCGTAGACAACGCAGTCACTGTGCTTAGTGAAGCTCATGCTATCTGTAAGAGTTGTGTATATTATCAAACCACAGACCCAGACGACCCGATTCACTTGCACCGCTGAAGAATGGGTCGTCTCTGTAGACCCAGCCACTGGGCATACAGATGAGTGTGTAGCAATGATGCGTGCAAAAAAAAATATAAACACGTAGTCTTACTTGTCGAAATATGTATACGGTGGTCAAATCATCTCTGAATCCGTGACACTGATGTATTAATATCGCTGCCTACGCTGTTGAGAATGGTAAGCGTTCTTTTCATTGCTTACTCAATTTTTGGTGCGGTGTCAGGTACAGCTTATTGATTGACAACGGCAGAGAGTATCTAGGTGGAGGCAAAGGCGGTATAGAGGCGAGGTAGTGAGTATGCAGCCCCAAGAGCATGCCGTAGACCTTTTATCCGCCATTCATCGTGCTTGGGCAGACTGAACTTTGGATAAGAATCGTAATAGGAAAGATGTATTCATCAGCGTACTTAGTTCGAACAGAAAGCAGAGCTGGACAAATGTATGCGAATCAAACGCTGTCCCACATGCATCAACAGTCCAATTCAAGTCCAGTCTATCACCCACCGTCATAAGAGAGACGAGATGGTATGTCGAGGGCAGTCCTTGCGGGTATAGTATTTCTTAGTGGTGGCCGAAGAAGATCATGGCTTGGCAGAGAAAAGACAGGATTGGAGTACAAGAGTTCGTGTGAGTCAAAGACGAAAGAAGCATCAGATCAGGTTTTAGAGGGAGCTCAAAGAAAGGTCGGACGAAAGGTTAGAGCTAGCGGCAGGTAGAGAACAAGGACAAGGAGGTGCAGAGCGAGGATGGGAGCGGGAAAAAAGGAGGCGATCGCCGGAAGCGCTAATCTTATCAGCGCGGAGTGGCTCGATTATTGGCAAACTGTAAGATAAGGAATAGCGCCACTAGACCGAGAAAAACGACGAACGAGACTTACTCTCGCGAGCATTCGCTAACCTAAAGCACCCAGTAGGAAGGTCGTGAGAATCCATACGCACAAGCATTCCCTTTGAGCGAAGATACCAGAGTATCGTCATATAAACGTCCGCGGTCCGAGCTGACAGGTATACGGACTAAATAAATGGGACAAAGTGCACTGTTATCTCTGCCTGTGGAGTGATGGTCAGAAGTGAACGCATACTCGAGGGACTTGTTTCGCACGAGGCAGACGATCAAGTAGAGCCGCTGGAGAGGGTAACTAACGATCGTGGTGGGGAGCCAGAGCGATAGAAAAGAACCCAGCTGACAATAACCATCCGCATGCAGACGAGCGTAAATGTGGAGAGTGTCTAAGTATGCATCAATCCCCTGTGGTCTTTCCTGGTGGCAACTGAATAAGAGCACGACTTGGACAAGGAAAGATAGGGTCTGAGTGCTAGAATTCTGGCGAGGGATGAAAGGCAAGAGAAGCGACTGGGATAGAGCAGCTTCTGCAGTCGATACAGAGAGAGCTCGAAAGAAAATGTGGCACTTCGGCACGTCCTACTTATAGCGAATGGCGAGAACAAGAAAGAAAATGAGAATTATCCTCGAAGACGATAGGAAGACCGACACGACGGGGAAACCACTATTTAGAGCCCGCTAAAGTGGAATCTAAACGTTGGCCAAAATATTATATATGGATGCCAATTTAGCGCTGTCTAAAGCAAAGCTTTAGCGAGCTCTGTGGTGAGTTCCATTGATTATTCTCTGAATTACCTTTAGAGGGTGCTAAAGAGATTCGGGGTTGCCACATAAGGCAAGCCCGAGGTGCTCGACAGCCTTTGGCGTCCTCCAAAGTCAATGTTTAGCGTTTGTACGGCATTTCTAAAGAAAATGCATAGAGTCGCCTTTGGAGGTCTCCAAAGTTTCTCTTTAGTACTTCCCAAAGCGGAGCCCATATATAATATATAGAAGTTACTTTAGAATCACCTTTAGAGCACTCTAAATAGTGGTTCCCTGGCCGTGCGAGATGAACCCTACGGCTATATTTGAAGTCCGTAGCTTAGACGCCCCACGTGCAGATATAGATACCCCGCATGGGGTCAGGCCTCCACACCTCTTCCTCACAAGTGATCATGAGCGTCCCCTCTGATACAACCCCATCAAACGATGCTTCGGATTCGCAGGAAACTGCGAAAGTCGAGCAGTTCATTTGGGGCCGAGTCACTCTCATCCAGCAAGCACTTGACAGAGTCGATGCGATCGCTGCACAGGTCCGTCAGGCTCAACGACATTTCGTTTCTGCATGAGTGGCCATGGGCGTTGATCTCATCTTCTTGCCGATATCTTACCCCCAGAAAGAGCCAGACCGTGTCATTACTGCAAGCAAGGAGCTAGAGGACGTAGTCGATGAGGCACGAAGGATGCATCCGTTCGTGTCGATGCCGAAGCGTGAGTACAGCAGAGCGGATGAGGCTTTGATGGACCTACAATACGTACGTCACCATATCTGTTTGCACACAGTGGGACGAAGAAATCATCTGATTATTCGTCAGCGTGCGCAACTCCTCTTAATAGGACCGACTTCACCTTCAGCGTTCAATGACGCCGAGCGGACCCAGATGAGTACGTACGCCCCGCCACAAGTTCACTGTGCTGCTTGAATGGTCGTATGTGACGCGGATACGTTTCATTTTATCAGCGAAGTCCGTATGTGCATTGATTGAGTTCGTAGGGGAGAGTTTGAAAGACGTGAGCTGGGAGCCGAACTTGTGGTTACTGGCTTTCGCCGGCTGAAGCACCCACCGAGAAAGAGACCGGAGAGGAGGACAGGGCGGCGGAGGTTACGTTAGTTTCCGGACACACAACAACAGGAAACAGGACGGGATAATTTATACAATAGCATTGGGTTAGGTCCTGCGGAACATGGATATAAAACTGGCTCTTCGTCAGGGCTCTAGAGTGCAATGAACATGTAGCTCATTGAAGAACGAATTCGAACGCAAACGATGCAGAACTAGATAGGGCACTCCTCTTGTTGCTTTATGCTCTGAATAGCCTCGGCACGAGGTAGTAAACTGAGAGGAGCCGGGGTACGTAGGCGTTAATCAGATACGTGACGCCGGACCGTGATCATGGTGAGGGCTCTAGAGACAGCGAGAAACTCAGCAGAAAGGTGGAAAACAGCCTGAGACATCCAGATGCAGACGAGTAGATGGTAAGGAGACTCAGTGGATAGGTTGGAGTCAGTCCTGTGTGGTCTTGCATAGAGGTGACCGATGAAGATCATAAGGGACAAGGTCATGATGCTAGAACTCCGGCGACAAGTCAAAGGCAGGGTAAGGGACTACGGCTCTAATTAGCTCTTAATAGACTCTAAGGACGAAACAGACGCAGACTTGGAGCTAGTAGCACGCAAGGAACAAGGTGCAGACAGAGCGAGAATGAGAGCGGGAAAAAGACGCGATTGACGTGGGCGCTAAACTCTAATCTTATCAGAGCGGGGTGGCTCGCGTGGCCCAGCTCCGTCGACCTCGTGGCTCGATCCCCACGTCCTGCTCCCGTCCGCGTCCGCCACACCAACTTGAACGGCTCCTCCCTCTTGTTTCAGCTGCTCGCCCGTTGTGATCTACCTCTGCTGCTGATCACAGCTACTGCCCTCAAATACATCAAGGTATCTCTACTGCTTAATATCAGTTATAAACGTCCGAGCTAGGAGTGATGACACGATCCGGACCGCGGCTGTCAGGCTAACTCCGCGTGTAAGTATATAAGTAGTGTAATCGATCTGTATACAGCGACGACTTGAATGCCAACCTTCGACCCTCTTTGGACCATAGTTTTTCCTCACAGGAATCGTCTTCTATACCAACGTGCTCAGATGAAATCTCACCCCGGTTTTGCGGAATTCACTGTAGAGGAGCGGGGCGCGGTCCTCGGGAGCGGCGCGTCCGGTAGGAACAACCTGAAATTTTTACTGCAAATACTCGATGTTAATATTGAGATTCTAGGAAGGGTGTGGAGAGCTACCATGAAGAGAGCTGGTGAAAGTGACAAGGTAGTGGCCTTGAAGACTTCCCACACTTGTAAAAAAGTAGCCAATCCGCCGCTGCGCCATGAGGCTTGTGCTCTCTTAGCTCTCCAGGGTGAGTCATCCGAGTCATGTTACCTTTAACGATAACATAACGACGTCAATTTTGGTAGGCCACTCTAGCATACCAGAGGTCTATGCATGGGGAAGATCGAATCAGTTTGAGTATCTTGCTATGCAGCTTCTGGGGACGCAGAATCTGGAAGAACGCGCCTCGAATGGCCCGGCTTTCACGGTTGAAGATCTAGCGACACTTACCTGCACTATGGTACGCTTTGGCTACTGATAGATTATATGTACAACTGTGAGCTCTGATTGGCTTTTAATTCATAGTTGGATGCAGTGGAGCATGTACACTCACGTCATCTGATCCACGGCGACATCAAACCACAAAACTTCGTCTTCTCCCTCCCTCCCGACTCTCGCCTGTACTTGATTGACTATGGTTTGACAACCTGGCATTCCGATCCCGAAACGCATGTTCCGCTCGAGAAGTCCCGTACATCCAACACCATCGGAACGATAGTGTACTGCAGCATTAATGCGCATCTTCATCAAGGTAAGCAAGGATCATAGTCTTGCTACTATGAAAACAATCGTGTATCACTGACGGCATGAATGATAGCCCCGTCGCGTGCAGACGACATGGAATCATTAGCATACACCGTCATATCACTTCTTCGAGGCTCACTTCCATGGCAGAAACAGTCGCGCAAAGGAGTATTCCCCAATAAGCAGCTCTGGTCCGGAAACGACCTTGGCTTCGGGTACCCCCAGGTTTTCGGCGACTTCGTCGACTATACACGGGCATTGGGATTCGAATCCGAGCCGGATTACGTTCGTTGGAAGGGAAACTTCCAGAGTTTGCTGACTTCTTGTCACGCCAAGGTAGTGGTCGGCACGTCGCACAAGGACGCACCCGACCCTAAACCGTCACTCCAAGTACTCCCTGAGCCAGAGTCGATCTCGGAGTTTACGACGCCTCGTGAGGACGATTACTGGCCCATCGGAACCGCTATGTACCCCAGAGTACCCACGAGGCGGGATCTGATTGGCGACGAGAAAGCAACTGTTCGTAGACAATTGGCGAGGATTGATAAGTTACATATACCGCCCAAACTTTGTTCGCCACCTCACTTTATATTGACTCAGGAGCAGGAAGATCAGGAAGAGAAAGAATTTGGCTGGGAATATCTAGATGAGATAGACAAATTCTGGTTATAGTGGATGGGTAACATTGTATTTTCATACTTGCACAAACACCGGATGTGATTCTTGACAATGTCCATTGATGAACGCCGCTCAACGCGCTATGCCATCCTCTGGTATGAGCCAGTGACTTCGTTCTGAGCCCGGAGTAGTTCGCTATATTCATTGCTGATAGAGATCCTAGATTAGATATAGTCGATCAGTCAACGCCTTGAGGATTCCACATGTTCACAAATATATAATTCACGAAGCCATTATTTCTGTAGGCTCATCCATTTGTCCCTCACTCCCCGCGGTCGACTCCCTGCGAGTTCGACTGCTGTCAGATTATGACGAGAGCAGTTTCATGTTCGCGGTTTGAGGAATGTTCGGACGGTAGTCCATCGACGATGCGAGAGGACGAGGCTGTGCGTGTCGAAGATGATGAAACCGCTCGACGTGAGGTTGGAGCACTAGCGAAGCAGTAGGCAGGGTAGAAAAAGCTACGAATAGAATTCTAAGAAGAGGAGGGCGTGGAAGAGGCGCTCGATACGTACAACTTTACTCTCAAGGGCGGGCTGTCAATGGTCAGAGGAAACGTCGATGAAACACCCACGAGTCGGAGAGAGATAGACTGAGGACGAAGAGTGCATGGTTGGTGTGAGAGAGATAAGGATCTGAGAGAGGGGCGTACTAGTGGGATCCGTCCATGGTTCAATCCATCCTGAAATCCTGTGCACATTTTGCTACTCTCCGATGTCGTGCATGTTTCGTTGCGTACGCGTTCAGGCCTCCTTCGACGAGGCTGTAATCCAGATATGTTCGTCAGAAAGGAGACAATATGTCGTACAGTAAAGTCTTCCAGTCCGGTTAACGCAGAGTTAGCACAGCGGAACGATTGGACATTGGTCCTTCTCGGGAGGGGGACTCGGAGGTTTTGCTATCTGAACGTGATCGGAAGCGTGGAGTTGTGGACAGCCAAGAAAGAGCATATAATGTATATTCAATAACAATCGGTGGGGGCGAGTTAGAAAGAAGAGAAGCAACGGGTAAATCTATAGAGACAACTCGAGAAAGGCATCAGACCAAAGGAAGAAGGAAGGAAGGAAGGTTTATTCAGGATACAAAGTGGGCCCTTAAGGACCAATATCCCTCTTAGAGCGACCAGCAATTAGGGAACAAGAACGAGGTGCAGAAAAAAACGAGAAGAGGGGGCGGGGATCAGTATGGGCGCTAAATCTAATCTTATCAACCCCAGCTCCGTCAACCTCGTGGCACGATCTTCACGCCCTACTCCCTTCCGCCACACCAACTTGAACACGTCTTGCTTCTTGTTTCAGCTGCTCGCCTATCTCTACTACTCCTATTGGCGAATACTATATACTACAACAAGTTCAGTGTTGCTTATTCTCAGCTATAACCGTCTGAGCTAGGAGAGATGACGTTCTTAGGACTGTGGTTGTCAGACTAACTCCACGCTTCGAATGCCAACTCCCCCGACTCCCGAGAAGAAGCAGACGTCCGAACGTGCTGATTGCCCCTTTTTGGACGCCACTTTGTTCGCCCTAGGGCCTAGCGTGAACCTCGCGTTGGCCATGGGCATCTCCACAGATATATATATTGCCCCTGACGACGAAACGAACGATTCCCGCTCGGGTACTCTCCGACCTCGAGCCTCAGGTTACCTCTTGCCCGTTGTCTCTTGATAAAACCTCGTCAAGAAAGAGTCGGATGCGAGTGATGTACGACGCGGGAGAGTATGAGGATGAATATGGGATTGACAGGATGGATTGGACGTTGGATGAATCTCTCGAGCACGCCCCTTTCTCCTTCTTCATTATCTCTCACACTAAATACCACGCCCTTCGCCTCCAGGCACGATCCCTTCGACCAGTGGGACGCGAAATAGTGAGCATCTTCCTCTTCCTCGCTCGTCACCATCTGCTGATGCCTCTGCACGTACAAGTGCTCGAATTTCACGTGCTGTGGTCTGACCATCCCCGACATACACGATCTCCTCGCTCGCTTAGAAGACTCCCACGTCCTCGTCCTCTCAAAACAACACATCACGACCGATACGCATTCCTCCTCCGTTCTCGCCTCGCAAACGTCTTCCCCATTCCATTCCGACCAGGACGACGAGACCTTCGTCCTCTCCTACCCCCAACCCTGTGCTCTCTCCAGTCCCAGCCCCGCTCCCGATCTCACGCAAACCTTCGAATTCCCCGACCCTAGCGTCTATATTCCCTCCGGCTCTCGTCCCTCGACTTTAGGGATAAGCGTATTGATCTGCTTCCTCCGCCATGCCGATGCCGATGCCGAACGCAAGCACCACAGCTGATCCTCCGTATTCTTATCAATACCCTCGAAGTCCGACGTCGTTGTTCATACCATCGACTTCGTCTTCGTTTTCTCGACCCAGAGAAGCAGACGCGGAAGGTGCCACGTCGATATATGCGTACGATGTCTCGGCCTCGTAACCGTTCGAAGTCGGCGTTCAACAACCGCAGACTCAAGCCGACGCGCTAACGTTCGACTCCGACTCTCCTGCCATTCCCTCGCTTCTCAGCCTCCTTCCCGCTTCGCTCTCCCTTTCTGCGTCCATCTCTGCTTCCATTACCTTCGTTCGCGCCAAATCCACACACACACGGTCCCGAGACAACAAGCCGGCGAATTAGAAGGCTAAGAAGGCTAAGAGCAACAAGGTTGCGTCGGGTGTGAGAATGAAGGAGAGGATGTAGGAAGATGAAGATGAGAGAGGGGACAGGAGAGCTTGTTGTTAGTGGTGATGGTGGTGGTGCCGGTGCTGATGGTGATGGTGGTGCTGTGTTTTGTAGTGGAGGACCGCAATGGAAATGAAAAGTGGCCCTGGGGTAGGTTTGTCCCGAATGCGAAGGATAACCCTTGGCGGGTTCGGGTTCGGGGTCGAATTCGGGTGACGGTGTGGGAGTGGGCATGGATGTGAGATGGGGATGTGACACGCGAGCATCAGAGGTCGGACCCCACTAAATTTCGTATGGCCAGACGGCGGACACACTATCGCAGGCGTCGTGTTCGTACGCCTCCACCAAAGAGCTGGAACGTTCCGAGGATCTCAATGTAGGAAGGAGGGAACGAAGGCGTACGTTGGGGCGAGTACTAGTGGGAAGAAGACGACGGACAGGCGTTTACATAGGCATCCGGTACGTGTTTCTTTTTTTCCCTTCTGTCCTCTGTTTGTCCCTTTTTTTCTGTGTTCTCTGGAATGGAGTTCTCGAGGTGCCATGACGGCGTTGGTTTAAAGATTTGATCCTCGAGATGCGGGATGTGCGATGTAGATGAACAATCGCACAACGCATATATACATCTTCGCGGTAGGACATATGCGCTATGAAGATAGTATAGAAACTTGTTCGTCGTCTCTGTCGTATCTTGGACCATTTGTTGGTCCTCGCCGGCTGGAAGTCGCAGTCGCGAGCCTATCGATGAGTTTATGCCTTCGATTCGATAATATACCCAAGACTCAACGACGCTTCGTCTCCCGATTGCTCGTGGGGGGTGATAGCTGGCGACCAGGCTATGTACTACATTGGAAGAACGGAATAGAGCTGTAGCTATGCGATAATTTCAGGATTATTCAGAGCTAGTTTCGCGTCTGTTATACGAGAAAGCTTGACGGTGAGAGTTCGTGCACTATTCTAAGCCTAGGCATTCACGTCCAGAATTGAAGACATGGTGGGAGCCCTTCCCTGTGCTTGTTAAGCCCGCTTGTTTCGCTGTTGAAGTATCACGCTAAAAACTTCAACCGTCCCGCTCAGAGCATCTAATGCCCAGGCCACGTGGAAGTTTTACGGCTCCCTACGTTTCCCGTCCGACTATGTATAGGCTGTGCATGCCGTTCGTTTGCCTCCTTGTTGAGGTGAGGCTTTCTCGTGATCAACCCTTAAGCCTGTTACGAAGACTTGGCGGAGCGGCGTGTTATCCGTTCGATTTCGCTGCCAATCGCGAGTGTTTGAGAGACTAGTGGCTCATGAGCAGTTCTAAACTGAACTTATACATGAAAGGTTTTTCTCCACCCCAATACAAACCTTGAATTACTTTTTTTCGACCTTCACTGTGTGAGAAGTGCGCTGCATTTGCAGTCACCCATGATGGACCTTCATCTTTGTCGAGCTGGCAAGCAGTGGTGAGAACGAAAACAAAGATAGCCGCTTTGTGGCCCACAACCCCCCGTATCACCCGCACAAGCTGCGAACGTGCAGTGTGAACAGAAGACAGATTTAGATTTCGCACGGGCCGTTTGAGGGTACTGCGCCTCATTCACCATCATACTTCAATCCCCACTGCATTGCTCGCACGCCTCTCGACTTTCCCCCGTAGCGCTCCAGTCTTCATCCCTACGCTATGTCTTCCCGTTCCACGCAGGCTCCAGACGAAGCGAATCGAGCATTCTCTCTAGCTCTCGATGAGTTCTTGAACAAACTCCCTGACCAGAATCGCAAGGCCTTCGAAGCCATGAAGTACATAAACAACGACCCCCAACTTCCCGTTTCCCCCAATATTCTAGTCTCTGAAGCCAAAGCGTTGGACAACCTCGATAAGAAGCATCGTTCTCGACGTTTCGGTACACGGTATCTGAATATCGTTCGTGCGCTCGAAGGATTTTTCTCTGTGATCGACACCGTTGTCTCCTCCAACCCCACCATCGCAGCGTTGGTATGGGGAGGCATACGATTTATATTAACGGTGATTACATCGCAATATCGTTCAATTATAGCATGCTGATCATTGTTGATATTCTAAGATATCTACGAGATACTTCGGATACTTCGAATTCGTCACTTCCACTCTTGAGGCTGTCGCCGAAGACCTGTACTTCTACAACGACTACGCCACCGTGCTGTATCACAAGTGGCCTCGAGTTGAAAATGTGCGTGCGACCTTTTTCTTCTCAGTAGCTTCCCTGATGGTTGGTTCTCAGGTTCTGGTTCGCATCTATACTAACATACTGAAGTTGTGCAATCACGTGCTCTTACCATATGCTGGGACGGGTGGTCGGTTGCGAGGTGAGTTTTCCCTGTATTGCATAAGGTACATGCACTCCGTGTCTAAGTGGTGGATAGACAAGTTGCGTATGCTCAGTTTGGTCCTGAGACGATTGCTTGGAGGCGGCCCCGTAAAAGCTATAGCGAGAGATCTTGTCGTTTGTCGCAGTGTGATTGAGCGGGAGGTGGATCATGTTGACAGAAAAGAAGCAAAGGAAGGGCGGGAAGCGCAGGCGAGCTATCGAGTGGAGGCGGAGAAGGAAAAGGCGTCACAGAAACACCGAGAAAAGAGAGACATGACTGGTAGGTACTTGCTCTGATCTTCCATACCCCACTTTCTTTCACCAAGCCTTCTTTGTCAGACAAGTTTGTCAAGAGTATAAATGCAGTGGATTATACGATCGACCACTCCAAGATCACTGAAAATGTTCCGATTTCTGGGACAAACAGTTGGCTAACAGAATCGAAAGAGTTCTTATCTTGGTCAACGGCGGACGACTTGGATTCTAACGTTTTATGGTGCCATGGAAAACGTGTGTATCTATATCATCACTTCAGGATGATCAGTGTTGACGTCTCTCTTGCGGTGAATCCAATGGTAGCGGGATCAGGGAAGACCGTGCTTGCGTTCGTAGCTCGCTGTATCGACCATAAAGTGTCTACCAGCTGATATATCTGCTTCAGCTCCAGTGCCATTTCCATGGGACAGACCATGTGGGAGGGCGACCCATCCATCGGAATGGCCTACTTTTATCTCAAGTTTGACGATCCTCTGAGGCGCACAGCTTCCAACGTTCGACGTGCCCTCTGTGATCAGCTTCTGTACGAACTCCCTGAACAGACTCGTATCGAAGTTGTTGCGGCCTTTACTGAGGGTAAACGCCGTGAGATTGTTAGCGAATCCCAGCTCACTGCGCTGATCCTCGATCTAGGAAGGAAGTTCTCACGAGTCTTCATATTCGTTGACGGCCTAGACGAATGTGTCGGTGAGGACCTTCAGGGCCTCCTTTCGTTTCTGTGCAAACTTCCAAGGCATTTCAGAATTCTCGCTTTTAGCCGGGAGCGGGCCGAGATTCGTCAAGGCCTCTCTCGATGCACTGAGTTGCCCTTAAGTATACACAATCCTCGCAATGAAATACGAGACTTTATCACATCCCAGGTAAAGTCTCTCACGACCCGTGATGAGAGTCTTCGGAATGAGACCGTCCACATCCTCACCGATAAAGCAGATGGAATGTGAGCACTGATTCCACTGTTCCGAATGGATGCATATACTCAAACAAACTCAGGTGGTTATGGGTAGTCCTACAAATCAAGACTCTACGCCATTGCAACACCGATGCCAATATTCGAGCTGCTCTCAACGATCTACCTCCGGACCTTGATACATCTTATTACCGGATCTTGAAGCGCATAGATGGCCTTCCAGGTGGAGCCCCAAAGCAAGTAAGACATGCTCTGCGATGGCTGGTGGGCACCTTACGACCGTTGCATCTCGACGAGCTTGCTCAAGCTGTCGCACTATCCGCTTTTGACGAAGATGAACCAGGGGCTGAATATAGCCCGATAAATGACTCGAAGCTCTTGTTGGAGCATTGCTTGGACCTATGTATGATGACATATCCCAAAGAGAACAGAGTGGTCCAGCTCATCCATGCTTCCGTGCGAGACTATCTCGTCACATCACCCACAGAACTGAGAAACTCCATTCCCGACTACCATATCACCTCCTTACCATCTCTGCATCTACATTTTGGCCAGAGTGTGTTTGACACACGTACAGCGCGCGCAAGATGTGGTTATGGCGCGGTCTAACTTAAATTCCGAGCCCTACTTTGCCTATGCACGAGAAAGCTACCTATGCGACCACCTGAAAGCGGTGGTACCACATATAGACAAGTCACTCGAGAATGCATACCTCAAACTTCTCGAAGCCCTGTCCAACAGGGCTCAGCGCTATGATGACTACTTTCCGAACTTCTTCCCAGCCCTCGGCGCGATAGTCGATTCTCTCGCACTTGCACTCGCTTTGAAAACGGATGATATTCCTCAGAGATTACGACTTGCAGAGCTATTTTGCGATCTTCGTGCCTGCTATATCATTGCCATTGGCTCCAGCCATGACGCATCCTTCAAGAAAGCTGCACAAACCATATACCGAGACATTGTGGATACGGACGGGGTAACACAGCTGTGCATTACGAAGGGCCGCGCCAATATCTTGTATTGCGAGTTCGCGGTTTCAGGAGGGATTTCAAGCCTCAAAAAGGCAATAACCCTTCTGGAAGATCTATTATCTGAGACAACTAAAGATGATCATGACTTAGCCTGCATATTGGCACAGTATCGACGTGATATGTTCATCTATGAAGGCAATTTGGACGGATTGACGAGTGTAATGCCCCGTTATGTTGAGGCCTGTACATATGCGGATGATGACGACCTTCGAATAAGGAGCCTACAAGGCTTGATAGACATTACCATAGCCGTGATGCTATTCACTCCGGAGTCTGCTGAGCCATCAGCGACCGTCAAAGTTTATGCCGACAGGATAAGGGAGAAATTGCCCAATATTCCTGATGTAGCCCAAAGCCTGGGAGACCATCTCATGCTGTTTCAGGTCATTGAGAAGATAATGGACCATAGCAAGGAGCACTATCCTATATGGTATATTGTCACAGACATCCTGCGCACTCGGCCCCCACGTTTTTCAAATGTGGCTTTAACAATCTTGTCAACACACCGCGGTGCTTGGGACGTGGACCTTGACATACATCAACGTTGCCAGCATGGGCTGGATCATTTTGATGGCATCTACAACTCTCTCTTCGATTTGCTCAATATGGGATCCCCGCTAGAGTCTGATATATGGGCGGTCATGCCACAGGTCTTATCGCGGGATATCCCTTCCAAGATTGAGCACTACTTGGGAGCATATATAACCTCTCACCTCTCACGGCTAAAGACTCGATTCGATGTTCTCAGATGTCTACCATATCTTGGTTCGGCATCTGCTATACATGCATTACGTGAAGAAAAAGCATCAGATGCATTAGAAATACTCGAAGCCACACAGAGTCTTATCTTTTCGCCAGAGTCTTCACTTAGAGTGCTTTTTGATTGCTTGTCGGAGTTGAAAGCCAAGGAACTGGTGTCCCGTGTACGTGGCAGTAAGCCCGGTGATACCTATCAGGCTTTTGATTACATGGTGCACAATTTCGATGATGTGCTGAAGACTCCATCCCTTCAATCTGCCTTTGTGGATACAATGAGACATGTCAATGGTCACATTGTTGTTTTGATTCCCGATCATGACTTCTGCTACATCGTTATTGCGAAAAATGGAGAGCATTTCAGGCAATTACACCTTCACGCCCCAGAAACTATTGGCCTAACCAGGCGTTCACAACGCTCTACAATGAACGCCAAAAAGCTTAATTTGAGAGGATCGATCTGGGCCCCGGGATATTTATGGGATGCGCCTTGGGCTATTTCGAGGGCGCTGTGGTTAGAACTGGTCCAGCCTATTTTGAATGCTCTTGGTGTAAGCTTTGGTGTTTCCCCATGCATTTTAGATTGAGATTGATGGTTTCCTTTGTATAGATTTCTGAGCCAACCCTCGCAGACCTACCACATATCACTTGGTACCCGACGGGAAGTCTTGTAAATCTTCCTTTTCACAGTGCTGGCCTATGGGATGGCTCGGATTCCAGAGAGAGAATCTACCGCTACGTCATCTCATCCTACGCACTGTCGTTTATATCGGCGTGTCAAGCAAGTCCACCAACGGTGACTTCAGGAGACCATACGCGATCTTTAGTGATCAGCCAAACATCTTCATTTGCCTCTCCACCATTTATTCCAGAGGCAGTCACTGAGGCTGATGTCATAGCCCGTGCTATTGGTGGGAGCCATATCTTGCTTAACGAAGAGAAAGCTACTCTCAACCGGGTCCTTGCAGAGATGGAACAGAGTAATTGGGTCCACTTCGCCTGCCACGCATCGGAGCATGGATTTCACCTCTATGATGGACGCCTCCAGCCCCAGACTATTATGAGGAAATCGTACACGAATGCTCGACTTGCTTATCTGTCTGCATGTGGAACGGCTGAGAGTCGCAGGATGTTCTCAAGAAGTCACGCTGAAGTGATGTCTATGGCAGGATTCCGCACTGTCATCGCGGCGATGTCCCCGATTGCCGATCCCGATGCGCGTATCGTCGCAGCCAAGTTCTACGAGTACCTGTTCTCTGGTTCGGGCCCGGAAGGAAAGAGCGCAGCGGTCGCGCTTCATTTGGCTGTAGCCCATCTTCGAGAATGTATCGGAGAGAATGATCCTGACAACGTGGGACGCTGGGCTCCATTTATACACATAGGTCTTTAGGAACCCTCCAAGTCGTCCCTTGTAGTTAGGCTGCTTCGATGCATTCCTCCGTTCTGATCTGTAACCAATATTGTGCACGATGTATATATATGGTTCTCATCGGTATCGTCTCGCTCTCCAATCATGGCTTCTTATTGACTCTCGTCTATCTTTCTATACCGTAATGTAGGCTCAATACGATTCCATTGTAGGCTCCATATATATATATACTGTACTCGTCTCGTTCTCCGATTTTGGCCGCTCAGCGTGTACCGCCTATTCATTTGATGTACTGTGATGCCCATCGAATTCCGTCTGTCTGTAATATAGGCTCAATATGACACTCTCGTAGTCTCGGTTTGGCAATGAGACTAGCTACGCCCTTCCCTCTCAATTCAGTTGACCAATGGATGCGTTCGGGTTTTCTCCACATTGCTGAGTATACCATCTACCACCAGGAACCATAGAGCGGCTCACAACAACCCGGCAAGTAACCCGGTCAGGCGCGCATTTGCCACAGTAAATCTGAAGCAAATTAGCTGGTGATGCTCAGAATATGTTATTTTTCGTGGGCCAAAATCGGGTTCAAAGAAGTTCCATACACATGGTTTCACGCTCTCCAAGTGGCGCCTTCAGATCACGCTTTCTACAGGAGCAGATTATGTAGACACAGGTCATCTATCGCAATGTTGAGGGTAGTATGGTAAACAGATAAGAACGACGCGGTGAACACGGTGATTCAAAACAATTGCCATATGATACTAATTCTCCACTAGCCAAACAACGCACCAAATATTTGAGACCCTCGTTTTGCCCTCGTTGCTTAATGGCCCCGCAGAAATATTACCTAGACGTCTTCTAGCTGGACCATGCAGACATGAGGTGATCGCGCTACACGAGATGAAGTCAGCTAGCATCGAAAGCAAGACGATATCGACAGCTGTGCGTACGAGAAACTATTCGAGCTGAGTGGATGCGCTAGCACCGACACGTTAGAGGGTAGTGGGTACGCTGTCCTCGACGTGGTGCGTGCCGCGGTCCTGTCTTGCCATTGTTCGTGGCTGCACAGATCGGGGAGCGACGAGGGGAAGTGGAATGTAATGACCAAAGATCCGTGGCGGACAACAATAGGGCGTACGCGACGCAAAGCTTGAGAGGAAATGGGGATGGAAAGTAACGATTTGAATCGCTCCAGAGACTGGGAGCAGAGAAAAATGTATACACAAGCGACGTCGGAGGCGATGAATACGCGAACAAGGTGTGGAACGATAGAGTGGACGTTGAGAGTGAAGATAATAATTCAGAACGAACGGACACCCGAAGTGAAGGGTCCGCAATCCTCAGAGTCTACACGACTGCAAACAGGCAAATCGATTCTCTGAGAATAAGGTATTGTCGCACATCCACGACGACGATCTAGACGCACCTTTACTACATACCAACAAAGACCACCACATGTACTCTCAGAGGAATAGTCGTCGGAATAACAATGCAAAGTCTCGCTTGGACGAAGAATATTTCAGTACTCCGTATGCAGTACCATCATAACCACGACCAGCCACACCTTCTTCCCGTCAATTTGGACACTGACCACGCTCAGAAGACTGCAGAAAGATCGACGTAGTGATCATGAAGGCGAAACGATGACATTCATATGCGGACTCACACCTGTACAAGCCCGGTTAACTTCACTGATGCCAGCCAGTCCAGCAACGGCGGCCTGATCGTCTGCTAATTTGTCTGGGTGGTGGTGATATATTATTGAAAGTTTAGGAGCTGTTCTGCGCCGAGAGAGATGCATATTTCGATGTTGAATTAGTGTGGTTCGTATGAGTGAGAAAAAGCAGAGCTGGAGAAAATGGAGGTGAATCAAACTATCTCCCTCAAAGCTCGCATATATCACACGCATCGACAGTCCACTTCACTTTACCTCACGTCTAGCCCATCGCCCACCCTCAGTTCTTCGGATCTCCAAGCTGAGAGGTATGCGAGCGGAAGAGAAAACAATATCGTCTACGCGCAACGAGTGACAATGGTGGTCAAAAGGAAATTCGTCATGTAGATATTTCGCTGGATCAGACAGCGCGAGTTGCACGATGCAGCAGATTTAGCGGAGCCGGGAGAGAGGTGCTAGGGAAGTCGCGACTGATCGATCTCGACCATGGGGGGTCAGAGCGAGTCGAAAAACAGCGGGAAGTGTTTATGCAGCGTTTAGTAAGAGGTCAGGTACTACTCTCACATCGTGCGTAAATGCATTTCCCGCCGAGGACTTCAACTTCTGGTTATTATACACCATCTATTCTCAACGGACAGACAGGGCCAGCTGAGTCTGGTTGCTGTGTGTCATATCGTTCCTCAAAAAAAAAAAAAAAAAAAAGAGGTCAGGTACTCAGTAGACCGGTTGGCGAGAGTACTGTGCGGCGTGTCCGAGTCTTTGTGGCGGTCGGATAAGATCATTGGACAAGGTCGGTGGGGGCGGGTTAGAAAGAAGAGAAGCAAAGGATAAACCTATATAGAGAACTCGAGAAACGCATCAGACCAATGCTTAGAGCGACCAGTAATGAGGGACCAAGAACGAGGTGCAGAAAAAGACGAGAAAGGAAGAGCGAGGATGGGGGCGGGGGTCAGCATGAGCGCTAAATCTAATCTTATCAACCCGGAGCGGCTCGCGTGGCTCAGCTCCGTCAACCTCGTGGCACGATCTTCACACCCTGCTCCCTTCCGCCACACCAACTTGAACACGTCTTCGTCTTGCTGCTTGTTCCAGCTGCTCGCCTATCGTGAACCAGCTCTACTGCTCCTGTTGGCGCATAATATATAAGTACTACAACTGGCTCTGTGCTACTTATTATCAGCTATAAACGTCTGAGCTAGGAGAGATGACGTTCTTAGGACTGTGGTTGTCAGACTAACTTCACGCTTCGAATCCCAACTCCCCCGACTCCCGAGAAGAAGCAGACGTCCAAATATGCTGATCGCCCCCTGTTAGACGCCACTTTGCTCGTCCTTGTGTGAACCTCGCGTTGGCCATGGGCATCTTTACAGATATATATATCGTCCCTGACGCCGAAACGCAAAGTCTCCCGCTCCTCTTTTCTCCGACAGCCAACCTCGTCTCTTCATAAAACCAGGCCAGAAAAGACCTGGAGGCAAGTGATGTACGACGGAGCAGAGTATGAGGATACATACGGGATGGGCAGGATGGATTGGACGTTGGATAAATCTCTCGAGTACGCCCCTTTCTCCTTCTTCATCCTCTCTCACACTAAATACTACGCCCTTCGCCGCCAGGCACGATCCATTCGACCAGTGGGACGCGAACCCACGTTCTCGCCCGCCAGATGCGCTCGAATGCGGAATAGTACGCATCTTCCTCCTCCCTCGCTCGCCACCCACCGCTAACCGCTCTGCATCCAACTTCACAGTGCTCGAATTTCACGTGTTGTGGTCTGACCATACCAGACATGCACGACCTCCTCGCCCACTTCGAAGACTCACACGTCCTCGTCCTCAAAACAAGCCTCCGTAACCGATGCCTATCCGTCCTCCGTCCCGCTTCGCAGACGTCTCCTTCACCCTACTCCTACCAGAACGATGAATACGATCCCGAACCTTTCGTCCTCTCTTACCCCCAACCCCCCTTCCTCCCCAGTCCCAGTCCCACACCCTCGTTCTCCTCGGCGACACAGACCTTTTCCAGCCCCGGCGTCTGCATTCCCTCCGGTTCTCGTGCATCGACGCCTGAGCTAAGCGCCGCCGGTTCCGACTTTGATCCAGTATCCTCTTCGCCGTCGTCTGCGTTTTCTCCTCTATCCCCGTTTATCCCGTATCCGTCTGCTTTCTCTGCGGCGATGTCGGATGATCCCGCGTACTCACTCTTACACGCGACTTCACTTTCTCGACGAGGCGATTGCTTGGCTATAGACATGGAAACCGAAGGCACGACGTCCATATATGCGCACCCGGGAGAAGTGGGCGCTCAAGCACAGACGCAGACAGAAAGGACGACGCTCGAATCGAACATAAACTTACCAACCAGCCATCCGATACTCAGCCTCCCACCCGCTTCGTTCTCCCTCCCTGCCTCCACCTCCGCTACCAGACTTACGCCCGCTGCGAAGGCTAAGAAGACTAAGACGAGTAGTCATGCCCGCGATCGCGGCTTCGGGAGGAGAGAATGCGCGGAGGGGGAGTCGAAAAACGGGAGACGAGAGCTTGGTGGTGCTGGTGCGGGTGGTAGTGGAGGGCTGGGGCTAGGGCTGGGAACAGAAACGCAGAGAGGTCCTCGAGGGAAGTTCGTCTCTGACACTATGAACACGATGGATAAGCTCGGAGCGGGTTCGAGTTCGGATTCGGGTTCGGGTTCGGGTGGCGCTGTGGGAGATGAAATTGGACGGGGAAGTGACGAACGCACGATCCACCCAACTACTTCGAGTTAAAGTCCTCCCTTACCATCGCAGGCATCGCATACGTCCATCGAGCAGCAGGAATGCCCTGCGGACTTGGCTTTGAATGTGGGCGTACGTGTCGGTACTGGTGTGGCGAGTACTAGTGAGAGGAAGTCGAAGGAGAAAGCGTTTAGGTGCCCGGTAGGTGATTTTTTTTTCTTTTTCTTTTTCTTTCTTGTTTTCCTTTTATATATGTTTCGTGGAATGGAGGCGTGTTCTCCGTATAACGGACGCATTTTTCGCGGAAGGAGGCGTGTTTGGATCCTTCGTCGTGCGTTTTTGGGTGGTATACGGTTGTGCGTTATGGTGTTAGTTGCACAGTCGTCTTGATGTTGCCTCTGACCTTCGTCCGTCGAGAAAGGCTTTGACAGGCCCTACATGCTCATTCGTCTCCTCATCTATACTCTTGGATACTGTTACGACACATATATGCTCCCTCACGCCGGATATATGCGTTACGGAGAGAGGATATCAATTACTGTGCTCCAGACACGATGTGCGTGTCCATGCGTATCCGTCCTGGAGATGTCTAACGGACGTGAAGTCACGTTGTGTGGCTTCGTCTCGTAGGGTGGAAGTCGTGAGCTTGCCGATGCGTATATGCGTTTGATTCCATGATACATCCAGAACTTGATGTAGTCTTTCGAGTTCTCTCTGGGCGCAGCAAGCGACTGGGCAAGTGAATTTGATGAACGGAACGTTCGATTCATCCTTTTCATTCCGACAGCGGATAGTCGAGATAGAGCTATACAGTGGCTTTACAGTCATGTAGTGCCCAGTTCCGTGGTTTTATGGTTCTTGCGAGTGTGTAGAGGGAGAGAGTGCGAGACATACGTCAGTCAGATTGTCTTCCCGAAATCAGAACTCTCTCATGCACACTCTCATTTTGGCTCGGATTTCAAAATTGTCGTCCACGTTGTGTTTTTTTATTACCCTGCTGCCGCCCGTCTTGTATACTAACAAAATTCCGTCCTTTCTCGTCTAGACGCTAGGTTGCGCGAAAGTCTGTCCTCGTCTCTTTGTCACTTCCCCATTCGTTCCTCTCGCATCATCCTTCTTTGCATATGAATGAAGCCGTTCTCCTTTCCTCCGAGCTATCGATTCGACAGTCCTACCTCAACCCAAACGGTCTCAAATATCACCTCGAAAAAGGAACGTGTACCGTCCCTCGATCTCGGGCGTCATTCCCTGCACGGGGTACTTCCTCAACGACTGCCCCGAATTCTTTCTCTACTATCGACATGCACTCGAACGGGATCTCTACCGTCGCCACATTGCTCAATGTCCTCGCACATAGAATATGGTGTATGCTCACAATCTCCTGGACGTTCCAGGGTCTAAACTTATGACAGTCGAAGTCATCTCTTCTGGTTCACATCGTGTCTACGAAGGATGCTACGTAAAGCATACTGTCCATCGCGCTCCTCCGTGTCCTATTTTTTCTTCCCGCTCTAGCGACTCAAAATATCGCGCAGAGTTGGCCGTACGCACGTCTTTGTACTCTAGTAGGCGGCGTGGATCAGGCTGAAGTTCCTGGCAGCGAACAACGTTCGGCGTCGGTCGTTTGGACTTCGACGCACGTTGGAAGTTTGCTCAGTTGGAACAGAATGGCCGAGGCTATCGAGATCATTCCAAGTTACTGCAAATGGCGAGGAATGTTCTGGGAAACGGAAAGCACGGAAGAGGCGCAATAGAGTGGCCGTTCTCATCCGACTTTATAGCATTGATGCTGGCTGATACATCTGCAAGCCTTCAGCGGCGATCTTGACGCCGTCCCATTGCCGGTGCTTGTTTGCTACGAATATGCAGATTCTTACAGAAGAAGTGTATAACTATTTATTCCCTCTTTCACGGACATCGTCTTCAGTTGCTCTAAGTTAGTTATATTGCGGACAGTTCGCACATGAACTCGGACACGCTTTATCTATTGCTTCGTCCTCCTCTCAGCCTCTTTCACTCCCGTCAGCCTTTCGAATGGGTACATCGCAACCTTCATCCGCTCCTCTAGCTCGCCCAAAATCCCCGGTGGCTGACGCTCGGTCATGATGGTAATTATTCTCCCAAACGGTTCCGAAAAATCATGAAGGACTGGGTATTGCAACGCCGAGCATCCGCGAACGTTCACCAATATGTTCTCGGGTTCCTCTTCGACATATCCCGACCACTTCGTCGTCCTCTCTGCCACTCTCTTTACCAGAAGTCTTCTTCTTCTATTCTCCGGGAACGCCACACTTGTGCTCAGGTCCATGAGCATGACGACTGTCGGGCACTTGACCCTCGTGGGTTCTGATCCGGAAGGATTCGGGTGAAGAATGGGTGGGACGGTCAAACCATCTCCAATCGTGCTGTCAGCCTGCTGAGCCCTGGCTTTGACCTGAATGCAGAATAGGCCGATACGTTTGCCATCGAACGGCTCGTTGGGAGGTCCGTCATAGTAAAGAAGGAGGAGGTTGACGACCGGCTGATTATGGCAGCATTGGATGGCGGCGCCAGAGAACCAGGCGCGCTCGAGCTCCTCCAAAGTGAGCTCCTCGATCGTCTTTTCGTACTGGATGAAGTGGGTGAAGTTGAGCCACTTGCCCTTGCAGCGCGACCAAAGCTCTCCCGTCAACTCCTTCTCTTCCTTCGCCTCAAATCCATAATGTTTCTTGCCGAGCAGGGTTGATAACAAATCGTGCAACCCAACTGCATAGATATACGACGTTCCGGCCGTCGTATCCTCCTTCACAAATGACCCATGCCGTTCGATAGTTGTCATATCACGAGCGAGGAGGAGAAGAAGGCGGCAGCAGAGCTCCCCCTCGTCTCCAGCTGCGAGAACAGAGTTTTGGCGGTCCAGCTCCGTGCATAACGTATTGAGGGCGTCGTGGTATACTTGGAGAGACTTCGTCAGGGCGACCGCGGCGGCGATGGAAAGTATAGGTTCAGAGGGGACAGAAGTGACTAGGGTCGTCTTCACGATGGAGACGAGAATACGCATGTGGCATCTGACGGCGTTGGCGGCAATCCGGTTCGCGGCGTCGTTCTTGGCTAATTGGAGGCATGCTCTGGATGAAAACACTGCTAGTACTTGGCTCAAATCTACGGGATGGAGTTCCCGTGCGGCTAGGAGTTTCCTCTTCGCAAAAGTCACAACCAACGGTGCTCCCATCGACGACCACAACTACGACGGACAAACGACCTCAGCAGATGACCCCGAAATATTATAGACAAAAGATAGGACATACCGGGCGACCAAGATATCTCAGGTTCTCGATGTCCAATGAAGCGGAAGCCTTGTCCGTTCTAAGGCGATGGCTAAGTTGGTTAAAGCCCGTGTAGGTGAACGGAGGAAGCGGTTGAAGGTTGGCGGTAAGGCGTGACGATGGAACAAGAGGGCCGGAAGGAACCAACATCCCTGCAGAAGGACTTCTATCGAGAGTAAGGAACCAGAAAGATACAGGCGTCGTCATATGTTCCGCAGCTTTCAGTATACGTTGAAAGGCGATCAACGAGCATTTTCGGGATGGTTCTCGTTCATCCGGTGCCGTTCCTCCGAGAATAGTGCATTCATCTAAAGCCAGAAAGAACTTGGTCTCGCCAGCAGTGTGAAGTTTAGCGCTCAAACGTTCAAATGCTGGCTGACAAAATTCTGCAAAGAGCTCGGCATGCCACTCAGAACTGCTCTTAGACAGCTCTTTGTCGTACCCTTTGCGCTTGCTGTCTGTCGCGCCCTCTTTCGGTTCTGGGCTAAGGGACTGGATCCACCTACGCTTCTCGGCAAGAAACGCAGACCGTTTATGAAGCGTGGTTTTCGCGCTGTCACAAACGACTTTGAAGAACGCCTCTCGCCGAGCTGCCTCCGGGGTACCCGGGGGACCATAGCTGAACCTCGAGTTCACGCCTTTGGGGGGCGAAATATCACGCCCATCAGCGAGTGCTTCGACCAAAGCCCCCATGAATGCGGCACACATCTCCTCGCCCTATAGAAAGAAAAATCATAGGTTTCGGTTAGAGATGGACAAGGAAGATAAAGAGAAAGCGCCCACCCTTATATCTGTGATCTCAGGTGGGAGAGAAGCATCGGTTCGAGAGCAGTATTCGAAGAACTCCATAACTAAATGATCTCTCGGCGGCCAATCTTCCGTCACTCTGTCCGATGCACGGAAAGTCACGCTGAATACAGGGTGCTATTGGACTCTCATTATTAGCGTCTTCGCGGGGGACAGGACAAATTGTGAAACGTACCACAGAGGCAAGCTGATCAACCAGCCGTGACTTGCCTGTTCCGCTCGACTGCAAGATGGCGATGGTGCGTCCGTAATGTATCGCCGGGTCGTAGTTCTTTTCGTACCATTCCATTGCTTTGAGGAAGTTGTCTAGGGCGCCGCCTTCATACTCTTGCTTCCAGGCGTCCATTAAATCACGGGCACGTTCCGTACTGAAAGAAACAAGAGAGAGGGGTCAGGCATAAGCAGAGATATATGATCGGGTTGGAATTACTCAGTGGTTATTTTGGCGCTCACAGCGTCTCCAGGTTCTAAGGATGTGTCAATATCTAGTTTGTACAAAACGCGTGCTGCATCGTACATGCAGGCACAAGAAAGGCGAGACCACGTACCAGTACAGGCCAGCAGCAGAAGACGTGCCAGAGGAATCTTCCCATGCAAGGCGTCGATATCCTTTCTCAACGTTTTCCGTTTCCTTTGTTTCTCGAACAAGGCGTCTCGTAGTAACGTGGGTGGAGCTTCGACTTTCGAATCCTCAGGACCATGCTTACTGTACCATAGGGGTTGCAGGTAGTCGATAAATTCGTCCAGATTTTCCTCTATGTTCTCATGGGTTGTCGTTCTGACTCGCTGGAGTGGTTTCCAGTCGTTGCGAACGCTCTGGAGCCAGGCCTCGACTTCCCTTTCTCCCTTCACGGGCCGCTCGGAGGATAGGCCTGTAGAACCTGCTGGCATGGTGCAAAAGACAGTGTTGAAACAGAGTTGTTGCGCTTGAGAGGGATGGGGTGGTGTGAGGGGAAGGATGAAAGACGAGAACGCAGTCGTGACACGAGACAATGTAGGCGTCTCAGTTCATTGTTCTCTCGTATATCAGCACAGCCTCTGTCGGAGAATATTCCCACGCGTCAGCAAACTGCCGGTTGTATTCCGCTCCGCCCCGTGGCTCAATCCCCCCTGCTCCTTGCCTGCTCTCGTCCCCTACGCCTACTTACAACCTCTTGCTTCAGCTGGTCGGATGCCGTGAACTACCTCTGGTGCAGCTCACAGCTAATGACATCTGGGATAACGGGCTCGCTGGTTCTCACAATGGCTAGAAAAGAGAGATGACGCGACTAGGACCGCGGATCGCTTTTAGACGCCACTTTTCTCTGCCCAGCACGAACTCACGTCGGCCACGGGCATGTTTGTAGATATATATCATTCCTGAGGCCGGACGACGAAATGCAAAGTCTTCCGCTCCTTTTTTCCTCGACCGACTGCCTCTTGCCCGTTGCCTCTTCGTAAAACCTCGTGAAGAAAGCCCTCGGCGCGAGTGATGTACGACGGTGGAGAGTATGAGGATGACCATGGGACGGGCAGGATGGATTGGACGTTGGATGAGTCTTTCGAGTACGCCCCTCTCTCCCGTTTTGTATCCACTCTACATTTCACAATACACTCGTCGTCCAGAGTCTCGTTCCTTCCGACCACTGGGACGCGAACTCGCGCTCTCCCTCTTCCGATGCTCTCGAACGCGAAATAGTACGCGTCGTCCTCTCCCTCGCGTGTCACCCTCCGCTAACCGCCTTTACACGCAACAGTGCTCGAATTTCACATGCTGTGGTTTGACCATCCCGGACACGCACGACCTCCTCCCCCACTTCGAAGGCTCACACGTCTTCTTCCTCTCAAAATAGCTCTCCGCAACCGACGCTCATCCTTCCTCTATTCTTGCCTCGCAGACGTCTCCGCCCCTTTCACACCAGAATGACTACTACGACCTCGAACCCTTTGTGCTCTCCTACTCCCAACCCCGCGCGCTTCCCAGTCCTAGTCCTATTCCCTCGCTCTCATCGACGACATAGACCTTTCCCGGCCCTTGCGTCTACATCCCCTCCGGCTCTCGTCCCTCGACGCCAGAGCTAAGCGCCACCGGTTCCGACTCTGGTCCAGTCTCCTATTCACCCTCGTCTGCGTTTTCCCCGCTTTCCCCATACACGCCGTATTCGTCTGCGTTCTCTGCTACCTCGATGTATATGTAAGACGGCACGGGCGAGCCTGCGTATCCGCTTCTCGACTATACCTCCCTTTCTCGAGTCGACCGTGGTCTTACTCTAGACACGGATGGGGAAGGCGCCACACCGATATATGCACAGGATGTTTGTGTCTCGTATCCGTTCGAATGGGGCTGTCAACAAATCCAGGCACAACCGCACGCCCTAACGCTCGAAACAGATACAGACCTTCTGCCCACCATCCTCCGATTCTCAGCCTCCCACCGGCTTCGTTCTCCCTCTCTGCCTCAACCTCCGCTTGCACCAGACCTACGCCCGCTACGAAGGTTAAAAGGAGCACGTCCACGAAGGCAGGATCGGGTGCGACGAGTCATCGGGTCCACGACTTGGGTAGGAGCACGAAAGAGAGGAGGGAAGACGTCGATGTGAGTCATTGTAGTGCTAGGGGTAGTGCGGGACCTGGACCACGAATGAAAAGAGGCTCTCGGGGCCAGTTCGTTTCTAACACTTCGAAGGACAAGACGAGGCTCGTAGCGGGTTCGGGGTCGAGTTCGGGTTCGGGTGGTGCTGCTGCCCGCGAAGGAGAGACGGGGATGTGACGAGCGTGTATCAGAGGGCGAACTCGTTGACCATAATCCACCCGCGATGGCTGAGGCACCATCGCAGGCCTCGTATTCATCCATCGAGCAGCACGAACGTGCGGAGGGTTTGGCTGCAGGTGTACGTGCCGGTACTGGTGTGGCCAGTACTAGTGGGAGGAAGTCGAGAGGAAAGGCGTGTAGGTGTCCGCTGGGTGGGTTTCCCTTTTTTCATTTTTTTTTTCATTTTTTTTTTTCATTTCTATGTTCCGTGGATTGGGGATTGGGGATTAGCGGCATCCTTCGCCGTGCTTTTTCTGTGTGTTTGTTCGAAGTGTCGTGGGGATAGTTGAACGGCTGTGTCCATTTGAATCTTCGAGTGTGAATCTTCGAGCTTTAGGATATGAGATGCGAGATGCGAGGATTGTCAGCCCGTGTATGCTCGCTCACCTACGCATCTATGCGTCGTACTCTTCCATTTTGTGGCGTTACGCCGTATGACGCGTATACGTATCCTTGGGGCAAAATATATGCCTCCCAAACCGAACATATCGATAAGTTCGAGTCATGATTGTGCGTATGTATCCGTATACTGGATATATCTGCAGGCATGTTTGGATCCTTCTTCGTGTCTTTTTTGGTGGTCGTTGTTCGAGCGCCGTGGGTTTTTTTTGAACGGGCTCGTCAAATTAAAGCTTAGATCTTCCGGCTTCGAGCTTTGTGATGCGGGCTTTGACGGATCGTGCGTCCACGCTGGATGACCTCCACATTTATGCTCTTGGAGTCTATAATGAGGCATCCACGTTCCCTCGCAACGGGATATATCCGTTTCAAAGAGACATCGATCCGTTTGAGGCGCTGTGTATACTGCATATCATCCAACGGGCGTGGATTGATGTTCTATGACTTGGCCTCTGGTGCGTTTTCGCCGTACGATGTTGATCGTTGAGCCTCGCCGGGTGGAACTCTTGACGCTGTTGGTGAGCATATGCGTTTGCTGTGTAGGTACATTCGATGATCCGTTGACATTCAAGGCGTGAGGTGATTTTTCGGGGGCTTCTGGGACAATCTGTACTGGCATAATGAATCTGATGGACGTGACGTTTAGTCCATCCTTTGCAATCCGACATCTGATGACTCCGATGACGGAGGACTCAGCTGGAGCTATGGTTATATGGTGATTTTACGATCCTATGGAGCTCGATTTTTTGGTCCTGTCGTTCTGAAATAGGACGTCATGGGAGAAAGGGCACAACTTTTTGCTTTTGGCGATTTGATCTGCCAGGGGCCCTTCACGCAAATTGGGAATAAAGTGAATAGTCCCCGCATACGACCGGCCCAGATGGGACGTTCGAGTTTGCCTTTTCTTCCGCTGCTCATGCATACTCTCGACTCTGATTCGCAGTTGTGGTTGATGCTGTGTTCTTTATTCGCCTCATTATCGACCCTCTTGTATCTGGGTGCTATACTCACGAATCTTCGTTCCTTCTCGTATAGACACTAGGTTGCGCGAAGGTCTGTCCTCGTCTCTTCGTCAGCTTCCACCCTCTCGCATCACCCCTTCCCAACACTCCCGTTGTCCATTTCTACCACCCTTCCCTCTCCGAGACATACCTCGCGGCTTTGCATGCTACCCACTCATCAGTCCTACCTCAACCCAAACGGTCTCAAATATCACCTCAAAACAGGAACGTGCACCGTGCCTCGATCTTGGTCAGCTCGTCTGCCTCTGCACGAACAGCCATCGCTCACTGCGCCGAATTATTCCTCAACCACCGCCGTGGAAACGAGCAGTGCCGCAGCCGTACCCACTACGACTCACCACCCTCTCCCGGTTTCACCTACTTTCGGCGTGCATCCGAATCCGAATCTGGATCGACCGGTCAAATATCTGGCTCGATTGGAGATATAGCGTTCATAGGTGTAGTAGGATAGGTAACTGTAATGGCAGGGACTTCTGGAATATTAGGACGATGCTGGTGCACTCGACGCGATGATCTAGGCAGGCTTGTTGTTGTGCAAAAGCTTTTTGGTGCTGTATGATCATTTCTTTTCCGTTTCTTTCTCGTCAACTGGCGGTACCGCAACTTCTCGTCACTGGTCACGAATGTTTTCCTCTTGGCGCTTTTGCTCTTTGCCTTTTTCTTTTCCGTCTATGGCGATGTCGAAGGACAAGTTTGTCCAAAATCCCAAGCGGATGGTTGACGCGTCTGGAAGGAATGTACGAGTAGATTAGGCGGTCACACAGTATTTTGGCTAGATCAGTCTATGTAAGCGCGGGAATGTTGCAGCGGGATGGTCGTTTCGCCCTCGAATATAAGGTGCAGATAATAGACCCAAGAATATCAGGCTTGGGTACGATAACAGGGTAGCTATGTTATCAGGACACCACATATATTTCGTTTTCCTAACCATCCACGACGGCAGTGCACGTTCCCTGTCCAGCATACGTATCTCATAGAAGTGCGGCAAGGTTTATTTCAGTATGTAAAACCCGCATTGCAGTGTCATGAACATGCGGGTAGCCCTTTACCCTGGGCGCAACTACGGGCCCTTGCTGATATCCAAGAATCATCGCATGTGACCTTCTACCTTGAAATATACGGCACAGTATCACACTGCCCACATGCCGCAAAGTCGAAGTCAGAACTCGAACCGGCGGCACTTAGCTCTGGCGCCGAGGGACGAGAGCCGGAGGTGATGGGGATGCCAGCTCCAGGTAAAGTGGGAGTGGGATCTGGACTGGTACTGGGTGACGCGCGGGTTTGTGGGTAGGAGAAGACGTAGAGTTCGGGATCGTAGTCGCTCTGGTAGGAAGTGAGTAGAGGAGACGTTTAGGAGGCGAGAACAGAGGAGAGATGCGCGTCGGTTGCAGAGGGGTTGCCTGGAGAGGACGAAGACGTGTGGAAATCTTCGATGTGGGCGAGGAAGTCGTGCACGTCGGGGATCGTTAGAGCACAGGATGTGAAATTTGAGCACTGCTGCGTGCAGAAGCAGTCGGCAGAGAGTGGCACATGAGGGAGAGGACGATCATGACTATTTCGCATTCGGGGGCATCTGGAGAGGGAGAATCTGGGTTCGCATCCCACTGGTCGGAAGGAACGAAACTGGCGGCGAAGTCCGGGTTTATGTCAGGGGGAATGTAGAACTGGAAAGGGGGGTACTCAAGAGATTCATCCAACGTCGAATCTATCCTGCCCAACCCATAGTCTCACCTTCTTGACGAGATTTTTACAAAGAGAGAACGGGCAAGAGGCAGGGTGTCGGTCGAAGAAAAGAGCAGCGGAAGACTATACATATATGCATTTCGTCGTCCGGCCTCAGGAACGATATATACATCTATGAATATGCCCATGGCTAACGTGAGGTTCGTGCTGGGCAGAGAAAAGTGGCGTTTAAAAGGGGGCGATCCGCGGTCCTAGTCGTGTCATCTCCTTTCCAGCCATTGTGGGAACCAGCGAGCCCGTTATCCCAGATGTCATTAGCTGTGAGCTGCACCAGAGGTAGTTCACGGCATCTGACCAGCTGAAGCAAGAGGTTATTTTATAAGTAGGCGTAGGGGACGGGAGCAGGCAAGGAGCAGGGGGGATTGAGCCACGCGGAGCGCGGAATACAACCGGCAGTTTGCTGACGCGTGGGAATATTCTCCCACAGAGGCTGTGCTGATCTACCTGATACTAGTCTCCTAGAGCAGAGTAGCCAATCCTTCAACCGGCTGGCGCAAGGATCACTCTGTCTGACGTCTGCTTTCCAAGTGGGGGCTCTTACAGAGTGATGGAGCGCGACTGTCAGAGAGAGCAAATTGCCGAGTTGCCGTGCCGGGGTGGCGCTCTGCAGCCCGTTTGGGAATCAGAGGTTAGGTGCCACAGTCGCTGTCCCTCTTACTCGTCAACGTGCCGTCTCTCGATATTCTCGCTTGCGGTTGTTGTAACTTCTACGGGGGTACCATGTACACCCAGGACTTTGGTTGGTGTTGCAATTTTATATTGAATTGAACTCTACAGTCACTTTGATCTCTACATGTCCGATACATTCGAATGGGCATCCACCAAAGGGCTCACAACTCTCAGGCATATTATGGATACAATTCTACCGTATAATGCAGAGGAAAATCACGCTTATGAGTCTGCCTGTGTCCTCGATGGACGTGATCAGTTATGGAGCGTGGAATCGGCCCAGCAGATGTCGGACGAACGGATTTTGACGACGAAGGACACTGGACTTGTTGATAGCGGTATCGAGTTCGAATCGGATGGATGGCAGGGTAAAGGGACACTGGTATGGGAAGGAGATACAAACCTTGTTGGGGAAGTCATGATGGTCGTCGACATCGAGGATGTGGCAGAGGTGGGAGGTGCAGGGTACAGTAGTGACGACAAAGCGGATTCGGCGGAAGAGCAGGATGATGGGGATGAGAAGATCACCGAATGCGGCGGTGACGGTGACGAGAATGACGATACAGAGGAAGAGAGGGAACAGGAAGAGGAGGAGGAGGAGGACGATATGGATGTGGACGACGTACCCAGCAAGGAAGGCAACACCGAACCCACGCTGATACCGAAGAACCGTCGCCGATCTCGCAGGAGCAAGGAGAAGGCCTGCATTGCCTTCTTGCTGATCATCGCAGCCTGGGCACAAGACAAATGCATACAACGTCAGACCAACATCGTGTTCAACGGGATTGGAGCTGTGGGGACTCACCGAGACTGCGGTCGATGCAGTGTGTGTAGGCAACATTATTCCTGAGCCTCGACCTCTGAAGGCCCAACCCAGCTCTGCATCAGCCCAAGGACCCATGGTGATTGACAAGGTCCCGGACAATACTTTCCAATACCTACAACTCAACCAAAAGGACCGAAAAAAAGTCGCTCAGAAAATTGCTGCCTGGGTGCGCGAAGTCCGTCTACAAAGCGCACGACATGCCGACTTGCTCTGCATTCGGAGTAGTCAGTTTCTTTCCGAGGCGTATATCGACGCAAGCACCAGTGAATTTCACCTACTCACCTCGAAGTATGACTTGAAGAGGCGACTTGTGGGATGGAATGGCAGGCGAACAAGGCGCACGGTGGCCACCGGTGCAGCCACATCTGAGTCCAAACTACGCGCAAGAGAATTCACGCTCCGCCCCAAAGGACCCACTCTGTAAGCCACCCGCTTGGAAACACGACACTGGAGGCAAAGTTCGATAAGTCTCACGGATATATTTTGAACATAGGTAGAATTTACTCGTAAAGTAATCTGCATGGGCCTCACGAATAGAGCCCGATGATTTTCAGAATAGAGTTCCTGATAAATTCAAACAAGGATTGAACAGGAAAAATATGAATATCGTGATCAGAGTCACGCAGAACTTACTGCAGCTTGTAATCCCAAAATACTCCCCCTAAAGGCACGGAATCTATAGCGGAATATATTTCCCCGCCAAAGTTGGCGGGGAAATATATTCCACAGTGGATGCCGAGCTTATCGGCTGGATATTTTGAGGTTATCGTCCAAAATAAATTCTGCGTAGTGCTGATCGCCATATCTTTAATTTCGCTGTATACCTTTGTTTGGATTTATCAATGACTTTATCGCCAAAACAGTCCTCACTTCGGCAGTGCATGGATGTAAAATATTTTGCAAGTTCTTTCCGTGTACCTTCAAAATATATTCTTCAGACATATCGAACTTTGCCTCCAGTGCGACTACCTGATACGAGAGAACAATGAACTGAGACGCCTACATTGTCTCGTGTCGCGACTGCGTTCTCGTCTTTCATCCTTTCCCTCACACCACCGCATCCATCTCAAGCGTAATTTCTCCGTCTCAACACTCTCTTCGCACCATGCCAGCAGATTTCACAGTCCAATCCTCTGAGTGGCCCGTGAAAGGAGAAAGGGAAGTCGAGGCTTGGCTTCAGAGCGTTCGCAGCGACTGGAAGCAACTAATGAAAGTCAGAACGGCAACCCATGAGAACATCGAGAAAATCCTGGACGGCTTTATCGACTACTACCTCAAACCCCTATGGTACGACGAGGATGGTCCTGAGTTTATGAATGTCCAAGCTCCACCCACGCTACTACGAGACGCCTTGTTCGAGAATCAAAGGAAACGGAAAACGATTAGAAAGGATATCGGCGCCTTGCATGGGAAGATTCCTCTGGCACGTCTTCTGCTGCTGGCCTGTACTGGTACGTGGTCTCGCCTTTCTTGTGCCTGCATGTACGATGCAGCACGCGCATCAGGAAAAACCTGCCGCGGTTTTCTAGGTCATATGTAGCCTTTTCGTACCTAAGTAGACACATTCGAGCACGACTACACACAAAAAGCCTAATGTATAATTTCCTGATTATTATCCACCCCCCTTGCTAGTTATTACTTGCTCGAGACAAGTCGGGCTAACTTAGACATATCTTTGAGACCGGATGCAAAGGACTAGCACAAGGTGGCGAGATCACACAATAAAATATGTCACTCCAGGGCTTCATTATGTGGAACAATGTGTGCTATTGGATGCTATCTAAGCAAAGCACAGGCACATGACAGGGTACTCAAACCAGCAGAGCAATGACAGTGATACAACAAAGGAGTGACTGCAGTTAATGTAGATCAAATGAGTGTGGGGAGGTATGGTGTGAGGCATGGAGAGTTGAATCAACTAATATGAACGAAGAGGATGAAGAGAGACAACAGATTGCGACAAAGCACATGGAAAGAGAAAAGATCTATGCCGACGGGCCAGGCTCATCGGCCGCGAAGCGAGAAGCGATGAGAGCCGCATCCCAATCATCATCAGCACCAATAGAGATGTCGTCATCGGAGCCGAACGCCCTAGAGAGGAAACACGGTTAGAAGGCGCAATGCGAAAAGGAACAGAGACGTACATAGCGGTCTCATAAAACTCAGAAAGGTACTGGCGATAAACATCGACACCAAACCTCTCACGAAGATCCTCAAAACGCTTGCAATACTGCCTGTAGGTGTGGTTGAAATTGTCGCGGGAGAACTCAATTGGGACATGGTGACCGCTCCGCCATTCAATCAGGGAGGCATAAACCTAAAACATGAATGAGGTACAGAAGAACATGTACAAGATGGAGACTTACCGCAACGGCAACAAATGCAATCATAGGGCCAGGAACACGGACGGGCGCAGCATCATCTTCGGAGCGAGCAATCCCAAGCTCACGAGAATGTATCTCGAGGAAGTTGGGCGAGCCGGATAGAAACTTCTTATGAAACGTCGAGAGAATTGATGGGTGGTAGAAGGGTCGGGCACGATCAGGTTTCTAACATTGGTAGGTGTCAATATTTGTAAGACATGGTAGAACAGACTACGTACACCATTAGAACCGAGGGGGTAGAGAAGAGTGCACGCCGCCGTCAGGCGGAGAACCTCACGCGCACGGTCTGCGGCCTTGTTTGGCAAGTCGAACTCATCAAGCACGACACTATCCGCGATGTCGTGAACAGAGGATCGCATGAGAGGGATTCGGGGCTCGAGCTGTCAATGAAAGAGTGGTCAGCAATAGATCCATCAATACAGATACAAACGAACACACCAAAGATCCGAACAACCGCGTATAAACGGGATCGTTCCAGATACGAGTCTCGATATCGTGATGACTCATACCTCGAAGGGCGGCAAGAAGGGCACCAACCTTCATATCAGCACGCGTACGGCGGTCGGGAAACGCGTCAACGCCGTATATCTCGCATGCCAGATTTTCGAGGGCCGGCTCAAATACATCTTGCACGGGCTGCGGTTGGGCTCTGAGGGATAGGAAGCGGCGGCCAGGTGCAGGGTGGACGAGCTCGATGTTGCGTGCTGGGAATTTAGTGGAACCAATTGGGATGGACGGTGGAGGCGGAGGAGGCGGAGGCGGAGGCGGAGCCGCAGCGGCAACAAGGGGCCCGTCGTCCTCATCATCAGTCAGAGTCTCGAGGGACTGAGACACTACTGTCAGTTGTGGGGTAGACGAGAAGAACGAGAGGATGTGCATACCGGCATGCTACTGGTACTGAGACGATGTGCTCGGACCGCCAACTCAGCTGGAGGGATGTTCTCTTTGTCTTCGGGCCACCTCGCATCCTATTGAAGTATCGATGTACATCAGACAGAGTACCTGTGAGTGAACAGAAAAAGCTGCGTACGAATGTGCCTGCGATGATGGCCTTCTTGATGGCCTTCTCCTTGGCAGCCTTGCGAGTTTGCTTTCGGTTAAGCCGCGCTGCAGCATCATTGAGGCCGACATCGCCACCTTCATCGTCGTCGTCTTGCTCGTGGTCTTCGTCGTCTGTGTCTCCTTCCGATGAGTCGGAAGGCTGGAACTCCTCCGACGAACCGCCACTGGACTCATCTTCGGCAGGTGGAGCCTTAGCCTTGTGAAAAACTGTTAGCACACTATTGAACATCACGAGGAAGTTTGGATAGACGAACCTTGCCCTTGTCGGCGAGGGGAATACGAGCGGAAATACGAGAAGCTGCACAATACGGTTGTTTGTTAGTACCAAGAAATATATTACAACATGGGGCAAACGTACGCAGACTACCTTCGGAGTCGGAACCGTCTAAGTTGGGAACCGTGCGACGACCTCCTACGGCTAATCAGTCCAATGCAAGTGTGTAAGGAGGGTCACAACGTACTTTTCGAAGATGAAAGCGACACTTTGCCAGAGACTGTAAGTAAGAAATATCAGTCGATGAGGAGTACATGTGATAAGGATGGGACATACGAAGACTGGAATGCTTCGCCTTTTTCACGGGCACGGCCTCCGCATCAGACTGAGGCTTACGCTTCGATGTCGGACCGGCCTTGATCGAAGACTTGCCCGTCGTTTTGATGCCTGTGCAGGGCATGCCACGAGTACCGAGACCCGTGAGTACCTGCCATGGATATTCGTCAGGCACACCATCAGGTACCTGTATCCGTGGATACAGATACTCGTTCCCACGGGTGTGTGCACGGATACAGGTCTGATGCCGGGGCTCACAGGTACTCGTGGGAGAGTACCCGCCATATTTGGTATTTCCAGGCCGGAGCTTGCCTGAGGCCAGATGTTTGTCCAGCGACTCTCTCTCCTCACTCTCCTCCTCACTCTCTCCCACGTCCCCGAGCGTACACCACTGTGTGATGGAATTGACACGTCGTGTCGCCGTCAATGGTGGTGTCGCTCATCCTGTGTACTTGTTTCCATAAGGGTCTCGAGGGTCTTGACTCTCTGAGTGAATCAGTTTGGAGTCCCACCCCTTGCCATCGTAAAATCGCGCGTTCTCGCTCAATACCGCGTATATTTTGGATGTAGCACCATAAATCGACGCGCCTTGAGCTCCTGCATCGGGCCCTGTATTTTGTTTGACGAGAAACGGCCCGCTCGTCATTGAGAACGGCGGTGTTGACCCTGGTGAGTCCCCATTACCCCTCCAACCGTAAAATTGCTCGTTCTCACTCAGTTTGGCGCGCGTTTCCGACGTTGTACGGTCAATCGACGCGTTTGGATGTCCATCATCGCCCCCTGTCCTTGGTTTGACGCGATTCGGCCCGCCCGTTGTCGAGAACGACGGTATTGACCTGGTGAGTACCCCCTGCTTCCCTCTACAGTAAATGTCTTCGTTCTCACTCGATTCCGCGTACGTTTACGATATTGCGGGGTCAATCGACGCGGATTAACGTCCCGCATCGCCCCCTGTCCTTGGTTTGACGCGATTCGGCCCGCCCGTCGTCTAGAAAAATAATATTGACCTGGTGAGTACCCCCTCCTACTTTCTATCATAAACGTGCTCGTTCTCACTCAATACCGCGTACGTTTACGATGTTGCGGGGTCGATCGACGCGGATTAATGTACCTCATCGCCCTCTGTCCTTGTTTTGACGCGATTTGGCCCGCCTGTCATCGAGAACGACAGTAGTAACCTGGTGAGTACTCCCTGCCCCCTTCTATCGTAAATTTGCTCGTTCTCACTCAATGTCACGTACATTTGTGATGTTGCATGGTCAATCGTCGCATATGGATGTCCCGCATACCATCCCATCCTTGGTTTGACGCGATTTGGACTACCCGTTGTCGAGAACGACGACATCGACCTGGTGAGTACCCCCTCCTACCTCCTATCGTAAATGTCTTCGTTCTCACTCAATTCCACGTACATTTACAACCTTGCGGGGTCGATCAACGCGTGTTGATGTCCCGCATCGCTTCCCGTACTTGATCCGACGCGATTCGGCCCATTCGTTGTCGAGAACGACGACATTGACCTAGTAAGTACCCCCTCCTACCTTCTATTGTAAATTTGCTCGTTCTCACTCAACTCTGCTTACATTTGTGATCTTGCGGGGTAGATAGACCCGTGTTGATGTACCGCATCGCCCTCTGTACTTGTTTTGATGTGATACGGCCCACTCATCATTGGGAATAATGGTTATTGATTTGGTGAGTACCACTCCACCCCCTTCCCCAGCTCATATTTGCCACAGTACCCACGGGTACCCCTCAGGTACCTTCAAGGTACCCGTGGATTGATTCTATCCATGAGTACCTGCCCATCGGCAAGTACCTGTATCCGTGGATATGGATACCCGCTCCCACGGATGCCACCCCGGATACAGGTGTGGCCTCTGAGGGAACAGGTACTTGTTCCCACGGATACAGGTACTCGCACGGATATAATCGTGGCATGCCCTGTGCCTGTGGCGGAGAGCGTCTTCTTCGTCTTCTTAGCAAGGGCTTCCCATGCTGTCCAAACATCAGACTAAGGCGGAAAGATATAGATGTAGTATATTCATACCCTTAGACGCGCTCGCTTTAGAGGCTCGCATACTGGTGGGTGCTGTGCGTAGAAAGAAACCAACGAAACATTAGCCAGCCTACAAGGAGACAAGGACACGGCGAGAACACACCTTCGGGAACAACACTAACAACAGTGTTCTTAGAAACTTTGATGCTGGAGCCTGCCATACTTGTCGGAAGGAGATCGAAAGGGTAGGAAGGGCGCGAAAAAGGTCGAAGGAAGAGCAAGATGACGAGGAATCTAAGAGAGAAAGGGAAGCTGTGATCAACACAGGAAGGATGGGAAGTGATTGAATGAAGAGATAGAAGAACGTACCATGGCCATTTTATATCTGAATGAGGGTGTCTGCGAGGGAGTAGAGAGGACAGTCGGTGGTCAGGAGCAAGAAGGAACGACGCGCGTCGCCTCTCAAGATAAGCGCCGGCACGCTGGCGAATTTCAAACTCCGCCGTAGGACGCGCCCTGCCACGCCTCCTTTCCCGCCACTCTTTCTCCCTCCGTCTTGAATCTCTCCGCTGTTCTCTGCCCTACTGGGTTATCTGCGAGGGTCATAGTACATCTCACCACCCGGACACGCTAGATCTGCGTGGTATTGGGGTCTCCAAGGGTGCTTAACACCCTGGTTGCCAGTCTTTTGTCTATGCTCATGACACTGGACGCCTCTGTCGATGTGTAATTCGACTTCTGCGTGTCTGACTTCAATTGCTTGGTGTACCAGGGTGTACCTCTCAGGTCAGTAACTCCTATTTTATGCCCTGTTCCTGTGTCTAAATTCGCAATATTTCTCAGATTTTTATTCGCTATGACTGTTTTATGCAATGTGGTGCACATGTGATTGTTCCCTGTACCGTTCTTTTGGTGAGTATCTGACACTCGTTGATGTACTCAGCGGGCTGAAAAGAACCGGCATTCGATCTCGACTTCACTGGGCATGCCAATGGAACAGACGTCAACTGGATTTTGAGTTGACGTGCGGATGTCCATTGGTGTCCATCGACGACACCAGCCAGATTATCTCAAGAACGAAGACAACATGGCCCAGTGAGTCTGCAATAACATGAACACCATTCTAATAGAAACTGACCGGCTGACTGTGCCTGCAGGTTGCAATAACATTCGGATACCACCTTCCACCGGTTCTGTACCGCCATCCGCCCCGACTATCACACCAGCACACAATACCCGCCTCGCTCGCCACATTCGTCACGCCACCCTCCGCTTTTCGTACTGCGAAGTCCTTGATACCTTGTTGGTTGCATCATCCTCGTAAGTCGTATAATCTGTGCGTATATTTCTTTCGAGATTTTTGGCTAGTAATAAACTCATATCCACATATCTACAGCGAATCATGGCCACTTTGCCCACTTGTCGCGGTTGCGCAAAGACTTTCAAGCGTGACTCCGACCTTATTCGCCACCTTCGGAACTCCAAGGACCAGCGTTGCGCACTTGTGGCCCAAGAAGAACTCGAATATGTGCCTCAGCCAGGGCCAGAGGTTGAGATGGAGGACACTGATGTCTGGGCGGGCGATTTTTTCGGTTCTCATGATCAGTACGACGAGACGGACTTCCCCATGTCCGTTGAAGACATCCAGAACCAACATACGCACCACTTTGGTGGCGAGGGTTCTGTCCACGCCGGACCGTCTCGCTTTTCGGGAGCGATGTCCAGCTCAGATGAGGAAGGGGAAGGTGCAGGTCTACCTGTACCGGGGCTGGAAGAGATCAATGAGTCGGAGGAAGAAGACGAAGGTGATGGAGAGGACGACGATTCCGACATCGACAATATTGACGCCGCTCACATTGCTCGACTCGTCAATCAGATCGGCGGTCTTTCCCTTCCCACCTCCCGCGCTCTCTCGCCCTCGCCGTCGCACTCCAGCAGCTCTTCGAGCTCGTATGCACCAAGTTTGTCTTCGTCTTCGTCGCAGTCCACGGACGGCCTTTCCGAAGAGTTTGGTCGTGTTCTTGATGACGACGAGCTCCAGAGGATTCATGAGCAGCTCTCGTCAAAACCAGTGGTCGAGAAATTCCCGAACCACCTAGGAAATCCCGGCGCACCCGTCTCACGCGACCACCGCCATGCATACGAAAGGTCGCGAGATGCCCTCGAAGACGACAACAACGTGTACGCACCACTCTCTTCTCAACTGGAGTGGGACTTTGCACGGTGGGCGAAGCTGCGTGGACCGAGCTCGACGGCCCTCACGGAGCTTCTCAAAATTGAGGGTGTACGTTGTTCACTCTCCGTTGTTCCATATTACCCGCTCACTGTGTTTCCAGTTTCGTGAGCGGCTAGGTATCTCATTCAAGACGGCAAAGGAACTGGATTCCATCATCGACAACGAGCTTCCTGGTCGCCCGGCATTCAAGCATCACCCAATCGAGTTCGCAGACCACACGTACTCGACCTTCCTCCGCGACATCATTCCTAGCATCCGTGCGCTCTGGAGTGATCCCGAGCTCTCGCCGTACCTCATTTTGGCACCAGAACGCCACTATGCCGATGAGAACAAGACCGTGCGACTCTATTTCGACATGCATACTGGTCGATGGTGGTGGCGCACTCAAGTGAGTCTTTTTGATAGCTCGCTTGTGGTTTTGTTCTAAATATGGCCCTACCAGATCGAGCTTGAGCGTGAGCGCCCCGGAGCCACAATCATACCCGTTATCATCTCTTCCGACAAGACGCAGCTCACGCTCTTTCGCAACAAGAGCGCATACCCCATCTACCTCACCATCGGAAACATCCCGAAGGAGCTCCGACGCAAGCCATCTTTTCGCTCGCAGATCCTCATGGGCTATTTACCAACCGAGTCCCTCAAGCATATCAAGAACGCTGATACACGACGCCTCGCCCTCGCGCACCTCTTTCACGCATGCATGCGTCGTCTTATGTCGCCACTTAAGGAGGCTGGCTTACACGGTGTCAACATGACGAGCGGGGTTGGTGTGACGAGGCGCTGCCACCCGCTTTTCGCGGTCTTCGTTGGTGATTACCCGGAGCAGTGCCTCGTCACACTCGTCAAGAACGGGGACTGCGTTATCTGCCCCACAGTTCACGACGATCTTGGGGAGGTGGGCTACACACGACGCATGCGCGATTTCGAAGATGTGCTCGATGCTCTCGATCATGGGCCACCAGACGGAGATCCCGACACTTTCATAGCGACATGTACCGCAGCAGGTATCCGTCCTATCTCACATCCCTTCTGGTACGATCTCCCGTACGTCAACGTGTTCGCAGCCATCACTCCCGATCTCCTCCACCAACTCTCCCAGGGCGTCATGAAACACCTCTTAAAGTGGCTGAAGGAGATCTTCGGTGCCGCTGAGATAGATGCTCGGTGCGCGGCTCTACCACCAAACCACAATTTACGCCACTTCGCCAACGGCATTACCAGCATGAAGCGCGTGTCTGGGTCCGAGCACCGAGACATGTGCCGTATTCTGCTTGGACTCGTTGTTGACCTTCCCCTACCCCACGGTCTTTCCTCCGCTCGTCTCATTCGCGCTGTTCGTGCTTTACTCGATTTCTTCTATCTAGCCCAATACCCCGTCCATTCATCGTCAGAGGAAGATCCTGCTAATGAGCCTCGCCCTCCCTCGTCCCTCGATCTCCTCGAAGATGCGCTTACGCGCTTTCACGATAACCGCGACATATTCATCGAGCTCGGCGTGCGCGACAACTTTAACATCCCGAAACTCCATACCCTCCGTCATTATGTTCCATCCATCAAACTCTTCGGCACTACCGACAACTACAACACCGAATACACCGAGCGCCTACACATTGACATGGCCAAGAACGCCTACCGTTCCACGAACCGCCGTGACGAGTATCCCCAAATGACCACATGGCTCGAACGGAAGGAGAAGATCGAGCGACACGCTCTCTTCGTCCAATGGCGGCTCGACGGGTGTCCGCCCCTGACCAAACCAGCGATCCCACATCACACCCATATCAAAATGACTCGCAATCCCACTCTCAAGTCCGTATCGTTCGACGATCTTGCCGCAGACTATGGCGCGCACTCCTTTCGCACCGAGCTCGCCAAGTTCATCATTAGGCACCAGAACGAGATGTATACGGAGAACCGGATTGCGCGTGAGGCGGAGGACATATTCCTCGGGTTCGACCGGGTCCCCGTCTATCATAAGGTAAAATTTTGGTTGCGAGATCCTCATGGGCGTGAACTTGCCCAAGATACTCTCGATGTCGCACATTGTCGACCGCTCCATACGCCACCGGTTCCTCGAGGCAAGAGCAAGGCCAAATCCAAGTCTCGGCTACCTATTCCCTCTCGCTTTGACACGGTACTCGTGGATGTCGGTGCCAATGGGCAATCTGGTGTCAAAGGTCTGTATTTTCACCTCATACCTCTCAGGTTTCATCTTATTCAATACTTGGATACAGGCTACCGTGTTGCCCAGCTTCGCGCTGTTTTTCGAATCCCTGACCGCGTCCTTGACGAGCTTTTCCCCGCCACACCACCGCCACGCCACCTTGCTTATGTGGAGTGGTTCAAACCATTCACGACTGTTAACGGTAATCATCGCATGTACAAAGTCAGTCGTGCCATCCAGAATGGTGTACGCTCAGCGAGCATCATTCCCGTTGCCAGCATCCGACGTAGTGTACACTTGTTTCCTCTGTTCGGCCCTCACGTACCGGATGGCTGGACAACCAACACATCGTTGGAACTAGCTACTAGTTTTTACCTCAACCCTACCCTCGATCGTCTCTCCCATATTTCACTCTACTAAATTATTATTTGTATGTGACTGCATTAATCTAAGTTGACTTTATTACTCTTGGGCCACAGCTGTTTTGAACATAAATTGTGCTTTCTCGCTTATCACACAGCCAAGTTAGGCTTTCTTGTTGAATATTATGCTACATTGGCCGATATTTAATGCACCCTCAGCTTGAATAGGGTAAATTGATCATCGATAGCCTATTTTCGCGCATTTCGAGCTGGATTAGCCCGAAACTTAGCGGGGGAGGTTTTTCCTGATGCGTTTTGTACAAACTAGATATTGACACATCCTTAGAACCTGGAGACGCTGTGAGCGCCAAAATAACTACTGAGTAACTCCAACCCGATCATATGTCTCTTCTTCTACCTGACGCATTTCTCTTCTTTCTTTCAGTACGGAACGCGCTCGTGATTTAATGGATGCCTGGAAGCAAGGGTATGAAGGCGGCGCCCTAGACAACTTCCTCAAAGCAATGGAATGGTACGAAAAGAACTACGACCCGGCGATACATTACGGACGCACCATCGCCATCTTGCAGTCGAGCGGAACAGGCAAGTCACGGCTGGTGGATCAGCTTGCCTCTGTGGTGCGTTTGACGATTTGTCCTGTCCCCGCGAAAACGCTAATGGGACCCAATAGCACCCTGTATTCAGCGTGACTTTCCGTGCATCGAACGAACTGACGGAAGGTTGGCCGCCGAGAGATCCCTTAGTTATGGAGTTCTTCGAATACTGCTCTCGAACCGATGCTTCTCTCCCACCTGAGATCATAGAGATAAGGGTGCGCGCTTTCTCTTCATCTTCCTTGTCCATCTCCAACCGAAACCTATGATTTTCCTTTCGACAGGGAGAAGAAATGGCTGCCGCATTCCTTGGGGCACTGATCGCAGCAATCGCTGATGGATGGGATATTTCTCTTCTCAAAGCCCTGGACCCGAAGTTCAGCTACGGTCTTCCCGATACCCCCGAGGCAGCTCGGCGACAGGCATTCTTCAAAGTCGTTTGTGACAACGCGAAGACTATGCTTCACAAACGGTCTGCGTTTCTTGCCGAGAAGCGTAGGTGGATCCAGTCCCTTAGGCCAGCACCGACAGAGGGCGCAACGGACAGCGAGCGCGAAAAGCACGACAAAGAGCTGTCTAAGAGCAGTTCTCAGTGGCATGCCGAGCTCTTTGCGAAATTCTGTCAGCCAGCGTTTGATCGTTTGAGCACCAAACTTCACGCTGCTGGCGAGACCAAGTTCTTTCTGGCTTTAGATGAATGCACTGTTCTCGGAGGATCGGCACCGAATGAAAGAGAACCTTCCCGGAAGAGCTCCTTGATCGCCTTTCAACGTATACTGAAAGCTGCGGAACACATGACAACGCCCGTATCTCTCTGGTTCCTTACTCTCGACAGAAGTCCCTCTGCAGGGATGTTGGTTCCTTCTGGCCCTCTTGTTCCGTCGTCACGCCTTACCGCCAACCTTCAACCGCTGCCTCCGTTCACCTACACGGGCTTTAACCAACTTAGCCATCGCCTTAGAACGGACAAGGCTTCCGCTTCATTGGACATCGAGAACCTCAAATATCTTGGTCGCCCAGTATGTCCCATCTGTGTCTATAGAAATCCGGTGTCGTGTGCTGAGGCCGTTTACTCGTCGTAGTTGTGGTCGTCGATAAGAGCACAGTTGGTTTTGACTTTTGCGAAGAGGAAACTCCTAGCCGCACGAGAGCTCCATCCCGTAGATCTGAGTCAAGTACTAGCAGTGTTCTCATCCAGAGCATGCCTCCAATTAGCCAAGAACGACGCCGCGAACCGGATTGCCGCCAACGCCGTCAGATGCCACATGCGTATTCTCGTCTCCATCGTGAAGACGACCCTAGTCACTTCTGTCCCCTCTGAACCTATACTTTCCATCGCCGCCGCGGTCGCCCTGACGAAGTCTCCCCAAGTATACCACGACGCCCTCAATACGTTATGCACGGAGCTGGACCGCCAAAACTCTGTTCTCGCAGCTGGAGACGAGGGGGAGCTCTGCTGCCGTCTCCTTCTCCTCCTGGCTCGTGATATGACAACTATCGAACAGCGCGGGACATTTGTGAAGGAGGATACGACGTCCGGAACGTCCTATATCTATGCAGTTGGGTTGCACGATTTGTTATCAACCCTGCTTGGAAAGAAACAGTATGGATTTGAGGCGAAGGAAGAGAAGGAGTTGGCGGGAGACCTTCGGTCGCGCTGCGAGGGCAAGTGGGTCAACTTCACCCACTTCATCCAGTACGAAAAGACGATCGACGAGCTCACTTTGGAAGAGCTCGAGCGCGCCTGGTTCTCTGGCGCCGCCATCCAATGCTGCCATAATCAGCCGGTCATCGACATTCTCCTTCTTTACTACAGCGGACCTCCCAACGAGCCGTTCAATGGCGAACGTATCGGCCTATTCGGCATTCAGGTCAAAGCCAGGGCTCAGCAGGCTGACAGCACGATCGGAGATGGTTTGACCGTCCCACCCATTCTTCACCCGAATCATGCCGGATCGGAATCCAGGAGAGTCAAGTGTCCGACGGTCGTCATGCTCATGGACCTGAGCACAAGTGTGGCGTTTCAGGAGAATGGAAGAAAAAGACTTCTGGTAAAGAGAGCGGCAGAGAGGACAACGAAGTGGTCGGGATATATCGAGGAGGAGCCCAAGAATATATTGGTGAACGTTCGCGGATGCTCGGCACTGCCATACCCAGTCCTTCACGATTTTTCAGAACCGTTTGGGAGGATATTTACCATCGTGACCGAGCGTCAGCCACCGGGGATTTTAGGCGAGCTAGAGGAGCGGATGGCAGTTGCGATGTACCCATTCGAAAGGTTGACAAGAGTGAAAGAGGCTGAGGGGAGGACGAAGCAATAGATAAAAGTGTGTCCGAGTTCATGTGCGAAATGTCCGCAATACAACCAACTTGGAGCAGCGACTGACGACGACAACGATGAAAGTCGGCATAAATAGTCATATTCCTCTTCTGAAAGAATCTGCATAGTCGTAGCAAACGAGCACCGGCAATCGGACAGCGTCAAGATCGCCGCTGAAGGCTTGCAGACGTATCAGCCAGTATCAATGCTGTAAAGTCGAATGAGAACGGCCAATCACTGATCCTCTTCCGTGCTTTCCGCTTCCCAAAAACTTAATTCCTCGCCATTTAACTTGGAACGATCCCGATAGCCTTGGCCATTCTGTTTCAACTGAACAAAACCTCCAACGTGCGTCGAAGTCCAAACGACCGACGCCGAACGTTTTTCGCTGCTAAGACCTGCAGATCCACGCCGCCTACTACAAAATCGTGCGCACGACCAGCTCTGCGATATTTTTGAGTCACTACAGCGGGGAGAAAAAATAGGACTCAGAGGAGGCGGATGAACAGCAGGATTTACGTAGCATCCTTCGTAGACGTGATCTTAACCAGGAGAGATGACTTCGACTGTCATAAGTTCAGATGCTGGAACGTCCATGAGATTGCCAGCATACACCATATTCTATGTGCTAGGACATTGAGCAATGTGGGTGGCGACAGGGGCGGCGGGGATACCGTTCCAGTCCATGGCAATCGTAGAGAAAGAATTCGGGGCGATCGTCGAGGAAGTACCCGGTGCAGGGAATGACGCCCGAGGTCGGGGACGGTACACGTTCCTTTTTCGAGGTGATATTTGAGACCGTTTGGGTTCAGGTAGGACTGTTGGATCGATAGCGCCAATGAGTATGGAGAGTTGCGAGGTATATCGGAGAAAAAAGAACGACAGGATTGATAGAGAAGGAAAGGGCGATGCACGAGGAATGAAGGGCAAAGTTGACGTGAAGATGAAGAGATGAGGACTGACCTTCACGCAACATAGTGTCTATAGGAGAAGATACAAGCGTTCATCAGTATATCGCTCAAATACACGAGGGGAGATAGCGAGGTTGACGAAGGAAGTAGCAGCAACGAGGAATGTGAGTCCGCGCGGAAAGTGTGCACGAGCAGGCCTGATTTTCAGGGGGACCATCTGACCTATCCGAGTGAGAAAAACTGCAACAAACGTACGTCTCGCTCTTTCTACCTCGACGCACTCGACATGACCACGGAACGATCGTGTGTCACCACACCGCTCTAGCTCCATCACCCACCATGGAATTGGAAAGGATCGATTGATCGTCCCCGTCCGTTCCTCAGCCGGGTACATCTTACTCTGAGAGCACTACAAGGGCTACATCGAGCCTTAGATGTACCATCGAATCGAGCGCATATACGCATCGACAGACTCGCGACTGCGACCTAGAGAAGATCAACCAAAACTCAAACGTACCAGAGATGAAGTCACAGAGCGTCACCTCACGCCCGTCGGATATATCGACTGAGAGATACGGATATACACATCGCGCCACGAACAGATCGCTATGCATGTCCTCTTTGTGAGGCATATATTCTGTCTTGAGTACGCACATATGCATATGTGCGTTGCGCAGCAGTGATGACCTCCATGTCAACGCGACTGCGATCGTACATGCGCGGCCTATCAAAGCTCCATGGCATCACAAACCTCGAAGCGCGGATCTCGAAGCTCGAAGCTCGAAGGGCAAAGCTTCAAATGAACGAGCTTGTCAACTAACTGCATGACGCTCGAGCAACAGCGACCACAAAGGGACGACGAAGGATCCAAACATGTCTCCAACCCCATTCCACGCCACACACAAATGGATGAAAAAAAGCATGCAAGAATCACATACCGGACATTTAAACGCCTTCTCCCTCGACTTCCTCCCACTGGTACTCGCCACACCACTGCCGGCACCTACATCTGCAGCCAAATCCTCCGCACGTTCGTGCTGCTCGATGGATGGATACGATGCCTGCGATAGTGCGTCGGCCATCGCGATTGGATCATGGTCAACGAGCTGCGAAGCATCCTCTGATACACGCTCGTCACATCCCCGTCCCACTTCCAAAGCTCTACCCGAACTAAAACCCGAACCTGACCTCAATCCCGACCCCAATCCCGTAACGAGTCTCTCCTTTGTCTTCGTAGTGTTCGAGACGAACTTCCCCCGAGCGCCTCTCTTCGTTTTCCTTCCTAACCCTGATAGACCTCCATTCCATTTGCTAGCACCGGCATAGTTGCGACCACCAGCCCTGCTAACAACACTAACAGAACCGGCACCAGTCCCAGCATCAGCACAAGCCCCGCCCCCACCAGCACCACCCACATCCACGACTCCTCTCCTCTCTTTGATCCTCCTACCCAAGTCGTGAACACGATTACTCGTCGCACCCGACCCTGCCTTCTTGGTCGTGCTCTTTTTAGACTTCGCAGCGGGTGTGGGTCTAGTGGAGGCAGGGAGGGAAAAGGAGGCGGGTGGCAAGCTGAGAATCGAGGGATGAGTACGATGAATGTCGGGAGAAGGGTTTGTATTTGTTTCGAGCGTTAGGGTGTGCGCTTGTGCCTGGCTTTGTTGACAGTTCCCTTCGAACGGATACGAGACAGAGATATCCTGTGCATACATCGATGTGGCGCCTTCCCCGTCCGTGTCTAGAGCCAGACGATGGTCGACTCGAGAGAGCGAAGTACAGTCGAGGAGCGGATACGCAGGCTCGTCCATCCTGCTTTCCATCGACACGGACGTGGCGGAGAACGCAGACGAAAATGGCATGAATGGGGATAGCGGGGTGAACACAGATGCAGGCGAGGACGAGACTGGATCTGAATCGGAACCGGCAGCGCTTAGCTCTGGCGTCGAGGGACGAGAGCCGGAGGGGATGCAGACGCCAAGGCCAGGAAAGGTCTGTGTCGCCGAGGAGAGCGAGGAAATGGGACATGGACTGGGGAGCGCGCGGGGTTGTGGGTAGGAGAGGACGAAGGGTTCGGGATCGTATTGGTCGTTCTGGTGGGAGAAGGGTGAAGGAGACGTCTGCGAAGCGAGGACGGAGGAAGGTTGAGCGTCGGATGAGGAGTCCTGTTTTGAGAGGACGAAGACGTGTGAGTCTTCGAAGTGGGCGAGAAGGTCGTGCATATCGGGGATGGCTAGACCACAGCACGTGAAATTCGACCACTGTGAAGTTATATGCAGAGCAGTCAGCCAATGCGGCGACGAGCGAGGAAGAGGTAGATGCGTACTATTTCGCGTTCGAGAGCATCGGGAGAGGGAGAACGTGGGTTCGCGTCCCACTGGTCGGAGGGGGCGAGACTGGAGACGATCGGTGTATTGTTTAGTGTAGAGCGGATGAAGAACGGGAGAAAGAGGCGTACTCGAGAGGTTCATCCAACGTCCAATCCATCCTGCCCATCCCATATTCATCCTCACGTCCAGGACCTTCTTGACGAGATTTTTACGAAGAGAGAACGGGCAAGAGGCAGAGTATCAGTCGAAGAAAAGAGCAGCGGAAGACATTGGATTTCGTCGTCCAGCCTCAGGGACGATATATATATCTATAAATATGCCCATAGCCAACGCGAGGTTCACGCTGGACAGAGAAAAGTGAGGCGTCTGAAAGGGGGCGGTCCGCGGTCCTAGTCGCGTCATCTCTCCTTTCCAGCCATTGTCAGGACCAGCAAGCCCTTTATCCCAGATGTCATTAGCTGTGAGCTGCACCAGAGGTAGTTCACGGCATCCGATCAGCTGAAGCAAGAGGTTGTAAGTAGGCGTAGGGGACGAGAGCAGGCAAGGAGCAGGGGGGATTGAGCCACGGGGCGGAGCCCGGAATATAACCGGCAGTTTGCTGACGCGTGGGAATATTCTTCCACAGAGGCTGTGGCTGATACGAGAGAACAATGAACTGAGACGCCTACATTGTCTCGTGTCGCGACTGCGTTCTCGTCTTTCATCCTTTCCCTCACACCACCGCATCCCTCTCAAGCGTAACTTCTCCGTCTCAACACTCTCTTCGCACCATGTCAGCAGATTCTGTAGGCCTATCCTCCGAGCGGCCCGTGAAAGGAGAAAGCGAAGTCGAGGCTTGGCTTCAGAGCGTTCGCAAAGACTGGAAGCCACTAATGAAAGTCAGAACGGCAACCCATGAGAACATCGAGAACCTCCTGAGCATCTTCATCAATTACCTCAATTCACTATGGTACGACGAGGATGGTCCTGGTGATTTGAATGTCGAAGCTCCACCCACGTTACTACGAGACGCCTTGTTCGAGAAACAAGATAAACGGAAATTGTTTAGAAAGGATATTGGCGACTTGCATGGAAAGATTCCTCTGGCACGTCTTCTGCTGCTGGCCTGTACTGGTACGTGGTCTCGCCTTTCTTGTGCCTGCATGCACAATGCAGTGCGCGTTTTGTACAAACTAGATATTGACACATCCATAGAACCTGAAGACGTTGTGAGCGTCAAAATAACCACTGAGTAATTCGAACCCGATCATATGTCTCTATTTCTGCCTGACGCCTTTTTCCTCTTTTTTTCAGTACGGAACGTGCGCGCGATTTAAGAGACGCCTGGAAGCAAGAGTATGAAGGCGGCGCCCTAGACAACTTCCTCAAAGCAATGGAATGGTACGAAAAGAACTACGACCCGGCGATACATTACGGACGCACCATCGCCATCTTGCAGTCGAGCGGAACAGGCAAGTCACGGCTGGTGGATCAGCTTGCCTCTGTGGTACGTTTGACAATCTGTCCTGTCCCCCGCGAAGACGCTAATAATGAGAGTCCAATAGCACCCTGTATTCAGCGTTACTTTACGTGCATCGAACGAACTGACGGAAGGTTGGCCGCCAAGAGATCCCTTAGTTATGGAGTTCTTCGAATACTGCTCTCAAACCGATCCTTCTCTCCCACCTGAGATCATAGAGATAAGGGTGGGCGCTTTCTCTTTATCTTCCTTGTCCATCTCCAACCGAAACCTATGATTTTCCTTTCGACAGGGAGAAGAAATGGCTGCCGCATTCCTTGGGGCACTGATCGCAGCAATCGCTGATGGATGGGATATCTCTCTTCTCAAAGCCCTGGACCCGAAGTTCAGCTACGGTCTTCCCGATACCCCCGAGGCCGCTCGGCGACAGGAATTCTTCAAAGTCGTTTGTGACAACGCGAAGACCATGCTTCACAAACGGTCTGCGTTTCTTGCCGAGAAGCGTAGGTGGATCCAGTCCCTTAGGCCAGCACCGAAAGAGGGCGCGCCGAACAACGAGCGCAAAAAGTACGACGAAGAGCTGTCTAAGAGCAGTTCTCAGTGGCATGCCGAGCTCTTTGCAGAATTCTGTCAGCCAGCGTTTAAACGTTTGAGCGCCAAACTTCACGCTGCTGGCCATACCAAGTTCTTTCTGGCTCTAGATGAATGCACTATTCTCGGAGGAACGTCCGCGAATGAAAGAGAACCTTCCCGAAAATGCTCGTTGATCGCCTTTCAGCGTATACTGAAAGCTGCGGAACATATGACCACGCCTGTATCTTTCTGGTTCCTTACGCTCGACACCAGTTCCTCCGCTGCGATGTTGGCTCCTTCTGGCCCTCTTGCTCCGTCGGCACGTCTTACCGCCGACCTCATGCCGCTGCCTCCGTTCACCTACATGGACTTCAACCAACTCAGACATCGCTTCAGAACGGACACGGCTTCCGCCTCGTTGGATATCGAGAACCTGAAATATCTTGGTCGTCCGGTATGTTCCCGTATTTGTCTCGAATATTCTATTCTAGGGCCGCGCACTGAGTCTGATTACTCGTTGTAGTTGTGGTCGACGATGAAAACGCCGCTGGTTGTGACGTTTGCGAAGGATAAGCTGTTAGCCGCTCGCGGATTCAATCCAACAGACTTGTCGCAAGTACTAGCTGTTTTTGCCTCCAGAGCATGCCTCAAATTGGCAGGGAACAACGCCGCGAACCGGATTGCCGCCGACGCCGTCAGCCGCCACATGCGCATCCTGGTCTCCATCGTGAAAACGACGTTGGACACTACTGTCCCTTCGGAACCTATGCTCGCCATCGCCGCCGCCACCGCACTTACAAAATCTACGGCAATCTACAACGAAGCACTCACCACGTTATGCAACGAGCTGTACCGCCAGCATTCCGTACTCGCAGCTGGAGAGGTGGGGGAACTCTGCTCCCGCCTCCTTCTTCTCCTCGCTCGCGATATGGCCACTACCAAACAAGATACACCGTTTGTCACGACGGACGGGTGCTACATCCACGCCATCGAATTGCATGACTTGATGTCGAGCCTTCTTGGGCAGGACCGGTATGGATTTTTTCACGATGACGACGAGAAGAAGTTGGCGGAGGAGCTTCGATCGCTCTGCAAGGGCAAGTGGGTGAACCTCACCCACTTCCTCCAGTACGAAAAGACGATCGAAGAGCTCACTTTTGAAGAGCTCGAGCACGCTTGGTTCTCTGGCGCCGCCATTCAATGCTGCCATAATCAGCCGGTCATCGACATCCTCCTTATTTACTACGGCGGATCGCTTCACGAGCCGTATAAACGCGAATATCTCGGCGTATGCGGCCTTCAGGTCAAAGCCAGGGAACAGGAGGCGGATGGCACGGTCGCAAGCGGTTTGACCGTCCCACCCATTCTTCACCCGAGTCCTACCGGATCAGAATCCAGGAGAGTCAAGTGTCCGACGATCGTCATGCTCATGGACCTTTGCACCAGTACGGTGTTCAAGGAGAAGGGAAGAAGGAGACTCCTGGTAAAGAGAGCGGCACAGAGAACGGTTAAATGGTCGGGGTACGTCGAGGAGGAGCCCGAGAATATACTGGTGAACGTTCGTGGATGCTCGGCGTTGCAATACCCAGTTCTTGGAAAATTTTCGGAACCGTTTGGGAAGATCTTTGCCACCATGACCGAGCGTCAGGCGCCGGGGGTTCTAGGTGTGCTAGAGAAGCGGATGATGGTTGCGATGTACCCAATCGAGAGGTCGGAGACAGCGCAAGAGGTTAAGAAGCAGGAAGAGCAAGAGAAGAAGAAGCAGGAAGAGCAAGAGAAGAGGCGGGCAGAGCAAGAGAGGAAGAAGCAGGTAGAGGAAGAGAGGAAGAAGAAGAGAGACGAAGCAGCGGAGAGTCGGAAGAACAAGAAAGCCACGATTGCAGGCCAGAGTTCAAACGGAGGGAGGGGTGGAAAGGGTGGAAAGGGTGGTAGGGGCGGCAGGGGCAGTAAGGGCGGCAGGGGCGGTGGTCGGGTGCCGGAAGATGATGTAGACGGTGAAGCAAGCTTCCCGGATCTTACAGACATACGAGAGGCTTTACCGAATAAGGATACGGTGTAGGTCCTTTGGAATCTAGTTGCTTGAACCAGTACCACTTTTCCTTTTCTGTAGAATCGTAGCAGTATAGTGTTCCCCACCTTTGGGAATTGATCTCGTCGTAATTGTGTTTTTTCTCTTTTTCCTCGTTTGCTTGCGTGTTATCGTAGGCAGGCTACTGGATCTCGCTGGCGATAATCGCATAGATGGTTTTTAGGCCTCATAATGAGTGCTTCAAACGGCAGGAAGACCAGTCGAAGCTACTCCACGCGAAACGACGATGACAGCAAAAGAGGGAATATATAGGTATATTTTTCTTTTGCAAACATCTGTAAGCGTACTCGTAACAAGCGCAATCCGGAAATCGAACAACACCGACAAGCCATACACTCTCTCCAGCTCGCTATCCCACGCATACAACCCTAGCCCAAGATCCTTCACGCTCCCGACCATGACCATAATCGCCCCGCTCAATCTCTCCCCAAATCCCCGCGTCCTCTGGCGCGAGATCCTCCATCTCCTCCGCCAACGCCAACTCTTCCCTCTATCCCCCCTCCATACCGCTTTCATCTCCACGTCCTCCTTTCTCATACCTATCGCACGTCGTTTTCTACACTCTGTCGTGCTGGCGAGCTGCCGTAGCGTCAAGAGAGATGTGTGGATGCGGGTAGGAAGGAAGGGAGAGCCTCTGAGTACGCGAGGGGTGTCAGAGAGGGATTGGCAGAGGATCGAATTCGGTAGAGGCAGAGATCAGCATGCGTACATTCCTATATACTGCGAGTCAGTGCCGATCACGAGGAAATAGAACGCGGTATACTACCTTACTACGTGCGTAAAGATGGATTGACTCGTCGAAATTCTTCTCAAACTCACGAGCCCTAGTCGATACCATGCGGATGCTCCACCGCTGAAGACTTGCAGATACATCTGCCAGCATCAATGCTGTAAAGTCGAATGAGAACGGCCACTCTGAGTATTGCGCCTCTTCCGTGCGTTCCGTTTCCCAAGAAAGTTCCCGCCATTTACATAACTTGCAACGGTTCCGATAGCCTTGGCCATTCTGTTCCGACTAAGCAAACTTCCAACGTGCGTCGAAGTCCAAATGACCGACGCCGAATGCTATTCGCTCCCGAGACCTCCGGATCCACGCCGCGCGTACGACCAGCTCTGCCATATTTCGAGTCGCTAGAGCGGAGAGAAAAGAGGAGGAGCGTGACGACCAGTATGTTTTACGTAGCATCCTTCGTAGACGCGATCTCAACCAGAAGAGATGACTTCAACTGTCATAAGTTTAGATGCTGGAATGTCCATGAGATTGCGAGCATACACCATATTCTATGTGCTAGGACATTGAGCAATGTGGGTGGCGACGGCGGGGATACCGTTCGAGTCCATGGCAATCGTAGTGAAAGAATTCGGGGCAGTCGTCGAGGAAGTACCCGGTGCAGGGAATGACGCCCGAGATCGAGGGACGGTACACGTTCCTTTTTCGAGATGATATTTGAGACCGTTTGGGTTGAGGTAGGACTGTTGAATCGATAGCGTTACATGAGTATGTATAACCCCGGAGCTCGAGAAAGAAGGATAGAAACGGGACGGCGCGATTCGTAGGCAAGGAAGGGTGTTAATGATGCGAGAGGAACGAAGGGGGGAGTGACAGAGAGACGATGACGGACTTTCACGCAACCTAGCGTCTGGAAGAGAAAGGATGGAGTTTTGTTAGTAGCGAACTCAGATACAGGAGTGGCGACGGCGGGGTAATAAAAGAATATAACGGGACGCGGACGACAGTTTTCGAAAACCGAGCAGTGTGCATGAGCGAGTTCTAATTTTCGAAAAGACCATCTACGTAAGTCCCGCACACTCTCCCTCTACACACTCGCCAGAACAATAAAACCACGGAACTGAGCTCCGCATGACTGTAAAGCATCTCGACCATCCGCCGTCGGATTGAAAAGGATGAATCGAATGCTCCGTTCATCAGATTTACTGGCCCAGTCCCTGGCTGTCGCACGGAGACGACTTCGAGCCGAAAGAATACATCGAGCGGAAAGACTACATGGAGTCCTGAATGTAGCCTGGAATCAAACGCATGTAAGCGTCGACAAGCTGAAGACTTCCACCCTAGGAGACGAAGCTACACGACGTGACTTCACCTCCAGGACGGATACGCATACACACGCACATCGTGTCTGGAGCACAGTAATTGATATGTTCTCTTCCTAACGCATGAGGGGGCATATATGTGTCGTAACAAAATCCAAGAGCATAGATGCAGAGACGATCGAGCACAGAGAAGCCACATCAAGGCAACCGTTAAACCAACACCAACAGTAACACCACACCACTCAAAGAACGATCACCCAAGAACCCACGACGAACGCTCGAGAAACCCTCCATTTCATGAAACACGGCACCATTCCACGAAACACATAAAAAAAGGAAAAAAAGGAAAAGAAAAACACATACCGGACATCTAAACGCCTTCTCTCTCGATTTCCTCGCAGTCATCTTACTCTCCCCGCACGCCACACGTACGTCCGGATTCATGTCCTCAGAACGGTCCTGCTGCTCGATAGAAGGATACGGATACGTATACGTATACGAGGCCTGCGATGGTGCGTCCGCCGTCTGGATGTACGAAGTTTGGTGGAGCTCGTCGTTTGATACTCTTTCATCACCTCCCTGTCTCACATCCACTCCCACTTCCACAGCAGCAGCGCCACACGAAACCGAACTAAAACCCGAACCTGACCCCGATCCCGATCCCGATCCCGATCCCGCGATGATCCTCTCCTTCGTATTCGTAGTCTTCGAGACGGACTTTCCCTGAGCGCCTCTTTTTATTTTCGTTCCAAGTCTTAGTCCACCGTCACCTCCACCAGAGCCCGCATTCAACTTCCCACGTATACATTCTCGCCTCCCAATGTCTCGGACACGACCACTCCCCGTACCCGATCCTGTCTTCTTAGCCTTGTTAGCCTTTGCTGCCGGTGTGGGTCTAGTGCGAGCGGAGGTCGAGGGGGGGAGAGAGAACGAAGCGGGTGGGAGGCTGAGGATTGTCGGAAAATGCGAAGGGTCGGAAGGAAGGTCTGTTTGTATTTCGAGCGTTGTGTCTTCTATCTGCCTCTGGGCGACAGCGTCGAAAGGCGAGAAATCGTGCGCATATATCGACATGGTGCCGTCCGTGTCGAGATGTAAACGGTCGACCCGAGACAGCGAAGTGGAGTGGAGAAACTCGTCCATGGAACCGTTCGACATCGGCGCGAGGGAGAAAGCAGACGAATACGGGATAAATGGCGATAGAGGAGAGAACGCAGACGAGGGCGAAGAGGAGATTAGATCTGAATCGGAACCGGCGGCGCTCAGCTCAGGCGTCGAGGGACGAGAGCCGGAGGGGATGCAGACGCCAAGGTCAGGAAGAGTTTGTGTCGCCGAGGAGAGCGAGGGAATGGGACTGGGAATAGGGAGCGCGCGAGGTTGGGGGTAGGAGAGGACGAAGGGTTCGGGATCGTATTCGTCGTTCTGGTGGGAATGAAGTGGAGGAGACGTCTGCGAAGCAAGAACGGAGGATGGATGAGCGTCGGATGCGGAGTGTTCTTTTGAAAGGACGAAGACGTGTGAGTCTTCGAAGTGGGCGAGGAGGTCGTGCATGTCGGGGATGGTCAGACCACAGCACGTGAAATTCGAGCACTGTTATGAGTACATGCAGAGCGGTTAGCGGAGAGTAGCGTGGGAGGAGAGGAAGATGCGCACTATTTCGCGTTCGAGCGCGTCGGGAGAAGGAGAACGTGGGTTCTCGTCCCACTGGTCGGAAGGAACGAGACTGGCGACGAAGGGCGTGTTTAGATTAGGGGGATGAAGAACGGGAGAGACGGGCGTACTCGAGAGGTTCATCCAACGGCCAATCCATCCTTCCCATCCCGTATGCATCCTCGTACTCTGCTCCGTCATACATCACTCGCCTGGAGGCCTTTTTCTGGCCAGGATTTATGCAGAGACGACGGGCAGAAGGGACGTTGGAGGACGGAGAAAAGAGGAGCGGGAGAGTTTGCATTTCGTCGTCAGGGGCGATATATATATCTGTAGAGATGCCCATGGCCAACGCGAGGTTCATCCTGGGCAGAGCAAAGTGGCGTCCAAAAAGGGGTGATCAGCACGTTTGGACGTCTGCTTCTTCTCGGGAGTCGGAGGAGTTGAGATTCGAAGCGTGGAGTTAGCCTGACAGCCGCGGTCCTAAGAGCGTCATATCTCCCCCTTCTAGCTCATAACGAAGAGTCTCGAGCACTTATTTGAGAGCCGGCAAGCTGGGAGCAATAGCAGAGGTAGTCCAGGACGAGCGAGCAGCTGAAGCAAGAGGGAGCTCGAGGACATGTTCAAGTCGGTGTGGCGGACGGAAGCAGAGCGTGGGGAGCCACGAGGTCGACGGGGCTGGGCCACGCGAGCCACTCCGCTGATAAGATTAGAATTTAGCGCCCGCTTCCATCCCCTCTTTTTCCCAGCTCCCATCCTCGCTCTGTCTTTCTCATCTCTTTCTGCACCTGCTCGTTCTCGTTCCCTACTTACTGCTTTCTCTATGCCTTGGTTTGATGCCTTCTTCAAGCTCTCTCTATAGGCTGATTTACTCGAGTCGCTCATTCTGCCTTTGACTCGCCGCCGGAACTCCAGCACTTCGACCTTGTATTGTGATCTTCGTCGGTCGACGGTCGCTTCTAAGAAAGATCACATAGGACGCACTCCAACCTGTCCACTGAAATATTCTTAGTGACTGGGAATGTTGTCTGCGGGCTCCGCTGGGTTCCTCGCTGTCGTTCTGTGATCACGGTCTAGGGTCAAGTACCTCCATAACGCCTCTCTCCCCTTGCTCCTCTCATTTGACTGCCTCGTGCTGTATTTGTATAATGAAAGAGTACAGTACCATGAACCGCGTCGGCTGCGCTTCTTTCATGGCGACCTCTATGTGTCTTGCTCTCTATAGCCACGACGAAGAGCCACTTTCAAGTCCGAACTCAAAGGACCGATTCATACTCAAGGTAAACTCGATATTATATCCATTTCTCACATAACCTCACATTGCATCATTGAATATAGTATCATTTTTTGTTGAATCCTGTATGGCGTGTCTCGAAAGTAACGTGGCCTCCACCGTGTTGTCAATGTCCTGCTCTCGAGCCTCTTTCTTCGGGAAGTACTTCAGCCGGCGAAAGCCAGTAACCACAAGTTCGGCCCCCAGCTCACGTCTTTCGAACTCTCTCCTATGAACTCAATCGATGCGCATACCGCGCCCGCTGATAAAATGAAAATTTTTCAATGCCAGATTCAACCATCCAAGCTGCACAGTAAACTTGGACGTACACAACTGGGTCCGCTGAGTCGCCGTCAGTGAACGCTGAAGGTGAACTCTCTCCTATCAAGAGGAGTTGTGCACGCTGAAGAATGCTTAATCAGATGGTTTCTTCGTCCCACTGTGGGCCAACAGATTATAATATGATGACGTACGTATTGTAGCTCCATCAAAGCCTCATCCGCTTTGCTGTACTCACGCTTAGGCATCGACACGAACGGATGCATCCTTCGTGCCTCCCCGATTACCTCCTGTAGCTCCTTGCTTGCAGTACTGACACGGTCGGACTCCTTCTGAGGTCAGATACCAGAAAACAGATGAGATCAGTGCCCGTGGACACTCATGCAGAAACGAAATGTCGTCCAGCCTGACCTATGTAGGCAACGATCGCATCGACTCTGTCGAGCGCTTGCTGGATGAGAGTGACTTGACCCCAAATGAACTCCTCGACTTTCTCAGTGCCCTACGAATCCGAAGCGTCGTTGGATGGGGTTGTATCAGAGGGGACAATCATGATCACTTGTGAAGAAGAGGTGTGTTCGACGCTGTGGAGGCCTGCCACTATGCGGGGTATCTATATCAGCATGTGCGGCGTCGAACCTACGGACTTCAGATATAGCCGTAGGGTTCATCTCAGTCTTCTTGTCGCCTTCGCGGATAATCTTCGACTGCTTCTTTGTCCTCAGCATCCGACATAGAACTTGCCGAAGTGCCACATTGTCTTTCGAGCTCTCTTGCTGGGTTCTTTTTCATCGCTCTTGCTTCCTGCCATAATCGCTGGCTACCCTCTCCAGTGGCTCGAAACACGTCCCTCGAGTATGCGTTTACCTCTAAACATAACTCGGCTCCATATAGCAATGAAATTTACTTATGCTGTGGCGGATGGGGGCGGGGCGTGGAGATCGAGCCACGATGTCGACGGAGTTGAGCCACGCTAGCCACTCCGCGCTGACAAGATTAGCGCCTTTTTTTTCGCTCCCTCCTCGGTCTGTCTGCACCCCGTCGTTCTTGTACCCTTCTTACCACTGGCTCGATGCTTTCGTCTGGTTCAGTCTAAGAGATAACTCTAGGGGCTGATTTATCCCGAGTCATTTCTACTGCCTTTGACTCGCCGTCGGAATTCTGCAAAGTACAGTTACTCTGACCTTGTCTTATGATCTTCCTCGGTCGTCCCCAAGAAAGACCACGCAAGACTGACTGCAGCCTGTCTGATGACCTCTCTCGACAATATGATCCTCTGTGTCTGCATCTGGGTGGTTTCGGGGAGATTTCATACTGGTGTTCACTGAGCTCTGAATCCCACCATGATCACTGGTACAGGTTACCCCCTGACGGCTCTCTCTACCGACTCCGTTTGATCTTCTACCTTGCGCTACTTGAACTATTTTGATACGCGACCTGTCGTTGCGCATGCCATCCTGTTGAGTGAAGCCTGTAATATCGATTGGTGGGTTCAAATTCTTACTCCAAAACAAATGACCACTTTCGATAAGACTACAGCACTGTTGGGTACTATGAGCCTTCCGTTCGTGGATGATTTCACGAGCATAGAATGTATCGCATAAATTAGAAAGGCATGGAATACAAGGTCTCGAACATGCTAAGGGGATACACCCAGCCTATATGGACCAAGTATTATTCCGAAGCGTACCGAATAACGCAGGGTGTGTCTACACAAACACTGAAGGCCTCCACATTCCGATTATCATACCTCGCTTCGTACGATGCTCTATCGTATGCAAATCGGACTCGGTCCATACGATAGTGCGTCGTACGAAGCGAGGTATGAAGATCGAGGCCCGTTTGAAGGATTCTTCGTACCGGATAGAGTAGGGTGAGTCTACAAAAATACGAAAGGATTCCACATTTACATTATCATGCCTCGCTTCATACGATGCTCTGTCATATGCATCGACTCAGCATTTAACAAGTCTTCGATATGCTTCCATTCGTACGATTTCACCTCCGTGGAGCTTGCCACACCATTGATAGCGTCTATGTAAGTCAAGATAAGTACGTAGAGGAGAGATCCTCATTGTAGAACGACTTCTTCGCTCTTGCATATCCTTCCTCATGAAGCTCTCTCGCTCCTTTCTGGTGGTTGGCTCAGCAATCACCCTGTCTGTTGCAGCCGATCCAGTGTGCATCGTGGGCGCGGGACCAGCTGGATTGACCATTGCCAACAGACTCGAGAGCAAAGGGTACCACACCATCATCTTCGAGAGGAGGGACACAGTGGGCGGGAAATGTAAAGCGTATCATGAAGGGCAAGTGCGCGATACATATACTTACCGATAGACAACTATTAAAATCTGATAAGTACTCGTCCACAGTGGACAGTTCCACCCTATGGGTGCATTGTTGTACTCGAACGAGACATATAAAGAAACCCTCCCGATCATCGACGCGTCAGGTCTGCCATCGTATCTCTTCTCGTATGCCACGATCAAGGGCTGGAGATTCAACTGGACAGATGGTGCGGTCGCCGAGGCACCCTCTCCTGCCGATGTGTATCCTCGCATAGAGCAGGATGTCGAGAGATTGTTCCATTTCTGGGAGAATACATTCGCACCTTGGGTGTCCATAGGGTACAAGGTGCGTGAGGTGGAACATGTACCGCCAAATTCAGTCCACTGATTCGTTATTTCCAGGACCCTATTCCAGAGGACCTCACGCTGCCGTTTGCCGAGTGGCTGAAACAGAACGATTACTCCTCTCCGGAATTGCTCAGGATTCTTGAACAAGGTTTGTTCCAGTTCCTTTGACCAGTATGTGGGCTATGAACTCATGCAGATTATGTGCATAGGAATGGTACCCTATGGATATGGTAGTATCAACGAGACTCCGGCGGTAGATACCTTCCTCTGTTTATATTAACTTCAGAGCGTTTGACCCAGCTATGCCTCTTCCAGATCTATATGCTGCAGTACTTCACGCCAGACATCATAAAATTCTTCGGAGGCCAGCAACCTGGGTATGTAATTGGTGAGCATAATGTTTCTCTACCTCTCTATATCTGTCTTGATGATTAACGATGCATGGTCTTCTCGGTGGCAGATTTTCACGAGCTTTTTGTTCGATACGCGGAGAGTTCTGTCAAAGGACCAATCTTCACCAACACTACCATCACAAACATCGGTGAGTGCAACCCCAGCCTCAGTCCCGATAGGTAGCATGGCTAACCGTCTCGCAGACCGCTCTGGTAGCACTCCGATCATATCATACAATGACCAGACGGGAAATGCAGTCAATCAAAGCTGTTCAAAACTCATCCTTGCATTTGCCCCTGTCATCCGCGCTCTCCAAGCCGCACAGCTGGACATCTCTTCAGAAGAAACAGCCGTGTTCTCCCCGCTCATCACCACCAAATACTGGTCTGGCGCTGTCAATGTCGTCACTCCGGATTACCACAGTTTCTCTGCATGGACGTTCGAGCCGAAAGGCCAGCCATCAGCCTTCACCCGTCTCTTCCCCAAATCCTCGATAGCTACGACGTGGTCATGGGGAAAACACGGAAGTAATCAGACGCGGGAGGAGGCGAGAGTGCTGCTCAAGGACACGATATCGAAGATCAATAAGGATCCTAGTAACACGACCCAGCCGGCCCAACCTATCACCGACGACGACGTCAGGGCGTTCTGGGAGTGGGACTACTTTGCACGCTACGAATCGAAAGAGTTGAGAAGCGGGTACTATCTCAGGTTCAATGAGTTGCAGGGGCAGATGAACACGTACTATGCGTCTGGACTTAACGGGTTTGAGACGGTCGAGTTCGCTATTCGGGCGGGGAGAGATGTTGTCGACCAGTATTTCGGTTCACGGAGCCTTGAGGACCATACTAATGGGGGTGGAGGACAGTTCCGTATTGGTGCCGACAATGTGTTGGTAGTGCAGTGATGTTGAGAGTATATCGGCGAGTCGACGAACCTACACCATAACAGTTGTTAATCGCGTTATTTTCTTGCAATGCTCTCCAACTAATCGATGTTTTCGTGGGTCCATATGGCATATAACTATAATAGTGCATACATGTAGTGGTTGAAATCAGTTTTATTATCGCTTTGAAAGCGCAATGTGTGAACTTCGAACCTCCGATGTGGGTTGGATATCATACTCAGTTCATAGTCTTGTCCAATTTGGGAGGTTTTGGCGGGCCGACCCCCAAAGACCATATATGGAAATTCTTGATAACGCGAAAGCCCTGATCTCATCTAAGCGAAGCGATAACCGTGAGGGGCGCAAGAGGTGTTCACAGATTTCGTGTCTCTGTCTCGTCCCATTCCCTTTCTTGTTCCTACCTCACAGTGAGCAGAGGTTCCCTTTCGTCTTCTGAATTAATGCACGGATGAATATTACCTCATTATGTCTCGACTCGTTGCATTTACATGGTCTACAATACATCTAGTAGTAAGATATTAGCATCACTGCTAACTCCGAGTTCAACAACCCTCTTGAGTCCATACACTCAATGACGCTCGCAGAACCTGTCACGATTTGCGCTTGATTGCGGTCATTCTGTTAGGAAAATATTTGCTGGGCTATCTGCAAGCGAGGCTTGCGGTTCTCCTTCTTTCCGCCACTGTGGCCCCTGATTAAGGACTGGGGAATCGTTCGTCCATTCCAGTCCCGTGCCGGCTCTTCATTGACATCTCTCTTTCCAAGTACAGGTCACATTGATACGTAGTAATCTCCTTAGACAGCATTTTATTGAGCGCTTCGGAGACGTGTAGACATGTTTCACTAAGGTGCGGACGTCCTAAAGCTATGTATCTCGCTCGAGCTGTTATAATGGAAATTCTGCCTCACCGATACTGTGTCGAGATGCTGAAAAACTGGTAGCAAATTTGATACACACGGGCAGGCAGAATCCAGGAGGAGAAACGAAAACCTATGCAACTTGTCTGTGCCACCCTTGTGTGTGGCACCGAGCTGAGAGATCCGACGCGACCCAGGAATTTCCTTATATGGTCTTTAGGGGCCGCCCCGCCAAAGTCCCAGAAATTGGAACAGACCTTATATAATGATTTCTTATATAAGGTCTGTGCAGGAGACTAGTGCAGACTCAGGCTATATACGGCACAAATCAAACTCCGCTTGAATCATGAGCGCCTGTGAATTTGGATCGCTCCGCCGGCATAGGAGAACACGAGCCCGAATGAAGCTAAGGTATGCAGGAGTGGTTAAATCATCATTGCTCCTTGGTGGTTTATTTTGTAAACTTATGTTGTTGTTCGACGAACCACCGCTTGATTCACGGAGGAAATAAGGATAAATCGCTTTGCATCTGCGTTCGCTCCCTCTCGCACCATAGCAAGGCGGAAACCAGATAAAAGATAAAGCATATCTTTCGTCATATTATCGCACACCGTCTCGCGCTTTCGACACACTTAGTGTGTGAGTCGCTAGTACACAACGACAGGCAATCAGAAAATACCCATTTAAGCCCAAGTCCCCGCAATACTAGCCCCCGCGGCAGGGAGCAAACTCCCCGCAGGAGTCTGCCTCCCGCTCCCATCCCAATCCACAACCTGATTCCCCAACTCATCGAAAAGCTTCAACACGACCTGACCCCCCTCCGGCAACGTCAAATTGAAGGTCCCATTGCCTTGTAAAGTAGGGAGCGCGGCACCGGTGAAGTACGCGACGCCTTCCATGCTCGACACTGTTTGACCGACGTGCGTGTCGAGAATCCAGGTGATTTGGCCTTTGCCGCCTATCATGCGGAGTTGCCGGGGGGCGGTGGACCGAGCGTCGAGGGCAGCTGAGGAGGAGAAAGGAGATAAAGATATTTCAGTGTTTATGACGGCGATGGAGATGGTTAAGAAATCGGACCAGTGGCGGTGGCAGCAACGGCAGCACTCTCAACGATGGCGGCACTGGCAGCAGCAGCGTGCGCCGTCGCGACAAAGGAGAGCAAGGCAGCTACGGCCGAAAGCGTGAACCTAGAAGACAACGACATAGGCGTCAGAGATGTGAATATGGCCCTAAATGAGGTCGAGGATGTACTTCATGGTTGGAATTTGGTCGATGTCGTGGTAGCAGTGGGAGTGCTGTAGATCCATCAAAAAGAAATGCAGCTTTTATACCTGGAAGTCTGGCCTCTAAGAGTTCGGAATCAAGACGAGCCCGAGAGAAGACCACTGATCATCAAGGCAGAAATGGTGCCGGAAGTCATGGAAGTATGACTTAGCCTCCAAATTATGTCTTCCCTTCGTGACTTGATCAATTCTACGACAATTCGTGAGGGAAAATCCACATCATTTGGCCATTAGAGCCGCAGTATGCGCCAACAAGTCTAACATACATGCTTCCATGCAGTCAAAAATGATTATGACGCGTTTAGAGGAAGATGGAATTGAACGAAGAAGCGCAACATATGACTCCCGGCGTCGCGCCGAACCGCACAGCTAAGGCGCTAGGCAGATTTTGACCTGTGACAAGTTTTAGTGTCGATGTGGTCCTAGAAAAAAAACGGGAGCTCGTCGCTGCCCGAGGTAGTGGGGACAAACGTGAGGTCCCCAGTCACATGTAGAATATGGACACGAATACAACAGGTACGGAGAGCTGAAGTTAAACAAACTGAGTTCGAAGCTTTCAATTAAAAGATCGGAAGCAATTTGGCATCAGATGTCTGTTCATCATGCTAAATGATGATAAAAGGTTGAAGTGCCAAACATTGTGGGCATCAAGTACAGGATCACGGGGGATTAGACACCTCACTTCCATGTCAAAACGACAGAGAACATCGGATATACGGCGGGGCCGGCGGAATGTGTGTAGGCAAAATATGGTTCGAAATGAAAGCTACCGATACAACTGGGTGTGCGAAGCCTATACAGGAACAAATAATTGGCAGCTTCGCCCAGACGGCCTGGCGAAAAATAACTTACAACGACATACAGAGTGGAGGAGAGGAGTTGTCACTGTCTGGAACGCCAATTGCATATGAGTATGATAGACTAAAACTGGGTCTGGATGGACAGACACTCACATCTACAAGGTCTTTGTAATGCCGAATGGTAGCCTGTGTGGTTTGAAAGGGAATACATGAGCTCGCTCGTCGAACGCTAGGCCACAGATGAGCTTATGCTCCTCCCAGTCCCTACGAGATACAAAATATGGCGTCAATCAGCCCGAAGAAAGGATCCCACCCTAAGATGCGCATTTAGACGAACGTACTCTTTTTGACAATATTCCCCGCAATACTTGGTCCACTTACACGCCTTGCATCGTTTTCTCCTACGAGACTTGCATACCCTTCGCATGCAGTCTCCGTCGACTTCACACAACGCATAGAGCGCCCAATAACCGAGGAGCCACGACATGAGGATCGGCTGACGCACGCTCGGGGTCCGCACAAACCATGAGAGCGTATCAGAGTGTGGGACACCAAACGTGACGTGGAGAAGTCCGTGGAGAATCCGAGGGCGAGGGAACTCGGAACGAATGATTGAGATGAGGTGCGGGTTGTCCTTTAGCAGGGAGCGAAGACCCATGAGGATGGATACCACGGAACCTTGGAAGAGGAAAGCGGTTAGTACATTTGACCATAAAAAGCAAGGAATAGGCGCATTCTTACGAATAACGTCCGGCGAAAGATGAGCATTCTCCAGAGCACGCTCAAATGCGTCAAACATACGAGTCTTTCGGCAAATTTGAAGGTACCGCTCGCTCTCCGTCAGGCATATTGTGGAGACATGGTTGGTCATCACTTCGACGAACCGCAAGAGCATGGAGAGATAAGTATATGCACAGCTGCCCTCCGTCTCCATCACCATTTCTGGATCGATAACAATCGAAAAGGTCGTCGCAAAGAGCGCGTGAGAACGACACAGCGTTTTCATCAGCGTAACCGCGACGTCTGGGAGGTTGTCAGCTGTACAAAACTTTGCGATGTCCATAAGAAATCTGCTGATCCCGAAGACGTCTCCTAGAGTTTGCGTCGAGAACTGCTGTAGGATTCTATCGAGAAGACGTTTAGGCGACTGGCCAGGAATGGCCTTCAAGAGTGACTGAATGACGTGTGAAGGAATGGAATGACGTTCACGATAGCGAAAAAGCACAGCTGTATCTCCGTCGAAGTCAAGTGGCCATAGGATGTTTGCGATGGTATTGAGCGTAATAATTGTGTCGCGGGTACCTGTGGAGTGAAACCACATGCGAAAGAGAACAGTGATAGTCAAATCTTTGGGTGTATCAATAATTCTACATAGTTATCAGTCAAGGTAAGCAATGATGACGAAAAAACAAAGAACGAACGGTAATAGAGATGGACAAGCGCAGACCATATAGTGACAAAATTCAGAAAAAATGGCTCGCTCGTTACATGAGCGCTCTCCAGAGATGAGACTTTTCTGAGGCGACACCCAGAACTAGGAAGAAAAAAAAGTCTGTATGAAAGAAGATACAGATAGGACAAGATCAAACGATCACTCACGGCGCGCATGAGCCATTCCCAATGGTTCTTCACAGTGGCGAGGAATTTTTCCTCCCTTCCTGACCTTGCTTCCTTGTTCTGCAAGATATAACTTGCACCAGCAGCAAGTATTCGAATCGGAACGATGTGTGTGGACGTCGACTAAGGCATAGATGATGTTAACAAGTCATTCTCGGCTATCAACTTGAGCAATAGACGTACTCGTTCAGCGTAAGCACGATCTCCTTCATCGAGGGGTATCCGATGTCCAATACAAGTGTCTCCCCAGGTCTCAAGCCTTGGTGTGGATGTACAAAGTATTTCCACGATACCTTCGTCAAGGAGGCGTTCCCATACGTCATCCCAGGCGGCCGCTCTGTCTGACAGCGGATTGCAGAGAGGGATGACCTCCTTGTTGAGCATACGAATATCAGCACATATTAAAAAAGAAATATGTCAGACACTCACGGTCATCTTGTCACCCCAGCTTGACGTGTCCGGAACACTGGAGAACAAAGCCATGACACGCGCAGGGTTGGTAAAGACGATCTCTCTCCATCGCTGCTCATCGACAGTTCCTACGGAGACGTCCTCAATGTGAGCCATTCAAGTCTCAGAATCTCTCAGAGTGATGCGTATGGTCAGTTGTCAATACTGGCGGGGAGAGCGTCGTTCTAAAGTACTAGCTAGGCGTGGTCGTGGTCAAGGCTCAAAACCAACTTCAACCGTGTGGCGCAAGTCTTTGTTCCGCCGCACATTTCTCACGCAATCAGTCTGTGGTCCGCGGGTCCGCCCGTTCCGGATGTTGATTCATAGCCACAACAGATGTCTTTGGCCAGAACAAACAACTTTTCTGGCTTGTTTTTGGTCCCGCGATTTCAGAATAACACGCAAACGACTCTAACGGCTTTGACTGCGTATTATGAAGGCAAGAAGAGTTATCGTCAAGGTGCGCTCCCTCTACAATCCACCATTTTGTTTCAATCCGACTTATCCCCGCCATCAAACTTGAAGACTTTCAACGTCGTTGCATGGGTCCTTCTCGTAGCCTCCAGTTTATACAGTATCCTCGAACCTGATATTTGGTCCTTCACAAAAGAGGCTGAGATACTCCCTGCCCGATGGGGCTTCTACGTCTGGTACGTTTGCCTCCAATTTTCGAGCTCAAGCTGTTCGTCGTATGTTCTCACACGGCTGTTCGTGCCCGTCGTCGCCCTTGTTGACAGGTATCCGCTGAATGTCCTGCTCGTCGCCCCCATACTATGCCAGTTCGTCCCAGACGGTAATCTTCTCATCATCGATGGCCTCTCTTGGGATCTCCCCCTGCTCAACACTTCGACCGCCATTTTCATCCACCTATGGATTCGCGAGTGGTATCTCACAGGTCAGTGCACGTCGCATATCATCAGCCATCATCGTTCCCCTAGTCGTTCTTCATTTATATTCTCTGGCACATCGAGCTAAGACCTCTCTTTGTATGTAGCCTTCTTTTTTGTGGTACTCTCTCGTCTCACCCTACACAGGCTACGCTCCATCCTGAGGGAATATAATTCGGATGTCACTCTGGCAGAGACGCTCTTCGTCCGCCTTCCATTGTCGTTTTATGCTTCCTGGATGGACGTACTTTTGGTCGTAGTCGGATTCCAGGCTTTCACGGTCTCTTGGTTGAACTACAGCACCAGGATGTGGGTGAAGGGAGATGCCGGTCTTTGGACGGAGGTACGTGCACACTGTGAACCAATATTTTCCCCCGCGCGACTCTGCCATGACTCCCTTCCACGATACCGTTCCAAGTGCAAGTCTGTTCCGTAACTGACATTCCCATGTTTTATCTGCCACGCTACACGATCGTCATAACGATCTGATGACTTGACTCTCGTCGGTTGTACAAACAAATAAACAAATGACGGGCTACAAACTACGCACGATAACGATAACCTAACCCTCACCACAGGTCTTCGTCTTCATCGCGCTTGGCTACCTCCTCTCCGCCACAATCACCTCGGCGATCAAGATCACTACTGCCGTCCGCGCATTAAGACACAATCGCACACCCTCTCTTCCCCTCCCACTCTCACCTAACTCCGGTCGATCGCTCATCTACGCCCTCTTCCCATCGGACACCTTCCTCCCGCTATCAGACCTCGCCTATACCATCCCCATCACCTGGAACCTCTGGGCCATCTTCTGGCTCCACCTTCATCCGTTCTGGTACTCCCTACCCGGCCATTCTGCTCCCCCCGGGTCACTGCCACCATCAAGTACAGATCTAGGCTCGCACGACAACAGTGAGCTGTTGAAATACGGCACGCTAACGTTCGCGATACTCTCGAGTATCTGTGTCGTCGTCGCGGCGCTTAGAGTGATCGTTTGGGTCGTGAAGGGATGGAAGAGGAGCGGTGGGATTATCAGGGTTTCTGTCGAGGTGGAGGATTGGTCGTGGGGTGGAGATGGAAGGAGTGAGATGACGATGGGGCGAGGAGAGGAACGACAGAGAAGGATTGGGAGGTGGGAGGTTGGAGCGGTGAAGTATGGAAGCTACGGTTACACGAATGTTGGAGGGGTTTCGGTGAGGTTGGCAGGTGAGGAGATGGAAAGCGTGTGAATATTGTCTTGACGTGAGATGCAGAGTCTAGCAGGAGCCGCCGGCATCGAACAGCAGATGAAGGCGAAAGGTTCACTCTCGGTTTTGTAGACTCGTGCAACATTGGATCGCTAGAAATGTTCAACGTTGAGATCACTGGCTTGTTCAAGCTGTGATACGTAGGATAACCTCACCGTATGCTGTGATTTGAGCGCGTAAAAGCGATAAGAGGATTTTATTGCCACGGTCATGAGGGAGATTAAGCGAGTGCCACAGCGGATACATACCCTAACCCTAGATTAACGCCACCCACTGCTCTGAAGAACGAGGCAGCTTTCTCTTTCACTACCATTACTATCGGTATCGCTCAGCTCTGTTTCTTGTACACATCGTAGTTCAAATATGCACCGAACAAAGAATAAAGACGCCACAAACACCAAGAGGCCGACTTCTCGTTTTAGTCGCTTCATAGATCGAATCCTACCATCTGGTCGATTCCCATCTCGCGGTCTTAGTCTCACGACGGGTACCGTACCTTCAACGGCGCCCACTGTCGCTGGAAGAGACTCCGGTATGTCATTTGTTGGACCCGATTTGACGGCTCAGACTCTGATAGATTATTCAGTCATTGCTACTCAGAGCATTGAGCAAGGGGGGACGTTCTCTGAATCGGAGTCGGGTACGTAGTGTTATCGATTGCAAGACTAAATGATAATCACTGACTGGGTCTTACAGTACCTAGCGGTGTGTATATTCCGTCTGTTGTAGTATTAATTGTCGTTGAATAACCCCTGCAGAGCGTATGGCCAGTCCCGCTAAGGATATCCCTCTCATGCCAACTGTTGAAGAGGCAAGGGCAGAGCAGGCCCATTCCCGCGCTTATCTGAACATGATGCGTACTTGCGGTGCACTCGTACATGTATTGAAAGCAGTTGAACCATTCCTGGAGGGCACGCCATTCAGGACTCCCCTCGCGGTTCTCACTGCCATCGCAGATGTTGTTGAAGTGCGTCTCATCATAGTTACTGACCCTCTTTTCACACGCTGATCGTGTCTATCGAAGACCGTCAATGACACTAGTGACAGTGCGGAAGATACACTGGATACCATCTCTCGCCGTCTTACCGTCATAGAAAACGCTCTCACCACGCGCCAGCACCTGGGCAAGGAGTTGTCCACCAGAATTGATAAGTTCGCCAAGTACGTGTGTTTGTCCCATCAGCTTGATAGACGAGGTACTTGAATGACGCTGACCGGTATTCGGTAAGCTTCCTAGTCCAGCGAGCGGTCGAGATACAGGGAATTCGCGGCACATCTGCGTGGATTAAGGTATCAGAAAGTGAGGATCATAAGAAGAAGATAACCGAAGTCGTTCGGAGGATCCAAGACTACACAACGGATTTTTCGGTACGTCCCCAGGCCATAGACGTCTCAAAGGTGGTAGCCAGTTCTGACGCATCTTTAGATCGAGGTTATGTTGGCCATCGAGAGGGACACGAAGTCGATTCTCGAGTTGCTCAAGGTAAGCTGGAACATCACGACATGGTAAGTGCTTACTGACGCGTTGACTCATCGAGCTGGACAAGTGGCTGCGTGCGCCTGCCGCCATGTACAGAACGGATGAGGATGCACCTGTTCGTCGGCATTGCACAGAGGGTACCCGTACCGGCGTATTAGAACGCATCAAGACATGGGCCACAGATACCTCTCCCTCGAGCCCACATATTTTCTGCCTTACCGGTATGGCGGGAACAGGTAAATCCACGATAGCGTACACGATCTGTCGTGAGTTCGACAGAGAGAACAGTCGTTGTGCTTTGGGCGCCTCCTTCTTTTGCTCCCGTCAATCCAGGGACCTATGCAAACTTGGGAATCTTGTACCCACCGTAGCTTGCCAACTGGCACGACATTCATCTTCGTTTGGCGCGACGTTACTAGATGCCGACCCATTCGCTTATTATAGTTCGAGCGAGCAGATGGATCATCTGCTGATTGGTCCTTGGCAGCGATCGAAGGGGGACCGCCCTGAAGAGCTGCCCCCGACCCTCATCGTTATTGACGCTCTGGATGAAATCGACCAGGAAGGCGGCCACACGCTGCTCAAGTCGCTCATTGATGTTGTGAAAAAGACTGGGAGTGGCATGCGGGGTATCAAGTTCCTCACGACGAGCCGCCCTCATCCCGACATAGTCACTGCCAGCGAGTCCCTGTCGCATGATTCTGTGTATCGCCTCGAAGAGATCAAGGAGCAGGACGGGCGGGCGGACATTCTGAAGTACCTAGACGAGTGTCTGCCTGAACTCAAGACATCGTCTCGAGACAAAATAAATGCTCTTGCAGATCTTTCCGGCGGGCTATTCATTTATGCCGCGACTGCAGTGCACCTTATAGCACCTCCTCTCCCCGCGCCCCGTCTCTCCAAAGCAGAACAAAACTTCATGCTGTCGCGGATCATCAGAGGTTCAAATAGGCTCACACCCGACAGTGATAGGCTGCCAATCGATGTTTTATACCTGCAGATTGTCCGCGATTGCATTGGCAGCGATAAAGCTCATTATATGCCGTTTCGGCTTACCATCCTCCATGGTATTGCATGCGCACGACAGCCACTTTCAGTCAATGTACTCTCCGAACTCGTGTCCGAAGCTTCTGAGCATGACCATCGAGACACTGTCCGTCAGGTTGTTGAGGCTCTTTATGCCGTTGTGTACATTTCTAACGACCGTGTATATATGTACCACAAATCCTTCTCCGACTTCATCTTTGATAGTGAGCGCTGTACCCCACAGCTTGCCTGCAAAAGGGAAATCAGTCACGGTATTCTTGCTCGCGGCTGTTTTCGTGTCATGGACCAATCTCTTCGATTCAATATCTGCAACCTTCCATCCTCTTTTCTTTTGGACTCCGAGGTCGACAACCTTGCACAGTCTCTTGAAGAGAATGTGCACAGCATTGATGGCCTGACTTATGTGTGTCGGTATTGGTGGTCACATCTGATTGAGGTAGTACCTAGTGCAAGCCAAGAGGTCCAGTCTCTCCTTGATAAGCTGGTCGTGTTCAGTGAGGAGAAGGTACTTTTTTGGATTGAGGTCATGAACCTGCTCAGAGCAAAGGGTGATTGTCGTAATGGAGTGGACGCCGTGATGAGATGGTTGAATAAAGCAGTGAGTCCTTCACTTTATATGACTGCATAAACACTTCTGACAATTATACTTCAAGGCTGTGACCGAGCTGCAAATGATTTGGACTGCTGTTTCAAAGCTTATTAAATCATTTCTCATGACCCGAGCATCGCTGTCGACAGCCCATCTCTACATCTCATGTTTGGCTTCCGTGCTTGCAACAAACTATAGAGTTCCTGACACTTGGAGGGTCCACTTTCCCGGCCTACCAAAACTGAGTCGCGCCGAAGTGAACAATTATAGTAGTGACCTCGTGGTTATGAAGACAGAGAGCGCTGTCAGCTCCGTAGCATTCTCCCCAGATGGCATGCGCATTGTCTCAGGTTTGTATGATTCAGAGAACTCAGTGTGCATCTGGGATGTATCTACGGGTGAGAAAGTGCAAAAGCTGAAGGGGTACACACGCTTGGTCACCTCCGTTGCATTCTCACCCAATGGCAAATGCATCATCTTGGGCTCGGAAGACAACTCAATGCGCATCTGGGACGTGTCCACTGGTGAGGTGGTGAAGGAGTTGAGGGGCCACACAGCCTCAGTACAGTCTGTTGCATTCTCGTCTGATGGTATGTACATCATCTCGGGCTCAGGAGACCATTCGGTGCGAATATGGGACACGTCCACCGGAGAGGAAGTGCAGAAGCTGGAGGGCCACACACATACAGTTTTCTCTGCTGCGTTCTCCCCTGATGGCATGCACATTGTCTCATGCTCGGGCGACCGCTCAGTGCGCATCTGGGATGTGTCCACAGGCAAGGAAGTGCAGAAGTTGGAGGGCCACACACATACAGTTTTCTCTGCTGCGTTCTCCCCTGATGGCATGCACATTGTCTCATGCTCGGGCGACCGCTCAGTGCGCATCTGGGATGTGTCCACGGGTGAGGAAGTGCAGAAGCTGGACGGCCACACTGATTCTGTACAGTCCGTCGGATTCTCCACTGATGGCAATCGCATCATCTCTGGCTCGAGTGACCACTCGGTACGTATCTGGGACGTGTCCACCGGTGAGGAGGTGTATATGCTGCAGAGCCGCGCAGAATTACCTAAAGCTGTTGCATTTTCCATTGATGGGGTGTATATTGTCTCAGGCTGGCAAGACGGCAGGATGAAAATCTGGGACATATCCACAGGTGAGGGGTCACAGAACTTGAAGGGCCCCAATAGTCAGGTCTTGTCTGTTGGATTCTCCTCAGATGGAACTCACATTGTCTCGGGATCGGCCGACCGCTCGGTGCGCATCTGGGATGCATCCACCGGTGAGGAGGTCCAGAAGCTGGATGGCCACACTGATCCTGTACGGTCCGTCGGATTCTCCTCAGATGGCATACACGTCGTCTCGGGCTCAGACGACCACTCGATACGCATCTGGGACGTATCCATGGGTGAAGAGGTGCAGAAGTTGAGGGGCCACACAGACTGGGTCAACTCTGTCGCATTCTCACCCGATGGCATTCACATTGTTTCGAGTTCAACGGACAAGTTGGTGTGTATCTGGGACACAACCACTGGTGAGGAGGTACAGAAGTTGAAGGGTCACACAGGCTGGGTCAACTCTGTTACCTTTTCCTCCGATGGAATGCATATTGTCTCAGGCTCAGGCGACGAGTCAGTGCGCATATGGAATGCATCCACCGGAGAGGAGGTCCAGAAGTTCCAGGGCCACACACACTGGGTCAGATCTGTTGCATTTTCCCCCAATGGTGTGCATATTGTCTCAGGCTCGAATGATGAGTCAGTGCGCATCTGGGACACATCCACCGGTGAGGAGGTGCTGAAGTTGAGGGGCCATACAAGCCGGGTCAACTCTGTCGCATTCTCACCCGATGGCATTCACATTGTCTCAGGCTCGGACGATTGGTCGGTGCGCATCTGGGATGCGTCCACCGGTGTGCAGGTGCAGAGGTTGGAGGGCCACACAAGCTGGGTCAACTCCGTTGCATTCTCCTCTGATGGTACACGCATCGTCTCAGGCTCATCAGACGAGTCAGTGCGCATCTGGGACGTGAGCACCGGTGGGGAGGTGCAAGAGTTAAAGGGTCACCCAGTATCAGTCAACCCCGTCGCATTCTGCTCCAACGAGACATGCATTGTGCCGGACTCGAAGGACTTGGTGCGCACATCAGATCCTTGGACCGGCCAGCAGTTCCAACAATTAGACTGGAAACCTGGTGCAGATGGATGGGTTATCGCCAACACATCTCAAGACCGCTTGCTTTGGCTCCCAAGCTATCTGCACGGCAGTCTCCGCACAAAACATTGTCGTCTTGTGATCTCTGGAAAAGGCAGCACGACTCTCGATTTTTCATCTGCTTGTTTAGGTCCCGACTGGAAAAATTGTTACAATCCAACGTCTTCAAATGGAGACAAGCACCAGTCACACCCGGTTTCCCAAACTCTAACCCGCATTCGCGGAAAGGCAATAGAAAGTGGTAAGGAGCAGGTGAAGGGAGGGTTGTAGTCTTCGAAGATCAGTCGAAGAATCATGTGGAAAAAGAGTCGAAGGCTGTTGGGACGTTGCAAGGTTAGGTTGAGAAGGAGTTTTGGGAGATGGTGGTGGTCAGTTCGGAGTGGAACAGCAAGGTGTGCTCCATGTTCCAGTCTTGTGCGTTGTCCATTAACGTGTCATTCAATTCTCCAGCCATGTTCATCCATAAATAATTCTTTCCCAATTCACGTACCAAAGGATACATGTTCTGTATGATCTTATGTACCAAGTGTACGACGTAGCACCTACCGCCCGTACTTGTACACTCGTCTTGCATGGCGGGTAGTTATTGACGCAGAGCTAACTCGAAAGTATGATGATCATCTGAGTCTCGTTGATTGTTGTCACTGTCCGTAGCGAAACCGCTCATCCCTACATGAAACGAGGGGACGACAGAGACAGACCGCGAATAAGTCAATAACAGAAGGTGACTAGCAAATACAACGCCTTTTCAACCGGACAGAGAAGACTTGGGATAGGCCTAGGTACGACTTTGACGCCACTAACATCTGAACCGTTAGCGACGAAGACAAATGCTAGGTTCATGTCGGTCTTCTGAGGATCATAGTGACTAGCAGAACATCAGGAGCAAGTGGATTCGGCTCGACGAAGACGCTGGGTGGATGCGTCGTCTGAGTCGACAGCTGGAGAGAATGTGTGTATGGAGAATGGAATGGTTGAAGTGCTCGGCGTGTCGACGTATGTAGGTCGAAAAGTGACTTGTTCAGTGTCGTCAACCCTACCCTCTACTCGTAGACACAACGAGATGCAGCCGAAATGACGCTTTGAATAGTCTTCGTCCGCGATCATTTTCCGCCGTACAAGACTCAATGCACCGTGAAGATATCGAAGACAAGCTAAACCGGGAGGACGAATATAATCAATAAAGTCCCGTTGATTGGAAGGAAGGAAGTGTCGCTGTCACAGCGACGTACGGCGTATAATTAAATGAACAGTGGACGTTTCTTTCCTTCGTGGCGTCATCCGGGAGATAGAATAAGTGCTCTCCCCTCTTCGGAAGAGGGGGAGAGATTTTTGGAATAAAAATGAATCTGGACGGATGAGAATACTGTAGAATGAAAAAAGAGATGGGACGGATGAGACTTAGCTACGCTGGGCCCGTAGAGAAACCGATCATCTCTACATGAAACGAGTGAGCGACAGACTGAGAAGAACCGTGCCATGATTAAGTAGCGCATACAACTTGCAAGTTTTCTAGTCTACCTGGACAGAAACGATCCAGGCAGATTAAAGATTCAAGGTACGAGTTCTACGTCAGCGGCACTTAGTCTGTTAGCGATGAGGACAGAAGCTATGTCCAATTTGGTCTCCTTGTGATCATAGTGACTGGCAGGACATCAGGAGCAAGTGGATTCGGCCCGACGAAGACGCTGGGTGGATGCATCGTCTGAGTCGACAGCTGGAGAGAATGTGTGTATGGAGAATGGAATGGTTGGAGTGCTCGGCGTGTCAACGTATGTAGGTCGAAAAGTGACTTGTACAGTGTCGTCAAACGTAGTACCCTCTACTCGTAGACACGACGAGATGCAGCCGAAATGACGCTGTAAATAATCTTCGTCCGCGATCATTTTCCGCCGTACAAGACTGAATGCACCGTGCAAATATCGAAGACAAGCTAACCCAGGAGGACGATGATAATCCATCAAGTCCCGTTGATTGTTGTCGCTGTCACAACGACGTACGACGTATAATTGAATGAACAACCAACGTTTCTTCCCTTCGCGGCGTCATCACGGATCCTCCCTCGTCATCCTGGGAACAGTGTGAACTCGTCTGCTTATTTTCCTTCGGGGTATATAGGATAGATTTGTGGAAGAAGTACGAGATGCGGCACGGACGAGACCTACGCTGGGGTCCGTAACGAGGCGGCTCTGCACTACATGAAACGACGGAGCGACAGACCGAAAAGAAGTGGATAATGAATACAAGCCTGTTGTGCTAGTCTGGACAGAGGAAATCCAGGCAGACTAGAGCCTCACGGTGCGAGTTCTGCGTCAGCGGCACCTAGTCCGTTAGCGACGCTACGTTCAAGTTAATCTCATTGGGATCATAGTGACTGACAGTGACAAAACATCTCGAGCAACTCGAGTCGATTCGACTCGATTGTGGTATGTCACTACGAAGACGCTGGATGAACATGTTGGCAGGGTCAATAGCTGGAGAGGATGTGTGTATGATGAATGAAATGGTGCGCATACTTCAGACGCACGAGTCAAACCAGCTTTGTCGGAGATATGGGTTAATGCGTCTGCTTCTTCATTTTCATCTAAACCCCAGCGAGATGCGGCCGAAAGGACGCTTTGTTGCTTCATTTCAAGACAAACGACCAGTCCTCGTCCGCGATGGGTTTTCGCCGTACAAGACTCGATGCAGCGTGTAGTTATCGGAGAGAGCTGAATCGGAATTAGGAGGATAGTCGATAAAGTCCTGTTGATCGATGTAGCTATCGCTGTCACAGCGAAGAATTAAATAGACCGTCGGCGTTCTTCCCTTCGTGGCGTCATCTGGGGAACAGAGGGTAAACTCGTCTGCTTATTTTTCTTCGTAGTATATAGGAGAAAATCTGTGGAAGAAGTACGAGATGCGGCACGGATGAGACCTACGCTGGGGTCCGTAACGAGACCGCTCTGCTCTACATGAAACGACTGAGCGACAAACCGAAAAAAAGTGAATAATGAACACAAGCCTGTTATAGCGATTCTGGACAGAGAAAATCCAGGCAGATTGAAGCCTGACGGTACGAGTTCTGCGTCAGCGGCACCAAGTCCTTTAGCGATGAGGACAGAAGCTAGGTCCAATTTGGTCTCCTCGCGATCATAGTGACAGACACGACATCTCGAGCGAGTCGAGTCGAGTCAATTGTGGTATGTCACCACGAAGATGCTCAGTGAACGTGTTGTCAGGGTCGGTAGCTGGAGAGGATGTGTGTATGGTGAATGAAGTCGTGCAGGTGCTCCAAGAAAAGCTCGAGTTCAATAAGGCTCTGCTGGAGATGTGGATGGGTCCTCCTTTTCACCTACTCTCAGAAACCAGCGCGATGCGGCTGAAATGACGCTTTGTTGCTTCATTTCAAGACAAACGACCAGTCCTCGTCCGCGATGGGTTTCGCCGTACAAGACTCGGTGCAGGATGTAGTTATCGGAGAACAGTTAACTCGGAAGTACGAGAATAATCGACAAAGTCCCGTTAACTGCTGTTACTGTCACTATCACAGCAACAGACAATGCATCGATAAACAGTCAACGTTCTTCCCTTCACGGCATCATCAAGGACCATCCTGGACCCACGTCATCCCAAGAACAGGGTGAGAGATATGAATCGACTACTCTCCCGTTGTCAGAGGCAGATTTTTGAATAAAAACGAGATGACACGGATGGGACCTACCCTCAGGCTGGGGTAATAGATGCACGCCGTAGCGAGATCGCTCTCCGAGCGAACAGAACGAAAAGAAGTAGTTGGAAAATATAAGCCTTCTATACCTAGTCTGAACATAGGAGACCCACGCAGATTGAAGATTCTGCGGTACGGCCTCTACACCTGTGACAGAGTCATCTAGTCCGCTAGCGACAAAGGCAGAAGCTAGGTTCAAGTTCAACTCTGTGTCCTCGAGATCACAGTGTCTGATAGTAACAGGACATCTCGAGTAACTCGATTCCGTTCGACTCGATTGCGGTGTGGCGCTAGGCTCGAGACTACCCGTTCTACACAGCGAGGGGAAAACAGGTGGATTGGGGAAATTGCAGAGTAGGAATTGTGATATTCCATCCACACACATCTTCTGCCCGCACTGTGTAGAACGGCTGGTCTCGAGCTTAGTGTGGCGCCACGAAGACGCTGTGTGGACCCGTCGTCTGCATCGAGACCAGGAGATAATGTGTGTATGGCGAACGGAACGGTGCGGGTGGGTGCTTTCCGAAAGTTCGAGTTCTACTGGAGGTATGGATGGGTCTGCTTTTCACTTTCTTATAAACACCAGCAAGATGCGGCCGAAATTACGCTTGCTGCTTCATTTCAGTGCAAGAGAAACGACCCACGTCCTCGTTCGTGATCATTTTTACCGTAGAAGACTGAATGCAGCATGCAGACATCGGGAAGACCTAACTCGGTGACTAAAAGCATAATTGATAAAGTCCCGTTGATTAGTGTCACTGTCTCGTTCATTGCTGACGCTGTCGCTGTCACAGCGAGGTGCGACGTACGATGAATCGATACTCGAAGACCGTCGACGTTTATCCCATTCCCGGAATCATCATCGCAGATCCGCGGATGTCGTCCGGTGAACAGAGTAAGAACTAATAGACTGCTCTCCTATCATCCGAGGAAATATTTTGCATTCAAAGAGAGAGTGTGGAACGGATGTGACCTACACAAGTACGCTGAAGTGGTCGATGCACTTCGTAGCGGGACCGCACTTCTCCAACATGAAACGAGCGAGCGAGCGAACCACACACCGAAAAGAAGTTAATAACGACGCTGTGACTAGCGCATACGACTTGCAAGCTTTCCAGTCTACCTGAACAGAGGCTGTCCAGGCGGATTAAAGCCTCACGGTACAAGTTCTGCGTCAGCGGCGCCTAGTCCGTTAGCGACGAAGACAGAAGCTAGGTTCAAGTCGGTCCTCTGAGGATCACATTGACTAGCAGGATATCAGGAGCGAGTCAATTCGACTAAACGAAGACGCTGGGTGGACGCTTCGTCTGAGTCGACAGCTGGAGAAAATGTGTATATGGTGAATGGAATGGTGCGAGTGCTTCACGAAAATCTCGGGCTGAATTAAATGATGGGTCTGCTTTTCACCTTCATTTGAACGCAAGCGAGACGCAGCCAAAATGACGCTTATTGCTTCAGTTCAAGACAACCCCAGGCATGGTCCACGATGATTTTCCATCGTACAAGATTGAACACGGCGTGCAGATATCGGGAAGAGCTAACTCGGAAGTACGATGATAGACTCTCTGTCCCGTTGATCACTGTGGTTGTCGCTGTCACAGCGAGGTACGACGTACGATGAATCGATAGACAGTCGATATTTATTCCATTCCCGGCGTCATCATCGCGGATCCGCCCACGTCATCCGGGGAACAGAGTAGAAACTTTTAGACTGCTCTCCTATCCGAGGAGATTTTGTGATATAAAAAAGACGGCACAGATGTGACCTACACCAGTACTTACGCTGAAGTGCAACGCACTCCGTAGCGAAACCACTCGCATCTAGCATGAAATGAGCGAACGCCCCGAAAAGAACCCAAAAATGACCTGGCTAGCGAATTAGACCGCAAGTCTTCTAGTACGCACGGAGAAGACCCAGGTATATTAAAGGTACGGCTTCTACGTCGGAGAGGTCTATCATAGTCCGTTGACGACAAAGACAGAAACCAGGTTCGAGTCGGTCTCCTCGGCGTTTTGTACGTTGGATATATTTTCTTTCCTTTCCTCGGAATTATAGAGAATGACAGGACGTCGACATCTCGAGCGACTCGAGTGACTCGACTAGTATTGTGGCGTAGCGCCACCAAGACGCTGACGTTGTCCGAGTCGACAGCGGGAGGGAGAATTAGAAACGACAGGCTCATCGCCAGCATCGCAAAGGCTGCATGATTGTGAGTACCCAGCACATGAGCTCTTCCAAGTTCCTCTCGTCCGTCAAGAAAACCACAAACAACGCACAAAGAAAAGAACGCACCTCCTGCCTCTCCAGCAATCCCCCTCCGACTCGGAACACACTCCCCGCGCCAGAACCTGACAGACCCAAAAGCGCATGCAGCGTCTGCAGTACTAGTCCGCTTGGCCCAGGGGGGATGCCTTGTACGGCCCAAAGAAGGGTATATGACGGCTGGCAGAACAAAGGCTATTTGTAGTGCGAGGCATGCGAGGCGTGTGCGCGAGAAGTGTAAATTTAGACTAATTGGGTTGACGGAGGCGAGCCGTGTGGCCGTGACGGGGAGAATGAAAGATGGGCCGAGGGATGTAGAAGCCGAAGAAAGACGAGCATGGCAAGCTCAGTAGAATGGAGGTATGATCGTAACAGCAGTAGTACCAGTAGTGAATGCGAAAGCAAAGCCAGAATTGTCGAGGACGTTGTCGTCGAGAGCAAGAATAAAAAGGAGAGAAGAGAGAAGAGCGGAGATGAGCGGCGCGTCCGGATCCGGGCGGGCCACGAGGAGGACCTTCCTGATTTGCAACAAAGGCGTTCCGGTGGCGGCAAGGAAACGGGGCCTGATTCGGGGAGGTGGCCGACCGTCGACGGGCGCTGTGTGCTCTCTCTCTCACCGCCATCTCATCCCGCACGCCTCGACTCCCTCTCCCTCTCCCTCCTCTCCGCTGTGCTCGACGACGCTCTCGCATCTCGCACGCTTAGACTCACTCCCGCGACGTCACGATTACTGCTCCGCACCATCCCAGCCGGCGTCGAGCAACATACATATCTCCATCACTCGGGAACCACGGCCACACTTCCCATTCCGCCTTTCTCGTACGCTGTCAAGGCCATCCCACACCCACACCCACACCCACACGCACGTACGCACGAGGACGATCAGAAGGAGTGGTAGACCCGTAGGTTGCTGCAGATATGGGCAACTGTGTTTCGAACTCGGAGGACCGAGAGGCGAAGGCGCGGTCGGACGCGATAGACAGGCAGATCGAGGAGGACCAGAAGAAGTTCAAGAAGGAGTGCAAGATCCTGCTGCTTGGTATGTTCCTCTCCCTCTGCCTGTTCTTTGTCTCTCTCGATGCATCCGCGCCACTCGTCCTCTCGCCACGCATCCCCTGTCCGCTCACTCACGACATGCATATGCACAGGTTCAGGCGAATCGGGTAAAACGACGATCGTGAAGCAGATGAAGATCATCCACCAGAACGGATACTCACAGACAGAGCTCCTCGCCTTTCGCCCGCTCATCTGGAAGAACCTGCTCGAGAGCTCCCACGACGTCATCAACGGCCTCTCCAAGGTCGGCATGGAATGTTCAAACCAGGACAACAAGGTCCGTTTTTCCTCTTTTCTCGCCACCTTCCACCAGGAGCTCACCCTCCTCATTCATGTTTCGTATCCTTCCATCGTCTGTGCCACAGAACAACGTCGGCGTCATCCAGGCGTATGAGCTCCAGCCTACAGATCCTGCCTTCACCTTCAACCCAGATATCGCAAAAGCAATCAAAGACCTCTGGGGCGACGCCGTCATCCCAAAACTGATGGAGCGTTCGTCCGACTTTTATTTGATGGATAATGCTTCGTAGTACGTCCCTTTCTTTCACTTGGGCGAGATGATTGGGATTTCGGCTCATACTCTGCAGTTTCTTCGCAGAATCAGACCGGATATCGGCTCCGGGATACATCCCGACGCCAGAAGACGTGTTACGAGCACGAGCGCAGACGACGGGTATCACGGAGACGCGGTTCAACATGGGCGAATTGTCGTGCGTCTTGTTTCTTTTCGCGTATTCCCTCCCCTCTTTTCCTTCCTCCCCTTTGGTTGGGGCGGTCACGCATATATCGATCCCTTGGCCCCTATTTCATTCACTTCATGCGTATGCCCCCTCTGCTACACATACATCCATCCCATTGAGGCATATTTCCATAACATCTACGCATACATCCACCTCTGCGCATCGCTTCAAACGCATACATCCACCCTCTCCCGCATACAGCTACACACCTATCCGCGCCACTCGCCACTCCTTCATCTATCGTTTTCCCCCTTAACCCAGATTCCGTGCAGTGTCAGATGCTAACGACTCTCGTTCCCGCAGAATACACATGTTCGACGTCGGCGGGCAGCGATCCGAACGGAAGAAGTGGATCCACTCGTTCGAGAGCGTGACGTCCATCATCTTTTGCACTGCGCTTTCTGAGTACGATCAGGTGTTGTTGGAGGAGAAGAATCGGGTATGTCTTTTTTTTTCTTCGTTTTATATTCGTCCAGGCTATCTCCTTTCCGTCTCTAGTCCTGAGCCTTCCTTATCTAATTCTTTTGGCTGAGCTGACGTGTGTTTGTTTTCTTCCGTTTTTGATGTCCTTCCTGGCCCACTTTCCGACTGTCCTGCGGTTCCGCGGTGCTCGGATGATGGATGATGATGATGGCGTTGATTGTGGCGTTGCGTGGCCTGCCTGCTTGCTGCGTGCGCGAACACAGAACCGGATGGTCGAGTCGCTAGCGCTCTTCGAGTCCGTCATCAACTCGCGATGGTTCCTTAGAACATCAATCATACTCTTTTTGAACAAGATCGATGTGTTTCGGCATAAACTGCCAAAGGTTAGCCTTCTGCATCCTTCATCCTCCATCCTCGGCCCCTCCTCCCTTCTACCTCCGAAGCGACCCCTTCTTGCCACACGAACTCTTCCCATGCGTCCTTGGAACCGCAGCTGATTGTGCATACTTATATCGCGTCCAGGTCCCACTAGAACGATATTTCCCGGAATATTCGGGCGGGGCGGACGTGAATAAGGGGGCGAAGTATATCCTCTGGAGGTTCATGCAGGCGAACAGGGCGAGGTTGAGCGTTTATCCACAGTGCGTCTTTCTGTCCAGCTATTTTTCCATTTTACGCTTTGGGGTTTGTGTGAGGGAACGGGTGGAGGAGTTTGGTGGATAGGGGTTGGCGCCACACGCCACACGCCACATTTTACCGCGCGTTGGTGTATTTTTTTGAGCGCGCACGCGTCCTTCTCTACGTTGCTTCGCACTTTCCTTCCCTTGTTCAGTGTTGTGTTTGTTCGCTTGCCAAGACCTACGCTGACTTCATATCATATAGCATAACACAAGCAACCGATACCTCGAACATCAGACTGGTGTTCGTCACGGTGAAAGAAACGATCCTACATAACGCACTCAAGGAATCAGGAATTCTATAGCCCTCGGCTCCCTCTCGTCTTCCGCGCCTTCTTTCTCTTCTTCTCCTGGCCTCTCTTCATTCCTGGTTCCTTGTCTCGTTCTCTTCTTTCACTTTCGGTCTCACCTCTGTTCTGTGCTCAGTCTCGTTTTGTCCACAAGTCACTCGTTCGCCTCGCTGTTGTAGCACTGCTGTCTCACGTCCACGCCCAGGTTCACGTCCACATGTTCCACGTTCTACATCATGATCATCTCGTCCCTCCATCTTCCGAATGCATACATATCATCAGCCCGTCATCGTCGTCATTCCTTCACATCTCCCACACGGCGGCCGTGTGTGCGCCATCCGCGTCCGCCGCATCGCATTCCTCTGTCATGTACATCGCTCACCGGCTTAGGCTCAGCCTCCCCTGCGCCATCCCGTCGCTACTCATACTTGTCGTACTATGGATCCATCCACCTTTTATTACAACTTTTTCCCCTTTGGTTGACTGGCTTGATCTTCTTTTTCCGTTTTCCGTCTCTCGATTTATCGTTACTTTTTACTTTTGTCTCTGCCTCATCATCCCGCTTTTTCTTATCTGGTTCTTGTCGGTTTGTCTGCATCGGAGAAGAAGGGAGAATGAACCGTTTGCCGTCGTCGGTGAGTTGTGTCTGTTCGGTATCCAGAGTCGAGAACGCTAGAACGCTGATGCTGATGGCGATGTTTTGTTTTGTTTTGTTTCGTCCAGCCGAACTTGTTATATTCCCACATCAATTGATTGATTTTACCCTACTCGTCCACTACATATCCCTACCACCCCATCTTTTGCATCGTTCCCCTCCCTACTACCCCTACGTATATTACCCAACCCTTTTCATCTCGCCTCCTCATCTCCTCATCTCCGCTCCTGTCTCCGTTTTCATCTCTCCTGTTCCTGTTCCGGCTGCAATCGTAAATTACCCTCACGTTCCACTCCATCTCCATCTCGTCTCGTCTCATTTCCCTTCTCTCTCCGAACTTCTCTAGCGCCACACACATCCCCGTTCTGTCTTTTCGTCGTGTTTGCGCGTCGAGCTTTTTTTCAGCAATCGACATCGTTTATTTTTGTCTTTTACGCTTCGGGCCTTGAAGCTCGGCTTGGCTAGGTTTCATATATCTATTCTATTCCTCCTTTCCTTTCCCTTTCCTTACCTTTCACGCTTCTCTCTACGCTCCTCTGAATCCCGTTCACGTTGTGGTGTCGCGTTCCGAGTCTGCCGATACTCCTGTTCGTGTTCATGTTTCGTTGAATCGAGCCGTGTTGAAGTGAAATTCAATCGATAACGTTGTCGATTCAAACGTGTTGATTTAGCGTGCGTGGGCTGTTTGTTCGTGTTCGTGTTCGACTCGGACGTCTTGGGGGTGTGTTTTCGGCTTCGGATTCAGGTTCAGATATCCTCTCACGGTTCACAGCTCATAGCTCACGCCATAGTCGACGGTGTCAATGGCGCGAGTGGAGATCAGCTTCTTCCCGGGCCCAGTGATTCAGAAGGCGTAGACCTCGGGTTCGATGGAGTGATGTGATGTAGTGGATTGGATGGTTTTTGATGCGTGATGATGCGGAAAGAGGCGGAACGAGGTGAGCAAGCGAAGGCGCGGTGTAGGCTTCCATCTCAGGCTTTATGATGACTTCTACGCCTGGGCGGATGGATAGATAGGATAAGCACGGAGACGCAGAACTCGGCAAGGAGGCGTTTAGGTGCGTTTAGGTGCCGTTCTTCGTCACATTCATAGGCGTCCATTGATTTGTTTTCTTCCTCTTCTTGCAGGTCTCCTCTCGACAGCGCCAGTCGAATCTTCACTCGCTCTCACATACTATCGGTCACCTCTCTCTACAGCTATCCCTTCGTATATGGTTCGTGCTTTCTTCCTCTGACCTTGGCTCTTCCTACTTTGTCCGTATTCAACATGTCTCCTCGTCAGGTCTCGGCTATGTTCAACATTCAACGGTCGTGGACTCTCTATTTTATTTTTTCACGTCCTCGTCTTCAGATGGTCTATGATCGGTGTCTAAAGCGGTTATGAAAGTCGGGAATAAGACTGTAGATGCTGTATAAAGGGATTGGAGATGCAACGTATAGAGGACTTTGGGTGCTACATTTCGCTTCCCGACTCTGACACCACCTTGTCGTTCTGTCTTCGCCGTCCGCATCTCCCTTTCGGGTACAAATCAGGTGAGTCGCGCTATATACTGAGGAATTTGCATGACGAGTCTCGCGTCTATTCGGAATTACTTCTCGCGCACGTCACATGGGGAACGCAGGAGATACCGCACACCATCGCTCTTGATGTTTCTCGGACCTTACGAAAGCTTTCCCTCCCTATAAGTCAACTGACCGGCTGTCCTTCTTTGATCACCTCTTACTCCTCTCCACATGTCTACGCAAGCGAACACATTACCGCGGTCCGCCATTGTGACTGGCGCAGCCCAAGGTATGAGAGTCCACTAGCGCATCACATAACATTGACAGACGAGGATTTGTAGGTATCGGTCGGGCTATCGCTGAAAGACTAGCCCAGGATGGCCTCAATGTCCTCATCAACGACGTCCCGTCCAAGGAAGATATGCTTTCAGAGTTCAAGAGCGCACTCGCAGACGCTCATCCGTCGCAAAGCTTTGTCATTTTCGCCGGTGATGTGTCGAAGGAGGAGGACGTCAAGCACATGGTCGAGGCGGCTGTGGAAATATTCGGAGGATTGGACGTGGTAAATCCTTGTCGGCGACTCCCGTGTCATCCTCTCTGGTTCGTCTGAGTTAATCTGTTCTGGATAAAGATCGTCGCAAATGCTGGAATAGGCGGGGCTCTTTCCTTCTTTGTCGACAGTACGTAATTTTTTCCATATGCCGGATTAATCCCACAGTATGCTGACTACACTCATCTCACAGCACCCGTCGAACAGCTCGACAAGGTCATTTCTGTCAATTTGCGGGGCGTATACCTTTGTAAGTCCTGTATGCAATGCTCTTCCCTTGCAAATTTTGACGCATGAGCAGGCTATCAATACGCTGCCAGACAAATGATCAAGCAAGGACGGGGAGGAAAGATCATTGGAGCGTGCTCGCTTGCCGGAAAGAAAGGTATTTAGTCGCCGCTGGCTATAAATCGTCTTTGTCTCATATGAAGGGAGCTTGTAGGAATGGCCTTGGCCAGTGCGTACGCCAGCAGCAAATTTGCTGTCCGTGGCCTTACTCAATCCGTCGGTGAGTAGCCCTCTGTCGGTACTTGGGCCTTGAACTCATACTGCTCCACACGTCTTTATGCTACCAAGCCACCGAGCTTGGACAATACGGGATCAACGTGAACGCATATGCCCCGTAAGTATGACCCTGTATCCTTTGGACACTAGAACTGACTCCTAATGTCCGTGTATTCTCGATCAGGGGCTATTTCCCCACTCCCATGGGTATGCTCAGATTTGGGGCCTCAAATCATCAATGAGCCTGACATTCTTATATGAATAGTCGAGGCTGCCGCAGCGGAATGCCCCGGCGGACCTGATGCTTTCATTGCCGCTGTACGTTCAAATATAATTTATATAGCAGTCGAACATACGCTGACGACCATCCTTCGTCCGTTTAGCAAGCCTCAGTTCTCAACAGACCCGGAAGACTGGAAGAGATCGCAGCTGCTGTATCTTTCTTGGCTTCTGAGGGCTCTAGTTATATGACAGGTGGGTCTCTGCGTCTGTCCATACCCTCGATAGATCGCTCAATCCGTGTCGACATCAGGGCAAACGGTTGGTTTTTTTCTGGGATATTACTGCGGACGAAACTCGCTCACTGATGAATCTCTTCCATATGTAGATTACAGTTGATGGTGGTAGGCATTTCGATTGATTTTTGCAAGTACTTAATGTGCAGACATCAAAACTTCAGTGGCGCGGTGAAAAGTTCAAGGTTCGCGAAATGATGGCTTAACTTGGACTCGGAGTTATTGAGTAGCATCAATATTGAGACCTTTATTGAGGAGGAGAATGAACCTTGATATTTGGCCCTACGGTAGAGACCCGAGCTCGAGAATGCCGGTAGTGATGAGGTGGCCCAGCGTCCGAGCGTAGTTAAGCCATGATCAAGTCCGCTCGGCAAGTGCCGGTGTTCCGTTCCACGCGCCACACTCATTTTCTTTGACCACTCTACCACGGTCGGGTTCATGTTGTCTCTCTTCGCTTTCACTCAAACAAACTCGGGCTCATTCGCCTTACCTATCTGTTAAATACTAACAATGTCCTCGAGACCTGTACGAGTGCATAGCGATGTAGATTCCAAAATCCACATGTTGGCCGAACCGCAGCAGGCTCTCCTAATCTTTCAAACATTGTTTTCAGCCCTCAGCGCTCAGCCGCAGCACGCCTGCTCGATCCTGGGCGGGACGAATGAAATACGCAGCACCTTTTAGACTCTAGCAAAGCCATGGGTTGTCATGCTCAGCGTTCTCTACCTTTCCTCGTCCTTCCTACTCCCGACTCCAGCCATGTCGCGCTGCAGCTATACACTGCTCCTCTCATTTCTTATCCTCGGAAATATCTCGACGGTCTGCTCTATTCTGAGCCAATCTGTAAGTCACACAAGATTTTCTGCTGTGCCTTCTTGACGTGATTATGAACTCTCGGAATAGTATCAATCCACCTCGATAATCAATGTCCCCCTCACCATTCAAGTTGCCTACAACTCCTCTTCAGACAACTCATCGTCTTCATCCACGAGTAACGGTCACTTCTTCACCTGTCCCCGCGGAAGCGACGCCTACGCGACCGCGCCTACAATATACGACACATCCGGCGAGCTCATCTGGTTCGGTTCCGAGTTTGGCGATTGTTTCGATTTGAATGTGCAGTATTATAATGGCCAGGCGGTCTTGACGGTTTGGAATGGGACGGATGATTCGGCGGGTTACGGAAATGGCATGGTACGTTCAATCCTTCGCCGTCCTTTGCGCTGTGCAGTTTCGCACAAGTGATGCTGACGTTGCGTCTTTGAACGAATGTGGTGGATGGTATGGGTGCGGATTATATAGGGAAGGATCGTCGACAGCACGTATACCACAATAGCTACCGTTGCCTGCGATTCAGATACCAACTCAGACCTTCACGAGGTTCGTCTCCCACCTTTCTTTGCCATATCCCACATCCAACCCCCGTATGTCATTGTCTTACGAGCCTGTCCACCTTCTACATACGACGTGCTTGACCATTGCACTTCGTGCCACCTCGTTGATTCTAACGAGACTCCATTTTCCCTCGTCCGTAGTTCAACATCCCAGAGGACACAAATACTACCGCGATAATGACGACCTACTACCCTATCCAATGGGACCTCTCATCCGTTGGCGGCTCAACCGAAGGATGGATGCTCACTTCGGGGTTCCAGGAGATCAATATCGCCGATGGAAGCGTTGTATTCAATTGGAGGTGTGTTGCGCACCTTTTCGATCAAATGACGGTAAGATATAATTATTGACTCTCTCGCTGTTCGTTCGTTCGGTGGACATGGCATTCGATTCGATGACCTGCTGATGATCGTAGCGCGGCTGATCATATGGACCTTACTGAGAGTTATAACACCATAAACTCGACGGGCGGTAGCGAGGACGATAGTGCGTCGATCCTTCTTCTTTCGTGGATGCATCATACTGACGGACATGAATGTATAGCTTGGGACCCGTTCCACATCAACTCGATTACAAAAGACGCGGAGGGCAATTACTTGATCTCGTCACGGCATGCATCTGTTTTACTAGACTATTGATCCAGCGCATAGCTGTTCTTACTCAAGATACTGATTCTGAGAGGGCGAAAACAGACACTACCACCAAATCCTGAAAGTATCAGCTACGACTGGTGAAGTCCTATGGACAGTCGGTGGTATGACCTCGAATTTTACATTGGACGACGACTCAACGTGAGTATTCTCACTTCCAGCTGCATCTCATACTTCCTCTCGGCTTGTTTATGTCGTTTCGTCGGATAGGTTCTACTGGCAGCATCACGCGCGATGGTACGATGACTATACAAAGGTTTCTATATTGTACGTATCCTGTTTCATTCTTTCGTCCATCTGCTGAAATATTCACCCCCTTTCCTCTGGCATTCCACACCCTTTCTAAACGATACATACACTTTATCATCTAATAATGCATCCCCCCCTCGGTATCGAATTTACGCTCACAGCGATAACGGTGCCACAAATTGGAACGTCGCCGAAGCCTCCGCACGGGGTATGACCCTTGAGATTGACCAAGATGCTATGACGGCTACGTTCGTCAACGAATACCTTCCTATTGTTACGGTCCAGAATTATTCGTGCAGTCAAGGAAGCATTCAGGTTCGTTTATTACATCTTCCAGTCAAATACCCTTAGATGCCAGCAAGGGGCGCTGACACGTGTATTTCTATGTGATCTCCAGATGCTCGATGATGGAAATGTAGTGGTCGGTTATGGGAGCAATCCGTGGATTGGGGAATATACGTACGACCCTCTATCTCTTTGCACATTAGAGACGAGGCTGATGACTTTTGGGTTTATTGTTCCCAGGTCAGATGGCAGCGTTATATTTTTTGCAACACTCGGAAAGGATGGAGAGGAAGGCAATTCTCCGATGCAGGTTCGTTTTCCAGTCCCCACTAAAATAAATATAGTTATAGGTGACTAACGATCATGCACATGCTAGAACTATCGCGTGTTCAAGGTCTCCAGCTGGGTCGGAACACCTGCTACTTCGCCCGACATCGCAGTATCAGGTGCTCAGGACGATATGTGGGCTTCATTCACCGCTCAGTTTACTGCGCATTCCTTGCATTAGTGCTTACTATCGAATTCTTTATGCAGAACGATCTACGTCTCCTGGAACGGTGCCACCGAAGTCTCGTCCTATGCCTACTATACTTCCACCAGCTCCAGCTCCTCCCTAACCTCTAGTCTGAATGTCACTCGAGCAGGGTTTGAAACATCCTGGACGGACAACTCGACTTCGCCTTCCTACATCCGCGTTGCTGCCCTTGCTGCCAATGGCTCTGTACTCGGCTGGACAGAAACTATCACCGTCGATGGCAGTGGGACCTCTGATGCTAGTGGAACTGATTCAACCTCGGGAGCGATGACCTTAGTCGCCGGACTGAGTCTGACAGGTGTCGGAGGTATGACGGTGACGGCGACGGGTGGGGCAGTGGCAGTTGTGGGCATCGTTATTGGAGAGTTATCATATTGGCTAGACGAGCTGTTGGGCGATTGGTTGCTGTAGAAGTGCATGCAGTTGCGAGGTCTGCTGTTGTATGATTTGAGAGGGTATTTTATATTTTTACACTGGCCGTAAAGCAGGACTCTGAACTGCTTTCTGATGTCTATTTTCTTGTATAATGGAGATCTTTATACTACCTTTGGCCTCAACACGTTCAATAGTTAAGCACAGCCGTAGAAGTTGCGAGTCCTGATGCCGACAGATATTCAGATGATACGTGGATGACGCACTCTAAGATGTCCCCTGACGTGCACTTCCTTCCATCTCTTGCATACGCTAAGCTCATATGTATTCGAGAATGCTTCTTATACTAGTCGTGCTCTGTGGTTTATCTTTGGCCTCCCCTTCAAATGCACACACTGTTATGACTTAAAGCTCCCTCTAATTGGTCCGTCCCTTTTGCATATCACTTATGAGCTGTTGATCACAGTCAGGCAATATGAATGCATTGCGCAATGACCAGACTCGACGTAACGTGCCTCAACAGTACGAACGTGGATACTGTAAACTTATCAGACCTCAGAAACCTTGGACGTAGTCCCCGTCGACACAATAGTTTAACTGATGCGCTCAGGTTTTCTAACAAATTCTCTATCGTCTTATGTCTCCGTCCCGGCGTGCGTATTGAAAGCAGCGCTCCTGGTGCCCATTAAAACATAAATTAGTTCCTTTTTTCTGATCCAGGCAGGTATCAAGGGTATATATAATAAGAAACGAAGAATAACCCTAAAAGACGGGACAGGACTCATTCCGAAGAATACTGGGGCGGCAAATGCTCAACGGCCCTGTCATGCACCAGTCCTCTCAATCCACTGTCGCTCTCTACAACCAATTGCTGCGGGGCTGACCTAACACTGCCTCCATCGAAAGCCTGTGCCGAAGTCCCCCCTATTGCCAGATTTGCGCCATCAGGATTGTTCGAAGACGAAGTAACGTGTGTGTACGCGGCAAGCTTTTCGGATTGAGAACGCAAGGGGACGTAACCTGGATCATAGCTCGACGACGCTCGAGATTCACTGGGAACGAATGTCGGTAATGATTGGTTACCGAAGCCAGGAGCGGCGGTCGTGGTATAGTCTACTGACGTGAAAGAACATATGTCAATGTTTCGATTTTAGGCTGAGATATTATAGCTTATGTACGAACCAGATTCAGATCTTCGCAAATGGTAAGCTTCGGTGAGCATTCTATCCATCCCTGCGGGTGATTGTGTGAATGCCGCATATGTGACCTCAGCATCAATATCCACCGGCGGATGACCGTCACTCGTATTCTCCGTCTCTGACCTTCTCCTTCTTCGCAATACGAAGAAAGAAGCTAACAAGAAAGAGAGAAATACCAAGCCACCAATCGAAATCCCTACAATTGCTCCGACACCCAAATGGCGTGAGTTGTCTGTCTTCTCATGGTTATTTCCCCCACCGTTTCCGCCGTTCCCAGTCAAGGAAGGTGACGAAATGAATGCGGAATCGGATTTCATCAGAACATAGTCGAGGTAGAACGTGTTTGCGTCTGCTGCAGTGATCTCTAACGTGTGAGACTCTCCGGTGGTGGGGTTGGCGGTGAACAGTTCGTAGTTATAGGCAGGGAACGTGGTGGGAACGCTCATGTTGGCGGTGACACCGTCGATCGCGTATGTACCAAGTGTACTGACAGAGTTTAGGATCATGCCGTAGGCTCTAATTGTGGAGGCTCCTGTGATATGTAAAAAGTAGAGATTTGTTAGACAATCACGAATACAATAATGCCATTGCAGAGTAATGGAATAATACCCGTGAATTTTAGAGAAACATTGGATGACGAGCTTGTTGGTCCCATCACGCTCGAGTTGAAGGTCGCATCCGTAAGATTGAAATTCCCCTGCTGCGGAAAGCCCAACACATTTCCAGTCCACCCATCTGAATAACCAAGATACGGGCTGTGGTCGTCAATGAAGATCCAGCTCGTGTCTTCGGTAGTGGATACCGTGGAGTTCTCAGAAGCCTCGTAAATCAGGTAATCGACGAAGAAATTGGAGTCGGTAAGAGTGGAAGCCGAGGTAAGAACGTCCACTGTCAGGGTGTGCGACGAATCAGGCATTGATGGAGAGACAAAGAAGGGTATATGCCGCCTAGTGTCGGAAGAGGATGTGATAACACTAGTTGATATCATGTTGAAGTCGACGCTGAAGGAAACGTTTGTACTGCTGAAGCCATCCCCGCCCCCAATAGTTCCGTACAGGGAGATCGAAGAGCCTGGTATGGTGAGCAATTCAGTATGCTCCATGCTCTCGATGAAAATATTATGCACGGGAAGAGCGTACCATTGAAAGAGTAACTCATCGTTGATGGAATCCCTGATCCTGATACGGTGGCTCGAAACTCCGTTGAATTGCCTAAATCATAAAGTCGCTGATTAGGAGATTCTTACAGGATGGAGGCAACGAAGCATGAGTACTGTACATACCGGGTGAAGCGACAACCCATCCGTCTGCTTCTATACCAGGAGAGCCAGCGGTCTGATTGGCATGAGGCCACCATGATATACCAGCATCCTCATCGTCGACGATAACGTAGACTGACATTGAGGAACAACGTAGAGATAATGAGGTCGCAGTTGATGTGGAAAGTTGGGAGAGAGAGAGAGGGAGTAAGAGGACGGTAGATTGTAATGGATAAGGCCCTCTTCACACCATCTTTGATCTAGGTGATTTGCCATGTGCGGGTAGAGATTTCGGCATCAGTTACAGGCTACGCCCCCTCAATCATGGGTACCGGTCAACTCGGTGTTACATAGAGCAAGGGTGGACCATCATGATAATGGGCCGTCGTACTATTCCGCATAGGTTCTCAAGAAGCATACTACATATATCAAGGCACCTGAGACAATATACTCGGGAGACTACGTTCCTTTTTCGAAATCGCACTTGTTTATGTTTTGAAGTCCCCGCCAGCCGCTTCCACCGAATAGTGTGTTTCATGAACCGTACCTGTGCCCACGTTCTCGCTAAAGGTGGTTCTTGTGGCTGTTTCGATACCGGCATAGAGATATAACCTCCCACACTGATCTGATTCATGAGTTGCACCCTCCACATCGCTACGCAGGGCTACTACTTATGCTGGGCCGCCATCATCGTCTATGGTAGGCGCGATATGACCTCCGCTACTCTACACTTCCAACCATACCTCTCTAACATTGACACCGTAGGAGAAAGTGAGGGATATGTTCAAGAGGATCCAATGACCTGGAATATTACGGTTCGGTGGGAAGTTCCAAAGAATCATATGGATGATTGCAAGGACGAGGGCGGAGGGAATGGATGGGGCTTGTCGCGGCGCTAGATCGATAAAATGGATGTAAAAGGGAGGCAATTGCTGTGATGACAGGCAAGAGCTCTACAACAGACTCGTATGTGAGCATTCTCGGAGAGACGGGATCGTCATAAGGCGATACTAGAAATGATGGGCAGAAGCGGCAGAATGGTGTAGATTGCTCATCAATTCGGATGGCCTTTCGTTTTGGCCTGCAGTTCCCAGGCAAACGGTAGTATACCGCTAGACCGGTCGCTACGTTTTATTATCTCTGTACAATGACCTGATTAACAGTGCGGCCTTATCATCCATAATCCTCGCTTGACAGGCAAATGGCTTTGGGTGACTGTTGTCAGGAAAAACCAAGTCAATTGATATGTCCCGATGAAGCAACGGATGTTGTACCAGGTCATAGTATCGTCTTAGAACATACTGTAGAAAGAAACATACCATATCGTGCTCTCCTCCAATTCAACACTTACATCGATCTCGTTACCGCTCTCATCCTTCGCCTTCACGACATCGAAAACCGAGAGCAGCGAGACCACGGCGAGCCACAGCGTCTGACTAGCAAGATGGCGTCCTGGACACGACCTGCAGATAATGATTTGGATAAAGGGTGGAGTTTCTGCTGTCGGGATGATTTCAACTGACCTGCGCCCGAATCCAAATGCAGGGAGAACATCGTCGTCGTTCAATTTCCCGTCTTCTGTTATAAATCTCTCAGGTTTGAACTCTTCGGGTTCTGGATATCGGTCAGGATCATGGAGAATTGCCCTGATACGAAAATATTATGAGATACATCCTTTCGAATATAAAGTTGCGGTTACGACTCCATACCATGAATTTCCGACGACGATTGTCCCTGGTAATTAGTATGATACATGTTTAAGCTTATTATTGAAAACATCACAGCTTCGGGTGTGTTGAAATAAGACATACCTTTTTTGATGATCATTCCGTTGTAAATATCATCCTTCGTAACCGCGTGCGGTATTCCTAGGGGCAACACAACGATCCACCTCAGGAGTTCCCTATATATAGCCTCCACATATACAAGCTTCAGAGAGTCGTTCTTGCCATAATTATTTGGTTCGGACTCCTGATCAATAGAGTGGGAAGGACAGTGATCTTGAGCATGGTCGCCGGGGCTCGCACGATCTCCGAAGTCAGGAAGTCGGTCTCGGCCAACTACAGCGTCAATTTCTGCTTGAGCACGAGCTTGTACGTGGGGGTGGAGGAGGAGTGATAGAACGGCCACGGTGAGAGAGGTCATTGTCTAGATTGAAGATAAATCGGATGTCTACTTAGCGAAAAATCGAATACAGTGCTCTATGATGCTAGAGCTCACTGTGTCTCCTGCAGCTGCGAGGCCGACAATTCCGAATGAGAATTTAGGGAGAATAATAGATAAATAAAGTCTGAGTAAGCAATGTTTGGGAATGAAGGCGAACACACCTAAGTGGATGGTAGCCATCACATTTTTGAATGCCGTTTCGTGTAGTCTTCCTTGACTGTTCTCTGCTCTTGAGTCAAACTCGGACTGCTCAAAATTTGTACGGTGAATAAAGTTCGCCGATAGTGACGGCCCGTCCATTCCATTGACCTATACATAATTCGAGAGTTTAAGAGTTCAGCAGCAAGAAAACGAATCAGAGCCGCAGAGTGTGCAGCACTCACTACATCTTTTTTCACGCCGTCAAACAAGTGATTTATCAACTCCTCGCACAGCTGGTTACTTCTTTCAGCAAACGTCTTGAAGCCATGTATTCCTGGGAGCCACCTTGGGAAATACTTCACTAATGACGCGACAGGGATGATCCAAACGCATACAAATTTATCTTCAGCACGAGAAGGACGTGGTTTTGCCAGAGGAGTGAGAAGAAACCGTACCGAACGGGAAAAGATTCACCATGATGGCTCCAGGGAAGAAGACAGATGCACCCATGGCTACTGTTTCTTCCGCAATATGAACATAGTGATCGGTTTTTACATCTACGTCCCGTCCGTACGCAATCTTCATAGGTAGAGAGCCAGCATATCTGTCATGTTCATCACAGTCAATCGAGTTTCTTTTAAGCCGTTTACTTTTATCACAATAGGAACGACCAATGTCCGATACACTTACTGTCTAACTTCGTCGACCACGCTATCTGGATGATCCAGTATGGCCTTCAACATCGTGGTGACGCGCGAGCGCAAAAGAGGACGATATGCTGCAACAGCGCTGGGACGGAAAAGGTGGAGAATGGTGCTCCTGCTCGCACGCCATACATCATTGTAATGCATGAGCGGGACGCCGAACTCGTGACCCATCCTGTCACATACCCCATAGCATCAACAGGCAGTACAAGAAGATATAATGGAAGACAGACAGGGTGACCATCTCAAGATACGGTCTATCTGAGTATATGTCTCCTTTTCGTTCGAACAGATCTCTAGCCGCAGTCAAGGAGTTGAGAACAACGGTATGGAAGCCGGGAAGCCTGAAATAGACAATATCGCCTGATGGTATACAGTTTTGATCTGAGCACTTCGCATCGAGTATACGCGGTGAACGTACTTTTGTACTGCTTTGCCCATCGTGCAAAGGCTATATGTCGTTTCTCCCTTGGTATATCGAGAGCATTTCCTATAATAAAATGGCCCGGAGGTCCTGGGGGGTGACGAAGGCCTTGCGCATTACGCCAAAGACTGTATACCCGAGCGAGTAATGTAATACTCGCAAGTAAGAGAGCAGTAATTGTAGTGCCCATATAATCCATCATCTTTCGGGAAAATTGGACTCAACAGGAGAGTCTGTGTAGAGAGGAATGTGAGAGGCTCGAGATAAATGAAAGGAGGGGGCGTGCAGAGAAGATGATGCCGAGTGTATAACAGCGTGCAGCTCCTTCTCTCTGCTTTGACCAAGCATTATAGTTCCACTGTGTGGGTTGCGTACTCATCATTAGTAAGCACTTTACTGTAGAGAGTGGGGTATAGAGCTATTGTTAGCAGCTGGTGAGTAACGGTCCTCGATACGCTGGCGCTGTTCAATGAATAGTCAATGTCATGCCAAATGGAGCCGAGCAGGATAGATTGCAATTTCCGGCATGTCCTTAAGGATGCCTTTGCACCTTCTTCGTAGCTGAATTGCTCTACCAGATAGAAGGATATGTTCATCATGCTAGCATCGATTAATCAGACCCACACAATTAGGAGAACACCAAGGCGTGGGTTTTGGAATACGTATGGAGAACGCAGAGTGTATCAGAGAACGATTGGTGGAATGGGGATAATAAGACGTCAGATTCAATACCGATAAGAGCGACAGCTTGGGAGTAAATCGCAGAGACCTGTCCGTGACTGAGTGAATTCGAGTTTTCTTTCTGGCCGAGATGAGCATAAGTACATCCCTATTGATATCCCACGAGTTAGTTCCTGTTGATGTACGATGGGATATAAAAGTGAAAAGTCAGTAACGGACATAGCATATGCTCCCTCACCCCATAGCACGCCGGTCCCCATTCAGTATCAGCTAAATAAGCTTCCAATAGACGTCGACTACTCAACACCTGGCGCCGAACGGGTTTCGCTCTCGAGATGTAGTCGTCTCCGGACTCACGCTGTCCGCTGAGAAAGCGCGAGAATGAATAGCTCTGCAGGATATTTCGAGTCGAGAGGGAAGGAGGGGAGCGGGCTGTGGAGTGTTGCGTCATTCCTAGATGAGCTCTTAATGGGATGACTTCTACCGTACTGAGCAACCTTTGGGCACATAGTGCGGACACGAAAACAGCGTGACGATGGTCTCAGCCGCACATAGCAACATGAACAGAGGCTCATGCGTAGAGCTCAAAGTATCACGCCGAATACAAGAAGGAGCTGAAGTTATACCGAAATCACCACCCTTGGTGGTTGTGGAATGAAGAGAGAGCATATAGGTGCATTGTTGAAGGCGATACTTGTAGCTCTGTGTCATAGGAGCTGATTTGCGCAGTATGGCTCCTATTTCACCGAGCTGTGACAGAGCAGCTACTGCATTGGCAGGGAGGCCGGGACAGCACTACGGATACGACCAGGTTACTGCCGCCCGTATGCTTTCCGCATACGCGGGAGAGAACACAGATGAAACGAACCGTGGCCATCTCCTCCAACAAACTTTCAGTGATGCTCCCGCGGAGGAAGTGACGGAGCGTTTGTCGCAGCAGTTCCAACGATTCGAATGTGACGGCAGGGATGACAACATCAAGTCAGAGGCGGGAGATGGTACTTCGCGTTGACTCGAGGCTAGACAGAGCGGTGGCGAGAGTGTTCCGTTGCCAGAAACAGATAGAGAGGGGGTGTCGGGAAGAGAAGATTGGAAGAGAGGTTTACTTGGGCAAACAATAGTAGTAGGAACAGGAATGGAGAGGAACGAAAGAGGAAGAGGGAGGAGGGAGGAAAGGAATCGTGGCGTGGCAGAGAGCGATTGCGAATTTGAAATGGTAATCAGACGCGCGTGGCTACTAGCGCTCGTCGTGCTCCTCGCTCTTTTCATCTTCCACTTCACCTTTCCTCGCTGCCTTCGCTCTCTATCGCAGAATATAGGATTGATTGAACAACGGCAGGACGTCATTGGAGTCTAAACATCGTCATGATTCGACTGCGACGTCGAAAGAACAATGGAGGCAGGCATACCCGCAGAAGTGCGCAGAAGCTACCGCAGAGATCACCCATAATTTCACGAATCCTGTCTACAAGACATGAGATGCGTTCGAAGTGCATTACATGCAAGTCATTCGTCATTTGCCTTACTATATCAATGTATAAATACTCAAGGGTTGATTATAGTGCAGAAAAGGGCGGTCAACGAGTGACTTACACAGATGCCCGAGGTCAACGTCCTCGCCCTAACTCAGTTTACCACTCCGGTCGCGTAGACCCCGAAGTCGTATGTCCCATCCTCATATGAACATTGACTGTCTACTGACATGCCACTAGATGCACTGGTTATCATCTACCGTCTTCTTTTCCTCCTGACTCCGTCCCGTTCGCACCACAGACGACGAGCGTCCTCCCACCTTACTCTCCTCGACCACCTCTCATACTAAACCCTCACTATCCTCGAACGTCTGCTTATCCACATTTTTGTACGCGAACCCTCCCTCACCACACGAACCCTCTCGCACCATTCGCTGAGAACGCTAAGACACCATCTCCGACCTCGCAAACAACTCCACGGGCGGAAGAAGAGCGTGACACGCGCACAAGATTTAGGCGCTCTAGATGACGAAGTCCGACCAGGAGGTGGCAGAGTGAGATTGTCCAGCGTGTTTGACGGGTGTCTGAATTTAGTCGGGATCTTCGGACGGAGGCGGTGGTCGAGGTCTTTCGCGGAGGCCTGCAGGATCCGCAGTGTCGTTGTGAGTGTCCGACACACGTCTCTTTTTTTTCCATGTATTCTACCCAAGCCTCAAGATTTATTTGATCTCCTTAACTATAGCAGTCGTCCCCGACTTCGTCTGGGACTTTCATGGCCCAATTGAGTCCAAATTTTCGCAGTGAGTCTCGCCACCACTTGGCCAATATTCCCTTCTGCTGTACAGTAGCAATAACGTGGAGATCTGCGCGCGTGGCATATTGGTATAAGGCCAAAATGTGCACGTCATCCAATCGTAGTAGCAGGCTCCTTTGATCTTTGAGACATTCTTCAAAGTCGTCAAATACAGACGCTTTCTCGACTTCGAGTGATAGGCAAGGCCTAGGCAACAGCATTTGTACTCGATCAAAGGTATTTGTCGCCGTGCTCATCGTTCACGGAGTTTTTCCTACATCCCTTCCTTCCTGACTCCAATCATGTCGCGCTGCAGATATACGCTCTTCCTCTCCTTTTTTATCCTCATCCCACCATGTACCGAGTGAAGCTATCAGTCGAACAATCGTTTCTGCTGCGTCTTCGCTAACTGATTGTGAACATCCGGCATAGTATCAACCTACGCCCGTCATTAACGTACCTCTGACCATCTATGTCGGGCGACCCCAAGTCTTCATCCACGAACAATACCTGCTTCCTCACTGTCCCCTGGGTAGCGACGCCTAAGCCAGTGCACCCACATCTCCGACGAGCTCGTCTGGTTCAATTCCGATTTTGGCGACGGTATCGACTTGAATGTGCTGGATTATGAAGGCCGAACAGTCTTGACTGTTTCAAATGTGACGGACGGGTCGGCGGGGTATGGAAATGATATGGTCCGTCTAGTCATTCATCTTCCTGGGGTTTTGCATAAGTGACGCTGACTTTGCGGCTTCGAAAGAATGCGGTGGATGGTATGGGTTGGGATCATGTATGGGTCTTCGTCAGCACGTCTACCCCGATCGTCATAGTCGCCTGCGATTTGGATACCAACCGAGACCTTCACTAGGTCCGCTGTTCACTCTTTTTTTTGTAATATTTCACAAGCGAGCTTTCCACATTCTACGTACATCGCTTATCGTGTTTCCTGAAACTTCACTACCACCTCGCCATTGCTAATGTGCCCCCGTCCCTCCACACCCGTAGGTCTGCATCCCAAGCAACACAAACACTGCTGCGATAACAACGACCCACTGCTCTATCCTATGGGATCTGTCATCCGTCGGCAATTGTTGTAGGTATTAATATCGCCGATGGGACTGTCGCATTTAATTGGAGGTATGTTTTACATCTTCTCAACAAAGCGACGACGAGTCTCACCGCGAAGTTGAGTGGCCGAATTATTAGGTAATATATGAAGCGCGCTAGAAGCAAGCAAATAATCTGTTGAACTGCTAACGATGAGTTGAGCACTACGAAGAATTAGTTACTTTACTGATTGTCTCTATTGTTGATTTATTCTCTATCAGAGTCTGTTGCATCGCATTTCCGCCAACGACATCATCCGAAGTCTATGGAAGTCTGGTCAGAGTTCTTTCACATGTTATGCTCTCATAGGTTCATAGGATACCAAGGTATTCATACTTTGAGTAGCATATTCAAATACCTCAGTTTGTTCTAGAATCTTTGCGTGATCTCGCAACTAGCTCTCTGAACACAGATAAGTGGGCGCCCCCTTGCTACTTGGATAGACTTCAAACTGCTACTGTTAGCTATAGAAGACCCCTCAAAATGATCCGATCTTTTTGCACACGATGAGCCATCGGTCACGCTCCCGTACTAACACAAGTAAAGGCTTTTAAGTTCCAAGTCGCGCTGCTGAAACCTCCCGACGATAACGCATTTCCAGCTCATCGTCTTTCGCAAGTAAGTGTATGAACATATACCTAGTTTTTCATCTTCTTCTACCGCCGTTGTTTCAACATTCAGCACCTGATTTGATGGCTGACTATCTCTAATATTGCTTAGTACTTTGCTGCAACCAGCGAAACTTAGGACAGTGCAGCGGCTTGTCCAACGATAAATATCATTCCAACAACTCACAATTGATATTTCGCTTTAAAGTCGAGACCGTCGTCCATAAGGGCATCGTATCAGAGATATGCTGCTCGAGATGATTATTCTAAATAGAAATCATCTACCACCGTTTCAAAGTATTGTAAAACGATGATCTGACCAATGGTCGCGTCTCATTGCGGTTTTGCGAGGCATACTATTCACTGATACAGTCTTATGGAGCTATACCATAGAAGTTGTATCATTATCAAATTAAAGCAGCCCCACCTCAATGGCCGGATGGTGAATCTTCCGTCTGCGGATTCGGATACATACAACTTACAATATTCAGCGGATGTTCTTATCCATAATCGAGACCAGGCTACCTTTTCTTGTCTATTCTGCCATCCTCAAGGGCCTATATAAGACACCTTGTAGAACCATGGCGATCAAATCCCATATTTTCCGTCATGTCTTTCCTTCTCTACAGTGCCTTTGCTCTCTTCATTGTCTTCGTCATTCGCAGCCGTTTTAGCAAGAATCGCTACCCTCCTGGTCCACGTGGGCTACCAATTTTGGAAAACATCCTCGACATTCCTAGGACTCAGGAGTACAAAGTTTATGCGCAGTGGGGGAAGACATATGGCGCGTATTCCGCTAGTTTCTTTCTGCTCCTTCATAACATAGCATAACCCTTGCAGGCGATGTCTGCTCTGTGTCTACTTTCGGCACTAGACTAGTTATTTTGAACTCCCGAAAGGCTGCACATGACTTGCTCGAGAAGCGAAGCGAGAAGTATTCAAATAGACCTTCATATGTCATGGCCGGAGACCTTGTAGGGTGGAAGGACACTCTTGTCCTTTTACCCTATGCTGCCCGTCTTCGATCGTATCGGACGATGATTCACAAGCTTATTGGCACAAAAATCGCTGTCAAAGAGTGAGTGCAATACAGCCACTACTTCCATGGCCATATGTTCACCAATAAGCACACGACAATTTGCAGGTTCAATGAGTTCATGGAAAGAGAGGCACTTCTCTGCGCTCGCCGTCTATTGAGCGACCCGAATGATTTCATTGGACCAATCCGAAAGTACGTTCCGGGAGTCTGCATAACATCTTCTCTCGTTGTCAACTGATCGCACGCCAGGGCCGTCGGAGCAATTATATTGATAATATCGCATGGACATAGTATCGAGGACGAGCATGATCCTTTAGTCAGAGCCGGAGACGACACCACCGACCAGCTAGGTGTCCTTCTCACTCCCGGAACTTTCCTTGTCGATACATTTCCTATATGTGCGTATACAATTTGCTGGTTTGTGGATTCCCTTTCACATTCTTTTAAATTCTATAGTACGTTTTCTGCCAAAGTGGATGCCATTTCATGTCAAGGCCGGCCGCTGGAAAAGGACGCTGTATGAACTGACAGACGATTCGTACCGCTTTGCAAAGAACACCGTGGTAAGTAGCGAGTGACGATTCACCATAATCCCTGATAAACTGATGTATTGTCATGAAAGTACGATGGAAAAGAAAGTCTCCCTAATCTCATCAGCCGGTTCACAGTTGACCGACAGATCAGCGAGGAGGAAGAGATCGACATCAAATGGGCTGCAACAAGCCTGTACACAAGTGGTGCTGACACTGTGGGGGCTGCTTTCATACTTTAAGTCCACAACAGCTTATACTTTTTCTCTCTCCCCACAGCCTGTTTCCGCTATGCATTCGTTTGTTTTAGCGATGGTCCTGTATCCTGATGTCCAAAGGAAAGCTCAGGCAGAAGTCGATGCAATTGTGGGTAGCGGGAGGCTCCCAACATTTTCTGGCAGGACCCATTTGCCATACACTGTGTGTCTGATGAAAGAGGTTATTCGTTGGGGGGTACGTTGTGTCAAGTCGTTCCAAAACATGGCATGCCTAATATAGTCTTTCCGTAGCACACTTCTCCTCTTGGTATGTTTTCCGCCATGTTGACCATGAGTAGGTTATGACAGTTTCCCCTAGCTGCGCCACACTGTGTGACCAGAGACGATGTCTATAACGGATACTTTATCCCTAAAGGCTCGATCGTCCTTACTAATATCTGGTGTGTGTTTTCTTGAAGGAGATTAGTCCAATAGCTCTGATACTACTTGCTCCTGTAGGCAATTGTTGAACGACCCGGACGTGTATCCCGAGCCGCATGTATTCAACCCGGATAGGCTCCTTCACTCCAATGGTAAAGCTCCGCAGCCTGATCCCTATGACGTGTGCTTTGGCATTGGCAGAAGGCAAGTAGACCTCTATCCATCTACTCGACAGTGATGATTCACAGTGCATCGATTATTCAGGAGCTGCGTAGGTAGGGCATGCGAGTGGTCTAAAATCTGATTATAAACTTATATTGGGACCATGATCCTTTGTAGGGGGCCAATTGTCAGACTCAATGCTCTTCATCTTCATATCCACACTTCTCTCAGCGTACAGCATCCATAAAGTGGAAGGAGCCGATGAGCCGAAGTACGAGTGGACCGATGGCATTCTCATGTTAGAGCCGTTCTTTCTTGAATCACGTTCTCGTTGACACTAATTTCGATCTACTTTTTCTTTTTGATTTCGGTAGACGTCCGAAGCCTTTCCGTGCAGTCTTCAAACCTCGCTCAGATGTTTTGAACACCATTATGCAAGAATAGAGCAACCGATGTTTCACAGAGGAAGCCATATTTGTTGCGTCACCTCAGAATTGGCGTCTTTGATGTTGATTCGTGGCTTTGGGTAGCACATAACCACTATCACACTGTGTACTACGTTCGTTTACGATAGAGTTCGCTGACGTACACGTTTTGTCCTTTATCATTGAGATTGTGGTTCGAGTACGTCGAATTGTATGCAGGAGGTCAAACGTCTGCGCTGAATAGCTATATACTCGTTGTCCAGACGTAAGGAACTCGATGAGTTACGCGTTGGATGGCCTGAGAAGGTATAGAAATATTCGACTAAAATGTGGGCTCTGCAGACGAGTAATCCGTACAACATGGCTGGCAGAGTAGGTGGGATGCGAGATACTTCCCGGGGTCAATGCAGAAATCTCAGACACCGGCGCCGCTTACGACAGTGGACTCTTTATCTGTAAACGCTGTGGGATGCGGTCAAATAACCCTCGATCGGACCTACTGACTGAAAAAACGGAAATGAGGAAGATACGCTTTGAGAGAATACATATCAGACGACAGTGTGGGGCGAATGGGATGCATGAGCGCAGACCTTGGGTTGAACAAATATATGGTATATGTATGCAGTCGCTACGTATCCGACTCGAAGATAGCCGTTGACCGAGGATAAGTGTGGCGAGCCCAAGTTCTTCATGATTTCTCGGAACGTCTGGGAAGATTTCTACCACCGTGATGGAACGTCAGCGCGTTAGCCACCGGGGGTTTTGGGTGACCTGATGCGGATGATGGTTCAGATGCACCCATTCGAAAGGTTGACGAGAGTGAACGAAGCTGAGAGGAGGATGGAACAATAGATCAGACGATGCAGAATGGGAAGAACAACAAGGCTGTGGATACCGGGAAGAATACAGAGTCTGAAGGGCACGAATAATAGGAGGAGGGCGGCTCGGGTGTCGAACGATGATGTAGACGGTGAAGCGAGCTTCCCTGAACTTGGAGGCATGCGAGAGGTGTTACTTACTACCAATCCGGAGTAAGTTTCTTGTGATGTCGATGCATGGACTTGGATCAGTACGGTCTTCTTCTGTCGTGGTGTCGTAGCAATATATACTTTGTTATTCTTGGTGTATATTGTAGTTGCAATTGCATGTTTGAGGAGAACAGGGCAACCCATTGTATGGACATCGATACACGATGGATAGGCTTCACTGGCGAAACGCAACGCAGTGTCAACATCCGAATACAATAAGAAGGGGCTAGTTGACTGTTATGAACTTTTTGTAGTACTATAAAATATATTAGTATTCTTACCTAAGAATGCATGAGCAAAAGAAAAAAGAAAACACCCTCACCACAAGTGCCGCGGTTGAGTCAAATCAGCGATGATTTGACCCGGCTACCGGTCCGGCGTTCTTACTTACGCCACTTCGCTCGGGCCACAGTACTGATCTCTATCGAGATCATCTCCCCCTCGTTCCTTATCGTCCTCTTCGAGTCATCTGTGGTCTTGTACTGCTCAGTAATACTCCTCTGATTATTACTGTACTGATTACTGAGCCATTTCCTTATCCTTCTCTCTCTATTCGCTACTCTTGAGCATTGCTTAGAAGGCTCTTGATTTCATTGGCTAGCTTTCTATATGGTGCAATTCTTCTCTCATTGTACTTAGTAATTCGAGTCATTGATGCTTAGGTATTTTTATTAAGTCTGAATGTATAAAAACTCGTAGATACATTGAATAGAATCTCCAGACTTGTTCTGGTCTGTTTCCTCCCTTAGCCACCTCTTCAGCTTCGTCTCAACAAGTCAAGCGCGACTTAGAGAACCCTAATCGAGTCGTTGACATTGACATACCTGGGCAAAATCGGGGGTTTACAGCGAATCGTTGGTGCTTGAGTTCCCGTGTGAAACGTCCGCTATATAACGAGCTGCTCCGAGCTATCGACAGCGATGAAGATGAAAGAGGGAATAAATAGTTATATTCTTCTTCTGTAACCGTCTTGATACTCGTAGCAAACGCGCACCGCCAATCGGACAGCGTCAAAGAGGGACAACAAGGACATCAAGCGAGCACCGTAACCGAGGGAGCCGATTCGGACCTACAAATAAATAGAACAACAAGAGAATACACGCATACCGTTTCAGATCGATAACTGAACAACGTCCGACCTTCTAAACCTCCTCGTCCCTTCTTTCTCTTCTTCGCCACTCAACACAAAATACCCAACTCTCGTTCGCAGTCGTCCATACGCTCACATCCCCCCATCCACACTCTCGTCCTCACTATCCCACGCTCCCAGTCCGAGCCCAAGATCCCTCACACTCCCCACCATGACCATAATTCCTTGCACACCCTGCCCGATCTCTCCCCCGAACCCTTCAAACATCTCCATCAACCTCCCCACATCCTCCAACGCGAAATCCTCCATCTCCTCCACCAACGCCAACTCCTCCCTTTCTCCTCCATCCATGTCGCCCTCGTCGCCACTATCTCCGTTCCCATACCCATTGAGCTTCGTGGCACGTCGTTTTCTACGCTCGGCCATGCTGGCGAGCTGACGCTGTGTGGCGTCGAAGAGGGAGGTGTGGAGGTGAGGGGGGAGGGAGGAAGGGCCACCGAGAACGCGGAGGGTGTCGGAAAGGGATTTGTAGAGGGAGGAGAGGAAGGAGGCATCGGATTCGATGGCGATGCAGGCGATGAGTTGGGAGTAGGTCGCGGAGACCATTTGGTTCGTTAGCGTGTTCGAGTTTTTGCCGGCAGAGATAAGCATGGGTACAATCCTATCGATAACATCAAGTTAATATCAATCACGAATAAACTCTCGAGGTTCGGTGACGGTAGGATATGTTCAAGATAAAATGTCAGCACTTACATCGCACAAGCCTCCCTGACGCCATCATGTAGATAAAATCTTAAGCTTGGCAACACAAGCTCAAGCGTCTGACTCAAATAGGGAGCGAACTGCGTCCCGAGCGTGGACACGTAGATGACCAACGTCTCGAACGCCTGACATTTCTCGTCGATGGCGGAAGTGCGAACGACGACCTGCTTTCCGTCCATGGTGATCGTCTCCCAGCCTTCTTTGTCTTCCGGGACGTCTTCGTCTTCTATGGTCGTTCATCATCAATAATTATGAGCGTTCGACGGAAAAGAGATGAAACGGGCTGACAGAAGGGAATGAAAGGGGAAAAACTTACCATAAATCGAAACATCAGCCTTCACACTCGCAGCCCTCAACAACTGCGGCATTACCGCCGGTAGATAACGTTCGAACTCGGGGCCCATGGCCTGACAGACCTTCGCCCAAGTCGCGATGAGGTAGTGCGGCAGCATGGCATCGCCGGGATCAACTGGGCTGTCTTCGAACACAGACAGGCATAAGCCACACTAAACTACTGAGGTGCAAAGATAGGGAAAAGATAAACGTACTTTGTATGCGGATCAACTGCTCTACGAAGACTTGGGAGTCTGGCCGGAACACGTCTCGTCCCACCGCGATCGCTGTAAGTTCAGAAAATATAGTTAGCGCATTGATCTCCGGACGGGTTAAATGAATCGATAGGGGAAGACGCAGAGACTCGACGCACCGATCAACCCGGCACACTCCATCGCCTTGACTCTCAACTTCCTATACTCCGGTCCATTCGCGTTCTTGAGAACGTTCAGGAGCAAGGGCATAATGCTTGAGTAATGCTGTTTGGAACACGACCCACCAAAACATCACAGTATCCACACCGGTTCCATTCACCCAGACAACGCCACACGACGCAAGAAGATACCAAAATCAACGTCAATAATACAACTCCAACCCGCAAACTACGACCACCAACGCAAAGCGAAGCAAGGAAACTGACCTTCGCGAACGTATCCTCACTCGCATCCGCAACCATCGCCAACGTCGTGATCACCTGCTCCTGTACATATCTCTTCACGCCCGTCCCATTCTCGTTCCCAGCCCCATTCGCATCTGCGTTCGCGGAAGAGAGGCCGGCAGGATTAAGAAGTTTGAGGAGCCGCTCGACGATAGGATCGAGGTAGGGGATGAGCGTGTCACGCTCGACGCCTTCGCAGAAGTTGATGAGGGCGGCTGCGGCGTGGGCGTGAACTCTGTTACCGACAACGTTCGGGGAGAGGTAAATCAGGATGGGGTCCCATAAAATACAGTCCGGAGAACAAAGAGAAGGGGGTCAAACACAAAGAAAAGTCGACGAAGGGTCGTGATATAGAGGTAAAGACAGCCGATCGAGTCGGTGAAATGGGTACGAAATGGGAAAATTAGAGGCGATAGAAGATGTGGAAAAGGGAGTCTTGGAGAAAGGAGACACGTACCTCGACTCCGGGGCTTCGAGCGTAGGGATGAGCACTGAGAACAGTTGCTGGTGGTATTCCGCCTGGATAACTTCCTGAACACCGAGAACGAAGCGCGTCATTCGATCTCCATATTCACTCCGCCAAAGTTCTAGTTGAGAGAGTCGGACGTACCTCGAGATCCGTACAAAGCTGACCGCTAGATGGACGAGGTTGTCGGATTAGTTCAAGTGAACAAACAAGGGGCAAGGTGCATAGAAGAAGATGCAGAAGGATGGAAGGGCGGAGGGTTCAGAAGGGGGACGTACACGCATTGACAAGCCGCATATCGCACCCTCGGATATGGATCACTGAACAGCGGGAGGATCAAGCTACACAAAACAAAAACAAAACACGGTCAGCATTTCGTCCGCGTAGCTCCACCACCAGAGGCAGACTCCTCCGGAACACACTCTTCGATATTCTACGTTCGTCTCGTTCAGTAAGCACTCGAACGTAAATATTCATCACTGTGCCTTCTCTCTCGAAGCCGCCACCCTTCCTTCGAGTGAAAGATCCATCTTGGAACACATTATCGAGTCACCCGATCACGACTCGTCCAGCTCATCCACTCTGCGTTCCCACATCTCTTCCAAGAGAACCCAACAGCCCAACCAACCATCCACGAAGAAAGACAAAAACATAGAGGAAAGAACGTACTCAACAACCTTCCCCAGCTCATTCTGCATCACCTTACTCGTTCCCTCGCCTACCGCCGCGATGGCCATCAGGCCCGCATATCGCAACCTCCAATCGTGGCTCGCCTATCGCCCCACGCGAACCCAACATACCGATTCACCATCGCGCCGTCGCGCCGATACACACGATCACGATCACGAACGCCAGCCCAGACGGATAAAAAGACGAAACTGATCAGCTTCGAAGAAAACCGACTGGAGAAGGAAGGCAGGATGGAGACAATAATAATAACGAAAACAAAAAGAAAAAGACCAAGGGGAACGAAGACGACCAAGGTTAAAACAACGTACCAACATGCCCGGTATCAACTGAAACGCAGCGGGCAGCACCGCTTTCCCGCCGACGGCACACGCGAGCCTGTCAAGCGACTGTTCGTAGATGTGGGGGTAGGTATCATCTGTCGGGTCGTCGGAGGGCTGGATTGTTTTCGGGATTGGTCGGTACGTGCGGGTTCGTTGAATTCGTTGGTGATTTGGCGGTTGGGTAGGTGGTGAGTAGATATTCCGTCCGTTGAGTGGAGTATAGTGGGTAGATTATGGAAGGGAGGTCGTATCGCGTGATATGAAAAACGAAACCTAGTCAGCTTCCAATCAATGCACGGGAATGATACAGAAAAAAATGAAGCGAATGGGCGATGCAAACGCAACCTTAACTTCCACCTCCCGGACATACGAAGCCCCCGTCTCAACGCACCGAACCCCCTTCTCGCCACTCCAACCAAACTCGGGAACGTCGAACCACTCCATCGACAAGGAAAGCCACCAACGAAAAAGGAAACAACAAAAAAACTCACATCAGCCTCCAACCATCCACTCAACTCCTCCTCCCTCACATCAATCCCCTCCATCCCGCCCAAACACCCCCTGACCAAAAGCTGGACCCAACCCTCCGTCCTCCTCACCATCCCCGGTTTCGCCTCGCTCAAGCTGATCATGAACTCCAACGCCGCCTTCCTCACCTCCTCCGCTTCCAGGTCTTGTTCGTCTTGCGGGTCGTCTTCCGCGCCGGAGGAGTGGGAGTGGGGAGAGAGATGGGAAGGGGATGGTGGGAATGTGAATACGCCGGAGGAAGGGCCGGAGGAAGAGGAGGAAGGGAACGGGCGGGCGACGGTGGGTGTGGGGCCTGGGTCAGCGCTGGGGAGGATGAGTCCCGGAAGCCAGCGAAGGAGGGCGGGGAGATGAGGGGCGAAGAGGGAGGGAGAGGAGGTAGCGAGTGGGGTTAGCGTGTTTAGGAAGCTGATGTGGCGGTGGCGTTGGAAGATATTCAGAAGATGTCAGTGAGATGAGAGTGAGAGGGGGTGTGAGAGACGTACCGAGGGAGTTGGGAGGCGGGAAGAGAAGGGAGGGTGTCGAGAATTGGATACATTAATTTGAGGGCGTGGGGCAGCGCGTGTGGCGAAAGGGCGGAGAGGTAGGACACGGCGGCTGTGAGAGCTGCGTGGCGAACCTACGGCAGGAAACAGTGGTTAGAACGAATGGAACGAGGTGGTTCTGAGTGGCTGAAGTGAGAAAAGAAAATAGAGTAGAGTGTTTACATCGAGATGTGGCGACGACGTAATAACGCCATCGGACCAGGACGGGAATGGCTACGACAGACGGCACGCCCCAATCGTCCGTAAAATTTGAAGAGTGAAAAGAGTAAGTAGAAGACTCACATCGACACTCTGCGGATCCTGGAGCCCTCTGCTAAACACCTCGACCACGGCCTCCGTCTGCAAATCCAACACCAGATTCGGACATCCGCCAAACACGCTGAACGCACTCTCCCTCTGCCCTGGCTCGCTCGAGTTCGTCATCTGGAACGCCTGGGCTTGAAGCGCGTGCCACGGCCTTCCTCTGGCCATGGAGTTATTCGCGAGATCGGAGACGGTGTCTACGCATTTGCGGCGGACAACGGGAGAGGGCTCGTGTGCGAGGGAGTGGAGAAGGAGACGTTCGAGAGTAGTGAGTGTTTGGGATGAAAGATGGTCGTAGAGGGTGAGGTGGGAGGACGCGTGTGGTTTGTGGGGCGAAGGGGAAGGTGCGGGGCGGAAGAGGAGACGGCGGATGAGGACAAGTGAGAAGGACCGCATCTGGCCGCATTTCAGTAGACATTCAACGATGAAACGAAGATAAGACTTACCACTTCGGTGTCTGCCCGAGTGGCGAACTGAGTCAGTGCGAGCACGTAGACCTCGGGCGTCTGCGCAAGCCTCTCGTTGACCGCCTTTTCTGCACTGTATTCATCCATTCAACATCCATACAACCATGAAAATGACGGATAACATACTTTGAACGGATCTCGTTGTCTCCTAGGACTAGATTCGACAGAATCTGGGTGAGCTCTGCAGTCACTTCTGCAGGTACGACCGCCTCCATTGTTCTCTTTTCAAATCGACGTCGTTTGAGATTGCGATGGCTAGACTCGAGTGACGTCCAGTCAATATTCAGTAAGCCCCTATTTTCTGCGATCGAGAAACAAGGCAACGAGGAGAAGAGAGAGGAGTGGTTGGAGGATGAAAAGAACGACGAGCACGATGAGCGCTAGTGCAGTCCTCGGCCACGCGCGTCTGATCGTCATTTCAAATTCCCCATCCCTCTTTGCCACGCCACCGTTCCCTCCTCTCCTCTCCCGCAGGAGGGGGGCGTATCGGTACGGAAGTCCGATCCCAAAACCCAAAATTCGGGTAGTTCTGTACTCAAGGTTTGGGAGGATTTCTGTACTTTTGTGGATCGGGTAGTCCAAATAAGGGCGCCTTCCGTACTCACGAGGGATTGGACCTTCTCCCAGACGAACACCTAAAACACCGTCAATTTCACACATAATGGTCTGTGCAGTGGCGTACAGTGTTGGAGAGTGAAGGTTGGCGACCAAGCCTGAACACATACAACAAAATTGTACGCATAGTGATCAGACCTAGGCAGTCCTGCCAACTTTCCGTACGCACAAGGGCAGTTCAAGGGATCGGACCAAGAGGCAAATCCAGGCCAGTCATGTACGCACAGGATCAGACCTCGCGTCGCGTTTGCCACCAAAACTGTACGCATAAGGATCGAACCTCGATACCAATACGCCCCCCTCCTTCTCCCGCTTCTGTTACGTCGCCTTGTCCAACAAGACACCTTGTCCTATCCACTGGGTTCAGAATTCTTTTCTTTACCAGTCGCTCTCACTTTGGCTACTGCACGCTTTCGCCATCGCTCTACCCTCGAGTCAACGCGACGCACCATCTTTAGCCTCGAGCTCCTTGATGCTATCATCCTTGCCGCCCTTCTCTTCTACCCTCCGAATCATCTACCTTTCCCTTTCCTCTCCCACAACCTCTCACAACCCCTCCATCAAACGATGAAACATCGAAGCTGCCGCGAGGAGCGCTCGACCTGTAAGCTTTAGGCTGGATACCTTCCCGCTCGACGACCCGTTCTTCTGGGGATATATCATCTTCTCTGCGGGGGCATCATTTGTGACCGTTCCTGTGATATCTGGGGCTGGACACGCGTTTCTTTTCTGCCTTGGTTTACCTTCCTGGTCTCTATAGTCTTTGCGTGAGGGGCTCTGACAGGTGACAGGACCGTTTTTGTTGTTTACTTCGTCTTGAGCTCGCTGGACTCATCCCCATCGCGAACACCTTTCTGCGCGATACGTCGCGACTACACGCTTGCGATATAGCCACCCAACCCATAGATCTGAGACAGCCCATTTCATGTGGCGCACTCTGTCTTTCTATATCGCCCTCGTTCGATATGCATCTCTCCTATGTACCCCATTCATCTCTCCTATGCTATTTTTTTTCGTCATCGATATACTTACCCACCCATTTGCATTTACGCCTACCGTCATGCCGTCGCCGTCGTTATTTTTGTTCGACGCTTTGCTTGCATGAGGTACATCGTGGTCGCAGCACGAGCGCAACCGCTCCGTCACTTTCCTAAAGGTATGTTCGCCAAGCCATTCATAGTCGTAAAAATAGCATCATGTAGCTCACCGTCGTCCGTGCCATCGCACTCATTCTCTGACCGCCATCTCGACTATCAACTTGACGTCAATGCCACTGCCGACGATGACAACGAACAGCGCAAGACGGGACTATTCAAAGAAGCATACCAGCCAGGCGTGTTGTGTTCAGTCGATGTCGCCGTCATCATCTTCGGTGAGGTTCGCCAATGTCGCGATTCAATTTTTAGCTAACACTCGCATTCTGTGCCTCTTCAACAACTCCTCACTCGTGCTGTTCCCCGTTCACAAGACCGTACTCATCGTGGCCAACGTTGACAAAAATGGACGCTTTCGATGACTCTCATGTTGAACTCCTTGACTACCAACTCGCGCGCAAATCTTTCGCTCGCGCGCGCTCATTCTCGCCATCACGACTGTCAACGCCAACATCCATGACCTCGCCGCTCCCTCTAATAACGAACAGAAAGAAGACAAGGACATGCGAATAAGATATATCAATATTGTTCGACGGATATACTGGGCAGGGTGGACAGGCATCGACGGGTACGTTCATCTCTCCCTTGCTCTTCCGGTATTCGTTTCTGGTCACCTCTCTGCTCTTTTATCGTACGAACAATATCTTCCCACCTCATTTTGTCAGTCTATTCCTCAATTGGCGCGTTTGCCTACGTCTCTAAACATACATATCTCTCTTGGTCTCTTCGTGATTCGTGTTGTTTCATTATATTTCTTCCCTCGCCAATCCTATTTCCCGTCCCGTTCTCTATTTCCATCCCATACTAGCGTCTTTATCCAGCTCAAATACATATTGGCTTCCACGCCCTCCGCCAATGTTCTCTCTCTATATTCACTGCATAGTCTCGTTTTGACCACTCACTCATAATGTCACCCTACCATTCATATTTCTTTCACTCTCGTCTTTTTCCGCGCATGTCTCACCTTTTGATTTCTCACACTCGCTTTTCGGCATCCCTACGATCGCCATTTCGTTCTGCTTGTCACTCTTCCACCTGTGTTAAATGGAGCATGTCTCATTACAGTATTGGAGCGTCCCCGCTCGTTCCTTCATGTTGCCCAATTGTTCATCGTAATCATTTTCGTTCCTTATTGTCCTGCGGGTTCTACGTCGCCTTCACGCACCCCACACGACTTCTCAGGCAACGCACCCCCTGGTGCTAGTGCAGGAGGCCATGTCGGGGACGATGACGACTATTAGAACGTGACGGACGACCCTTCTTCCCGTGGAGGAAGTGGGATGGCTGGAGGGGGAGGGGGAATGGGAGGAGGGAGAGGGGGACGGATGGCTCCGCAAAAGAGCGAAGGGGCGATTGATGCGAGTCTTGCGTCTTTTGGTTCAGTTTTGAGTTCGTTCTCTTTTCCTATGCCCGGGCCCTCGTACGTTAGATTCGGAGCAAGCCCCTGCTCTGGGCATGAGGGAGAGGTTAGAGGAGGATTCAGACTTGGAGTCTATGGTCTAATTGTACACGCTTGCTATTCTAGCTGCTCTTCTTTTTATAGTTCGTTTTGTTTTATGACGGTGGGAAGTTAACATCGTACCTCGTGGCTTTGTGGCGTGCTCTCCCACTCGCCCTTCTTCCCTTCCCAGTATACAACTCTCTCTTCACTATTCGAACATCGTCCTTACTCCGATCCGAGCATCTCAGATGAACCCGCCTCCTCCCCGCGATGCAGACTTCCCTTTTGGCGCCACTCACGCCAGCGCAGAGTTCATACTTCGGTCGTCCGATGGGACAAACCATGTCGATTTCTTCGTTCACAAGTTGATCTTATCGATGACATCTCCCTTCTACAAAACCATGTTCACTCTCCCGCCTCCATCTACGCCGCCGCCGCCGGGTCCCCAGTCTGTCGATATAGAGCGAATCGTAGACGGCGTTCAGTATGTCGTTCTTCCGGTCAGCGAAGACGCCGAGACCACACTCCATTTCCTCCATCATTGCTATCCATACAACAATCCGCCGCCCACTGATCCCCCGATCCTGCGCAAGCTCTTACGCGTCCTACACAAGTTTGATATGATGGATCGTCTGTCCCACCACGTAAACACATTGATCGCGTTCCTTGCTCGAGAGAGACCCGCCACGGCCTTCGCCATCGCTCACCTGTTCAAGGAAAAGCTAGGACCCGCCGCTCGAGACGCCGCCTATCTCTCTCTACGCAGAACCTCTGCGCAAATCACGCAGGAACAAGCCGCGCTAGCGCATGATGATACAGAGCTCCAACACGCCTTCAACCGACTCATCAGGTATCGTCAGTCGTGTACAAGTTGTGCTAGGTCAACGGCGGACAACGTCAATCGTATCAGCTGTTACGACGTTCCGGGATCGATGGAGAAGGACTGGTGTTCATGTCCTGCGTATTCGACGGGATACAAGCCTGGGAGGGGGATCGAGCGGTACCCGATGTGGGTGAGGGACTTTATGGAAGGGTGTAAGGAGGTGTTGGAGGAGACCCCGCATCCGGATATGATGTTGGACGCGAGGCTGTATATCCTACCTGTGAAGACTGCGGCTGGGTCCGGATGTGCTAGGTGTCGGGTCACGGTGGATGGGCTGCCTTTGTTTGGGGCTCGTCTTGCGAAAAAGGTTGCTTTGGCACTTGAGGGAGTAAGTACTTCCTTGCTTTCTTTTCGCACATATGCTTGGTCCGTGTATCTCAGTGTCTGACGCGTTCTGTGATTTGTTTTAGCATTCGGCATCGCTTACGAGAGAATGAGTAAGTACTTTAATTGATCGGAACGGTCTATTTGAACGGGTGCTCATATGATGCCGGTTGCATGTAGGGTATCAGTTGGCTTGCGAGATGGAGTTGTCTGAGGAATGAAGACGATGCGGGAACAAATTTATGGTGCCTTTTCGCCGAGCGCAATTTTGTTTCGTAGTTGCTCGTGGAGCAGAAGTATGGGCGATATATTGTGCAAAAATTCTGGGGCCAAATATGCGCGCAACTTTTGCAAAAGTTGCGCACCTAGCACCTGTATGCGCACAACTTCGAGAAGACGCGCGCACCTTATTCTGTATGCACGCACCTCCAACCGTATGTACGCACCTCCAACTGTATACACGCACATCGTTTTGTGAACGCCCACACCTTGTAACGATGTGTGCGCGCACCTCAAAGGAGCACGTGCACAACATCTCTCCGATGCGCACCGGTTTTGTCCGAAGCGCGCTAGTTCAACTTGCTTCGGACACGTACATCTTGAAAAAGTCCGTTTTCAGTCTGAGCTCATTCGTGCTGGGAGGAATTCTCGAGTCTCCTGTCTAGGAAATCTGCTCAACTCGTAAGATTGGACTTCGATCCGTTGTCTGAATCAGGCATGAGGAGCGATCTAGCTACTCATGCTAGTGTCACTTCTGAGTCGGGATACCCCTGTATTCGTTTATCTATCTTGGCTCTCCCAGTCTGTTTCATCGACCTTCTCATTCAGAGATGATTCCACCTGTCTCAGATACTCCAGCATTGCATCTTGAACGAGGTTTAATCAACAGCTGTGTGCGATCTTGGTGTAGCAGCATTTTGCTTCCGCTTTCGATCGATCGGGTAATCTTGGGGCGACCAGGTATTATGATATTCTACCTTTGGCCTACTGAATTGTCGTCCTCTCCCGATACTTGCCGCTATCAACCCTCCATTGCGATGTCCACTGTCTACTGGATTCCACCAACAATGTCCTCCGCTGGGGAACCATACTCCAAGTCCCGCATTCATCTGTGAGCCTTGGTTTGCATTGAGATCACATACATTTACTAGTGTCCTTCTCAAGTACGGTCAAGGTACGGTCCAAGCCAAGTCATTTCACTGACAAATTGTAATCGGCCTTGCTAACCTCCGGAAACTCTCCTAGCAACCGTCTTCGAGAAACACCATTCGCTAGGCCACAAATCCACATCACGCTCATCTGCCCTGCGTCATATTACTGCTTCGCGGGCCGTTTAGCTCGAAGATAAGCGTGAAAAAAATCTTTCACCATCCCCTCGTCCTCCTTTTCTAACCTAAGTCAAGATCTCGGAAGGTTCTTGTTCGACCCGAACGCTTTCAGCCTTCTGTCTCCGCTCACCCCTGCGAGATCGTTCAGACTTTTGTCTCCGCTGCCGCCCACAACATCGCTTCAGACTTCTGTCTCCGCTGCACTCTAGTTATCCCACTCAATATGTACTCAGATGCTCAGGTTCTCAACTGGACTCTCTCGTCCGACGACTTAGGTGCTTGCCCCCATGCCGACTGTAAGGACATCTGTTTCGGATTCTGGCCACTTCAAGACCCGACCAACATTGGGCTTGCCATGAATCCCGCCACGTTGCCCATGGCAAAGTGCATGTTCTGTCCGCACGTCGCGATCTTCCACAAGAAAAAAGCGGCACCAAATGTTTGTTCCACATGCTTCTCCATCGTCCTTGACCTCTATCTGATTCTTTCTTTCTTCTCCAGCGTCCATCCGCGTCCGACTTTGCCCCGCAAGCGAATACTGCTCCGGTACGTAATAGTATTCGCACAACCTTCCCTTACAACCCTGAACTATGTTATCTATACATCATTCGTCTCTCATCATATCCTCCTCCGTTTTCATTACTAATGCCGTTCCATTTCGTCTTCTGTGCTGCCACAGCAGTTCCCGAAGACCGCTGGTCCTACGCCCACTCAAAGCACTCTCTTCGGTTCTCGTCCCCCGGTTTATACCCCGCCAGCATACTCTTCAACGGCTTCTACGTCTACGGCCCCTGCCTCCTCTGCCTTCGGCTTTGATCCGAACGTCTTCAAAACGCATACCAGTGTCCGAACGGATCGCGTCGACCAGGCTCAGGACGCTGCTCCTCATCCAGCTCCTACCAATCCTCGGCCTACTTCCATACCCTCCTACGCTGCTCGTGCCGCCGGTCGCTCCGAGGATATCGGCAACAACACCATGGCTCAGAAAGAAGGCAAACCTCAGAGTAAGCTTCAGAATCACTTTCATCCGAGTACCGACGTACGTACCTTGCTTTCCTCGTCAGAACCGACTCTCACTGTTTTCTAGAATGCTACCGAAGCCAGTACTAACGGTCGTAAACGCCCCAAGGGTTCCCGCAAGTCGAAGAAGTCGTTGGGCGGTCAAGATGTCAGCGGTGCGAAATCCTTGTCCTCGAAGGCTGGAGATACGGTCGAGTTCACCATCGCCCTCCTTCCCAACACGGCCGCCGTGCACGGAGGTTACTGTCGTCTTCCGAAAGCTGACGGGTGAGTGGCATCCTCACCACATCTTCTCGACTCTCTTTTTTCTTCAACATACCCTCTGTGTTCGTACTACATGAAACCTTTCGACTCTCATGACTTGTCTTGGTCGATATCTCTTCTCGTTATTCGTGCTCATCTTTCATGATCGGATCCACCTCCTGACGTTCCTTTGAAATGGTTGTTATTATTTTCTCACATCCTTTCCCAGCCTCGTCCGGCTAGACAGTCTCGAACTCGTCAAGACCGTCAAGATCTTCTCCGATGACTCTGCCGAAAATATATCCGAAAAAATCACCACCCTCTTCCGCCATGTCCCCGAACTCTGTGAATCCGCCGACGCTTGCGACGAGGCCCATTCCACTCACCCAAACGACCCTAACCTCCCCTTTGCGGCTTGGGTTCCTCTTTTCCCTCGCAAGATCAAGCGCGGTGTTGCACCCCTTCTGAAACCCTACCCTCAAACTCGTCAACTCGATCTGAGTCAACTTCGACGGTGTGTAGACACGTTTTATTCACCCTTTTTCCAAAGCCTTATATCTTCATTTTATATATTAGACTTGCTGCCGCAAGCGCCGTTCGAAACGCAAAAACCGCCTTCAAGAACCTTGTTCTCATCGCTCTTCCTCAAGGCCGGGGAGATATCGCGGACGCCTTAGGTAGTGATGATGACTCGGAGGATGAGACGGACGACGACGACGACGACGACGATGAGGATGGGGATGAGGAAGAGTGTGAGGAAGAGGATGCGTCCGTATTGCCGTCTGACACTGGAGGGGTCGAGGATCCTGTCGGCGAGGGGAGCAACAAGGGGGAAGAGTCGAATGGTGACCTTACTGACATGCCTCCGCCAAAGGTTCGTGTTCCATGTCTCGTATCCTTTCTACCTCGCCATCTCATGCTCTATTTGTCTTCTATCAGCGCCCTCGTACGGACAAGGGCCCGTCAACGTCCGACACCGCGACAGAATCACCCTCAATGTCTGCTAATTCCAACACGCCCGCCTCTGCTTCAGGGCCTTCCACTACCGTACTGGCCTGGCAACAGTCCTGGGCGCTATACCTCCTTGGGAATGTTGTAGAACCTCGACCTCGTAATTCTAGCATGGTATGTGTGATCCTTTCTCGCTTCGTAGTACGGTGCATGACTCAAAATTTCAATACACATAGTGGCCTTCCATCCCTCACGCAATGTATGGTCCTGCTCTGGCTTCGATGAAAGCTATGAAGGCGGCCCACTCCGTCTATTATGGCAAAACCACAGCTAGCACATGTGCGTCTCTCATATTCAGCTTACATCTGCCTATGCTGATGACCTCTTCTGTAGCGCTCGACGAATTGATTTTTTGGAACAGCTTTATCGTTCCGTTCATCGACTCGATCGACTTCCTCAAGACGCTTGCTGCTGAACTACCGACATTCTCCTCCGACGAGGTTACCGCTGCAACTACCAAGTTCGGCCCTCATGGTCTACACGAGATTGCGGAAGGTCTTTCCTACGTCTATACCTTCCTCCCGACAGTTACCTTCCCCTCTCATGACGTCTGGAAGCAATATCGCACAACACTGGGCGAAATCTCCAAATCAATTTATGGTCTTGTCCGCAACTTTTACCGCTGTCCCACAAGCCCCTCACCCGACGTGTATTCGATTCCCGCCATTCGTCTGTTTGCTAGAGCGGTTGCCCAGTGTGACAAGAAGCGTGAGCTCCAGGTACGTCTCGCCACATTCTTTGATATTACTCTATGAGGCTGACTCTCCCACAGATTGCATCCGAGTACGATTGGCGCAAGCTTCATGTTGTGTTCCTCCTCGATTCGTCAAAGCCGGAGGAACGCCGCACAAATATCACTCACAATAAGTAGCCCCATGTGTACATAGGTAGGAATACATGGTACAGCAGTTTAGAAGTGGAGTGAATGCTCGTAGCGGCGTACTTATGGGTAAGCCGAACACTGTATTCGAACCAGGTGGAGTACCTCGGCTTCCAAGGGATCCGTAGCGTATACAACGAGTTCAGGCTTGTGAAGTATATGTGGCCATATATGCTTCACACGCTACTAACGACCTTATGGGAGCTTTACGAGCCTCTATACAAAATGTACTACGATTTGGTCTTGAGGGCGTACATGGCTACACATGTTTCAAGTTCTACTACCTAGCCGTTTGAGCCAAAATGTGTATAAGTAGAGCTGTATGGGGTGAAGGCTAGATTCGTAACTCTTCTCCACGGATTCTTATGGGCGTAATATTGTGCAAAAATTAGAGTGGGCGTAAGTTCCCATATGTGTTCAAAAAACACACATAGGTCCAGTCGGAGCTGGTGTAAATTGCAAGAAGGTGCGATATGCTTCACTCAAGTGCCATTGAATGCAGGGATGTACTTCCAATGCACACAAGTCGTGGAACACACACAAGTTTGAGGCCCAAGCCACACACAAGTATTTGCTTTGTTGTATCAATCCGTGTAAATGCACACAGGTCTCCAGGCCATCGAGACTGTCTTTAGATGACATTGTGACATTGACATGTAGAGGTCGATGCTTCCGTTGTACTTCCGTTCGATTGCTTTCCGGGGTCCTGCACGCCCTGTTCCTCTTTATAATCACTGAATGTCGATTATCCAAATTTGGCAGTACCTTGACATATTTTATCTCTAGCGGAGTTTTGAATCTTGGTTCCAACTGTACAGTTGTCTGTTTATGGGATGTGTGGCTGAGGTGATGGGGTAAGCGCTGCGGCGATCCCAATTTGGTCATGAACTATACAGCTCAGGCCTGCATATGGAAGGTGTGGCTGCACAGCGTAATCACCCGCAACTCGGTGGTGATGACATCATTGGGGATCACGTCTTGTCGCCACATTCACCTCTGAAATCAGGCGGAACTACGAACTCAGGTGTGCCAGCAGGCATTCAGTGTTATACTCATTGGTGCAGCAAGGTTAACTCAATATTGTAGAATGGAAGAGGCATCGGGGATCCATACTTTCTATATGAACTCGCACAAAATCCTTCGCGAAGCAAACTTCACGCTTCTCTCCATCCCTAACGCAGATAGGGCCGCGGTCGAGCGTACGACTCGCCAACTGGAAGCCGTTCAGATGATTCTCCTCAACCTTGAAGACCCTTACATCACCGAGGACGAGCGCTGCACTTTGATCGAAACGGTGGCGTCCTTTCTCACCCCGCTCCAATACTTTTTAGACAATCCTCCTCCCCCCCCTTCTTCGTACATCCCTCGATTTTTCACCGGTCTTCCTGGACGTCCTCGCTATGTACTTGACCTTGCCCGTGCGCAATGCCTACATGCGCTTGGGGCCTCGTGGGTACGGGTCGCGGAGGCGATGGGCGTTGCTCGTCGCACATTATATTATCATTTAGAAAGGGAGGGAATAAACCCGTCGCCTCCTCCGAATACGGACATTTCGGATGATGCTCTCGATGAAATCGTTGCCCAGCTCACATTAGAGCATCCTTTCGAGGGCGCCGGGCTCATGCGGGGCCATCTTTTGGCACGGGGCATAAGACTTCCGATTAAACGTGTTCAGGACAGCCTGAAACGTGTGGACCTTATAGGCGTGCTGACGAGGTACCCGCCGGTGTTTTTCTTGCTATAATATTTCCTCTGTCTAAATATGTCTTGTCCAGATGGGCGGGCATCATTCGACGCCGCGTTTATCGTGTTCGTGGTGCTATGGCGTTGTGGCACCAGGACGGCAATGAAAAGCTATTACCGTGGGGCTTCTACATACACGGATGCGTCGACGGCTTTTCACGCTTGATCATATACCTCGCCCTTCGTCTCAACAAACGTTCCTCTACGGTTACCAAGGTGTTTCTAGAACACGTCCGACTGTTTGGCTGGCCATCCCGTGTGCGAGGTGATTACGGGCTCGAGAATAACGGCATAGAACGTTCGATGATTGGGCATTGGGGTATTCAGCACCGGGCGTATATTAGGGGATGGTGCAGCCTTTCTATCTTATCGCTTCCTGCAACTCTCGCTCATATTTTTATCATAGGTCTATGCACAACGTCCGGATAGAACGTTTGTGGCGCGACGTCCGAAAGGGCACAATCGAAACATATCGGCAAATATTTCTCTATATGACTCGCGCTGAACTTCTGGATATGGCCAATCCGATCCATAAAGTCTGCCTCATCCTCGTTTTCTTCGATCGCATCCAGGCATCCTTGAACCGGACTGTCGAAGCCTGGAATCACCACCGCATTCGCACAGAACATCATCAAACTCCCGTCATCATCTTCGAGTTGAGTCGAGAGCGTGGGCTGAGGGAGGGATGGTGGCGACATGACCCTGGTGACCCTGTCGACGTAGCATCAGACCCTCTATACGGCGTTGACGGCGAGGGTCCTCTACCGCCATCCGACGAAATCAGGCAGGAACGTAGTGGAGAAGGTGTGGATGATGTGGATGGCGAAGACTTTGTGGACGAGGGCGCACCTTGATCCCGAACCACCACCTGGTCGGTACTTTCCCACGGCCTCCCTGGCCCAAGGACGTCGTCTGCGATGAGCTCCACGAACAGGGAGATGCCCTCGGGCACTCTCCCAACGCGAGCTTGTCTGTAGGCGTCGTGTCACCTAGACTCGCGCCCGCCGGATGAGTTCAACCCTATGAACCACCGGAGAGACGCACACGAGATGTACGACGTCGCCCACACCCTGAACCCTCGTTCATCCGAACTTTTAACTGTTCACGACCTCTGCGAAGGAGTAGACTTATGCCTTAGACCCCACATTGTGAGTATATACACTCTGTTATGCTAGAATGCACCCTCTGCGTACGATGTCCCAAACCGTGTCATCCACTGGCAAGCTGCTTCCGCGGCAGTCGTGCGACGACGTACCACTCTCCCCCCACCTGCACCTGGATAGATACAGGCAACTTCACGCTAAAAGCACCTTGATTCATGCCCTAGAACTGTACCCTGCTCACCACTCCCAACCCCCCCTTCGTTGCGATCCCAAGCCCTGTGCCCAGCAGGTGCTTATGTAAGGTTACTGTGGGCACAGGGTGTGTGGCCCAAGCCTACCAAAACACATCGATGGTCGGGGTAACACGTTCCCCGACGTAGATCAACACGATAAGGAGCCCAAGCCGCGCACTCGAGGCCAACGGCCCAATGCTATTGGCTGGGACGGCTGAGGAGCATGCGGCCATGTCAAAACCTTTGGCTTGTCTCGATGAGTGAGCCAACCGGATCGCGCTGAATCCACAGCCGCAGCTGACGAGGAGTTTACCCGCCCCAATTTCTCTTTTTTCTCTCGCCTAGCGCAGATCTGTACCCCAGGGCGAGCACAACAAAACCCAGACATCGACGTGGCATCTCGAATCCCCCGACGCACCATCGTTTCCCCCAAACCCGCTGCCCGTTAAATCGTCTCTAAAACCCTCTTTGCGAAAATGCCGAAGTCTACCCCTTCTACCCCTGCTGTTTCTACTGGACCAACGACGCCGTCTCGTCCAGCCACTCGGGCGCGCCCAGCGACGGACACCCAGCCCCCTCCTCCCGCTGGCCCCGACGCGGATGATCCCTCAGACGTCGAAATGGACGAGCTCCACCGTCAATTCGACGACGAAGGACTCATAGCCGCATTCGCTGAGACGGAAAATAATGCGACCCCCACCAAAGGTTAGCAATCTGGTCTGGAACCGCTAAAATCGCGCCCCTGACTCCCCTTTGACCATTCTAACATAGGGAAACCTAGCCTCCAAGCTCGCAACCCTCCCCCGGGACCCGAGCGCAGCCCAGAGGACCGTCATGCCAGTGCGAAACGCCGCCGCACGGATGAGATGACGGACCGCCCAGAGGGCGGGGCACCCCAAGTATGTCCGCTGTCCCAACATGTAATCCCTTAATGCCTGAAAAACACGGTCTGACCACCCCATCTTCCCCTGTCCTTCTGCTAGATCCCCTCGGAGCCCTCGAACACTGGCGGCGAGCGAGGCGCCGATCAGCCGGAGCCTGACGCTGCTTGCCCCCCTCCCGACGACCCTGCTGATGCCAGCCACCCCAACCGCGATGACACGCCCGGAGCAGGGGGTAGCGGTGGCGGTGGAGGCGGTGGTGGAGGCGGTGGTGGAGGCGGTGGTGGAGGCGGTGGTGGAGGAGGGGGCGGAGACGACAACGGAAACGGTCGGGGCGGCCGGAATGACCCCCAACCCCCTCGTCCTCAACCCGCCACGTACGCTACCCTTCCCCCCCAAGCAGACCGCATTACGGGCGTCCACCCGAACTGGGGCCTCGAATACAACGACCTCGATCAACTCAACCTCCTCTACAACGTGCGGTCCCCTATCAACCTTGTTCACGTCTACGGCTCTGGCTACAGCCAGAACAGACAGGACGACTGCCGTCAGATCGCCGAGTTCCTCAGGACGGAACGAGGCGAAGCGAGGCCGCTCGTCGTCGCAGCGGAAGTCGACTTCCCCGAAAATGCGCGCCTCCATAGCGGCGCTCTGTTCGTACACGGTATCTCCGGTGCAACCTCGACCTTCCTTACCGACGCACACATGATATCCACCTCCGCTATCACCTTCTCTGCGCACCCATTCCCGCCTGCTTTCGATAACTTCCAATTCACTATGACGAACGTCCAGTTTGACGAAGGGGACTCCCAGGGAGTCGCGGCCCTTGTCGCGGCCACCCTACGAGGATCCGATATCTTCCGTCAGTTCTGCAACACGAACGTCGACATGACCATCTACAACAGCGCCCTCGCGGGCTTCGAGGCTACTATCAACTCCGTCTACGCCCGACCCCTCCTCATGACGAACCGTGGCGGGGCCCCCAGAATCGACTGGAACATCTTCGTGGCCAACGTATCCCTGATCCCCCACGTCCGCGACGAACAAAATGCCATCGTGCGCTCCCTCCGATACACCGATCTCAATCACGGCACAGGCTACGCTATCAACCACCCTCACTTCTGCAGGATGTGCCGCTCCACATCCCACCCCCACAACGTCTGCCCCTACCCGAGGATGAACGGATGGAGGGGACCGCAGCCGCGCGAACCGCAAGGAGCGGTACGCGGTGGATTTATGGGACACGGAACAGCTGGGCGAGGGGGCCGCGGATGTGGTGCACGAGGTGGTGGCGCCCCGCGCGGTTCCTTTCGAGACTTTCGGGGCCAACACGCGCGTGGCGGTCGCGGCGGTAATTGAACGCATCCTATTTTTCATAGCGATCCTCTCCTTCTCCATGCTCGCCTTCCTTTTCGTCGCGCGACGCTCTTTTAGACTCCTTACTATGTCTCCGAAAAGCGGCTAGATTGCACCGCCCTCGCTCCCCACCCTTTGATCCTCTTACCGTTCCCGTTCTGTACCCACTATCCACAACATATACATAAAAAGAACGAAAACTACCCTACAAAACATCCAAACACATTTCCACTCCCTCTAGTATGCCCTGCCTCTGTTTCATACGCGTACGAGCCCTGTTGTGGCCCCACGCACCCACCCAAAAAGTACGGCGACGTACAAACTCCCTCCCCTTCTGCACCGCTCTTGTCGTCCTCTCCTCCTACCTCGAATCCTTTCCGCACTGCCCGTCGTATTGCGTAGTCGTGATCACATAAAATTGATCTTTCAGGTTAATATTCGTGATGTCCGAACCAGAATGGGTGCGCACGACGCTCGAGGAGCGTAGAAGTAAGAACATCCCACGAGAACGAGAAGTCGGTGCCTGCGACTGAATGTGTCGCTAGGTCTATCCGGGCTGCAGTCCGAACGGCGAGCGATGTTCGCTGCACAGGAGTACAGCCCACGGTAACGGCATACAACTCTTCTTAACCATCAAGGCGACAGTGTCCTCCCGTCGATACTACAGCTGATGAAATGGTTGAGTCGTACGGAGACGGGAAGTACGATTTAAACAAACAACACACCACCAATGAATTACAACTATAACAGCAACACAACAAACACACCTTTGGGCGAGGGTCATGAAAGTGGCCCCGGTATCGGTTCGAGCGTCTTCGGCGCTGGAGAGGCTACTATCCCTCCCGCCGATCGTGACCTCAATGAGAGCGCTGGAGACTATGGTGGCGGGAACCCCCCGACTCACGAGACGAGGCGACCTGAATCAGGCGCGTCTGGATCCCGAAGGGTTAACCCCGCCGGTCGTCCAGATGATCCTGGTGAAGGAAGTAACCAGCCCCGTGAGTCAAACCCCACCTCGGGGAGCAGTGCCAATACTGCAGCGCAACTAGCGCAAGATGGGCAAACATTGCACCAGAACGTTGTGCCAAATGGCGGTGACGTGGCACAGGACAGGCATCGCCCGCCCCAACCCCAAAACGGGCAACAGAACGAGGAGGGAGATGAAGCCGAACGGCCTGATGAGCAGACAAACGAGGAACCAGTACCTCCACCCCCGGAGAACGACACCGCAAAGGCACGCAAAACAAAAGCTTACCTTAAAATAGCGACACTAAACATGAGAGGCCGGCGTAGTGCCACGCAGCCAGACAAGTGGGCATATATCTGGCGAACGTTGGCGAGCAATCATGTAGGCGTGATGGCGGTCCAAGAAACCCACCTCACTACGGAAGAGACGGAGAGCCTGAACGAGAAATATGAAGGGAAAATGCTAATCCTAAACACCATTGACCCTGAACACCCGAACTCCAAGGGAGTAGCCTTGGCCATCAATACCCTCAAACTTGGGAATGTCATAGTACGACAGGAGAACATTGTGAGCGGGAGAGCGATATATGCAGAGATCCCGTGGCACAAAAGAACGGTGCGGATCCTAGGAATCTATGCGCCGAACAACCCTGGCGAAAATGAAGAGTTCTGGACAGAGCTCAGCGCAAAGCTTGACTCTGGCGAACTGCCGCAATTTCATGTCATGATGGGAGACTTCAACGTTGTCGAAGACTCGATAGACCGCACACCGGTCGATAACGATTCGCAGGGGGCGAAAAGGGCATTGATGGAGCTTAAATCTAGGATCTTACTCCAAGACGGCTGGCGAGCAACATACCCGGATACGCTGAACTACACGTATTGGCAGACGGCAACAGACGCGCGGTCTAGAATTGACCGAATCTACGTGGTTAATGAATTTATAACGTCGACGGGGAGCCGAGAATGGCGCATTGAGACCTCTGGTGTGGACACCGACCACAAAATGGCCACGGCGGTACTCCTTGATGAAGACCTACCATTCCTAGGCCCGGGCAGATGGGCTATGCAGACACACCAATTGCAGGACAGGAAACTAATAAAACAATTGACTGACCGTGGAGCTGTATACGAAGAGAACATGCTTAGGATCAGACGACAAGGCAGATCCGAAGAGAACAACGCCCAGACCGAGTTCAAATCGCTCACCGATGACTTTGCGAAGATAGCTAAAGAACATTCCCGAAAGAGGGCGCCGGGGCCGGTCAGGGAGATCCAAAAGCTGGAAGTCGAACTCCGTATCCTGTTCAACAACAAGGACATCACAATCGACGAGCGGAAACTGGGCGGTGCAATTATCCAAACTCGCATCAATACGCTGTGGAAGGAAGTACAGAAATCAGCCAAGGCGACCACAGCGGCACGGGTGCACCTGGAGTATGAAACAATAAACAAACTCTGGTGTGCGCTGGGGAAGGAGAAGATACCGAGGGACACAATCATGGAGTTAACGGACCCGAACGCAGAGCGGCCCACCCTGGCCAAGAAATCAAAAGACATGGCCAACCTTGCAAGGGACTACCATGAGAAGCTACAGGAGACCGATCTCCTCAATAACAAGGAAGATTGGAAACAACGCACCGAAGATGTGCTAGAGACCGTTACAGCGACAGTGTCACAACATGACGTGGAAGAGCTCTCTAGTGTGCTCACCGAGGCTGATGTGTTGACATCGCTAAAAAGTCTCCCGAATGGGAAGGCAGCCGGTATTAACGGCCTCCCTACCGAACTCTGGAAGGTACTCCAGATACGATACGAAGGAAGAAAAGGAGGTGTACCAGACGACACTACCTTTAATGTTATCCAGGCCCTAACGGAAGTATACAACGACATTGAACGTTTTGGCACCGTTGAGAAGTGCGATTTCGCGAGAGGATGGATGTGTCCCCTGTACAAGAAGAATGACCGGGCAAACATTGCGAACTACCGCCCGATCACGCTACTGAACTCTGAGTATAAAGTGTTCACGAAAGCACTCACCACGAAACTCGCCCGAGTCGCACCTTCACTAGTCCACAAAGACCAAGCCGGCTTCATCAAAGGGCGGAGCATCTTCGACCAAGTCAAACTGTCACAGCTGATCGTCGACTACTGCGAGGCAACAGAAGACTGTAATGGGGCCATTGTGGCACTTGACCAGGAAAAGGCATATGATAAAATACTGCACCCCTACCTATGGGAAACCATGACGAAATTTGGGATACCGGAGCAATTCATCAATACGGTCAGAACGCTGTACGCGAACGCCGAAACGGTCGTCATTATTAACGGGGAAATCAGCTCGGCTTTCAAGGTTACACGAGGCGTGAGACAAGGGGATCCACTCTCGTGTCTGCTTTTCGACCTGGCAATTGAGCCCCTCGCATGCATGCTGCGAAACTCGGAACTACAAGGAATGAGAATACCTGGAGTAGCAGACAAGATTATTACGACGCTATTCGCGGACGACACCACCGTGTACTTGTCAAAGCATGACTCATTCGAGAGCCTCCAGACCATATTGGACAAATGGTGCCAAGTGTCTGGGGCAAAATTCAATGTCCCCAAAACGGAGATCATTCCCGTTGGGACAACTCAGTACAGAAAAGACTTTTACGATGAGCGCCGAATGGGACCACACCAGACTCCAATCGCTGACAATATACACATACTCAAGGATGGAGAGGCAGCGAGGATCCTAGGCGGGTGGGTCGGGAACAAGACAAACCATGGCGCCCCATGGGCAAGAATCGTTGAGAAGATTGAAGCCAGCTTGAAGAGATGGAACAGGACGTACCCCACCATGGAAGGACGACGGCTGATTGTACAAATGATAGTCGGCGGTATGACTCAGTACCTCACGAAAATACAAGGAATGCCAATAGATATAGAAACACACCTTACAAAAATCATTAGGACCTTCATGTGGAACGGAGAGAGCACACCGTCCATAGCCCTCGACACCCTAATGAAGCCGAAACCATCAGGGGGGATGAACTTATTGCACCTCAAGGCAAGAAACGAGGCTATAGAACTCACCAACCTAGGGGAGTACTGCCGTTTCGGCGAGCCAAGACGACCGACATGGGCATTCGTGGCAGACACCCTGATGAGGGAGAATGTTCCCAAGAAACATATGAATGGTGCGAATGCAGAGGCACTCCGCACACCGTACCTACAGAAGTGGTTCCCTAAAACGAACACGGGCAAAACCACGCTACCGCGCTCGCTTGTACGAATGCTGAGAACTGGGAAGAAATACAATGTCACTTTTGACGCACTTATGCCATCGTGCGAGATGAGACGATCCATGCCAGCCTGGTTCCATATAGGCTCAGACAGAAAGATGAAGCACCACACAAACACAAAGATAGCGAGGTGTCTGAGAGAATGCCACGGTATACGCACGGTTGGTGACTTGGAGGACTTCGGCACCAGCAGAATAAACGGCCGACATAAGGCCCAACGATACCCTAACTCCACCAGGCTCAGGCCTTGCCGCTGCGACGACTGTGAGTCAGACAGACACCAAGGCTGCGCTGACACGCATAAATGCCTGAAGCGCGCAAAGACCATCCTTGGGCACATCCTACCAAAGTGGCACCCACTCACACCGGACAATGACGACACTCTAGACATGAGCAAGGAGGAGATCGAGGCAAATGACGTGGCAAGGGAGAACAAACGACCCGTCACCTTTAACCCAGACGTTCACTGCAAAGGGGCTATATCACAAGGGATACGTGTCTTTGGAGACCCAGACGCAAAAATGAACTATCCGCCGTTCAGACAAAAAGGAAACCCGGATGACTCTGGTGAAATCACCGTATACACTGACGGGTCCTGCCTGCACAATGGCGATGAAGACGCAAGGGCCGGGAGCGGTATATGGTTTGGCCCAGATGATGAGCGGAACACATCGCTCCGAGTGCCGTCAGAGATGCCACAGACAAACCAGACGGGCGAAGTCCTGGCGATATGGTATGTGGCTACGACTGCACCGCTATCAGCCCCGCTGCACATTAAATCCGACTCCCTATATGCAATCGACGGGCTCACGAAACACCTGTCAGCATGGGAGGATAAAGGGTGGATCGGAGTCTCGAACTCCGATCTCTTTAGAGCCACGGCTGCTGCCCTCCGACGACGGGGAAGCACAACCACTTTCCAATGGGTGAAGGGACACAGCGGGATCGAAGGAAATGAGGGCGCGGACCGCCTCGCGAGAGCAGGCGCTGAAGCGGACGCCGATCCGACGCTCACGATCCGCATTCCTCCACGATTCCACCTGACGGGCGCAAAACTGACTACAGCAACGCAAGCAATTCTCACCCAGGAAATTAAGCGCAGATATCAACAACCCCAGAGAACAGCGACGACCGTTAATCTGGATATCGGGAGATGGGCTGCGCATGACCACCTCCGAGCCGGCCTCCCCACAGATGCGAGGATATTCAAGGCTATCCGGAGCAAGAACATCACGAAAAAAGAAAGGATCTTCTTGTACCGCTCTGTGCACAGCGGTTACAAAATCGGAAAATACTGGGACAACATACCGGGATACGAACAACGTGGGCGTTGTCCCCTATGCGACGGCGAGGAGGAATCCATGCGACACATTCTTGAAGACTGCCAGGCGCCCGAGAGAGAGCAAATATGGAACTTAGCCAGAGAACTATGCGAGAAGAAAGGGCTTGTATTGCCCCGAATAACAATAGGCACGGTATTGACAAGTGGCCTAGCTAACTTCAAAACCGAACGGGGTAAACGCCGCCCAGGCGCGAACAGGTTCTTCCAGATCCTAGTAACGAGTTCGGCACATTTGATATGGGTGCTAAGGTGCGAACGGCGAATAACCAGGGAAGACGGAGACAACTTCTCCGCACAAGAAATCCACGACCGCTGGGTAACACGCATGAACACTCGCCTAGAACTGGACAGAGTCGCCACGAGTAAAAGGCGGTTCGGTGCGAAAGCACTAAGGCCAAGTATCGTCCTCCAGACATGGGGCGGTACACTCCTAGATGAGAAGAATCTGCCGGAAGACTGGCTCCGGCAGTCTGGGGTTTTAGTGGGTATTCCTTCCTGGCGTCCAGGGAGGAACCGTTGATGACGGAAAAGTCCCACACTGCCTGCGAATAGCAGGCGTGCAAGTAGCATTTCCTCAGGGTGACACACAGGTAAGTCTGTAGGGTGCAAACCCCTACCTCCAAGCAAATGAAACCTCGACGGGCTGGCTTAGGCGGTTGCGCGAGGTGGAGCTTCAACCAAAAAAAAAAAAAAAANAAAAAAAAAGACTTTGTGGACGAGAAGATGGAATTGGTCGATAGAGCTGCTCGCTTGTTGGAGGGGAAAATTGACCTTGCGGAGGACGATATGAACTGGGGTATCAATGTATTCACTCGTGCTGTATTGCTGTTGTCTGCTATAGATGAGGAGAACGGTGGGCTTTTCTCTGAGCCGTCACGTTCAGAATAGTTAAGTGGTTGATTGTCCATACTGTATGAAAATGTATGAAATTTCGGAGGTCGCCTCTCGAGCAAATTTGTCTCTCGCCATATTTTATGGCGTGAATATGGTATGGATAAGTACAGTTCCAGGCAAACAATAGACCTAGACGGATGTCACAGATATGAACCTACAACAAATCAGGTTTAGCTCTGTTTAATATAGCTGCGAGGCATACACAAACCGACTGCTTGTATCCTAAGGCAGAGGATGAGGTCGGACGAGCAAATATCCACACACTGTCCATTACTCTCTAGCAAAGTCGTGCTATAAATTAATCGTAATGGTGTGTGTGTGTGTGTGTTCGATTTTGAGGAGGCAAGTGAGTAGATCAGTGGACGAGCAGACGAATACCGAAGAAAGGTCGAGTCCTGTCTTATCATGAGGACCCCGCTGATGTCTGACCTATGGGTCCAACTATTAATGTATATGGTTCATACCTCATCAACAGTATACTGTTTATGTATACATACCGAAAGTTCTGTATACAGTATGTATATTTTATGCTATATAATACATGGTTACTTCGAGACAATATTGCTGTCAATTGTTTGGGCCACTCACTGCCCGTCTAGGAATGGATTCTGAAGAGCTATTCTTCGATAGACTACGAAACGTTTACAGGAGGCAAAACCAAACATATAAAAGACTCAACCTAGGTAGAAACAGAGAGAGAAAACGAAGTACTGACCCGAGTAGTGATAAATATTGTGGGGTGTGTCTGGGCCACACACCCCACAGCTAGTAATTCGTCCTGCAGATTTATGCATGAACGCATCACGTAGCGTTCCCGGGGGGCAATAACGAACATATCGTTGAGCAAGACTGGGTAGACAAAAAGAGATAAAACAAACTACTGACCAAGTAGTGAGACATTTTGTGGACGGTATCTGGGCCACACACCCAACAGCTAATTACTCGTCCTGCCGAGTTAGGCTTGGACGGATCACGGAGTGTTTTCGGGAGGAGTTTATGGACATATCAATGAGTAAGATTGTGTAGAAACAAGGGATTATAACGAGGGACTGACCGAGAAGAGAGCCATTTTATAGAGGGTGTCTGGGCCACACACCCACAGCTAGTAACTCATTCCACAGAGCTATGCTTGAACACATCACGTAGCATTATCGGAAGGCAATGAGAAACATACTGAAGAGTCAGACTGGGTAAAAGGAAAGACATAAAACGAAGAACCGCCCGAGTAGTGACATGTCTGGGCCACATACCCCACAGTTAATTTGTCGTCCTGCCATGGTAGGCTTGGACGGATCATAAAGTGTTCTCGGAGGACATTGACACACATATCAATGAGTCAGACTGGATAGAAGAACAAAGATAAAGCAAACTACTGACCGAGTAGTGAGACATTTTGTGGAGAGTATCTGGGCCACATACCCCACAGCTAACTCCTCGTTCTGCAGAGCGAGGCTTGGACCAGGCACGGAGCGTTTTCGGGAGGCATTGACAAACGTATGAGTGAGCCAGATTGTGTATAAACAAAGAAGTAGAACGAAGAACTGACCGAGTAGTGAGATATCTTGTAGAGGGTGTCTGGGCCACACACCCCACAGCTAATTACTCGTCCAGCCGAGTTAGGCTCCGGCAGAGCACGGAGCATTTTCTGGAGTCATTGACAGACATATCAATGAGTCAGATTGTGTAGAAACGAAGAAGTATAACGAAGGACGGACCGAGTAATGACATGAATGTGTGGAGGGTGTCTGGGCCACACACACCCCAGCGGACGACAAGTTATGAGCAGCTATATGCTTGAACGAATCATGTAACGTTCCCGGGAGGTGATAACCGACGTATTAATGAGTAATACTGGGTAAAAGAGAGAGGTCAAACAATGTACTGACTGGGTAGCATCCCATTTTTGGGCCGCTGTCGGGACCACACAGGAGCTATGCTTTGACGGATCGAGTCTCGTTTATGGGAGATGATAACGGACACATTAAATAGTTCACTGAGTATAAATGAGGGGAGAAGATGGAAAATTGACCGAGTTGTAGTACGTATATTTGATGGTAGATGTCTGACCTCCAAGCCCAAGTCGCACCGAGTCATCGCAAATTGCAAAACCATTGTGGCGCGGATGCGGCCTGACAATTTCTTGTTTAGTGACTGGTCGTTTCGTCGCCGCTCACTGTCACCTCTTAGACACCTCTTAGCTCCTCGACATCTCTTCAGCGGAAACCGGCATCACTGCACAGGCGCTGAGACTCATCATGGGGCCAAACCGTGCAGATAAAACCACAGATCCTCAGCAGCACACTCTCGACTGGATCAAGCACATCGAGGAGCTTGTGCCCACCCTTCCTAAAAGCATCCCTGAGGTGACGGAACAGGACACAATCTACCGATCACTGAAACTCACTGCAGACAGTCCATGGGAGACTTTTAAGAAGCGCGTGAATGCCTTTATCGGTGAAGACCTCCGAGACAAAGAGACGGGCCGCCTACCTCACATTCGCAATGCCTAATTTAATGCCTAATTTAAAGGTCCAGAGGAAGGTAAGTTATCTCTACCATGTCAAAGCTGCAAGACTTATTAACATGGCACAGTGGCGCTTCCTGGAATCGACACAAGGACAAGACATACAACCCTCATGTGCACTCTCCCGCGCTCTCCGAATACCCTGTACCAGAGTATTCTGTTGGGAGTGATGGGTCCGAGGTTTTGTCAGGCATCGAGCATGGGAATGGAGAAACGGTAGTCCGAGAGAGAAAGATGGCGAGGATGGGGGCAGAAATAGTCCGGACAGTGACTGAGAGCACTCATTCGGAGGCCAAGGGCGGAGAGGTTGAAGATGGAGACGAGAACGAAGGGGAGGATGGCAAAGCTGAGCCATCAGTACGTCCGGTACGTTCAAAGACAGGCACGGACTCACGATATGTTTACTGACTGATCGTTCGCATCCTTGTTTCCCTCCACGTTCGCGATCATTTACCTATCTGTCATACCTTACCGTTTGGTGCGACTTCTGTGACCGCGTGGCGTAGGTGTTGAAGTGCAAGCAGGCTGCTACCCTTGTCATATCCTCTGACTCCGAGGAAGACGTGTCTGCCTCGAACGATGGTGGGAAGAAGTCTGATCGTAAGAAGAAGGTCGCTAATGCAGAGAGGAAGGTGCGTCTCACCTACGATGCCATATACATTCGGTTGACCTATAACTGAGCTCTAGCAACCCTGTTCTCTCTACGAGAAGGAACGAGTGAAGAAAGCGGATGCGAAGAAGAAGAAGAGGAAGCTAGGGCTGGTGTTGTGTACGAAGAATGTGGTGCGGGGCCGTATAGGTGAAGACGACATAGATGTGAGTGCAGGGGAGGAGTCGGATGATTTGTCTGCTCTACGAGAGACCAAGGCTCGGGAAGAGAGGGTGGAAACTTTGTCTCTGCGATATGAAACCAAGTATGAGTATTTCTAGCCTTCTACCTGAATTGTCGGCAGAAGCTAGCTATGACAATAGACGTAGACGAGAGAGGGTGAGAGTAAGTAGTAGATTTAGAAAAAAAATAACTTGGTGTTTACGATCTGAGGTCTCTGAGAACTTGAGGATGGCTGGTCCGCAGCTCCAATGATGGCAATGAGCGATGTGCAGAACAGTATCCCTACTATTCCACAGGCTCCACCATCTGCCATTCATAACATCCAAATCATACATGGTGTCGAAAACACCCGCGTGAAGCCACCAATACCAATCTCAACCTTATGCATCGTAGCCAGACAGATAGCCGAGACGCGACACGAGGAAAGAGCAGCAACCAGTCAGATATTGTGAACCGACAAAAACACAAGCTCTGATAGGACACAAAGTACGGTGGGCGGGACGTACGCGGTTCGTTTGCGTTTCGCGGCCCCGCTCCGGCACTCTCCGCCACCTCGGCCGCGGGTCCCCTGGACACCACATTATTACTGTAGTGGTTTGCTTCGAAGCAAACTCCAATTTTTTTGCAGTTTGAGGAGTCTCAGATGTTTTAGAGTGCATAGAAAAAAAGCGGTATCTACAACGTAACATTTAAGGGTGGGACCCCGGCAGAGCCTGGCTGTTCAAGCCCTCTGTGGCACGACGTGCCGACCCGCGACCGGCAGTTCCCGGTTCGCCGCCACAAGTCCTGCCAGGCCTTTTGGCACCCCTCTTCACTGGCAACCTCTCTTTCCATTGAAAGTCCAACTTCTTCGGGGTTTTGAGTATAGTTGACTTGACATGTGGCTCTCAAAAAAAACTGGACCCTCCTCGTTACCTTTAAGCTGAGGACCCCGGCCAACTCGCTGAGCCTTTGATCTACTTATGTTCATTGCAGTTGCATTGAGGCACGAACTGTGACTGTACTCTGAGCTTTGAGAATGTTCTATATGAACATCCTTTGCACGATTATCTGCACTTCGGTCTTGGCTGCTTTATGTGTGGATATATTTGCCGGAGGGCAAGCATCTACTATCTCTGAAATCTGATGTCGACCAGAAAGCTGCTTAGATCGCGATCACATCGCTGATAGGCTCGCCCGGCGTACTAGTTCCATGACATGGTCTTATCAACCCTGCCTCAAAGCGACTCAGACAATCGTTCTCTCTCCCTGCCCTCACCCTGCTTGTCCACCTGCATCATCTGCAAGAACGGGTACGGGGAGAAAAACTGTTGCGTATATTCCATTCTGATATCTGATCTGAAATACTCACCGTGTATTTGATTTATCTAGACCCTCCCGACGATGTCTTGAAGGCATCACTTCTGAAGTATGTCTCTGCCCGCTACACTCGAGATGAGAAGAAGCAAGCTCTTCTCAAAGACCATGGCCTTCAAATCGCGTACGTGATCTCCTGTTACCTGTACGATATTCCCAGCAGTCGTTGACGAAGTTTGCTACCAGGAATACAAAGCTTAATATCCTCGAGCGACGCCTGGGAATTCCCTCCGTGCGCAAGCCTGTTCCAAGAGAAGTTGCGACTCAGGCAGTCTTAGACGAGGTCGATAGAGGTGGTACAAGTGGTGCGGATCACAACGGGCCTGATTATATCCAAACAAAGCTGGCAAACAGACTGATTCTTCTTCCAAAGCACGTCTCATATACTTTTATCATTCCTGGTAATGGTGCTGATGGGTGATAGATCGACTATACGCGAGATCATGTTTGCAGATAATCCAGCGGGGTTCGACGCACGCATGCCAGGGAAGCGAAAGGCCACAATCCCTCGTACTGCACTCACCTCTGTCGGGCCGTTCAGAGAGATCTCAAGTGACGGCCATGAGAAACTCGCTCACCTTGCGTTACGCATGGGCGATTTGGGTTTCCCCATCTATGCGTTCAAGGATAAGTGGTCTGACTTTCTGCTTTATATTCGAGTGCTTCCCAATGCACGAACGCTCAGAGCGTTGGCGCACCTCTTCCTTGATTTCATCGAGGAGTACGGTGGTAGGCCCTCTCATTATCTGTACTATTTCACGCGCTGATCTATGTGTTCCTTCTCAGCGATCGCTATACAGCTTACAACTGACAAGGGTTCAGAGACAGGATGGTTGTATGCTATCCAGTCGATACTCCGGTACGTGCTGATGATTTGGTAGGTCTGTAGTTATTGCTCACAGAGTTTGTTAGGGAGATGCTTGCTCCGCATCTTGATCCTGAGGTGCACCCACCACATGTATTCCTCAAGAGCACCAACAATACGCCAATTGAAGGCTTTTGGCGGTGGCTTAAAGAGAAGTCTGGGTTGAACTTGAAGGACGTCATTCTGCGCGGGAAGTCAGAAGGTTTCTACAATCCCAACATCGCCTGGCACACGTACGTGCTTATCTCGAGTTGCAGTTGCTGACACCTCTCACCGTTATCGTTGTCCCTGAGCAGGGAACTTGCCTATTGGATATTTGTTCCACTCGTGCAGGCGGCATTGGACGAGTTCCGAACATACTGGAATACACACAGAGTCCGACCACAGGCCGAAAAGGATATGCCATCTGGTGCTCCTCCCGTCTTCGCGTTTGAAAATCCAGAGGCACACGCTGGTACGCCCTGCAAAATCAAGGTTCCGTCGGAGGTCCTTGTAGAGTTGCGTCAGATCGTGACGGAGGAGGTCGGACCACGAGAGACACATCTTGAGTTTGTTTCTTCTGAATTTTCAGATGTTGCTTCCGACGTTTGGAGAGAGATTGGGTCGCCGTTGATCACAACACATTCTGCCTGGGACGTGTTTGTAGCTATGGAGGTCGTTATGCGAACAGCTCATAATTAATCTTTTGTTGGTGTGATAACTCTGTCCGGTTTGATTTGCCTCGGCCTCAGCACCATGTTCCACGCGTCGGAGCTCATGATCAAACGTGTGTGTAGGAAGTAGAACTCCGATTATCCTATCTTGAGAACAAGGTGAGCGTAATCTTGCTTCATTCTTAGTTTTCCATGCCTTTCTTATTTCCTATAGGTATCTTGCGTTGTTTTATGTCTCCTATCATCAAGCACGAGGTATGAATTGGTTATAAATCCTTTTCCGTGTCGCACTTGTGGTGCTCCAAAGTCCTATCGCTCATCCTCGTGCCAGTTATTTTCAAACTCTTAGCAGCATCTACCCAGAGGCCGACCATCAGGCATCATCCATTCCTATTGTCAAGAGTTTGCCGACGGCGTCTTGTGGATTTGGATCGCTGTCAGTGACACCTCGTCCATAGGCTGTGCCCTTCAGCGTGTTTCCAGCGTGTATCTGTCTCCGAATGCGCCCGACCTAGTTCCTTCCTATATAATACCAAGACCGGTCGAGCAAAAAACTCTAGTGCCAACTATTTTCATTCTTTATTTCGTTTGTTCTCGACAGCTCTATCCCGTCTTTCGAGGTGCACGACGGCGAGGACGACTCAGCGGTACACAGGACCGTGTAACATTGAATTTGGGTGGTGTGGCTCCGGAGTGCGTAGTTAATCACAAAGAACTGACCCTCTGCTTCGGTGTCATCGTATTTTTCGGACGACGGCGGTGGAGAGGCGCATGAGCGAGTTGTGGCAATCCAAGTTTGTTCGACGGCCGAAAACTCGACTTTATCTCTGAGCGCATTATTCTGGCCGCTCTACTGTCATGATTTTCAGTCTTGGTCTCCGCTTGGCACTCTATGCTAACCGAACAATCTGGCCTTGGTTCTTCATGAGTTGGCAGGAGAGGTCTTTGGCATTTATGTGGAATACAAAATGAGACATCTCAAAAGGCTTCGATGGCGATATAAAACGAGGTAGAGGTAGCGGCTAGGCGAGATTGGGAACAGGAATGAACGAGGGGTAGTGAGAGGTGATGAGAACATGGATTGAAAGGGATGGAGATTGCGAGTGTAAGCAAGAAGCAAGAACAATAGAGACTTCTCGCCACCCGGAATCTGCCGAAAGCGCTCAGATTCTCCAGAACGCGGAATACGTGCACAAGGCAACGATGGTGTCCTTGCCTCGGGAAAGTTTAATAGGAAGTGACGAGAATCACGTTTAGTAGATGCTCAAATATTTTCACAATTTTCCATGCACGAAATAATGTTGAGGGGAGATATCTGAGTCCACCAGTCCAGAATAGATTTCCCCAGATTATGGGTGGCGAAGAATCTCTAATGTACGAAATAGCAAGTCACACAGATACGGAGCAATGAGCAGAAAACATTTAATTAAACATCACCAAAAGATTCGCAAAAGACAACACGAAGGTCAGAGAAAGGAACGGGATTAAGCTAATCCCTACAAGTATTGATGAGTACCATAATCGTGTGGCATAACGACAGCCATGCGGCACTGAATTGAACGTTTCTGTCCGGATGGTATACCTGTAAAGAGTATAAGCAACAAGACAAAATTACGACAACGAATGAACAACATACCCTGGCCAGAAGACGTCTCTGCTGTGGTCTTGAAGCGTTAACCACGGTTAACATATTGATACGACGAGAACGGTCGGGATGGGGGACGTGCATGACCAACTGCTCCCGAAAGTCAACCCAACGAAGACGACGGATGCCACTCATTATCTGAGGAGATATACGCTCCGACCACCCCGAGAGACGTGATCTATATGATGCGATTGTCTCGGGGGAGGGTGTCGTGATCGATGTCGGCAAAGATGAAGAACCAGCAGACGTAGACGGCGTTGACGGTGAAGGATTGGCGGGATGACGAGCAGACGGCGTGAACGATGGGGAAGAGGAATTGGTGGGAGTAGATGGTTTCGCCGAGGTGGAAGTATTGGAGGTGGAATTGCGACCACGAGTTCCTGGGTGGGAACTACCAGACGGAACAAATGGCTTGGAGGGCGATTTGTCGTTATCGCTAGAGACGTAGATGACGTCAGGCTGGTTTTGTGAGGCTCGTGCGTTTGATGATGATGAAGAAGTTTTGCTATAATCATGAGCGCTTGTGGGACTTGGGATCGGTCGGGGACGTGGGCGTGGTTTAAACCCTGAAGGAGGAGCGGTCGGCGAAAACGGCGGTGGAGGTGGAGGAGCGGTCGACGACGGCGGCGGTGGAGGTGGAGTCGAGGTCGACATTGACGGGGGATGTGGTTGGATGGGAGTTGTGGTGGCAGTAGCTGGGGGTGTGGATAAACGACAACGCTTGGGAGCTGGAGGCGAGTTTTGTGCAGGGGCTGACGATGACCCAGCCGGTTGTGGACGAGAAGGGGAAGGAGGTCGCTTTCTGTCACCATAGAGAGACGAGCCAGGTTCTCCCTCCTTGAAGAACTGGCGAACCTTCGCGAGATAGGCCAGGAGCTCGGCAGATGACGCCTGCGGTATCGGTGTCTCGCTCTGCCAGGGCGGAGGTGTACGAGAGAGTTCAGCTGCACAGTTACCGGAGCGTGAAAATTAGTCTAGGATCGAAGACATCCATGGTACAGCAGGCGACGTACCATCTACACTATCCTCTCTGCCCATCTCCTCCAGGTTTGTACCACCGGCAGCAACAGACGGCCCCGGATGAGCATTGGTGGTACCATTACCGCCCTCATCCCCATCACCATCGTCGTCGCTGTTGTCGGTATCGCCCTTGGAATCATCGCTTCCGTCCTCGGAATCGTCTGCACTGCCACTTTCATGACTATTCGATTTTGCGGAGGGTCTGGTGGGAAAGTCTGCGTCGGATATTTCTGAATCGGTGGACAGAAAGAGGCTAAAGGGCCAGTTCATTATTCTAGCCGAAATAAAATCACAAGTAGATATTGCCTACTTATTCTTCTCGCTGGATCCACCACTACCGCCCCGTCCTCGTCCTCGACCTCGGCCTCTACCATGGGGACCACCCCTACCCCTACGAGTACCCTTACCCCTACCACCCCTTTCTCCACCACCGGACTTCGTCTTATCAGGTACCGACCTAACTTCATCGATATCCGACGGATCGTGAACAGCGGAGGTGCGAGTGCTGCGAGTACGCTTCCTTGTGGGTTCGGCCGGAGTGGATGAGGGCTGCGCTTCTTCACCGACCTGAGAAGATGTGTTCGACGGTAAGTGGACACATTTCTAGGCAGAGATAGTAAACATAGAAGACGAGATAAATGAACGAACCCCTGAGTCCTTGAACAACTGACTTCGTTCGCCCTGGGCGCGCTTTTTACCTTTCTGAGAACATAGAGGTATTGATAAGAGTGGAGGCTAAGCAGTACAACACAGGACTGAAAGACGTACAGTCTTTTTGTAGGACTCGATCTTCTGCGAGAGGTTGGTACAGAAGGACGTCAGAATCTGATAGAAGACGTTGTAATTTTCGTCGTCCGTTGGATAGTCGTCGAGGAAGGGAATAAGTAGGAACATAACGAGGCGGATAGTTCCCCATTGGCCGACATAGACGTTGTCCAAATGCATGTCTTCCTTCTTCGTTGCGGATCCGAAATCACTATCTAAATAGATAAGAAGGCCACCTGGTGTATCGGTATCGAAACCAAACTTTGAGATCGAAAGCTTCTTCCAGTCTGTCTCGTCCGCATCCTACGTATATGTTAGGTTCATAGACAGAGGCAATCAGAGCTGAGTAAAATCGGTAGGAGACGGCGGAGACGTACGGAGAAGTATGCAACTTTCGAAGTCTCCAAAGAGTTCAGAGTCGAAATGAGGTTCCGGAACCCAGGTGGCGTATGAATATCGTATCCAGGAGTGCCGGGATCGGCCTTGAAGCTTTTGACGAGCGCGAGAAGGTTGTGGCACAGAAGGAGGATCGAGGAAGGCGGTGGATCAGGAGAGACGACGTTTGGCAGGATGGTGAATGCGATGCGTAGACCGTCAATGATGAAATCGAGACCATATGGCCCAAAGTGGAGAGCAGAAGCCATGTCAGGATCGTTTACATTGACTAGGACATTCAAGAACAATAGGTTGTCGACCATACTTCGAACACCCATGCGCCACACCGTGCTCGCAGGGATAGCTGAAAAATGATAACAAAGATAGAAAATCGAAGTGGAAAAGACGACTCAGCATATGAATCTATGATGGTTAAGGAGGGAACAAGAGAACGTACTGTGTGTGTCCTCTTGATGAAGAACAAAGAAGTATTGAAGACGATCCTTAGACTTGTAGGCCTCGGCGAACAAACTACCAGTCGTCGTCTGACGAGGCCACTGAGAAAGCGTAGATAATCAGATGGAGTAAAGGGATAGAACCAAAAGAGATAAACGCACATAATCCTGTGCTGTTTCGGGTGCAGATATGTTACGGACCGCACGCATCAAATTAACGAAGATGAGTGGGAAGTCGTCGTTGGAGAGGGGTGTATATGCAGTCGACGTAGAACCATATGTCGCACTGGCGGTAGGCGGCGGCGGGATGGTATCCGATGAGGGTCCGGAGGTTGCTGCTGCAGGCTGGGAGCCAGTGGACGGTTTCTTCTGTTGGGAAGACGAATCCTGACGGCGTTTCTATGAAACAAGGACAGATTAGAAGGGGGAAGGAAACAAAAGAACATGAGAGCATACTTTGGGAGGAGGAGTCTGGTAATCATCATCAGAGCCATCTTCGTCGCGGTTACAGTCGTCGGTCTCTGATGTCGAGTCAAGCGACGATGGTAGAATATCGAGACAACCCTCAGAAAGAGAGATATAAACGAGATTTTTCCATGCCGCAGCGGCATTACGAGGTTTGCTAGCGGCAGCGGTTCTGACAACGAGCAACTACTTGTAAGAGCAATGAAGACCATGGACAGAGGTTTATGCGTACCTCATGAGCAACCAATAGTCCACACGAGTATGGGAGGTGAAAGGCTTGAGGATGGTACCGTTACGGTCGCCTTGTCCCCTAGTCTCCGGAGAAAGAAGTACCCAGGAATTAGAAGGATGGTCGGTGTTTTGTTCGGCTTGATTAGCGTCGAGGGCAGCGGCGAACTCTGGTACATGCTGGAACCGGGAGTTGATGAGGTCGTGAACAACGTCTGCGTTGGCACCAGAGGGTACAGCAACCGTGACGGCGAAGCCGAGACGATTCATCTCAGCAAGACTATAGAAATGACGATAAGTTCAAGACGAATGTTTCATCGAATGTGAGACCGACGCACCCATTGAGATTCAAAACCTTGCATCGCAATTCATGTACCATGACGGTCCATGGTACAAGAACGACTGTGAAGATACTATCGGGCCCCGTAGATGCGTTTTTGGAGGCCTTCGATGTCTTCGATGAGGAAGGCTCGGCTTGAGAGGCTGTTTTGGGCTGAGCGAAGGAACGACCATGTTTTTTGGACTTGTTGTTCTTGGGTGCTTCGCTAACGCCGGATTTCGCATGGGTCTAGAAGTTGTATTAGTGATTTGATTATGAACTGGGGCATGAACGTGGAGGGACATACCTCTGCGGCGGGGTCAAACGGACGACCAGCGCTCGGTTCAAATAAGCCAACCTTTTCACGTTCCTGCCTGAGCTGGGCCATGGTCTTGAAGGCGTGCGTGTTGCCGAGGTTCGGAGCGGTGGGGGTAGAGGAAGGGTTGGGATGAGCGTAAGCAGTTTCAGCGGTGTGGTGACGAGAACCGAAGAGAGTCTGCATGGTCGGTGTTGCCTGCGATGTGCTGTGGGAAGATGACACGGCGGGCTTTTGACCAGGGTCACGAGGCTGTACTGGATCGGGTGGGATTGGAGGAGGAAGCGTAGTGTCGTGTTTTGGAGTGGTAGAGGACTGGGGTGGGTCGGAAAATTTATGGGCATGAAGTCAGAAAAGAGATAAAAGATACGACTCTGCAGGAATAAGTGGGGAGAAAAAACATACCGGAGGGTTCGACGGAACGGGCGGTGGGCGTGGATTAGCCGCTGGAAGGGCCTTTTTGTGAAACGCGGCGTAGTGGCCACATACGAGGCAGAGGATAAGGGGGAGGAGAGCGGGATTATCGGCATCACCGCGTCGAGCAGTCTCGGGGATGAAGCAGACACAGAGGTCGATGCAGGCGGCATGCTGGCAGCGACCTAACTGGTCGGGAGTGAGATCGAAAGCAGAAGACGACATGGAGGCGACTTGAAAAATCTGTGTACGCTGAGACGGCACTAAGACACAACGATGGATGTTGCAGCTGAAGAAGCAAGTCCGCGTTGGTCGGTTGTCACTTCAACGAGATGGAAGTAAGGTTTGAGCCACTTGGTGAGTAGGAAATAAAGAAATTCGCGAAATTCGAGACAGGATACTACTAAATTTGGGGATGCAGCGAACCAGATCAATCCGGGGTCCTGCTGTACAGGAGGAGATCGAGGTGTCAAGATGCTTCCGTCCTCGATCAGGCCCTTCAAGTGCATTGAATGGCTGGTGAATGGCTTGCAAGAGACGTTCCGTAGTGTGTATTCACAGAGTGTAATCCATAGGCTTGACTGTCTGATAAGCAGAAGAAATGCATAGATTCCAGAGAGTGTTGAGCCATCTAGAGACTAGACTAGACCAGTTGCCATGGCAAGTAGACCGAGACAATCGAGGACGGAGGAGAATAGAGAGGCCCAAGTAGGACGCGTCATGACGCGACGCAGAGCACCAAGGCCCCGGGGCACAGGAACTATAAACTCCGAAAATGGGCAACTTATGCTCGCACTGCCACACCAGACATCAGGGAAATCCTGAAAAGCGGACCAGGAAAGGTCCTGGCCCGACAAGTCGAACCATGGGAGGCAATGGAAAAAAAACCTAGCATCATCTCATACAACGACGGCAAATCGGGACCTCGGGAGGTCGGTCCAGGTCAAGTAAACCTTCCAGATATAATTCCGACCAGGATGCGTTCGTGTTGTCTGTCGTTGCCCGTCGGATGATGCCTGACCAGAAAAGACCATGCCAGCCCATGTCGGCGGGGCATGGCCAACACAAACCATTATGACATTACATGGCCATGGATGATCATGGATGGTCATTTCTTCTCTATAATGGCACAATGTCTCGCATACCATTGAATTTAATCTTTATATTCTTTCCAATTGTTCAATGCTCACGCTAACCCCTCAGTACTCAGTGATGGCAAAATTATATTATGATGATTTGTATGTATGGCAAA